ATTTCGAAGCAGTCTACCGAGAATGGCGCGAAACGAAAGTGGAGAGTAAAACTAGTGATGCGATATTCGCAGATTTGTTAACCGTGATGCAAGTAGAAGTTTTAAAAGCACTTAGAACCATGTAACTGTTTCAACTCACACTAATATTCCTAACAATATACAAATATACTTAAGACGTGGGTGCAGCAAACCATATCTCATTCAATAATCAAAATTTCTCAAGATGGTTTGGTTCATGCCCCACTGTGATAAATAACTTCCATTCCAAGCTTAGGCAGCCAAAGCTGGCATCATGTGCTGATAGCATCATGACCAGATAAGATAGAAGTTTACTAGCATCTTCAGCTGAAGAGACTGCCATGAGTTGCTGAAAGTGGATGCGATAGCAAATGAGTCTTCAGCTGGCAAGTTGCCTTGAAATGCTGAAGTCGTCATGAGCCAGAGAACTTGGAATAGATACTGAAGCCACTTGGCGGGCTGATAGTACTGGCATAAGCTGCTGCTGCAGACATTGTGAGCTTGTAAAAATGGAAGCATACGGATAGGTTTGTGACTGGACGAAATTAGCAGAAAAGCATGAGGAGCAGATGAGTTTGGCATGGGATACTGAACACGTCAGGTGCTGCTGAAATCCACGCGATGGTGACATGACAAGAGCTACAAAAACATCAGGGGCTGATGACGAAGGCAGAGCTGACGAGATTAGTATGAGACACTGAAACAGCATTGGCTGGTGGAATAGACATGAAAACCTGAGAGCATAGGCTGCTGAGACTGGCATGCAATACTGTGATCTCCTGAAACAAGCGCGAAATACATAAAGCATCAAGCTTGCGCTTTTGAATTTGGAATAAAATACCAGTACAAAATCAGCTGAAAGACTGCAGTTGCTGTGAAAATGGTACAAACAACCAGTGGAGCTGATAGAACCACTGCTGGCTGACTGTCAAATGATTGAAGGAGGAAGGAGGGAGTGAAGGTTGAAAAGGGCAGAGAGAGAGAGGCACTGGCACTATAAATATTGACTGGGAAGGCAACACTGGTTAAACAAAATTGCGTACGACATCACTGGTGGCCAATCGTCAGATAGCTAGGGAAACGGTCTGAGGAAGCAAGCAGGGATGGAAGTCGGGAAATATTTGAATACTCAGGCAAGTTTCTGGATTTTCTCAAATCAGTGCAGGTAGGCCTCAAAAGGGAACTCTGAGAGGATCTACCTAAGTGGAGTGAAGAAGTGGATAGTTGTGAAGGTTGATTGGCAGCGGAAACGAAGATGAGCGGGTAAGAAGGAGGGGAGATATTAACACACCTCTGCTCAACCGCTTTCCCCTTCGTCACCCCTCCTCCGGCCAAACGCACGCCAACGGCTGTCCCTCCCTCTTACGCTCCATTCCCTCCCAGCATCACGCTGAGATGAAATGAGCACTAGCCACTGAAAGCATCATGAGCTGATATGATTGGCATGCGGCTCATGAGGAAAGGAGCGGATGATGAGCTAATGGAAGGGACATGACAGGATGAAGGAGTCTTAAGGCATCGTGACATGATCTGAGAATGGATTGGCACGAAATTGGGAAAGAATCAGGAGGTGATGAAACTGGCGTGCGATGCAGCATCATATGCTAAAAGAGAAAAAAATGCAGCATCGTATGCCATAAGAAAGCGTCAGGAGCTGATAAGGAATGGTAAACACGTATAGAGCTGATAAGACTCTGTTGACAAACTTAAAGCCTGATGACATTAGGACGTGATGAAACTGGACTGATATACTCACCAAGCAGCACAAAACTGACAGACAAGGAATGTCAGGAAGGGATGGGGTAAGTCGAGGGACAATAGAACGAATGCTCAGAACTCCCAACCATTACGTCAGTAAGAAGCACAGAGGAAACAAGTTGAGATGAGATCATTCGAAGCAGGGGGTAAGATGAGGGGATGCAGAGGGAAAGTAAGGGATCAAAACGGGTTGAAGTCATGACAGCAGTCAACGCAAGCATCTCCCCTGAATCAGCCAATGGCAGAACATCAAGCCACTTACACCAGCTTCACCCCTCACCACACGAATACACCCACCACAACCATTCCTTACTTCCATGCACCACTCAGTCGCAGCACACCAGCACAGAAAGCACATCAACAGCATATATATAAATATAGCATCAAAGACTACAAGCTACAGACCTAGAACCAAATCTATGACCATCTAGATCATTCCACTATTCAAGAGCCTAGCAGGTGCACGGTGCAGCAGCGGATCCAAGGGCATTCAAGAGCCAAGCAGGTGAGCAGCAACAGATTCAAGAGAACATAGTGATCATGAGCATTCGGGCGCATCAGCAGCGGATCCAAGGGCATGCTCTTCCCCCTCATGCCATGCCTCCCCATTCCAGCTCACCACATTCCTCCACCTCTCCTCCCATCTCTCCCACAACACCCTGCAAGCAGGGTGGAAAAAGGGGTAAGTCCCTCCATGCACCTCCCTCTAGCCCCCACCAGCCATGCCATCTCACCCACCACATTCGTCCCTTCACGTCCCCATTTAACATGCCCAGGATCCCATCTGATGCTTCTTGCTGCTGCCTTTTTTTCCTTCCTTCTTCTTTTTTTTTTTTTTGTTTTTTTGTTTTTTTGTTTTTTTGTTTTTTTTTCACTCCTTCACTTGGCTGCTAACTTCCCAGGCTTGGGAATGCCACTCGCTGTCGTTCCTGCTGCAACCCTCCTTGTTGACGCACTGCTTGCAGGTCTGGGAATTTCAGACCCGCCAACAAGACCCACCTTCGGGCTGTGGGGAGCTGCTGCGGTTGGTGCGGCTGCTGCTGCTGGGCTGCTTGCACCTGCAGCCTTCACACCTACCGCGGCAATAGGCCTTGCATGTGTCGCCTTGGCTGGCGACGCCTTAACAACTGTCGCCACCTTAGCAACTGTCGCCTTAGCTGGCGTCGCCTTAGCTGGCGTCGCCTTAGCTGGCGTCGCCTTAGCTGGCGTCGCCTTAGCAGACGTTGCCTTAGCTGGCGTCGCCTTAGTTGTCGTCGCCTTAGCTGGCGTCGCCTTAGCTGGCGTCGCGTTAGCAGGCGTCGCCTTAGCTGGCGTTGCCTTAGCTGGCGTCGCCTTAGCTGGCGTTGCCTTAGCTGGCGTCGCCTTAGCAGGTGTCACCTTAGCCGGCGTCGCCTTTGCTGGCGTCGCCTTAGCTGGCGTGGCCTTGACTACTGAAGCTGCGACGGTCGCTTGACCGCTGTGCACCGCTCTGGGCTTCACAGCAGCAGCGGTACCCATCACATCCCTGGGCCTGGGCTTCTTGCTGGGCGGCTTAGCCACGGGCTTGGGTCGCAGAGGGGAGAAGCCGAGCGACGCACGGGGGGAGCGCACAGCGCACTGCTCTTTCTCGCTGAAACGTCCCACGCGCCATGCAATCGCGCACCGCCACATCTTCAAGACGTTAGCTCGGCGGCTGAAGCTGCTGCTGATGCCGCCCAACGCAGAAGAGCTCGCGGATCCAAGAAGAGACGGGTTGGTCAGAGATTCCATCGCACTAGGAGCGAGAAGCTAAGAGCACAAGCAAAGCGGAAGCCGAGGCTGTGAGCTGACGCAGATCGAACTTCCGAGGAGCTAGAAGCTGAGTACGAGAGTTGAAGATTGAGATGATTGCAACTGCTGTAGTGGTGTGAAAGACGATGACGGGTGAGCTTTGTAGTGTTAGGGAAGAGAGGAGGTTCCAAGGCGGAGGGAAGAGTGGATGGAGCTCGACTGGCGAAAAGCAACTCTCTAGGCTTCGGGGGAAACAAGCCTGCTGCGCGAACCGAGAAGAACAAACACCCGAAACTTGAGGGTGCTCTGTTTTGGTTTGGAGCCGAACCTACGGAGGCTTGGGTTAGCTTGTCGTTTGTTCCGGCTGATTGCTCGTGCGGAATCTTGAAACTCGGTGCTGTCGTAGGGTAGCTGCTGCGACTGGTTCGCCTACGATCACGGAAAATCTGGGCAGCGAACTCGAGACGCATTTCCGCTAAGCTCGCCTGCTGCCCGAGGCTTGGAGAGAGGTTCGTCTACGAAAGAGGGGACTGCTTGCGTTGACTGGATGATGGGTCAAATGGGAAATTTTGCCGTCGTGGGATCAGCTTGAGGCGGCCAGGGAATAAATCCTCTCTGTTCTGTTCCGTCATCGTCAACATACCAGAAACTATTCACAGCGGCGGGAAAACGCGGCAGAATCGGAGGCTATACTCGCGTCGCCATTTGACATCGCACATGCAGCGGTTGATTTCTCCCTATCTGGTAGCATCAATGGCTGGTTGGGAACAAGTGCCAGCGTTCTGACACATGTATCCAGCCCCTCGAGAATGGCGAGGTTGGGCAAGAAAGGCTGGGATGCGAGATTTGCAGATTCGTTTACCATACGGTTGTGGTATTGTGGTACAAACTTATTCTATGTTATACATTCTCTAAATATTCGTTAACGCATTCATTTATGTTAAGTCTATGGTCGCTGGTCATTCATTGGTTTACCATAACTTGGTTGTGGTACAACACTCAATATATGTTATGCATTCTCTCTCCCTGTTTCACCGACCAATCTTCTTGGCTTATCTAGTACGTTAGCGGCTAGCGACGATTCGTGCCTGCTTGCGAAATATGAAGGTGTAGCTGGTTACTCACTTGTATTCTTGTTGTGAAACGTGATCATTGTTGATCAACCTTACGGGGCATACCAGTTGCAAATACATTTCAAAATTATTATTCAAAAACATTACACAGCATTATCAACCATGAAAGGACCTCATTTCTTTTATTACAATGGTCAAGCATTGTCAGGGAGTGTATTTCGAGTTCTCAAGGGTCACCATGGCTCCGACCAGGGCCTTTATATTGGACAGCTACCAACCAGGCTGATGAACCTCCAACCAACCATCCCATCCCATCCCAGGTCCCATTCACTCCATTACGATGGTCACGCCTTGTCAGGACTCAAGACCCAGTAGAGCCATAGCAGCAGCAATGAGTACAAGCTACAGCCATAGCTTCATGTCTCGCAGACAAACCTCCTGCTGTCTGCCTTCCTCCCCACAGCTCACCTGCACGGCCACTATCTCCCTCCGATGCGCCTCCAGCCATGCCCTATCCCCCACCGCCTTCCACCCAGGCGGAAATAATTGCTCTGGAAGCACTCCCACGCTCGCTCCACTTCGCTCCTCTCCTGTATCCCCTGTGCTTGCTGCTGCACCTGCTGCCATACCTGCTGCTGTACCTGCTTCCATGCCTGAGCCCACGCCCCCTTCCGAACCTCCACCGAACCCATCCTCCTCGACTCCCACGAGCTTCGCTCCCCGAACCATTTCAGCCACGGCGTGATTCAGTGACGTCCTGAGAATCTCCGAACCAGAAAACACTCCCGAACCACCCCTTGTTGCTGCCGCACCTGCCGTCAAGTATCCCCTTAAAGCCCCAACAGCCCACCGATGCACCATGGCTTGCACAGCAGGGGAGGGGCAAAGAGCCATGAGCCATGGAGAGAGGGACCCCAGGAGGGAGGGCGTGAGGGCAGTGGTGTTGGGGGGTGCAGGTGCTGCCTGCTGCTGCTGCTGCTGCTGCTGCTGCTGCTGTGGCTGCTGCGGCTGCGGAGGTGGGTCTAGGTGGGAGAGGGAGGGCAGCACGAGGGAGTAGGTTGGCGGGAAGTAGCGGCGGGGGTCACGCAGCCACACTGAGTTGATGTCGCTGGGAGGAGGGGAAAGCGAGGTGGGTGGGAGGGGAAATGGAAGAGAGGAGAACGAGGGGAGGGGAGACCGGCCAAGTACGAGGGAAAAATTGGTGACAGAACGAAGAAAGGACAAGAGAGTACCATGGAGAATGGGCGAGCACCATTCAGCCACCGCTAGCCGATCTTGTGGGAACGCACAGGCCTGTAGAAAATAGTATAGTTGTTTACAGCTCTTTTGAAACTTTACGCTTTCATAATAATACTAATATTAATATAAACGATAACAATAATTAAGCCGACAATGATAACAATAATAAGAAGAATAATGATGATAGTAATAAATAGTAGTATAGTTGTAGAAAATAGTATAGTTGTTTACTGCTCTTTTGAAAATTTACTGCGCACTGCTTGCATTACCTGTAGAGGACGGTCACATTGGCAGCCAGCAGGCGGGCAAGGATGAGGGACGGCAGCAGCAGGCACGTGGCTCTGGCCACTCGAGGAGACAAGCTCTCACTGGAACGCGTGATCACATGGCCGCCTGGTGTGCTCATCTGCATGTTGGGTTGACACACACAGAGGGATAGGATAAAGGCAGGGGAAAGCAGTGAATGGGCACACGGGGAGACAAGCTCTCACTGGAACGCGTGATCACATGGCCGCCTGGCGTGCTCATCTGAGAGTTCAGTTGAGGGGGGTTGAGACGAGACAGGAGAGGAGCGGAAGCTCACATCACGTGGCGGAGTAATCATGTGGCCCCCTGGCATGCGCATCTGCAAGGAGGGGTTGACGAGAGGAGACTAGACTAGACTAGACTGGCACTCACCTGAGAAGACTAGAGTAGAATGGCACTCAGCAGAGGGTGCGAGAATTAGAACGGCAGTGCACGTGAGGAGGAGTGTGAGGATTACAGCAACACTCACTTGAGACGAGTGGGAACTGGAATGACACTCACTCACCTGAGGAGGCACGGACGCGAGAACGATGTTACCGAGAGAAGGAATGCCCCCCATGTGGGTGAACCAGTTGCGGAACAACGCCTCCTGGCCTGAAGAGGGGGGGGTGGGGGGATGGTAGAGGGAGATCAGGCACAGGGAAGGGAGGGATGGTTGAGCAGGGATGCGGCCCACATGGGTGAACCAGTTGCGGAACAACGCCTCCTGGCCTGAAGAGAAGAAGGGGATGGGGGGGGAATAGGGTGGGGCGGGGGCAGGCGATGGTGGTAAATTCAGGAATGCGGCCGACGTGGGTGAACCAGTTGGGGAACAACGCCTCCTGGCCTGAAAAGCAGGGGAGAGATGGTGGGGAAGGGGGAGCGTCGATGGTGGGGGATCAGGCACGGGGAGGAATGGGCGAGGAAGCAACAAGAGGCTGGTAAGGGGAGGGATGTGGCTCTTATGGGCGAGGCAGTTGCAGAGTAACACGTCCTGGCCTGTCTGCATCATACATGCTGCATATGTCTCCCTGCATCTCCCTCACCCATGCATGCATGCTACCACCCATCCACCCCCAATATAAGAATCACCTATCAAACAGCCACGCACCATCGCTGGCGACAGAGACAATCACCATCCCAGCAGTCCCCCACTTCATGCACCTTCCCCAAATCCTCCCACATCAACGAGTGTTGCATCAATCTAAGAATCACCTCTCCGATCTTAGAAATCAATCCAAACAGCGCACCATTGCAGGCAACAGTGACGACAGGCAACAGTGACGACCGGCAACAGTGACGACCGGCAACAGTGACGACCGGCAACAGTGACGACCACCATCCCAGCACTCCCCATCAGCCTCTCCTCCTCAGTCGACCCCCACCCCAACCATGCATGCATGCATGCTGCATATCTCCCCCAAACCCACGATTCAAAAACTACCTCCTCGCCAACAAAATTGCACCATTGCAGGCAACAGTGACGATCACCATGCCAGCAGCCCCCTTAATCCGCGTCCTGAACTCCCCCACATGCTCCCCCACCCATGCATGCTGCATCAATGCAGGAACTACCTTCATAGAAACAGCAACAGCAACGCACCATCGCAGGCAACTGTAACGATCACCATGCCAGCAGCCCCTTTGATGCGCGTCCCCTTCTCCTCCAACTCCCGCAAATGCCCCCCCACCCACGGCTCCACCGCTCCCAACACCTCCGCCTCCCAATCCCCCCCTCCCTCCCCACCACTTCCCCCTGACACTCCCCCTCCCCCTCCCCCTACCCCTCCTGCCGCCAGTGCCTCCCCCACCCGGGCCTGCCCCCCCTTGCCCTCCTTCCCCCCTGCGCTGCCCTCCTTTCTACCCTCCGCTCCTCCTGTCTCCAGCATCCCAGGGGCCTCCCCAAACCTGTTGTGCTCTCCGGCCGCATCTGGGCGTCTGGGCATGGGGAACAGCAGCACCGGCTCTTCTTCCTCCTCCGCATCCTCATTCTCCTCTTTCTCCTCTTCTTCCTCATCCCCTTCTACTACTCCTGCCTCCTTATCACTATCTCCTTCCCCCTTCCCACCTGCAGCAGCAGGAACCCTAGAAGCACCAGCAGCACCAGCAGCAGCAGTCAAATTACCCTGTGTTTCCTCTTTCACCCGCCACAAACCCGCCTTCTTCAACCCTTCAATCTTCGCCTCCTTCCCAGTGAGGTAATTCGCATGCACCATCACCACTCGCGGCCGCACTTCCTCAAACTTCCCCCAGTGGTCCCTCATCAGCTGCCCGGACGGAAACTGCAGCGGAGGCAGCACACCAATCCTTGGCAGCACCTTCCTCTCTAGCATCCACTGCATGACTAGATTCAGTTGATCCTGATCTAGCCCTCCCTGTCTCCCCAGCTTTGCCATGCGAAACGCCCAGTTGCCTACGAGGCTTTTGGCGGGGAGGGTGGGGCGGAAGAAGAGGAAGCAGCTGCAGAAGAGCGGGAGGCCGTTGAGGAGGTTTGGGTCGATGGGGTCGGTGTAGGGAGATGGCTGGCTCATGTATTGATCGTGCGTGATAAACATGTCGAAATCGCTGTTGCTAGCAGTCGCATCAGCCGCGGCAGAAGATGCATCAAATGCACTGCCGCCAATGCCGCCGCCGCCACCGCCGCCGCTTCTGCCAAAGGAGAGAAGGTGGTGGGTGGGTGTATAGAGGGACAGAGCATAGGGAGGGTGGGGCGGAAAAATACGGCTGGCTTATGTATTGATCGTGGGTGATAAACATGTCAAAATCGCTGACAGTTTCGGCAGCAGACGCAGCTAAGCCACTGCCACTGTCGCTGCTACTGCCACTGCCACTGCTGGCAGGGTTTCCGAGGGACGAGGCAAAAAGGAGGGGATCGGGTGGTTGGAAGAAGGGAGGGGGTTGTGGAGGAAGGCGATGTCAATGTCACTGCAGTGCACTATCGCCTTCCTCCACTGTGGAGAAGCAAGGTGGTGGCTGTAGAAGAGGAAGGAGAGAAGGTGGTGGATGATGTAATCAATCAAGATTCCACCAAGTTCTTCAGTCATAGCAGAAGAGCAGAGCAGCAAGCAAGTCTGAAGCTACGCTTGAAGCAAGTAGAGGAAACAAAGCTGCGAATTCTTCTTCCAGTAAAAAAAAAAAAAAAAAAAAAAAAAAAAGAGACAGAACAGAACCTTACTCGATGTTATTTGGGCCAGCTTTTTGGAAGAAGGGGAGGGGGTTGTGCAAAAAGGCGATGTCAATGTCGCTGTAGAGGACGGAGAAGCCGAAGGAGAGGAGGTGGTGGATGTAGATGGCCCGGTGAGAGGCCACCCGGTGGAAGGCCGCTGAACCAATTCGTGATGCCCCTTCCACGTCCGCCCTCTCCTCCTGCCCAAACTGGCCGCTCAGGTCGAGGTGTATGGCCTGGGTGTGTGAGAGTGAGAGAGGGAGTTGTGAGAGAGGGATTGTGTGAGAGAGAGAGGGAGTCGAGAGCAACAGCCTGCGGGAACGGGGGCGGTGGAGAGGAGAGGAGAGCACGGAGAAGCCGAAGGAGAGGAGGTGGTGGATGTAGATGGCCCGGTGGGAGGCCACCCGGTGGAAAGCGGCTGACCCGATTCGTGATGCCCCCTCCACGTCCGCCCTCTCCTCCTGCCCAAACTGCCCGCTCAGGTCGAGATGTATGGCCTGTGGTGCGAGCAGAGTGGCGAGAAGAGAGCATATGAGGAAAGGGTGGGTATGGGAATAGGCGGGTAATAAGGGGAGTGGGTGGGGTGGGGCGTTGTGCGGCTGACCCGATGCGTGATCCCCCCTCCACGTCCGCCCTCTCCTCCTGCCCAAACTGCCCGCTCAGGTCCAGGTGAATGGCGTGTGGGAGTGGGGAGGGATGAGAAAGGGGGTTGTGGAGAGGGCGGGGTGAGAGAGGGCGGGGTGAGAGAGGGGGTTGTGCCGACTTGATGCGGTCCTTGATGCCCCCTCCCCTCCCCTCCCCTCCCCTCCCCTCCCCTCCCCTCCCCTCCCCTCCCCTCCCCTCCCCTCCCCTCCCCTCCCCTCCCCTCCCCTCCCCTCCCCTCCCCTCCCCTCCCCTTCCCTCCCCTCCCCTTCCCTCCTCCACATCCACATCCACCCCTCGCAGAAAAAGGTATGACAAGAAGCTGTGGCCCTTGAAAGGAAATACAATGTTGAAATCTCTCAAAACTGATTACCAACCAACATACAGGGCATGGGACGGAAAAAGGAAGAGGGACGCAAAAGAGAAGGCCATGATGGAGAAGGACAAGTGACCTGTCCTGTGCCACAAACTTGAACTGGTTAACGGTTACAAGTTACCAGTAACCACTTAGCAGTTACCACTTTCTGAAGCCATCTCTCCACGACTCGCCTAGCCAGGCTACTTGAAAAAGGCGAATTCGAGGCTCTGCTGTCCGCAGGCAGCAACACTTGCAGCAACACTATGAAGTGCCGGCTCAGCCCCACCCGCTTCAGATGCACACTTGTCCTGCCCTGCCCTGTCTGACCTGCAAATCTGCGCTGAGCAAAATAACCCTTGAACCTTCTAATTGTCCAGTTACTAGTTACTAGTAACCAGTTGAGAGCTACCAGTTAACAGTTACTGCATTTTGAAGACGCCCCAGCGACTCACCTGTCCAGGCCACTTGGAGCGGGCAAATTCGAGGCTCTTGCTGTCAGCAGCAAAGACTATGAAGTGCCGACCCAGACCCACCCGCTCCAAATGCAGCACCCAATTCTCCAGCATGTCCTCGTAGCCTGGCTCAGCGACAGGGCAACAGGGTAACAGGGTAACATGCAACTCAGAGCACCCTCAAATGCAACTAAGAGCGCCCTCAAATGCAACTCAGAGCGCCCTCAAATGCAGCTCACACCCTCAGATGCAGCACCCGGTTCTCCAGCATGTCCTCGTAGCCTGGGCACCGCACAATGACAGACAGGCAAAGCGGGTGATAGGGTAACAGGGTAACAGTGGACTCAAAGCACTCAGATGCAGCACCCAGTTCTCCAGCATGTCCTCATAGCCTGGGCCCCCCCACAGCGACAGGGAAACAGGGTGACAGGGTAGCAGGGGAACAGTAGGGTAACAACAGAACAGGGTAACAGGGGAACAGGGTAACAAGGGAACAGGGTAACAGGGGAACAGGGTAACAAGGGAACAGGGTAACAGGGAAACATGGTAACAAGGGAACAGGGTAACAAGGAAACAGGGTAACAGGGAATTCAACGCATTCAGATGCAGCACCCAGTTCTCCAGCATGTCCTCGTAGCCTGCAGAGGCATAGCGATGGGTAATAGGGTTACAGGGTAACAGTGGTCTCAACGCATTCAGACGGAGCACCCTGCTCTTCAACATGTCCTCGAAACCCGGGGGCCCCACGGCGATAGGGAAAGTGGGTAACAGGGTAACAGGGAACCCAACGCCCTCAGGTGTGCAACTAAACGCGTTCAGATCAGATGCAGCAGCACCCTGTTCTCCAGCATTTCCTAAGAGCCTGTCTGCCCCGGTGGCGCGGCCACAGAGTGACTGGGTAGAAGGGGAGGGAACGGCACGGTCATATGGTGACAGGGTGACAGCATAACCGAGGAATATGGGAAGCAGAAAAGTGTGAGAGAGGGTAACAGGGCAAGGGAAGGGTTACAGGGTAACAGGACATCTGGGAAACAATGTCGCGAGTTGTATGTATGGTAGATAGATTAAAGACAGTAGCCAGATAATATAGCAACAAAAGAAGAGATGATAAAAGCTCCTCCCATGATTCCACCAAGAAGGATAGTTGAGCATCATGCAATGCACAAGTAACGGGAAGGGAAAAACTCTCCAGTTTCAACAATATTTATATCGTTGTAACAAGGGCCATTATATAACTCACTCAAACGTCAATCTATGGCAGACCTGCATTCGAGGACGCGATAATGACAGTTCCGTTAAGCGAGACGCGGCTGGCCATGTCCCATAGCGCGCCGAGCTTTTCGTGAAGATCGCTCAGGCCGTTTCCTGCCAGGCGACGATGGACTGGTTCGCGAAGTGGTTCGCGAATGGGTTCGCGAACAGGTTTGGCGAAGGAGCATGCGACGAAATGATGGCCGAGAAGAATTGCGAGGAGGAGGACGAGAGAGGAACGGAAGAGGCGTTGACAGGAGATCCGCGACGATCTCAGCGCGCGTGGGGGAATCTGTATGGTTGAAGGATTAACCCCGACACGTGTCATCCGTCGAGTGGAGAGTTCTGGCGCGAACGAAGTGCGCGGTTTTCGCCCTTGAGTAAATTTTGTTGCAGGTACTTTTTCAGGTGACTTTTGAAACACCTGTAACGCGAATGAAGTGCGCCTATGACCTTGAGTCGGCGACATTCCTTGAGCCTGAACTCCGTCTTAGCAACCTGTTTGTAGCAACCCGACACGTGTCAACCAACCGACGCAAGTCTACTGAATTGTGTGGCCGTAGGGAGTCCCTTCACGACTACTATCTCAGCCTCGAGTGCGGTATTACTACACCAGGTGCATCAGCTGTTCGTGACGCGTATGGGACGATTAGCTCGTGGGGAAACGCGCCTCGAGGCACGTGGCACGCATTAGATAACAACGAGGCTGGCAAGCATCAATTTCCCTGAAATTCGCCGTAACTACCAGCTGTTGCGCTGCGACCGTCTGGATAAGCTCAAGCAGATCACCAACGGTGGCCTGTAGGTAGGCAATCTCAAGTTGGTTTGCCACCGCACTGAACCCATGCTAATCTGCTCCGCTCTACACACTCGCGGTCCAGCTTCCGAACCGTCGCGAGTGGCGACCTGTAACCGGCGTGAACGGAAACTTCACTAATTTCGCTGAGATTCGCGAATCCAACCGAACATCGAAGTTCAGTTTGTGGTAGCCGAGCAAATGTAATTTCGCAACCGAGCCGACGCTCGAGGTTCAGTTCGCTACCGCCCTCGTGAGTCGCGATTGGGTCGGCGAGGTGTGATTGCGACTCATTTTCTTATTTGGGTCGTTCCTACAATTGAGGTGCGAGGGTTACCAGGTTTTTCCTGGTCGTGAACCAATTCTCCAATGGCGGCAAGGTGGGGCTGGGATCGGAGCCTCGGGATTTGCCACTCAAGTCTTCGGGAATGATTCAGCCCTTGTTGAGTTCTGATGCAAGCTACTACTGTAGAGTCGTGAAGCGGCCTACTACTTGAATCCAGACGCAGCAGCAATGGGTTTCCATTCCGTACACCTCGTTCACGCACAGCATGATGTTCACGTCATACTAGACACGTGATAAAAGAGTGTTTTTGAGACGTCTTGAGATTAATGTGTTTTTGAGACGTCTCGCGAGAGTGTTTTTAGACGTCTCAAAAACACTCTTTTTTCACGTTTCCACTCTATACACCCCGTTCGCGCGCGGCGTGATGCTCATGTCATACAACTCATACAATTAGATCAAGTGGCTCGCAGAAGCGCTACGTTTTGCAATCCGGCAAGTGCTGTTAGTGTCAATGGACCTTTCAGCCACAGAAAAACCGCCACGTGTCCTCGAAACCTCCTCGCTTTGCTGCCAACGCCTCGTCCGTTCCTCTCTCGTCCTCCTCATCGTATTTCTTCTCAGCACCCGTTTCGTCGCCTGCTCCGCCTTCGCCAAACCTATTCGCGAATCCCTTCGCGAACCAGTCCGTCGTCGCCTGGCAGAAGACAGCGGCCTTGGCGAGCTTCATGAGAAGCTCGGCGCGCTATGGGACATGGCCAGCCGCCTCTCGCTAAACGGGACCATCATTATCGCGTTGTCCAATGCAGGTGCGCCGATGATGGTTCGCTACATTCTCCTGCCTGCCATTCATTCCCCAGTATTCCGTTACCGGGTTACCCTATTCACCTTCCCATGTTACCCCTGCTTTGGGCCTGCGAGACATGCTGAAGAACCGATAACTTCTCGCCTGCTTCCCTCCTCACTGGTTTTTCTCCGTGTTGTTACCCTGTTACCCTGTCGCTGCATGAAATTGTGAGTAGTCCATGCTGCATCCAGTCCATGTAATTGCATTGGTGGTGACCAGCCTGTATGCTGGCCAGGTTCTACGGCAGTATGCTTACTTGTGAGGACTTCTGAGTCAACAATCGTCCTCAATCTCTAACGCGCCTGACTTTTGAGTCAACCCAAAAGTGTTCTCGCCTGTGTGCTGGCCAGGTTCTACGGCAGTATGCTTACTTGTGAGGACTTCTGAGTCAACAATCGTCCTCAATCTCTAACGCGCCTGACTTTTGAGTCAACCCAAAAGTGTTCTCGCCTGTGTGCTGGCCAGGGCTACGGCAGTATGCTTACTTGTGAGGACCGCAGGTGTGCGTGGCTTCTGAGTCAACAATCATCCCCAATCTTTAACGCGCCTGACTTTTGAGTCGACTTAAAAGTCATCTCGCCTGTATGCTCGCCAGGGCTATGGCAGTATGCTTACCTGTGAGGACCGCAGGTGTCTGTGGCTTCTGAGTCGACCAACATCCCCTTTCCTGCCGGCCAATGTTACCCTGTTACCCTCATTCCCAGTCTGTTGCCGTGGGGTGACCATGTTGCTGGAGAACTGGGTGCTGCATGTGAGCGCGTTCAGATGCGCCAGAAGGCTCTGAGTTCACTGTTCTGTTACCCTGTTACCTTGTTACCATGTAATTCTATTGCCCATCATTGTGCCACTGCAGGTTTCGAGGACATGCTGGAAAACGGGTGCTGCATCTGGAGCGGGTGGATCTAATGTTACCTGGTTACCCTATTACCCCATCCATCACTGTGCCACTGCAGGTTTCGAGGACATGCTGGAGAACTGGGTGCTGCATCTGGAGCGGGTGGGTCTGAGCCGCCACTTCATACTCTTCGCAGCAGACAGCACAATCCTTGAATTCGCCCACTCCAAATGGCCAGGACAGGTGGGTGAGTTGACTTTTGAGTGAACTCAAAAGCCACTTCATACTCTTCGCAGCAGACAGCACAATCCTTGAATTCGCCCAGTCCAAATGGCCAGGACAGGTGGGTGAGTTCCCGTAACGCCATACATGCATGCCCCGTCAATCACTGCAACCTGCAAGTTCGCTCAGTTCAATTCAAATGGCCTGGACAGGTGAGTCAGCTCCTGCAATGAGAAGTCTGGGGCCCTTCGTTATCGACCTGAGAAGACTTGAGACGCCGGTCCCGCAGCGAGAATGTGGAGGTGGGGTGGGGAATTGATTGATTGCATTGGATCACTACACCCTATCCCATCCTCTGTCTCACCCTTCCCCGTTCGCCGCAGGCCACCCATCTGGACCTGAGCGGACAGTTAAGCTCAGCTTGCTTTTGGACGAGGAGAACGTGGATGTAAAGGAGGAGGTTGACATCAACTCAGCTGGGTTCTTCATTTCACTCATCCCTATCCCTACAGGCCATTCACCTGGACCTGAATGGACAGTTCAACGACGAGGAGAATGTGGATGTGAAGAAGGAGGTGGACATCAACTCAGCGGGCTTTGAGGCATCTCAACCCCAACACTCTTTCCCCCCTGCCATTCCCACTCCAGGCCATTCATCTGGACCTGAATGGACTATTCAACGACGAGGAGAACGTGGATGTGAAGAAAGAGGTCGACATCAACTCAGCGGGGTTCGAGACATCTCAAAAACCCTCCACCTTTCTTTCCCCATTCCCCCTCCCTATCCCCGCAGGCCATTCACCTGGATCTGACCGGGCAGTTCAACGACGAGGAGGACGTGGATGTGAGGAAGGAGGTCGACATCAACTCAGCGGGGTTCTTCAGCGTGGCCTCCCACCGAGCAGTCTACATCCACCACCTCCTCTCCTTTGGCTTCTCCGTGCTCTACAGTGACATAGATATTGCCTTCCTCCACAACCCCCTCCCCTTCTTTCAAAAACCCACTGATCCCACTGATGTGTCTGCTTCTGCTCTTGCTGCTGCTTCTAGTTCTTCTGCTGCTGCAGCTGACGCTGCTGCGGCTGGCGCTGCTGCAGACGCTGACAGGAGCGGCTTAAATTTCGACGTGTTTTTAACCATCGATCGGTACAGAGAGCAGCCGTCGCCCTACACAGAACCCGTCAATACAACCCTTCTCAACAAAGGCGGTCGCATCTACTGCACCTGCCTGCTCTTCTTCCGCCCCACCGCCGCCGCCAAGAGCCTCGTAGGCAACTGGGCGTTTCGGATCGCAAAGCTGGGCCGCAAGGGAGGGTTAGATCAAGCTCAATTCAACCTAGTCATGAAGTGGATGTACCAGAGGGATGTGTTGCCAAGGATTGGTGTGCTGCCGCCGCTGCAGTTCCCGTCTGGGCACCTGGTGCAGGAGCACTGGGAGGAGTTTGAGGCGGTGCGGTCGAGAGTGGTGATGGTGCATGCGAATTATGTGAGAGGGAAGGGCGCGAAGATTGAGGCGCTGAAGAAGGCGGGGCTGTGGTGGGTGATGGAGCAGAGCAACGCGACTACTTCTGCTGCTGCTGCTCCTGCTGCTGCTCCTGCTGCTTCTGGTGCGGCTGCTACAGATGCTGCTTCTGGTGCAGGGCTGGTTGAGGGGCAGGAGAAAGGGCAGGGAGCAGCAGGTGGCAAGGAGAAGGCGGCAGGCGAGGGAAGGGATGAAGAGGAGCCTATCTTGCTGTTCCCAACGCCTAGGCCCCGTGAGAAGGCTGACAGGGATGACAAGGCTGAGAAGGCTGACAGGGATGACAAGGCTGAGAAGGCTGAGAAGGTTGCAGGGACGTTGGGGGCGCAGCAGAGCGAGGAGCAGGGTGGTGTAAAGGGAGGGAAGGAGGGGGAGGAGCAGGCGCTGATAGGGGCAGCTGGGGGAAGCGGAGGGGCGGGAGGAGAGGGGGATTGGGAGGCGCGGGTACTGGAGGCAGTGGAGCCGTGGGTGGGGGAGTATTTGCAGACGATGGAGGGGAAAGGGGTGAGCGTTGCTGCTGCTGATGGCATGGCCATCTTCACTGTTGCCTGCGATGGTGCGTTGCTGCTTTGTTAGAGAGGCGGATTTCAACTGATAGTGCATTGTTGCAAAGGAGGCGGTGAGTTGCTGAGAGGGTCTAGCATAGCTGGCGCCCTGGTGGGATGGGAGGGGGATTGGGAGGCACGGGTACTGGAGGCAGTGGAGCCGTGGGTGGGGGAGTATTTGCAGACGATGGAGGGGAAGGGGATGAGCGTGGCTGCTGCTAGTGGCATGGCCGTCTTCACTGTTGCCTGCGATGGTGCGTTGCTATTGTTGTCACAGTAAGGTGATGCCTGTAGTGATGCAGCATGCAGCATGCAGCATGCGTGGGTGGGTGGGTGGGTGGGTGGGGGAGCATCTGAGAGTGATGCAGGAGAAAAGGGTGAGCGTGGCTGCTGCTGGTGACATGGCCGTCTTCACTGTTCCCTGCAATGGTGAGTGGATGGTGACTTTTGAATTGACTCTCAGAGACTTCTGAGGTGACTATTGAGTCGAGTCAAGAGGAGAAAAGGGTGAGCATAGCTGGTGGTGGCATGGCCGTCTTCACTGTTGCCTGCGATGGTGAGTGGTTGTAAAACAGGTGACTTTTAGATCGACCATGAGTTGTTGTGTCTTGCCCCCACATTGGGCCAATGCTTTCCTCCTGCCTCGCTCATCTCTCCCTCCCCTGTGCCTAACTCCCTAACCCCTCTTCCAGGCCAGGACGCATTTTCTTGCACCTGGTGGGCCTGCATGACTGCCGGCCCTTCATTTATGCATTTTAATCTCTATAGTTGATTCGACAGTTCGGATTACCAGAGTTCTTGACACTTAAGCAGGGTACAACACACAGAGAATCTCACTGTCTTTCTTTTGCAAAAATTATCTTTCTAACTGCTGCTCGCCCTGGTCTTCATGGCTGACGGTGTTTGGCACCTCGTGGGCCTGCATGCATCCCAGCCCTTCATTTACCTCGCCCCCTGTCACTGCCTCGCCTATCCCTTCCCATACCTGATTCCTCCACCATCGCCCCTTCAGGCCAGGACGCATTGTTCCGCACCTGGTGGGCGCGCATGGGCTGCATCCCTTCACTTCATCAGCCCATCTCTCCTTCCTGCCTCGCCCATGCCTCCCCCATCCACCCTCGCCCCCTTCAGGACAGGACGCATTGTTCCGTACCTGGTGGGCGCGCATGAACCGCATCCTTTTGCCTACCAACCTCTTGCTCCTGCCTCACCCATCCCTCCATAATCCCACTCGCCCCTACTCACCGTCGCCCCCCCCCCCCCCAACCTGTCAGGCCAGGATGCATTGTTCCGCACCTGGTGGGCGCGCATGAACCGCTTCCCTTCACTTCACCAGCCCAACTCTCCCTCCTGCCTCGCCCATTTCTCCCCACCATCGCCCCCAACCTTCCAGGTCAGGACACCTTGTTCCGCACCTGGTGGGCGCATGAACCGAACCGCATCCCTCACTTTACCAGTCCCATGTCCTGTCAGTGATTTTTGAGAATTCTCAAAAATGCATCGCCTATCCATTCCTTTAATTCTCTCCCCCACCCACCCTCGCCCCCTTCAGGCCAGGATGCATTGTTCCGCACCTGGTGGGCGCGCATGAACCGCATCCCTTAGCCTACCAACCTCTTGCTCCTGCCTCACACATCCCTCCATAATCCCACTCGCCCCTACCCACCGTCGCCCCCACACTGTCAGGCCAGGATGCATTGTTCCGCACCTGGTGGGCGCGCATGAACCGCTTCCCATTGCTCGGGAGATCTCTCCTCGCCTCCGTGCCTCAGGTGAATCTTCTGTTGTTCCTCGGTATATCTTCTGTTGTGCCTCAGGTGGATCTTGTGCCTCAGGTGAATCTGGTGTTGTGCCTCAGGTGAATTGTGTGTTGTGCCTCAGGTGAATGTGTGTTGTGCCTCAGGTGAATGTGTGTTGTGCCTCAGGTGAATGTGTGTTGTGCCTCAGGTAAATTTTCCCCGTGTCTTTTCCCGTGCCTTCTCCGTGTCTTTTCCATGTCTCCCCTCTAGGTGATGCGCATGCCAGGGGGCCACACCGTAGACCGACCCAAGGAGAGCACACCTCTCCATGTGCCAGCAGCTTTTTGAGTCAACAAAATTCTCTCCCGCAAAGTTACTCACAGCCATCCCCTTGTCTTCCCCTGCGTCCCCCCCGTGTCTCCCCATGTCCCCCCCATGTCCGCCCCATGTCTCCCCCCGTGTCTCCCCCCATGTCTCCCCCCGTGTCTCCGCCACCACAGGTGATGCGCATGCCAAGGGGCCACACCGTAGATCGACCCAAGGAGAGGACGTCCCTGCAAGTGGCTGCATCTTTTTTAGCCAACTCAACCATCCCCTCTGCCTTTCTCCCTTCCAGGTGATGCGCATGCCAGGGGGCCACACCGTGGATCGACCCAAGGAGAGGACGTCCCTGGAAGTGCCTGCAGCCTTTGAAGTCAACACAATAATCCCCCATGGTATTCTTATAACCGTCCCCTCCCCTTGTCTCCCCCCCTAAGGTGATGCGCATGCCAGGGGGCCACACCGTGGACCGACCCAAGGAGAGGACGTCCCTGCAAGTGGCTGCCGCCACGTGCCTGCTGCTGCCGCCCCTCATCCTTGCTCGTCTCCTGGCTGCCAACATCACCACCGTCTACAGGTATGCTTTGGTGTGTTTTCAAAGTGCACAGTCTATGATGGTGCAAGTGGCTGCCGCCACGTGCCTGCTGCTGCCGCCCCTCATCCTTGCTCGTCTCCTGGCTGCCAACATCACCACCGTCTACAGGTATGCTTTGGTGTCTTTTCAAAGTGCACAGTCTATGATGGTGCAAGTGGCTGCCGCCACGTGCCTGCTGCTGCCGCCCCTCATCCTTGCTCGTCTCCTGGCTGCCAACATCACCACCGTCTACAGGTATGCTTTGGTGTGTTTTCAAAGTGCACAGTCTATGATGGTGCAAGTGGCTGCCGCCACGTGCCTGCTGCTGCCGCCCCTCATCCTTGCTCGTCTCCTGGCTGCCAACATCACCACCGTCTACAGGTATGCTTTGGTGTGTTTTCAAAGTGCACAGTCTATGATGGTGCAAGTGGCTGCCGCCACGTGCCTGCTGCTGCCGCCCCTCATCCTTGCTCGTCTCCTGGCTGCCAACATCACCACCGTCTACAGGTATGCTTTGGTGTGTTTTCAAAGTGCACAGTCTATGATGGTGCAAGTGGCTGCCGCCACGTGCCTGCTGCTGCCGCCCCTCATCCTTGCTCGTCTCCTGGCTGCCAACATCACCACCGTCTACAGGTATGCTTTGGTGTCTTTTCAAAGTGCACAGTCTATGATGGTGCAAGTGGCTGCCGCCACGTGCCTGCTGCTGCCGCCCCTCATCCTTGCTCGTCTCCTGGCTGCCAACATCACCACCGTCTACAGGTATGCTTTGGTGTGTTTTCAAAGTGCACAGTCTATGATGGTGCAAGTGGCTGCCGCCACGTGCCTGCTGCTGCCGCCCCTCATCCTTGCTCGTCTCCTGGCTGCCAACATCACCACCGTCTACAGGTATGCTTTGGTGTGTTTTCAAAGTGCACAGTCTATGATGGTGCAAGTGGCTGCCGCCACGTGCCTGCTGCTGCCGCCCCTCATCCTTGCTCGTCTCCTGGCTGCCAACATCACCACCGTCTACAGGTATGCTTTGGTGTGTTTTCAAAGTGCACAGTCTATGATGGTGCAAGTGGCTGCCGCCACGTGCCTGCTGCTGCCGCCCCTCATCCTTGCTCGTCTCCTGGCTGCCAACATCACCACCGTCTACAGGTATGCTTTGGTGTGTTTTCAAAGTGCACAGTCTATGATGGTGCAAGTGGCTGCCGCCACGTGCCTGCTGCTGCCGCCCCTCATCCTTGCTCGTCTCCTGGCTGCCAACATCACCACCGTCTACAGGTATGCTTTGGTGTGTTTTCAAAGTGCACAGTCTATGATGGTGCAAGTGGCTGCCGCCACGTGCCTGCTGCTGCCGCCCCTCATCCTTGCTCGTCTCCTGGCTGCCAACATCACCACCGTCTACAGGTATGCTTTGGTGTGTTTTCAAAGTGCACAGTCTATGATGGTGCAAGTGGCTGCCGCCACGTGCCTGCTGCTGCCGCCCCTCATCCTTGCTCGTCTCCTGGCTGCCAACATCACCACCGTCTACAGGTATGCTTTGGTGTCTTTTCAAAGTGCACAGTCTATGATGGTGCAAGTGGCTGCCGCCACGTGCCTGCTGCTGCCGCCCCTCATCCTTGCTCGTCTCCTGGCTGCCAACATCACCACCGTCTACAGGTATGCTTTGGTGTCTTTTCAAAGTGCACAGTCTATGATGGTGCAAGTGGCTGCCGCCACGTGCCTGCTGCTGCCGCCCCTCATCCTTGCTCGTCTCCTGGCTGCCAACATCACCGTCTACAGGTATAGTGCGCGGTGTGTAGTGCTGCTACGACAGCACTACACACTGCGTTGTTAGAGTGCTCGCTGTCCACAGGTACAGTGCATAGTGCTGCTAGAGTGCTCAGTGCTGTCAAATATAAGCACCTCGACCTTTGGGACGTCTCAGAATTACCTCGTTGTCACCTCATCCCCGTCCGTCTTCTGGCTGCCAATGTCACCGCCGTCTACAGGTGTGCTTTAGCTCTCAGGCCTTCATTCCAAAGTGCACGGAGTATCCTCGTTCTCACCGCTGCTAGAAATGAAATAGAGTCCCCTCATTCTCCCCTCATCCTCGCCCGCTTGTTCGCTGCCAACATTGCTGCCGTCTACAGGTGCAGTGAGCCCCACCTTTTCTTTCCGTCCGCCCCACTCACCCCACCCTGCGCCCTCCCCTCCTCCCAGTGACATCAACTCAGTGTGGCTGCGGGACGCCCGCCCCTACTTCCCGCCATCCTACTCCCTCGTGCTGCCCTCCCTCTCCCACCTAGACCCACCGCAGCAGCAGCAGCAGCCAGCGACAGCACCAGCGCAAGGGGCACAAGGGGCAGCAGAGAACGGGCGAGGAGAGAAAGGAGAGAAAGCAGAGGGCAGCAAGGGGGGTGAGGGTGGGGGCAGCAGAAAGCAGGAGGCAGCAGCCCCTACACCGGCCAATACCACCATTGCCCTCTTGCCCTCCCTTCTAGGGTCCCTCTCTCCATGGCTCATGGCTCTTCGCCCTTCCCCTGCTGTGCAAGCTATGGTGCGTCACTGGGCTCTCAGGGCTTTAAGGGGTTGTAGGAATGCAGAAGCAGCCGAAGCTGCGGGTGGTTTGGGCGTGTTTTCTGGTTCGGAGATTCTCAAGAGGGCGCTCAACCATGCCGTGGCTGAGATGGTTCGGGAAGCGGGGCTTGTGGGAGCGGAGGAGCTCGGGTTGGGTGAAGGTCTGGGTTTGGCAGGAGGCACGGATGCAGGGACGGGAGCAGGCATGGATGCAGGTACGGGATCAGGGATGGATGCAGGCACGGGAGCAGGCACGAGTACAGGGCAAGGGGCAAGCGTGGGGGTGCTGCCAGAGCAGTTATTCCCGCCTGGGTGGAAGGTGGTGGGGGATAGGGCATGGCTGGAGGCACATAGGAATGAGATAGTGGCCGTGCAGGTGAGCTGTGGGGAGGACAGCCAGGTGCAGGAGATGTGTATTCGAGACATGAAGCTGTGGTTATAACTTGTCCTGTAATTATTCCAGCAGTGTTTTTGCTTTTTTTTTTTTTTGCTGCAGTGGCACTTCCATTTCTGCAGCCTGCAGTGTAGTAACAGTGGCACTTCCATTTTTGTTGCAACAGTGCAGTAATACCGTATCATGCGTTGAGCTTGGTATGGCCTGTGATAACCGTGTTTTGCTTGATACCATGCTTGCGAGATCACTAGAGAAACACCGCATTACAACCGGACCACGGTGTTGAATCTTCTTTCTCGCCTACTTGAATCTATTGGGTGCGGACTATAGTTGGCACCAGCATGAGCAACTTACTGTCATTGTCTTTGCGAAAGCGTTCAAGTTACCACCAGGGTAAGGTTTTGCATTGCCTTACACTAGGATAAAGTTCTGTCACTTGTACGGTATTATTGAGCAGTGATGCGTTCGTGCCGTTGTGTTTACCATTTGGTCATTGTGTTTCTCATTTACAGCTACAGTTTCAGGAAGAATGGGGAAAACGTTTATCGTCACCAGTAACGAGTCGCGCGCTTATCGAGGTTACGAAAACCACCCCCACCAACCAACCAACCATTCGAAGCCCCCACCCACCCGCCCCAACCAATGGCATGCCACGCCACGCCACCTACCGAATTACCCACCACCACCGCGCACACATACATCCTCCCATCCCGTTCATTCTCCCTCTGCCATTCCTTCAGTTTTGTCGCGCCAGAGCTGGGCATGCACCTTGAACCTTCAGCCTGACTTCAGTCGTTCAGTCTGACCTCCAAAGAAACTACATTACGGTGACAATCAGCGGCCAGCTATGCGTTGCTGTTGTTGCTTTTGCTGAGAGAGAATGCGCGTGCTGTTTACCCCGTGAAACGAGTCTTTTCGCCAAGCATGGCGGCTTCAGCGCGAGTTCGTCCGCAGCGATGGCATTGCTCAGCGCTGCGCGTGTTACTCACCACGACCACCTTTTTGGCCTTCTCGATTGCGGTCGATAGCAGAGCTGGTACGCTGCGCTGCGCTTTTGACACTTTCCACATCATCCGATCCTGTTCGCCCTTCCGCATCATCTAGACATGTACGGCACTTTCCACTCTCCGAGATTCGCATCCTCGTGAGACAATCCTTTGAGTCGACTCAAAAGCCGCCGTGTTGGCATCCTCGTTTGCAGTCGATCGCAGAGCTGGTACGCTGCGCTTTTGACATCATCCGATCCGATGCTTCCTTCCCCATCAATTAGACACTTTCCGCGATTCGCAGTTACTGTAGTTACTCTCAGAATGCGTGTGCTGCCTAACCGAGATCGTAGTTTGAGGCGCCTCAAAACGAGAATGCTCCCTCCCCATCGCAAATTGCACCATCTGGACATTTTCAGAATGCGTGTGCTTGCTAACCCGGATTGTTACTCTGTAGTTAATCCGCGTCGTCTGTTCATACTTACTCCGTTTTGCGTCACCGGATTCCTGTCCAGCGCGCCGGTACTTCAGCGCTCCCGCGCTCTGCAGTTTCTGCTTTTCAGACTTTTTAAAGCCTAAAAATTGCTCCGATGTTTCGATGCTCGAGACGAGCCGTGACTTGGGAGTGGTGTCGACCCTAGTAGATGGTTGCGGTGCGCTTCGCGTTTGAGCATTGCAAGTTCTCGTCGCGCTTTGGTGGTGTGTGGTTTGCTTGTCCTTCGCTCTATGTGTGTTTTTCGTTTCTCCCATGAGCTGGCGTATGGAAGCTATGCAGGTTAGACAGCACAGCTCTAGTCATGTTGAAGGTGTATCCGTCTTTCCCTCTCCCCTTTTCCGTCCCTTTTCCGGTCCCTCTCTCCGCCCGTTTCAACGTCCCATTTCCGTCCATTTTGCCGTCCCTTTTTCCGTCCCTTTCTCCGTCAATATCCCCGTCCCCAACCTGGCAGCACCTGTGGCCTTAATGGCGAGCCAAGATTCACCCGAGGTCTTAGCCACGCTGGCAGCACCTGTGTCGTTTAAGTCACAGCTAATGCAGTCCTCACCTGTTTCTGAGGTCGGGGTGATGGTGACGAGGAGACGGTTGCAGGCGGAAGGGGGGGGATTGAGTCAGGAGGATGAGGAGGATGAGAGGAGGCAGGAGGAAGAGGAGAAGAGGGAGGAAGAGGAGGAGAGGAAGGTGGAGGAGGAAGAGAAGGAGGAGGTGGAAGAGGAGAAGAGGGAGGAGGAGGAGGAGGAGCAAGGTAGAGGGGAGGAGGGACGGGAGGGGAGTGGGGAGGAGCAGGCGGGCGGGGCGGAGGATAAGGGGAAGGGAGGAGAAGAGGAGGAGCAGGACGAGGAGGGGGTGTTGGCGGAGGGGGAAGGGGAGGAGGAACAGGAGGAGGGGGAGGGGAAGGAACAGAAGGAGGGGGAGGGGGAAAGGAAGGAAGGGGAGGAGGAGGAGGAAGAAGAGGAGGAGGGCGCACAGGGCAAGGAGGAGAATTCAAGAAGTAATGGAGGTTTCGGTGATAGCAGTGGTGGTGGTGCCGGTGTTGGTGGTGGTGACAATGGAGAAGCAGGAATGGAAGGAGAAGGGATGGGAGGGGGAGAAACAGGAGCGGGGGGAGGGCAAACGGGAGGAGGGGGAGGGCAAACGGGAGGAGGGGGAGGGCAGACGGGAGGAGGAGGTCAAACGGAAGGGGAGGAGGGCGGCAGGAGGCCGGGAGGGGAGGAGGGCGGCAGGAGGCCGGGAGGGGAGGAGGGCGGCAGGAGGCCTGGGGGGCGGCGCTACGTACCGCCACTGGACGCCGTGATTGCGAACGTGACTGGCGGCAGGGACCGTCCCATTGTGGTGGTCACTGCTCGTGCCGTCAACCTCGAATTCGTTCACAACTGGTGCGGTGTGGTGGGGAGGGGATTTGAAAGTGGATGTGGGGAGGGGGAACGGGAGAGGAAGGGTAAGCCGTCACAGCTCGTGCTGTCAACCTCGAATTCGTTCACAACTGGTGCGCTGGGAATTATGGGGATTTGGGGTGGGGATCATGGGGATTGCGGGGATGATGGGGGATAAGGGGAGGAGCCAGGAGGGGGTTGTGGTGAGAGAGTGGATACACGGAGTGGGAAAGGGAGAGGAGAGTGGATACAGCTTGTGCTGTCAACCTCGAATTCGTTCACAACTGGTGCACTGGGAATTCTGGGGGATCGGGAGGGGCCCACGTGTTGGGAGAGTGGGGAAGGGGAGACGAACGGTAAGACGTTACGGCTCGTGCAGTCAATCTGAAATTCGTTCACAACTGGTGCACTGGGGAAGGGATTGTGGCAGCGAGGGGACAGCAGAAGAGTGGAAAGTGGAGGATAGGAAGAGAGAGCCAGGGTGAAAGGTGAATGGAGGCTGGTACTTGTTGCCACGGCTCTCACCTGCTCTACTGATGATTCTATATCTGAGAATTCTTTTGAGACGTCTCAAATACGCTCTTCTTTCACGCCTCTCACCTGCTGGTAGTGGTTATCACGCCTCTCACCTGCTCCTTCTGCTCTCCTTCGCCCCATGCTTGTCGTTCTGCCTCTTCCCCCTCTTCCTTACCCTTTGCTCCATTGCACCTGCCAGGCTACATTTGTTTTTTGAGAAATCTAAAAAAAAACAAATCCTTTGCCCCATGCTTGTCGTTCTGCCTCTTCCTCCTCTTCTTTACCCTTTGCTCCATTGCACGTGGCAGGTACCTGTCAGTGCGGGGAAAGCGCATGGGGCGGCGGGTGCTGTTCATTGCAGAGGATTACCATTCCTTCCGCCTGCTGAACCGCCAGTTTCCCATGCAGGCAGCTCTCATTGTCACTCCCAAGAAGGACCAGGTGGGTAATGTGCGGTGACAGATGTGCACATACGCACACTTGCGGCGGGTGCTGTTCATTGCAGAGGACTACCACTCCTTCCGCCTGCTGAACCGCCAGTTCCCCATGCAGACCGCGCTCATCGTGACACCCAACAAAGATCAGGTGGGTGCTGTGCTGTGACACATGCACATAGTACACACACATGGTCATTGCAGAGGATTACCACTCCTTCCGCCTGTTGAACTGGCAGTTCCCCATACAGGCTGCTCTTATCGTGTGATGAGACGATTTTTGAGTCTACTAAAAAATCCTCCCTGCACGCACGCACCTCCCTGAGACATGTCTGAACAGGCAGTCCCCCTTGAAGGCTGCTCTTATCGTGCGGAATTTCCGAGTCGACTCAAACGGCCGCTTTTCAAAACTGCACATGTTATTAATGTCATTGCACTTTACGTACCTCCGCCCATGCCTGGTTGCCTCAATGTCAATGCAGACCGCAGGCATTGAGGACCGGCGCCCATGGCACTTCCTTCGCCTTCTGCAACACAACGTCTCCTTCCTCTACAATGTGAGCCCCGCCCCGCCCCGCCCCGCCCTGCCCTGCCCTGCCCTGCCCTGCCCTGGCCACTGCTCAACGATGTGAGCCCCTGTTGTTCGTCCTTGCAATACCACTTTGAAAACGCTAAATTCTTCCTTCCCTCTTGCGAGGAGAGGATGTGTGTTGCCGCGACCATGATCCAGACATGTTGCGGCAGCAGCTCCTCTTCTCCCCTTCAGCTTCACTAACCCCTCTCTTCGTCTCCCCGTTCCTCCTCCTATTCCCCTTCTCCCGCAATCAGGACTCGGACATGGTGTGGCTGCAGCTCCCCTTTGGTTACCTCACTGACTTTGACCTCTGGGCTGCCTGTTCTGTCCCCACCACCCACACCTTCCACCCCTTCCGCCTCTCGCCCTTGCGCCCATTCCCCTCTCCCCCAAACACATCAGGACCCCGACATGGTGTGGCTGCAGCTGCCCTTTGGCTACTTCAACGGTGATTTCGACCTCTGGGCCGCCTCTTTTGCCACCGCCTTTGACACTCCTCAACAGCCCTTCCTCATAGCTGTCCCTCTCTCCCCACCCTTTTTTTCTCTCCCCTCCCCACATACATCAGGATCCGGACATGGTGTGGCTGCAGCTGCCCTTTGGGTACTTCAACGGTGACTTCGACCTCTGGGCCGCCTCTTCCTCTGCCACCTTCGACGCCCCTCAGCAGCCCACCGACGACGCCGCCGCCCCAACCACCACCAACCACCACCACCTCCGCCCCACACCTCTCCTACCCAACCAACCGCTCTCCACCGCTCTGCTTTTCTTCCGCGCGTCCCCAGGCGCCCGGGCGGTGGTGCAGGCGTGGCAAGCGGAGCTTAAGTTTATTGTCATGAAGACGAGGAAGTTGGGTGTGCCGATGAACCAGAGCGAGGGCGCGTTCAATCGCGCAGTTCGAGGGGTCGGGAACGCCGCCAGGGTCGCGCTGCTGCCGCAGCTGCTGTTCCCGTCGACGGCGCTTTACTTTAGGTGGGTTGGTCGGAGAGTGTTAGCTGTTGAAACTGTTTTTGTGACTCAGAAATTGCTGCCGCAGCTGCTGTTCCCGTCGACGGCGCTTTACTTTAGGTGAGTCGGAGAGTGCTGAAACGTCTCAATACTGTAGGTGTGTCAGAGAGTGAGAAAATGTGGTGAGGCGTGTGGCTGTTTGGGTTGAGGAGGTGTGGGAAACTGTGGTGAAGAGTGTGGTGAAACGTGTCAAAACTGCAGGTGTGTCAGAGAGTGTTCTGGTCTGTTTGGTTTGAGGAGTTGTGAGAAATGTGGCGAGGTGTGTGGCTGGGAAGTGTGGCTGGTGGTCCCTTCTGTTGGTGCTCTTCCCACTGCGTTGAAGTTAATAAAAACAATTTGTTACCATAGTGTGTTTCTTTTCTCATCCCGCCACTCGTTTGCCCTTTCTGTTTTCTCCACCACTTGCTTGCCAACCAACCCTGTGGTGTTGCAGTGATCCCTCATTTCGTTCGGATCTGGAAGCAAAATCAATAAGACCAGTTGTGCTACACAGCAGTGCAATCGAGAACAGGCTTGAAAAGAAGAGCCTTTTAAAGAGTCACGGCCTCTGGGTGCTGTCAGATAAATGGCAGCCATTCGCCATGGGACGCTCCCAGAACTTTGGAGGATGAGGCACATAATTTATGCGACAGCAATGAGACAATTTTTTTTTTTTTTTTTTTTACCTCAGGTTCCAACAGCGTGTTGTGTCGATGCACCACAACCAAGTGCTGGTTGGTTGTACTGGTAATGCAAATGTTGCAAAATTCTAATGGTTAGTGTACTTCTCGCTGTAGCAAAACCTGTCTGCACTGATCGAACTTTAGCGAATTTCGAAAGTGGAGACTCGCAAGGCGCGTAGTCTGTAGGAGGTTCGAATTTGTTTTCCCGCTACTGTACAGTCTGTACTTTCTCACTTCGTCCCAGCCTCCATCTCCCCAACGGTATTCTCTTCCCTCGCTCCTTCCCCGTTGGCCATGGGCACTTCACGCGCGATGCGTACGTAAAATTGGTTGGGGCTCGGGTTTGTTCGGTAGTTTCTAAAGGTGTTGTTCCCTAGAAGCGCGATTGTGACGTGGTGTCAATCAATTGGATTGCTAAGTGCCAGCGTAGCACGGCGATAGCCAATCATGACTACCAGCGCGTTGGCCGGGATTTTTTCGGAGGCCACGTTGACGGTCGACGTGGCAAAGAAGCACGTCCGTGAAACGGCCGATGCGGCTGTTGCTGATGCGGAAAGGGCTCCGCACGTCCTGAGACGAGCAGCTGACGTGGATCCCGACAACCCTGCCACGTGGCGCGAGCTCACCCTTCCGTCGAGAGGGTTTTCGAGGGTGAGATAGACAGGAGGAACCACTGTACTTACAGCAAGCGGGATGTGACGGGTTTATGGCAAATCCAGTGCAAGCCAATGCGAAGCAAAAGCGAGGCAAGACAAGCGAGTCACGAAGCAAACGCTTAATACTGAGCATGCGAGAGCAGATCGAGTTGGTTTGCATCAGGAGGTCGAAAAGCCCTGAACCCTGGTAAAACCTTCTTGTACCCCGTTCGCACACCTCATGTTGAAGGATCCCCAACATCGTATCAGAATCGCTTTAAATCTTTTTCATCTCCAGTTGACAGCGTCTTATATATCTCGCCTTACATTTTTCTCCAAATCTCTGACTGCTTCCCTTTCCTTCCCTTCTCCGCTTCTCTCCCCCCTCGTCCCTCCTCGCTCCTCCGTGCTCCCGCTCTCTCCCTGTAAACCCCTTCCCCCCCTGCCTTCCCGCTCAATCAATTTTTGCGGCCAGATCGACAGCCTTGCGGGCTGCTCGCAGTTGACTCGCCTTGACTTGAGCGGAAACAATCTGACTTCCATAGAGGTGAGCGGTGGGGAGGTGGAGGGGAAAGAGGAAGAGGAAGGGGAGGGAGGGGAGACTGTTCGTTGCTACTGACTGACACCCACTGCCACGTGGACAGCCTCTCGACCTGCTCCCAGTTGTCTCGCCTTGACTCGTAAACAACTTGACTTCACTGGAGGTGACGAGGGTGGGGGGAGGTGGTGGGAGGAAGGAGGGGGGGGGGGGGGGGGGGGGGGGGAAAGAGGGCGAGAGGGGTAGGGGGGTGGACTGTTTGGTATTATTGCCGCCCACTGTCCGGTGAATGGTGCTGTTGACTCCGCCTAGTCCACGTGAGATGCCTAAACACGTCTTTTGCAGACATGTGAGATTCAGTTGTCAAAGTCTATCCCCTAACTTCCACCTAAAAAATCCCACTTTAAATCTTAAAACCCTAACCCGCCCTCGTATTCATGTCGCAGGGTCTCTCCTCCTGCGTCTCTCTGAACTGGCTGGACATCGCCAGCAACAGCATCTCCTCGCTTCACGTGGTTTTACCCTAAACCCGAGAATTCCAACTTTGAAATCTCAATCCCCGAACCCCAACCCATGCAATTGCCCTCAGGGTCTTTCCTCCTGCGTCTCTCTGCGCTCGCTGGACATCGCCAGCAACAGCATCACCTGGCCCATGGCCTTTGTGACGTTCTGGAAAAACCCCGACTCCCAAACCCCATTCACCATCTTCGCCTCGCAGGGTCTCTCGTCCTGCGTCTCTCTGCGCTGGCTGGACATTGCCAGCAACAGCAAGAACTGAGACTCCTTATAGTCTTCATATTCTCCTCATATTCCCCTCCCCCTCAGGGCCTCTCCTCCTGCGTCTCTCTGCGCTGGCTGGACATTGCCAGCAACAGCATCTCCTCGCTTCAACCACTCACGTCGCTCACTGCCCTCCTGGTATTTTCCATCGTTCCGCCATCAATCAGTTAGTTTCCTGGAGTTTTGCTTCTCAACTTCCATTGCTTATGAGAAATTTCAAAAGTTGTTCAACTTCCATCGACGTTGACCCTTGGGAATTTCAGTCAGGCTGGTTGAAGTTGGAACACAGTGTGGTGTGGTCATCGGGTGATGGTGGGGAGTTTTATGGTACTGCTTTGCACGGCAGTGATTTGCACGCAAGCCACGGGGCTGATGAAGACCCTTGGGAATTCCAGTTAGGCTGGTTGAAGTTGTGTCGAGTCCGACTCTCGGACTCTCCTATCACACCTCCCCAACTGCCCTCAACCCTGCCCCCTCTTCCCCCACCCTGAATGAGGTCCTAAAGTCAGCAGAGAGGAGAGGCGTCACAACATTGTGGCGAACGTCTCTCCTCGCTGCTGCCTCTCCTGAGCCTGTCCCCCTCTTTGCATCTCTCATTCGCATCATACTGATATCCTCTTCTTAACGCCAGGTGCTCAAGGCCAGTCACAACATGGTGGGGGACGTTTCTCCTCTCACGCACCTGGCGAAGCTGCACTTTTCATATACCCCACTATCCCATCCCCCATCGTGCCTACAACCTCCCCCCCCCCTTCTTGTTTCCCCCCGCAGGTCCTAAAGGCCAGTCACAACATGATCGCAGACGTCTCTCCTCTCACGCATCTGGCGAAGCTGCAAGCCCTTATTCTCAACAGTGAGTGCACCCTTGATAGATACGACCCAGAAGTCTCTCGTGCGTCCAAACCTTTGCTTTGTTGGACTGGAGCGCAGTCACGCAGTGAATAACTTAGGCATGGTGAGATTCCCATTGTGCTCGTTGGGAATCTCTTCATGCATGCCGTGCCGATTGATTGCCATGTTTAACGCAGCTCTCTATGTTGCTCTTTAACCTCTTCCCACTATCCTCCCCTTCTTCCTCCCCCCCATGCCCACCCCTTTCTCGCCCCCAACTCCTCCCCTCCCCCCTCACCCCATTTCCCCAACTTCTCCCCCCCACTTCCCCACCTCCTCCCCCATCTCTTCCCCTCCCTCTCTTTCAGATAACCTGCTTGGTTCCGTTCCCTGTGCAATCTAGCGCCCCTCTTTTTGAGTCGAATTAAAAATGCCCCTCTCCTCCCCTCCCTCCATTCCTTCAGATAACCTGCTTGGCTCCCTCTGCAATCTAGCGCCCCTCACTGCTCTCAACACGCTGGGTGAGTGCACCCAACCCAACAACACTATACCTCCTTAAAAGATGGGCTTGAACAGACGGTGGTTCTCATGCTATTTTCTTTCTCACAGTATATACCACTTGTATGCTCGGCATGTTCCACCACTTGTATCTTCTATCATCATCATTCATCATTTTCGACCTCCTCCTCCTCCTCCTCCTCCTCCTCCTCCTCCTCCTCCTCCTCCTCCTCCTCCTCCTCCTCCTCCTCCTCCTCCTCCTAACTCCCCTCACCACCTCTTCCAACCCAACCCCCTGCACTTCTTCTTAACCCCGTCCACTATCTCTCAGCCCCGATAAACCTCTTTTGACCGCTCTCAACCCCTCTCGTGCAGTGCTATCCCACAACGAGCTGCCTGCTCTCGGCAATTCACTGCGCGGCCTTTCTGCTCTTAAGAAGGTACGAGGGCGATCTAAGTAACGCCCTTTCTATGCTAGGGTGATCAATCAAGGTACCCCTCGTTGACTAGGGCGATCAACTGAGGTACCCTTTTTCAAGAGTCACTGCCTGCACAACAAACCCTTCGGCTACTCTTCATCTTTTCCGTCTGCCTCTCTTGGGTTCTCCCTTTCCATTCTTCCATCCACTCATCGATGCATGCGTGCAGCTCTCCCTGTCCAGCAACGGTCTCACATCACTCACCAACGACCTCAGTGGGTGCATGTCTCTGGAGGAGCTGCGACTGGCACATAACCACATCTCGGTGAGAATTCCTGTGCTTGTAACTTCTATGCAAATTATATATGTATATATATAGAATTATATGTAGTGGCTGTTGAAAGATTGTTTCAACCAAGCTAACATTTTCTTTTTAAGTGGCTTCTTCCTGCTGTTTCAGAAATGGCTGTTTGTCGGATGCACTTGTACGTGTATTGCGGATCTTATTGGCGACGGGCTATAAACATGTGTATTTTTGTTACGAAGTGTCTCCGTAATATGATATAGAACAGGCAGTACTTGATTCTTAACTCTACTTGTTCTACTGTGCTTTTTCTCTTCCTTCCTTTCCCCCATTCGGTTCCCCCCCACAGGCCCTCTCCCCCGCCCTCTCCTCCCTCACCCGCCTCCGCATTCTCGATCTCTCCTCCAATCGGATCGCCTCGCTCAAGCTTCTCTCGCTCGCCACCCTCGCCGCCTTCCCCCGCCTCTCCTCCCTCTCCGTCCGCGGCAACCCTTTGCTCGGGGACAATACTTCCAAGGTTGAAGCGCAGGTGAGACCAAAGCCCAGGTGAGACCAAAGCCCAGGTGAGACCAAAGCCCAGGTGAGACCAAAGCCCAGGAGGCTGAGACCAAAGCCCAGGTGAGAAGCTTTTCTACCTTTGATGTAGCTTGACAGTGCGTGTGCAGTGCACTGCACTCCACGTCTACCCATTTCTCCTCCCGTCTTCGCCCCCCCCCTCCGCCGTACCTTCCTCAATCATCTCTTGTGTCTCGACTCCAGATTCGCACGCACCTGCCTGCCTCGCTTGCGACAGTTGGATTCACGCAAGCTGTGGAAGGGCTGTTGAGTCGACCCAATTTTTTCTTCCTTCCCTCTCTGCCCCTCCTCTTTTCAACCCCCTCCTCCCCGCCCCACTCACCCACACCAGATTCTCACACACCTGCTTGCGACAGTTGGATTCACGCAAGCTGCGGAAGAGCTGTTGAGTCGACTCAATGTCTCCCTCCTTCCCTCTCTGCCCCCCCTCTTTTCACCCATCTTCCCTCTTTGCCTGCCCCTCCTCTTTTCACCCCCCTCCCCCCCCGCCCCACTCACCCACACCAGATTCTCACGCACCTGCCTCGCTTGCGACTGCTAGATTCGCGTAAGGTGGGGAAGGGGTTCTTTAGTCGACTCTTTATTTTCCCCTGCTTCCCTCTCCCTCCGCACATCTTCCCCCGCCCCACTCACCCACACCAGATTCTCACGCACCTGCCTCGCTTGCGACTGTTGGATTCGCGCAAGGTGGGGAAGGGAGGAGGGAGGGTGCGAGACGCAGAGGGGGCTGGGGAGGAGGGCGAGGTACTGGGTGATAGCAGCGGAGATGCTACTATGGAGGATGAGGAGGCGAAGGAGCTGAAGGGAGAGGCAGGGAAAGGGAAGAAGCCGGGGCAGAAGACGAAGCAGGGGGGTGGAAAAGGGGGGGAAGAGGGGCAGAAGCAGGAGGAAGGGGGAAAGGAGGGGAAGCAGGAGAGAGAGAAGACAGCAGAGGTGGTTAAGGAGAAAGGAGAAGAGACTCACAGTGCTGCTGGTGGTGCTGCTGGTGGTGCTGCTGGTGGTGCTGCTGGTGGTGCTTGTGCTGTTGCTGGTGCTGGTGGTGATGCTGCTGTTGCTGGTGGTGATGCTGCTGTTGCTGGTGCTCATGCTGTTGCTGGTGCTGCTGGTGATGCTGCAGTGAGGGCGGAGGGGAAGAGAGCGAAAAGAATCAAGGCCAGGGAGGAAAGGGAGGCGAAGGTGGTGTATGGGAGCGATCTGCTTCTTCCTGTAATGGTAGACAGGAAGGGAGGGAAGAGGGAGGTGATGGGGGGAAATGGGGGAAAGGAAGGGGAAGTGAAGAGAGAAGGGAAGAAAGTAGGGGAAGGGAAAGGGGAGGGTGCGAAGGGGGTGAAGCGAAAGTCAGAAGTGGTGGTGGGGAAGGGCGTGGGGAAGGGAGAGGAGGACAGTGTGTGGATGGCTGAAGGCAGGGCAGGGTTGCCAGAGATCAAGTCCGGGAATGTCAGGGTTTTAGAGAAGGTGAAGGGAATGGAGAAGGTGGGGAAGAAAGGAGGTGTAGCTAAGGTGCTGAAGAGTGAGTGGGCTGACACGATTGGGGAGGGAGGGGAGTCGGCGTGGGACTGAGTGATGTTTCTATGGGTGTCTAACAGATGAGGACTGAATGGGGAGTCAGCTTGGGACTGATTGGGGCTTGCTTGTTTTGAGACGTCCCAGAACACGTTCACCATCAGGTGGGGAAGCAGGCGGGGCAGATGCAGCTAAGGTGCTGAAGAAGAGTGAGTTGGCTGACCAAATTGGGGAGGGAGGGGTCAGCTTGGGACTGAACGAGGCTTGCTTGTTTCGAGACGTCTCAGAACATACGGTATTTACCATCAGGTGGGGAGGGGAAGCAGGCGGGGCATATGCAGCTAAGGTGCTGAAGAAGAGTGATTTGGCTGACCAAATTGGGGAGAGGGGGGTCAGCTTGGGGCTGAGTGAGGCTTGCTTGTGACGTTTACGATCCAGGGGCAGGAATTGTGGTTTAAATGGAGGTGGGGAAGAAAGTGGGCATAGCAAAGGTGTTGAAGTGTGAGTGGGCTGACTGGATTGAGACTGATTGGGGCTTCTCCTTGCATGTGTAGTGGATGAAAGATTCATTTCCAGGTTGAGTTTACAAGCGCCTCAATGATTGAAAGCCGTAGAGCATGTTGTTTGTGAGAGATAGGTATGGTAGTAAGAAGTTCGGATTGTCATCGAGTGCCTGTCGGGAGGAGTTAAGCCAAGTGGACTTAAAGAGTCCTTTTACTAGTTTTGCCACCGATTGCCCTATTGAGTAAGCATCTGCCCGTTCCACCATCTGGACCAGATAGTACTTTGATTTTCATTTACCTGCTTGCTAATACCAAAGGCATCCGTTCATCCATAAACATGTATAAAATCGAATAGGTTAAGTTCTATTATACATGCATATCCAAATATCGAACTCTGCTACCTGCGGGACACACGAAAATGTCGGAAACGGGACCAAGATTGCGGAACCCTAGCCGCTCAATAGCGTAGTCTCCAAGAACCATAGTTGCTGGACACGTCTACTGTCAGGAATGGTGAGGCGTCAAGTCAGGACGGAGCAGGGACCAGGGTCCGTCGCAGTCGCGTTCGTCCGCCGCTGTGAAGCGGCGTTTCCAGTGTTCAACGAATCATAATGACGGAACGGAGAATTTCTCGAGCAGCCTCGAGCTCATCTCACGGCAGCAAGTCCGTCTAGTTTCACCCTTCATTCAGTCAACCACAGCAGAACCCCCTTTTTTTCGTGAACGAGCCGCTTCCTAGTCCACGGGCAGCGGGCGAGCTTAACGGAAAATGCGATCCGTATATTTTTTGGCAGCTACAGTTGGGCCTGCCGCAGAAATGTTAACCGACAGTGCCGGACTTCGAGGTTCGGCTTGAAGTGGGCAACTTGGACTACTCCCATTGGCGAGTCAAATGCCGGGCATCTAGGTTCGGCTTGAAGCAGCGAACTTGGCCTCCTCCTATTGGCTGGCCAGGACCTCCGTGGTTCGACTCCTAATACAGAGCAGAACCAGAGCACTTTTCGGAGTGTTTTTTTTTTCGTCTTGCGTCTCCGTTCGGGCAGCGGGCTTGCTTCCTCCGTCGCCTCGAGAGCTGCTTCTCTCCACCCGATCGCCATCCTCTCTTCTCTCCGCCTTGGAACCTCCTCCCTTCCCAACACTACAACAGCATTGCCATTTCATTCTTCCTTCAACTCTCAGACTCAGCTTCTAGCTCCTCGGAACTTCGATCAGCTTCCTTCAACTCTCAGACTCAGCTTCCAAGCTTCGGCTCTCGTATATCCTGTGCGCTTAGCATCTCGCTCCTAGTGCGATGGCATCTCTGACCAACCCGTCTCTTGTTGGATCCGCGAGCTGTTCTTCGTTGGGCGGCATCAGCAGCAGCTTCAGCCGCCGCGCTAACGTCTTGAAGATGTGGCGGCGCGCGATTGCATGGCGCGTGGGACGTTTCAGCGAAAATTGTAGAGCAGTGCGCTGTGCGCTCCCCCCGTGCGTCGCTCGGCTTCTCCCCTCTGCGACCCAAGCCCGTGGCTAAGCCGCCCAGCAAGAAGCCCAGGCCCAGGGATGTGATGGGTACCGCTGCTGCTGTGAAGCCCAGAGCGGTGCACAGCGGTCAAGCGACCGTCGCAGCTGCTGCAGCGAAAGCTACGCCAGCTAAGGCGACGCCAGCAAAGGCGACAGCAGCCAAGACGACACCAGCGAGGGCGGCGCCAGCTAAAGCGACACCGGTTAAGGCGGCGCCAGCCAAGGCGACTCCAGCCAAGTCGACGCCAGCTCAGCAGATGTCAGCGAAGGCGACGCCAGCGAAGGCGACGCCAGCTAAGGCGTCGCCAGCCAAGGCGACATTTGCTAAGGTGGCGACAGTTGCTAAAGCGTCGCCAGCCAAGGCGACAGTTGCTAAGGCAGCGACAGTTGCTAAGGCGGCGACAGTTGCTAAGGCGTCGCCAGCCAAGGCGACACATGCAAGGCCTATTGCCGCTGTAGGTGTGAAGGCTGCAGGTGCAAGCAGCCCAGCAGCAGCAGTACCAGCACCCGCTGCCGCAGCAGTTCCCCTCAGCCCCAAGGCGGGACTTGCTGGCGGGTCTGGAATCCCGAGACCTGCAAGCAGTGCAACAAGGAGGGCCGTAGCAGGTGCGACGGCAAGTGGCATTCCGAAGCCAGGGAAGGTAGCAGCCAAGTAGATGAGTGGGAAACAAAAAAAAAAAAAAAAAAAACACCAGATGAGATTCTGGGCGTGTTCACTGGGAATGTAAGGGTACGAGTGTGGTGGGTGAGATTGGCATGGCTGGTGGGGGCTAGAGGGAGGTGCATGGAGGGACTTACCCCTTTTTCCACCCTGCTTGCAGGGTGTTGTGGGAGAGATGGGAGGAGAGGTGGAGGAATGTGGTGAGCTGGAATGGGGAGGCTTTGCATGAGGGGGAATGACATGCCCTTGGATCTGAATGCTCGTGCTGACTGGGTGCTTCAAGGGGAATGCCCATGCTGTCTGTGCCATCTGTTGCTGCACCATGCACCTTCTTGGCTCATGAATAGTAGAAAGTCTTAGATTAATATAGATTAAGTCTTAGGTTCAGTGGTTGTAAATGTTGATGCTATATTTATGTTATTGCTGTTCATGTGCATTTCGTGTTTGTGTGTTGAGTGGGAGTGGTGCATGGTAGGGCGGAGTGGATGGTTTGGTTTTTTTGGGTGGAGGAGGTGGGGTAGAAGCCACTGAATGGTGCTGATTCCGTCTGTGTGATTCACGGGGAGTGATGATGCTGCCTTGGTCAGCGTTGGTATTCTACAGTGCTTTTCCCCATCCCTTCCATCATCTCTTATCCCGCCATATCTCCACCTACTCCCATTACCCCACCATCCTTTCTTCTGAACAATATATGTTTGTGATTCCATCCATGACTTCCAATTTTTCATTTTTTTCCGTATGTGCTGCTTTATGAATAGCTCATGTCAGTTTCATTGCCCCCTGATGCTTTCACCGTTGCATGCTATATTTTTCAGCTGATGTTATCATGCTTTCACTTTCTCATGGCAGCCTTACCTTACCAGCACATTACTCGTTCAATGTCCCATTCTGATTTCATAAGCTCATCAACTTTCCATGCCTTTTGCATAAGCTCATGCTGCTTTCAGCGTCTAATGCTGATTTCATCACATCATGAGTTCAAAGCATTCTCCTATCCCTTTTAAACATGTCTTCTCTCTCCAAACGTTCTCCCACCCCTCTCTTCATGTCTCTGATACTCGAAGAGTACTAATGCTTGTAGCAACCCGCCAATGTTATCCCATGTCTTTCACCTATCTTTCTGTTTTGTTTTGTTCTGTCTTGTTTTTCTGGCAATTTGTGATGCCTACCTTACTGCTCATGATTTTATGGTTTCCGTTGTTCATGGGAGTTTTATTAGCTCATGACGCTTGTACCATTTCATTAACATTGACTGCTCATGAGCATTTCAGTCGCACATGCTCATACCACCTTGTCGTGATGCTGTGCATGGAAGTAACGGCTGGTAATGTGTTTTTCAGGCACAGGAGGGGCGAAGGGAGCAGTGGAAGAGTTGAGCTGAGTGGCAGTGCCTGAAATGCTGATGTTCACTGTTCTTCCCATCAGCAGTGAACCTCACCAGCCATTACCTTGCCATTGATGTGCTTCATTCTCGATATCTCGCACGTCATCTCTTATCTTCTCCGCTTTTTTTTAATGCACAGAAATAGCATTTCTATTTTCCAATCCGTCCCTGTTGCCTGTCAATGCTCATGCTTCCGGTGCCTCCTGCTCTGACTAATTCTTTGCCTTTTCTTCCTTTTCCCCTCCGTCCTGCCCTTTCACTTTCTTTCCCTTCTCAGCCAATCAACCTTCAGAATCCCCCTCATCTGTTTACCCTCCATGTCGCTTCTCCCTTAACCCTCGCTTTCTCCCTCAGACCTCTTTCTGATGCCTCTTGCATCGTCTGCCAATATCAATGTCTCGTGATGTGTTCAGCATTGCATATCAGCAACATCATTTCATGGTACCTTCAACATCAACCCATGATGTCACTGGCATCGCATGTCAAGTATGGTGTGAGAGGCAAAAGAGTCTGGCAAAAAGACACACACAGCAGGTGTGCGCTGTTCGGGGGCAAAGGGATGTCCACCAGCTCTTGAGGTGACTAGAGATTCACTCAAGTTTGAGCATGCTTCCAGCATCCAAGTGGTATTCGTCTAGCATAGAGGTGCTTTCACACTGGTCGGATTGGCAGATCCATCATCCACGTCCCATGCTATTGCTTGTATCATCGTACATTTTGCCACTTCGTTTGTTTTGGCTTGTCATATTTTGGTTGTTTCAATAAACGGTATGAATAGCCAAACTTGCTATTATATTTCTCCTCTGTTTCCAGATTAGACAGCTCCCTACTAAGCAAGGCTAGAAAAGAAGAGAAACCTATTGTTGAAGTTGCTAAATCACTCATATATGGGATGTATGAGAGTACAAATAATAGTAGTACTGCTATCGGAGCAGCTCCAGAAAAGGTGGCATCTGACCTCCAACGATAGAAATTCCAGATGGAGATATGCTCTCTGGAGTCCCAACCGTTCCGACCATCGCACGTCGAGGCGCTTGCTTTCGTCCAGAACGTTTACACTAGGTCCTAGTTTCCTGTCGCTTCCACGCTTCAGGAACTTCCAGGCTTTCAGACTTCGGGTTGTGATCGAGATGGCGAAACGCAGCGTTTTCGCAGCGCTGGTTACCACAGTGATCGCAACAATGGTTGTGTTACCGCCCCGCGGCGTCATGGCAGACCTCATCTTCGGCTCGCGCGTAGGTACGCTCGCTTGCTCGCTCGCTCTCCGCACTGCCGTGTGGCTCCAGAGGTGCCCTTTGAGTCGAATTTAGGTCACCGCGCTGCCTTGCGGATTCACAGCCCATCGTCGAAGCGTTTTTCCCCCTCATCCCGCGTCGGTACGCTCTCTCGCACCTTCTCGTCGATCCGCGCGCTTTTTCGCGCGTCGATACGCTCGCATGTCGTTTTGGGAAATTCTCAAAAACCGTACGCTCGCTCGCGCTCTCGGCGCGCTCTTGTAGATTCACATCCCATCATTGACCCGTTTCTCCCCCTCCTCCCTCCGCGCTTTCCTCTTCGCGTCCCTGCTCTTCCATACTCCACCCCTCCTTGTCGAATTGAGCGCTTGGCACGCTCCGCTGTCCCTGTCTGCCCACTCCGTTCACGTCACTGCAGGGCAAATGACATTCCCAGCAGACAGCAAGCATCTCTGCTCTAAAGCTAGTTTCGAATCGACTCAAAACTTGCCCTCCCGCTCCCTGCCTCTGGCTTCCCGCTCCCTTTCTTCCCACTGCAGGCCAGATGACCTTCCCTGCAGACAGCAACCAACCCAAACTCTCCCTCGTCTTCTGGCCTTTCCTTTCCCACACCCTTCTCTCGCTCCTCCTACGCTTTCTCTGTCTGTCTGCCCCTATTGCTGCCACGTCACTGCAGGCCAGATGACCTTCCCTGCAGACAGCAAGCAGCCCAAACTTTCACTCGTGGCCTCCCTCAACTCACACCCACTCTTCCACCACACACTCTGCTTCCAATATACCCCCTCCGCTCCTCCCTGCCTGCCCCCTCCTCTGCCCCTCTCTGCTCTCCCTCCTCCTTTTCGCCTAAGTGCAGGCCAGATGACCTTTCCGGCAGACAGCAAGCAGCCCAAACTCTCCGTCGTCTTCTGGCCTCCCCCCTCCATGCCCTCCACGCCCGCCTCCCCCTCCTCTTCTCCCTCTTCTACCTCCTCCTCACAATCCACGCCTGCCGCCCTGCCAGTTGACGTGAGTGAGGGTGCACTGGGGACGGATGGTGTGTGTGTGCTGGTGGTGGTAGTGGGAGGGAAAACACATGATGGGTTGATTGAAAGCACATGCCGTGTGGAAGAGCATACCCCATGCCTGCCTTCCTCCCTGCCAGTTGACGTGAGTGTGGGTTCAGTGGGAGTGGTTGTGTGTGTGTGATGGTGGTGGTGGGAAAACACATGATGGGTGGATTGAAAGCACATGCCGTGTGGAAAAGCACACCCCACGCCTGCCTGCCCCACATCCATCCATCCATCCATCCATCCATCCATCCATCCATCCATCCATCCATCCATCCATCCATCCATCCATCCATCCATCCATCCATCCATCCATCCATCCATCCATCCATCCATCCATCCATCCAACCATCCATCCATCCATCCATCCATCCATCCATCCATCCATCCATCCATCCATCCATCCATCCATCCATCCATCCATATCCATCCATCCATCCATCCATCCATCCACCCACCCACCCTTGTCCCAGCAAAAGCCGGGTCTTCTCAAGTAGGTTGAAATGACTGCCAGTGACAGCACGCGCTACGCCTGCATGCATCCCCCTGCCTTCCATGCTCTGTTTTTCGGGCTCGGGCTGGCACCACTCGAAATCGTTCTCCCTGGTCCATCATCCCTTGCCTCCCTTGACCCATCACATCACCCATTAGGAACCCGGGCTCGAGTCTGTTGAAATGATCGCCAGTGGCGGCACGCGCTACCGCTGCATCCTCCCCTTCGTCTTTCTACCTGCTCTTTCTGAGGTGCCTCAAGACGCGTCTCTCCTGTTCCCCATCACATGACCCTCCAGGAGCCGGGACTAGAGTCGGTTAAATTGACCGCCAGCGACAGCACGCGATACCGCTGCATCCTTCTGCCGCCACGCTCTGGTTCTCTCGCGCGTCAAAACTATTCTCCCTGTTCCACCCTCCCTTGCCTCCCTTGCCTTCCTTGCCTCCTCACACCCTCCAGGAGCCGGGACAACAGCACGCGATACCGCTGCATCCTTCCCCCACCCACGCCCCCCTCTTGACGACCAGAATCAAACTCTCCCCATGCCATCCTCCCTCCCGTGCCTTCTCCCTGTCACATGGCTTGTCAGGAGCCGGGTCTAAAGTCGGTTGAAATGACAGCCAGCGATGGCACTCGCTACCGCTGCATTGCATCCTCCCCCATGTTTTGAGGCGCCTCAGAGCTAGTCTCCCCATCCATCCCTTCCCCCCTCACACCCACCAGGAACCCGGTCTAGAGTCGGTAGAGATCACAGCCAGTGACGGCACGCGCTACCGCTGCATCCTCCCCCCACCCACGCTCTCCTCCCCGGCCTCTCCTGCTGCTGGCGTGCAGGGGGCGGGGGGCAAGGGCGGTTATCTCACGCGTGAAAACTTTTCTCCCCGTTTCACCCTCCCTTGCCGCCCTTGCCTCCCTTGTCCCCTCACACCCATCAGGAGCCGGGGCTCGAGTCGGTTGAAATGACCGCCAGCGACGGCACGCGATACCGCTGCATCCTCCCCCCGCCCACGCTCTCCTCCTCGGCCTCTCCAGCTGCTGGGGCGGAGGGGGCGGGGGGGAAGGGCGGGGCGGCAGGAGTGGCGTTTGGGGAGAGCCGGAAGAGTCCGGAAGACCTGCTGGATGCGATGAAGGGGCTGCCTTGCTTCTACCGGGTCAGTTTACAGGGGGTACATGTATACTGTATTTTGAGTCGACTCACAAGTCACCAGAACAGCAGGAGTGGCGTTTGGGGAGAGCCGGAAGAGTCCTGAAGACTTGCTAGATGCAATGAAGGGACTACCTTGCTTCTACCGGGTACGTGTAAGCTGTGTTTTGGGTCGTCTCACAAGTTACCAACACACCAGGAGTGGCGCTTGGGGAGAGCCGGGAGAGTCCTGAAGACCTGCTAGATGCTATGAAGGGGCTGCTAGTTTGTATGGGGTACATATGAACTGTGTTTGGCTTGACTAACAACACACCAGGAGTGGCGTTTGGGGAGTGTTGGAAGAGCCGACAAGCTTAAGTGCTGCAACGGACCTTTTGGACGGGACGCTGGAAGGACCTTTTGAGTCGTCTCAAAACACCTTTTGGACGCCACCAAGGGGCTGCCATGCTTCTATCAAGTGTTCTGCGTGGGTCACGTGGCTGCACTGTACTGTGTGCTTATATCGAAGGGTAGAGTCAGCTTGCATGGCGGTTGTACTGGGTTTTACTTGCTTATACGGTGGCCTTGCCAAGGCAGCACCGTGGGTAGGAAAGGAGATCCGTTTTTGCTGCCAGAAGGCCAAATGCCTGTCGTCTCTCGCCTTCCAAATGGCCACTGTCGTCTCTCGCCTTCCAAATGGCCACTGTCGTCTCTCGCCTTCCAAATGGCCACTGTCGTCTCTCGCCTTCCAAATGGCCACTGTCGTCTCTCGCCTTCCAAATGGCCACTGTCGTCTCTCGCCTTCCAAATGGCCACTGTCGTCTCTCGCCTTCCAAATGGCCACTGTCGTCTCTCGCCTTCCAAATGGCCACTGTCGTCTCTCGCCTTCCAAATGGCCACTGTCGTCTCTCGCCTTCCAAATGGCCACTGTCGTCTCTCGCCTTCCAAATGGCCACTGTCGTCTCTCGCCTTCCAAATGGCCACTGTCGTCTCTCGCCTTCCAAATGGCCACTGTCGTCTCTCGCCTTCCAAATGGCCACTGTCGTCTCTCGCCTTCCAAATGGCCACTGTCGTCTCTCGCCTTCCAAATGGCCACTGTCGTCTCTCGCCTTCCAAATGGCCACTGTCGTCTCTCGCCTTCCAAATGGCCACTGTCGTCTCTCGCCTTCCAAATGGCCACTGTCGTCTCTCGCCTTCCAAATGGCCACTGTCGTCTCTCGCCTTCCAAATGGCCACTGTCGTCTCTCGCCTTCCAAATGGCCACTGTCGTCTCTCGCCTTCCAAATGGCCACTGTCGTCTCTCGCCTTCCAAATGGCCACTGTCGTCTCTCGCCTTCCAAATGGCCACTGTCGTCTCTCGCCTTCCAAATGGCCACTGTCGTCTCTCGCCTTCCAAATGGCCACTGTCGTCTCTCGCCTTCCAAATGGCCACTGTCGTCTCTCGCCTTCCAAATGGCCACTGTCGTCTCTCGCCTTCCAAATGGCCACTGTCGTCTCTCGCCTTCCAAATGGCCACTGTCGTCTCTCGCCTTCCAAATGGCCACTGTCGTCTCTCGCCTTCCAAATGGCCACTGTCGTCTCTCGCCTTCCAAATGGCCACTGTCGTCTCTCGCCTTCCAAATGGCCACTGTCGTCTCTCGCCTTCCAAATGGCCACTGTCGTCTCTCGCCTTCCAAATGGCCACTGTCGTTGCTTCTCTCTCCCGCTGGCACCTTCCCTCCATTCTTTTGGAGCAAATCAAATGGAGCAAGTCAATGTGGAGCATCCCAAGCTAATGCAAATATGGATTCTTTTGGGGAGAGTGAAGTGCACTCAAGCTTTGAGACGTTTTAGAAGGGAGCATCTCTCTCGAAAGAGTGCATTCACCGTATGTTTTTTTAGAACTCTTAAACAACTAACCTTGTGGTGCGTAATCAGCAACGTTGTGCTGCCTTCTCTCCTCCCCTCTGCACCTCTCCACTGCCTCTTCCACTCCCCACCACCCCTCCTCCCCTCTCCCCCGCCCAAATCTCTGCAGCAAGACGGGTGGTGGACGTACGAGTTTTGTTACAAGAAGCACATTCGCCAGATGCACATTCGCCAGATGCACATTCGCCAGATGCACATTGCACATGGGTTTTAACTCATAACGTCACTCCCCTTTTGGGGTTCCTCAAAGCCACTGCCTTCCCTCTCCCTTCCGCACGTGCCTTCCCTTCCCCCCGACCAATCTTCCCTGGCCCTAAATGTGTGCAGCAAGACGGGTGATGGACGTACGAGTTTTGCTACAAGAAGCACATTCGCCAGAAGCACATTCGCCAGAAGCACATTTGCAAGATGCGTATTGGATCCAGCAGCTTTTGAGGCGCCTCACTAGTCAATGCCTTCCCCCTCTCCCTCCCCAAAGTCATCTCATCTGCACCTCTCCCCTGCCTTCCCTCCACTCCTTCCGAATGGGTGCAGCAAGATGGGTGGTGGACGTACGAGTTTTGCTACAAGAAGCACATTCGCCAGATGCACATTGAGCAGCAGGACGGGGAGAATAAGGTGGGTGATTGTCTCTGTGTGCCTGTGTTTGTGTTAGTGTTTGTGTCTGTCTGTGTGTGTGCGTTGGGCACTGCAATCGTTTTGCTACAAGAAGCACATTCGCCAGATGCACATTGAGCAGCAGGACGGGGAGAATAAGGTGGGTGATTGTCTGCGTGTGTGTGTGTGACCATATGACTGTGTGTCGGTATGCATGCATGCATGCGTGCATCTGGCAATGCATCGAGCAGCAGGACGGGGAGAACAAGGTGGGCGGCAGGATGGGTTCTTCTGTCTGCCTTTGTGTGGATGGGCATGCGTGCATGCGTGGGGGGATGCGTGCGTGTATGCGTGCATATATGTGTGTGCGTGCACGTGCCCATGCCCGCGCGCGCCCGTACATGTGCATCCCTGTGAGGAGAATTCGCAGATCTTTCATTTTACTTCCAGGACTGAGGCGAGGCAGAAAAACTCCTCGAAACTTCGTACCGCATATCCGCGTTGAAAGCGGGTATGCGGATATGAGGAACAGGACTAGCCATGTCAGATGAACGGGTCTGCTCATCACCATCGTATGGCTTCTCTACCATCGCCTACTCATCACATTCACATGGCATGGCATGGCATGGCATGGCATGGCATGGCATGGCATGGCATGGCATGGCATGGCAGGCACCACTTCAACTGCCGACGTATCACTGCCTGTCATATCACATGCTTCCAAGTTTTCCGTGCCATCGCATGCTCATCACACTCACATCACAATTTTTTAGGCGCCTCAAAAACCGTGCCATCGCATGCTTATCACACTCACATCACATCACATCACATCACATCACATGGCATGGCTGAATCACTCTCATCTCCGTCTCATGTCGGTGTCATGTCACACGCTCCCACGCTTCCCTGCCCGCGCCTGCTGCCCTGCCATGCCAGGTGACCATGGACTTTGTGCTAGGGCGCTACAGCGCCAGAGAGGGCGTTTGAGGCATCTTAAAATACACCTGCACCTGTCCTTGCTTCCTGCACCTGTCCTTGCTTCCTGCACCTGTCCTTGCTTCCTGCACCTGTCCTTGCTTCCTGCACCTGTCCTTGCTTCCTGCACCTGTCCTTGCTTCCTGCACCTGTCCTTGCTTCCTGCACCTGTCCTTGCTTCCTGCACCTGTCCTTGCTTCCTGCACCTGTCCTTGCTTCCTGCACCTGTCCTTGCTTCCTGCACCTGTCCTTGCTTCCTGCACCTGTCCTTGCTTCCTGCACCTGTCCTTGCTTCCTGCACCTGTCCTTGCTTCCTGCACCTGTCCTTGCTTCCTGCACCTGTCCTTGCTTCCTGCACCTGTCCTTGCTTCCTGCACCTGTCCTTGCTTCCTGCACCTGTCCTTGCTTCCTGCACCTGTCCTTGCTTCCTGCACCTGTCCTTGCTTCCTGCACCTGTCCTTGCTTCCTGCACCTGTCCTTGCTTCCTGCACCTGTCCTTGCTTCCTGCACCTGTCCTTGCTTCCTGCACCTGTCCTTGCTTCCTGCACCTGTCCTTGCTTCCTGCACCTGTCCTTGCTTCCTGCACCTGTCCTTGCTTCCTGCACCTGTCCTTGCTTCCTGCACCTGTCCTTGCTTCCTGCACCTGTCCTTGCTTCCTGCACCTGTCCTTGCTTCCTGCACCTGTCCTTGCTTCCTGCACCTGTCCTTGCTTCCTGCACCTGTCCTTGCTTCCTGCACCTGTCCTTGCTTCCTGCACCTGTCCTTGCTTCCTGCACCTGTCCTTGCTTCCTGCACCTGTCCTTGCTTCCTGCACCTGTCCTTGCTTCCTGCACCTGTCCTTGCTTCCTGCACCTGTCCTTGCTTCCTGCACCTGTCCTTGCTTCCTGCACCTGTCCTTGCTTCCTGCACCTGTCCTTGCTTCCTGCACCTGTCCTTGCTTCCTGCACCTGTCCTTGCTTCCTGCACCTGTCCTTGCTTCCTGCACCTGTCCTTGCTTCCTGCACCTGTCCTTGCTTCCTGCACCTGTCCTTGCTTCCTGCACCTGTCCTTGCTTCCTGCACCTGTCCTTGCTTCCTGCACCTGTCCTTGCTTCCTGCACCTGTCCTTGCTTCCTGCACCTGTCCTTGCTTCCTGCACCTGTCCTTGCTTCCTGCACCTGTCCTTGCTTCCTGCACCTGTCCTTGCTTCCTGCACCTGTCCTTGCTTCCTGCACCTGTCCTTGCTTCCTGCACCTGTCCTTGCTTCCTGCACCTGTCCTTGCTTCCTGCACCTGTCCTTGCTTCCTGCACCTGTCCTTGCTTCCTGCACCTGTCCTTGCTTCCTGCACCTGTCCTTGCTTCCTGCACCTGTCCTTGCTTCCTGCACCTGTCCTTGCTTCCTGCACCTGTCCTTGCTTCCTGCACCTGTCCTTGCTTCCTGCACCTGTCCTTGCTTCCTGCACCTGTCCTTGCTTCCTGCACCTGTCCTTGCTTCCTGCACCTGTCCTTGCTTCCTGCACCTGTCCTTGCTTCCTGCACCTGTCCTTGCTTCCTGCACCTGTCCTTGCTTCCTGCACCTGTCCTTGCTTCCTGCACCTGTCCTTGCTTCCTGCACCTGTCCTTGCTTCCTGCACCTGTCCTTGCTTCCTGCACCTGTCCTTGCTTCCTGCACCTGTCCTTGCTTCCTGCACCTGTCCTTGCTTCCTGCACCTGTCCTTGCTTCCTGCACCTGTCCTTGCTTCCTGCACCTGTCCTTGCTTCCTGCACCTGTCCTTGCTTCCTGCACCTGTCCTTGCTTCCTGCACCTGTCCTTGCTTCCTGCACCTGTCCTTGCTTCCTGCACCTGTCCTTGCTTCCTGCACCTGTCCTTGCTTCCTGCACCTGTCCTTGCTTCCTGCACCTGTCCTTGCTTCCTGCACCTGTCCTTGCTTCCTGCACCTGTCCTTGCTTCCTGCACCTGTCCTTGCTTCCTGCACCTGTCCTTGCTTCCTGCACCTGTCCTTGCTTCCTGCACCTGTCCTTGCTTCCTGCACCTGTCCTTGCTTCCTGCACCTGTCCTTGCTTCCTGCACCTGTCCTTGCTTCCTGCACCTGTCCTTGCTTCCTGCACCTGTCCTTGCTTCCTGCACCTGTCCTTGCTTCCTGCACCTGTCCTTGCTTCCTGCACCTGTCCTTGCTTCCTGCACCTGTCCTTGCTTCCTGCACCTGTCCTTGCTTCCTGCACCTGTCCTTGCTTCCTGCACCTGTCCTTGCTTCCTGCACCTGTCCTTGCTTCCTGCACCTGTCCTTGCTTCCTGCACCTGTCCTTGCTTCCTGCACCTGTCCTTGCTTCCTGCACCTGTCCTTGCTTCCTGCACCTGTCCTTGCTTCCTGCACCTGTCCTTGCTTCCTGCACCTGTCCTTGCTTCCTGCACCTGTCCTTGCTTCCTGCACCTGTCCTTGCTTCCTGCACCTGTCCTTGCTTCCTGCCATCCTGCCTGCGGCCCTGCCATGCCAGGTGACCATGGACTTCGTCCTGGGGCGCTACAGCGCCAGAGAGTCACTGCGAGCACAGAGGAGGCTTGAAGCAACTGCTGCTGCTGCTGCTGCTGGTGGCGATGCCGGGAAGAGGTGAGCGCGTATATTGAGCAGGTGTGATGGACGCTGTCACTCACTGGCGCTGCAGGGTGCGATGTGTATGTACTGTGCCTGTTCCATATGAAATGAGAATGGTTTGAGATGTCTCGGAACCTTTCTTTTTTCACGTGGTATCATGTGCATGTCTACACTACACCAACTTGCACCTCTTCTTCCCCCCTCTCTCCGCGTCTCCCCTCCCCCCCATCAGGTACCATGTGCATGTATACACCAACGGCACAGCCTGCGACCTCACTGGCGCTGGCTGTGATGTGTGCTGTAATGCTTTACCTCCCTTCAACTCCCCCTCCTCTTCTTCCCCCCTCTCTCCGCGTCTCCCCTCCCCCCCATCAGGTACCATGTGCATGTATACACCAACGGCACAGCCTGCGACCTCACTGGCGCTGGCTGTGATGTGTGCTGTAATGCTTTACCTCCCTTCAACTCCCCCTCCTCTTCTTCCCCCCTCTCTCCGCGTCTCCCCTCCCCCCCATCAGGTACCATGTGCATGTATACACCAACGGCACAGCCTGCGACCTCACTGGCGCTGGCTGTGATGTGTGCTGTAATGCTTTACCTCCCTTCAACTCCCCCTCCTCTTCTTCCCCCCTCTCTCCGCGTCTCCCCTCCCCCCCATCAGGTACCATGTGCATGTATACACCAACGGCACAGCCTGCGACCTCACTGGCGCTGGCTGTGATGTGTGCTGTAATGCTTTACCTCCCTTCAACTCCCCCTCCTCTTCTTCCCCCCTCTCTCCGCGTCTCCCCTCCCCCCCATCAGGTACCATGTGCATGTATACACCAACGGCACAGCCTGCGACCTCACTGGCGCTGGCTGTGATGTGTGCTGTAATGCTTTACCTCCCTTCAACTCCCCCTCCTCTTCTTCCCCCCTCTCTCCGCGTCTCCCCTCCCCCCCATCAGGTACCATGTGCATGTATACACCAACGGCACAGCCTGCGACCTCACTGGCGCTGGCTGTGATGTGTGCTGTAATGCTTTACCTCCCTTCAACTCCCCCTCCTCTTCTTCCCCCCTCTCTCCGCGTCTCCCCTCCCCCCCATCAGGTACCATGTGCATGTATACACCAACGGCACAGCCTGCGACCTCACTGGCGCTGGCTGTGATGTGTGCTGTAATGCTTTACCTCCCTTCAACTCCCCCTCCTCTTCTTCCCCCCTCTCTCCGCGTCTCCCCTCCCCCCCATCAGGTACCATGTGCATGTATACACCAACGGCACAGCCTGCGACCTCACTGGCGCTGGCTGTGATGTGTGCTGTAATGCTTTACCTCCCTTCAACTCCCCCTCCTCTTCTTCCCCCCTCTCTCCGCGTCTCCCCTCCCCCCCATCAGGTACCATGTGCATGTATACACCAACGGCACAGCCTGCGACCTCACTGGCGCTGGCTGTGATGTGTGCTGTAATGCTTTACCTCCCTTCAACTCCCCCTCTTCTTCTTCCCCCCTCTCTCCGCGTCTCCCCTCCCCCCCATCAGGTACCATGTGCATGTATACACCAACGGCACAGCCTGCGACCTCACTGGCGCTGGCTGTGATGTGTGCTGTAATGCTTTACCTCCCTTCAACTCCCCCTCCTCTTCTTCCCCCCTCTCTCCGCGTCTCCCCTCCCCCCCATCAGGTACCATGTGCATGTATACACCAACGGCACAGCCTGCGACCTCACTGGCGCTGGCTGTGATGTGTGCTGTAATGCTTTACCTCCCTTCAACTCCCCCTCCTCTTCTTCCCCCCTCTCTCCGCGTCTCCCCTCCCCCCCATCAGGTACCATGTGCATGTATACACCAACGGCACAGCCTGCGACCTCACTGGCGCTGGCTGTGATGTGTGCTGTAATGCTTTACCTCCCTTCAACTCCCCCTCCTCTTCTTCCCCCCTCTCTCCGCGTCTCCCCTCCCCCCCATCAGGTACCATGTGCATGTATACACCAACGGCACAGCCTGCGACCTCACTGGCGCTGGCTGTGATGTGTGCTGTAATGCTTTACCTCCCTTCAACTCCCCCTCCTCTTCTTCCCCCCTCTCTCCGCGTCTCCCCTCCCCCCCATCAGGTACCACGTGCATGTGTACACCAACGGCACAGCCTGCGACCTCACTGGCGCTGGCCGCCGCACCGAGGTGTGTGAATGGGTGGAGAGGTGTAGTATGTCATTGAGAGCTCGAACAAACACCCTTAATGGGTGGGGAGGTATGTAAGTGGGTGGTGAGGTAAGCCATTATGTGTGGAGGTCAGTGAATGGATGGGGAGGTATTTTTTAGCCAACTCTTACCCTCTTCTTCTCCTACCCTCCCTCCCACTCAGGCGCAGCATGTGTGAGGAGGGCGCACAGACGTTCATGGGACTATCAAGGAGGGACCAACGTGTACATACTAACCTCCTTGCTTCCTTGCATTAAGGAGTTTCTCTGATCTGCGCTTGCCTCCTTCAACCCCTTACCCCTCTGCACACCCCTGTACCCCTGCTCCTCATCCCCATTCTCCTCCCCTTTCCCTCCTTTCAATCCCAGGTGCGGCATGTGTGTGAGGAGGGCGCACAGACGTTCATGGGTACAATCAAGGAGGGCCCCACGTGTGATTACTATCCTCTATTGCATCAACTCTAACCCCTTTTTCTTCCCCCCCCCGCCTCCCTCAGGTGCGGCACGTGTGTGAGGAGGGCGCGCAGACGTTCATGGGGACAATCAAGGAGGGCCCCACGTGTGAATACGAGCTTGCCCTGCACACCAACCTGCTCTGCTCGCACCCGTATGTGCACCACTTGGGTTGTTGAGCGTTCTTCTCCTGCTCCCCGTCGTTCCTCACCATTCTGCTCCTACTACCCTCACTCTCCCATCCACCATTCCTGCACCTTCCAGCCTGTCTTGCTTGCTCCCCAATGCTGTTCTCCCAGTTCTCTCGTGCACTCCATTCCCATGTCCCCACTCACTCTTCCATGCTCGCGTTTTCTCATCCACGTTTCGCCCGTCCCCTCATCTTCTTTCCGCCCCTTCCCCACCGTGCAACGGCCCATCCTCTTTCTGGGTCGGCTCAATACTTTCTGCGTGTAGCGAGGGTGTTTTTGAGACGTCTCAAAAACGCCCCTTCCCCACTGTGCAACGGCCCATCCTCTTTCTTGGTCCATCCCTCTTTCAGGGTTGACGTGTGGAGGGGGGAGTGAACACGGCCCATCCTCTTTCTGGATCGGCTCAATACTTTCTGTTCACTCCCCCCCCCACACGTCAACCCTCATCCACATCTTGCCCATTACCACACGTGGCCGCCCCTTTTCTTCCTGTCCCAGCCTCTTCCGCACGGTGCGACAGCCAATCCACTTCATCAACTGCCACCAGTTCTATTTCGCGGCACCTCGATAGCGCTATCCACCTTCCACCCAATCCCCCCCTCGCCTCCCCCCTCCCTTCTTCCTCCCCCAACCCCTTCCGGACGGTGCGACACCCCATCAACTTCATCAACTGCCGCGAGTGCTATTTCGCGGCGCCTTGCCTCAATAACGATATCCACCTTCCACCCAATCCCCTCCCCTCCCCCCTTTCTTCTTCCTCTCCCAGCCAATTCCGCACAGTGCGGCAGCCCATCCACTTCATCAACTGCCACCAGTGCCACCACACCAATAGCTGGCGTGGCTTTAATAATGCTCCCATCCATATTCCACCCATGCCCCCTCCCGTTTTCCTGTCCCAGCCTCTTCCGCACGGTGAGGCAGCCCATCCACTTCATCAACTGCCACCAGTTCCCCTGTGGGGGTGTTGGGTTTTTTTTTTTTCTAATCCACTAAAGCTTCTCCTCCTACAATCCCCTACTCCCTGTCCCACACAGCCTCTTCCGAACAGTGCGACAGCCCATCCACTTCATCAACTGCCACCAGTTCCCCTGTGGGGGTGTTGGGTGTTTTTTTTTTTCTAATCCACTAAAGCTTCTCCTCCTACAATCCCCTACACCCTGTCCCACACAGCCTCTTCCGAACAGTGCGACAGCCCATCCACTTCATCAACTGCCACCAGTTCCCCTGTGGGGGTGTTGGGTGTTTTTTTTTTCTAATCCACTAAAGCTTCTCCTCCTACAATCCCCTACTCCCTGTCCCACACAGCCTCTTCCGAACAGTGCGACAGCCCATCCACTTCATCAACTGCCACCAGTTCCCCTGTGGGGGTGTTGGGTGTTTTTTTTTTTTTTCTAATCCACTAAAGCTTCTCCTCCTACAATCCCCTACTCCCTGTCCCACACAGCCTCTTCCGAACGGTGCGACAGCCCATCCACTTCATCAACTGCCACCAGTTCCCCGCCTCCTCTTCTTCCTCCTCCCCCTCCCCCTCCGCCTCTACATCTGACCCATCTCCTCTCGAAATCCCTTCTCTCGAAGAGGCTGCGGAGGGGACTGGGGAGGGTGGTAACCAGGACGAGGTGGAGGAGGAAGGGGCTGCGAAGGGAGAGGGGGAGAAGGGAGAGGGTGTGGATGGTAGTGGTGGTGTTGTGGTGGAGGGGGAGGAGGATGGAGTTTTGTCATTTGTGTATGAGGGAGAGGAGGATGAGGAGTTGATCGAGGTGGATCCTGAGGTAGAGGAGATTGAGGAGAGCCTCAGTGCCTTGTGAATCCCTCAGACACCGTGTGTGACTCACGTGTTTCGTAACCTTGAGATGAGAGGTCTCACAAGCTGGAGAAGAAGAGGATGAGGAGTTAGAGATGGAGGAGATAGAGGAGAGCCTCAGTGCCTTGTGACCCATACACACACCTTGTGATTCACATTCTGGGGCGTCTTAAAAGGTGTAGCATGGGAGAGGACGATGAGGAGTTGATTGAGGTGGATCCAGAGCTGGAGGAGATTGGAGTGGAGAGAGCCGCAGAGCACCGTGACTCATGTGCTTTGTCAGGCTCTCGTTTATCAGGAAATGTGATTTTTGTGAGGACATGTAGTTTTTGTGTGTCACTGAGATGGCTTGCGGTATCCTTCTAAATCTATATATATATATATATATATATATATTTTAATCATGTAAAATGTATGTATACAAGGACAATACAAGCTTCTTACACGTTAAAGGATGCAGATATGAATGATGTGCTTTATAAGTTGATGGGATTGGCATCAATAATAGAACCATCAAAGAGGGGATATGGACGAGATTTTAAAACCACTGTGCACCAATGCAAGTAACATAAAGTGCTGCTGAAAGCATCACGTGGTGAGGAAATGGACAAGGGATCATGAAACCATTGTAAGATACAGGCATGCGACGCAAAATACCTGAATAGAACATGTGGCAAGGAGATTGACAAAGAATCATGAAATTATTGTAAGATGATGAAACTGGCATGAGATATCGGAAAGCATCACGTGGCAAAGGAATTGACAGGGAATCATGAACGCAGTGTAAGATGATGAAATTGGCACGAGAAACCTGAAAGCATCTCGTCACGAAATCACAGTAAAATAATGAAATTGGCATGAGATACTTGAAAGCACATGTGCTGGTGAAAGGCATGAGATACTGAATGTAGTATGAGCGGATGCATGTTGCATGAGATGCTAAGATAAACCAGTTAGCGCGAATGAGGCTGCTCACCTCACAGGACCTGCGATGGCTAACCCTCAGTTGTCAAACACAGTGGGGAGCAAGTGGGGATGGGAGTGAGAAGCATTATGGATAGGTATGAGGGAGGGGGACGAGGATAGAAGAGGGATTTTCGCACAGAAATCGCGCAAACAAGGCAAGTAAGTAGCACCATAAATCCTCTCAAATCAGAGCACACCCACTCCGGCCATCCCTCTCTCTCTCCCACCCAGATACCACTCCCCTCACAGCAACATGATGAGATGAATCTGGCACAAGCCACTGAAAGCATCATGAGCTGATGTGAGCGATAATGATGAGCTAATGAATCGGTAATGACCGGGTACGAGAGTGATGAGCTGGTAAGACTTGCATGAAAAACTCAACGCTGATAATGATGGAAGTGACTCAAAAACTCACAATCCGACGAAACTGACATCCGGAAAAGAAAACACAGACAAAAATGCTATCCTGGATTCCTTACAAGTTTAACCATTATCACTGTTCACGTTTCAGAGAGATGGGAGGAGAGGAAAGGGGGAGAGATGCGGGTAGATGACTATATGGTATTTTAAGGAGACAACAGATGTGGGTTGGGGGGGGGGAGGGAGGGGGGGGGGCATGAGACTAACATGAACCATTGAAAGTATTATGAAATGTGAATGACAGAATGATGAGATGAGTGAATCCGAATGAGACCAATTAAAAGTTGATAAAACTGGGAAGCGAGATGAAATGAAAGCTCGAGGACCTGAACTGATGAATCCGGGATGAAATGGCAAGACAATGAAAGTGAAACTGGAATAAAACAGGTCCAAGATACTCACCAAACTGACTTACTCACCACGATGATACGACCGGAAGAAACCGAAACCAGGTTGAACGTAATCATACGCATGGTTATATACTCAAAGAGATGACAAGAGAAAATACTACCATTGACCATGTCACAATCTTTGAATCACAGAGTCAGGGCAGCACCCCTTACCACACCAATACACCCACCAACCATTCCTCCCTCCCTTCCCCTTTCCATTCCATTCCTCCATTCCCCTTTCACTCAGCAACACAAAACCACAGAATGCACATCAACAGCGTACACATAAATATACCGGTAGCATCAATGGTTACACATTCCTAACCTAGAACACAATGTAGAACTAACTAGAAATTTCTACTATTCACGAGCTAAGCATGTGCATGTGTGCTGCAGCAGCGGATCCAAGGGTATGCTCTTCCCCCTCATGCCATGCCTCCCCATTCCAGCTCACCACATTCCTCCACCTCTCCTCCCATCTCTCCCACAACACCCTGCAAGCAGGGTGGAAAAAGGGGTAAGTCCCTCCATGCACCTCCCTCTAGCCCCCACCAGCCATGCCATCTCACCCACCACACTCGTCCCTTCAAATCCCCGTTGAACACGCCCTGGATCTCATCTGCTGCTGCTGTGGTGGTTTTTTTTTTTTTTTTTTTTTTTTTTTTGCACTTTTTTTTTTGCACTTTTTTTTTAGCACTTTTTTCACTTGGCTGTTACCTTTCCTGGCTTGGGAATACCACTTGACGTCACACCTGCTGCGGCCCTCCTTGGTGCCGAACTGCTTGCAGGTCTCGGAATTCCACTTGCACCAACAACACCCGCCTTTGGGCTGTGGGGACCCGCTGCAGCTGGTACTGCTGGTGCTGCTGCTGGACTGCTTGCACCTGGAGCCTTCACACCTCCTGCAGCAGTCGCCTTAGCTGGCGTCGCCTTAGCTGGCGTCGCCTTAGCTGGCGTCGCCTTAGCTGGCGTCGCCTTAGCTGGCGTCGCCTTAGCTGGCGTCGCCTTAGCTGGCGTCGCCTTAGCTGGCGTCGCCTCAGCTGTCGTCGCCTTAGCTGTCGTCGCCTTAGCTGGCGTCACCTTAGCTTTCGCTGCCTTAGCAATTGTCGCCTTGGCTGGCGTCACCTTAGCTGGCGTCGCCTTAGCTGGAGTCGCCTTAGCAGGTGTCGCCTTAGCCGGCGTGACCTTAGCTGGCGTCACCTTAGTTGTCGTCACCTTTGCTGGCGTCGCCTTTGCAGGCGTCGCCTTTGCAGGCGTCGCCTTTGCTGGCGTCGCCTTAGCTGGCGTGGCTTTGGTTGCTGCAGATTCGACGGACGCTTGACCGCTCAGCACCGCTCTGGGCTTCACAGCAGCAGCGGTACCCATCACATCCCTGGGCCTGGGCTTCTTGCTGACCGGCTTAGCCACGGGCTTGGGTCGCAGAGGGGAGAAGCCGAGCGACGCACGGGGGGAGCGCACAGCGCACTGCTCTACCTCGTTAAAGCGTCCCACGCGCACTGCAATCGCGCGTCGCCACATCTTCACGATGTCAGCGCGGCGCGTGGACATGCCGTTGCTGCTGCTGCATACCGCGGCGTTCACAGCACGGTTCGCGGAACCAACAAGAGACGAGGTGGTCACAGATGCCATCGCACTAGGAGCGAGAGGCAAATCGCGCAAGCGGAACGACTGGCGAAACTAGGAGATGAAGCTTATCAAAGTTCCGTGGAGCTAGAAGCTGAGTCTGAGGGTTGAAGGAATAAGGAAATTGCAACTGCTGTGGTGGTATGAATGACAAGCACAGCTGGGCTTTGTTTGTAGTGTTAGAAAAGGAGCAGGTTCGAAGGCGGAGAGAAGAGTAGCTTGAACTCGGGTGGACAGAAGCAACTCTCGAGGCTACGGAGGAAGCAAGCCTGCTGCCCAACGTGAAAAAAAACAAACAGTCCAAAAAGTCTTACGACACCGCTCTGTGATTGGATCCGAAAGCACCAAAGGTTTGACCAGCCAGTAGGAGCTGTCCGATTCTTGCTGTTCCAGGCGGGACGTATAAGCTCGGAGCTGTCGAAGGACAGCATTGCGACTCGCTCATCTAAAATGACGGAGTTCACGGGCAGCATGCTCAAGTGTCGCTGCCCAAAAATGTACACGGGTCGCGTTTCCGCTAAGCTCGCCCGCTGCACATAGATCAGGTCCGTCAACGAAAAAAGGGTCCTTCTGGCAGCTGATTGGTTGGCGGCCGGAAATTAGCTTCGTGAGATGAGCTCGAAGCCGCTCGAGAAAGTCGCCGTCCCTTCCTTTTGGTTCGGGAACAACACTGGAACCGCCGCATCACAGCTTCGGCAAGCGCGACAGACGGACTCCTTTCTATGCTGCGTACTAAATTGACTTTAGCAATTGCTGCTCCCGCCAGCACAGCAGTCGCAGAATTATGGCTTCTAGGAACTGTTTTGAGGAAGTAGGGTTCGCTTCAGTTCCTGACATTTTGGTAAATGCTGATAAAAACACGGATGCGACTTTACAGTTAGTAAGGTTTTCTTCTCATTGTATAGCACACATAGTATGATAGCTTTCTAACTCAGAAGAATTTTTTAATTCCTTATTCTGAAAATTGCCATGTCGCTTCACTTCTAGTTTGCTGCTAGATTGTTCAATTCAGGCTCCAGTGCACCCTTTTACTACTGCCCCAAGACAAGAGTAAGAGCTTGATGCAACACGAATAAAAAGGGGAAAACAAAATTGGCCTCCATCCGAGTTCTATGGCTGGTAGGTATGTCTAGCTGCAGGTTAACAAATAGCATGTATACACAAGTCAACAGACAAGTTACGAATCTACACTTTTTAGCTTAGCACTCAATACACCTCCCCCTCCCTCTCCTGAAGGCGCAGGCAGAGGGACAGACAGCCCTCCCTGCAAGCAGGCCGATGCTTGGCAGTCACTGCAGGAGGCTTCCAGTCATCAACTGCAAACCCTCTCACACCAACAGCACCAATGGCACCAGCAGCAGTTGAAGGGCCATTGGCGTTCTTTTGGTATGGCAAGGTGTGATTATGGCAGCACTTGAGTACCTCCTTGCTTGCCAGCAGCTGCAGCTGTGACATCTCTGCCAGGCTGTCCGTCACTGCACGAGGAACCTTGGTGCTTCCAGCTTTCACAAGCCCCTTCTTGCCGTTCTGGCACACATGACCGACCACACCGACCGATACAGGCACTGATACGAAGCCAGATAGCGCTGCTACAACTTCAGTGGACACATTCCCAGAAGGTAAAGCATCAGCAGCTTTCATGGCCGCAGCAGCAACCAGTTCAGCAGTCGTTGCGACTGGAAGGTTCGTAGGCGCCGCTGGCGCAGGGGTAGGAAGGTCTCCCGCCACCATCTCTGGTAGGATCTGGGTGCGAGCTTCAGGGATAGCAGTTCCAGCATCCGTTGTTGGGAACCACTTGCTTAAAAGGTACTTAGTACGGCGCCAGGGAGCTATCGCGATTCCACTGCTTTGGAGTGACAGGTTCAAGGCAGTAGCCAGGGCGGTGACAAGGGGTTTGAGCCGCTGACGTCCGCCGACAAACACGGAGGGAAGCTGAGAGAGAAGTTCGGCATAACGAGGGGTCGGGCGAGCCACTTCAAACTGCTGCCTGAAGGACACATCCACAACCACACGCTGAGTTGGCAACAGCAGGCACGGCTGCGCGGGAAGCAGCGCGGAAGTCGTCGGCCACTGCGCAGTCGACTGCTGCTGGTTTTGCTGCTTCTGCTCGTTATTGAGAGAGTGCATTGATCCTTCCGGTTTCCTGCTGTGCCAGTTAGACGGCTTGAATGGGGAGCCGTCCAGAACAGATGTGGGAGAACCTCCAGATCCTAACCCGTTTGCGCTCGACGCCATGGAAATTTCCAAAAAGTCGTATTCTCCAGAAGGAGCCTCATGGGTGGTTGGCCACGCAGCATGACACAGCATGACGTCATGACGGCGAGAGGCTGCCAGGCTAGCAGCGACCTTCATGCGATTAGCAGCAGTCGCGTCACGCGGAGGCGATGAGGACGGAGAATAATGAGCAGGAGAAGAGGCGCTAGTGGGAGCTTCTGAGAGGAAACCTTCAGTGTTCGCGGAAAAGGGAGATTCGATTCCAGATGTCGGGGATTCAATTACCAACTTCACGTGCTCCTCCAGCAGTTTCTCCGAGGGAGCAGCGGTCGCAAGGCACTGCATATATCAAAGACGAACGACGGGATAAGTCTTTGAAAATCAACCAATCAATAAAATTTTCAGTCAGTGGCAAATCAGATTCCCATGCTTACCAGCTTCACGGTCATCGCAAGTTCAGCCCACTCGTCTTCCTCGTCGAAGTCACGAGACATGGATTGAGCAGTCTTCTTCTGTTCATATGCTTCTTGTGCGGACTCCTGAACCGAAGCCTCAGGATATTCAAGGTCCAGCTCCGGATCCTTGGCAGCAGCCATAGAGGGACCTCTGGCATCTGCACCAAGGTGCGTCAGACCAGCAACCACAGGAAGCACAACGTTAGGTTTACTGACACGCCGACGCTGCTGAGCAGCAGCGGGTGGGGTCTTGCCTGAAGCTTCCCGAGCCATTGTTGGCTTGACGACGGCCTTGTGCGTGAAGAAGCGCTCAACCACCGATGCTTCTACGGGATCGGAGATCCGCTTGCTCCGCCTTGCCGGATTCATCTCGTTCGAAAGCCTCGATCAGAGAAGAACTGGTTCCAAACCACCGGTGCGCGTTAATGAAACCACTCCTGCGATGCAGATTTCACCATCCAGAACGGACTGCCAGAATGGACCGAAGAGAACACGCGGTTCCCGGTGATCTCCATGCAGATCACCACACTCCTCGAGAAACCTCGACTTCCTGTTCCACAGATGTTTCGGAATTGGCCGTGACTTGTTAAATCACCATGGCCAACGGATACTGGTGTCAATGTATGGTATACGAGCTTCAGTAGCTCTAACCATGGGTTGCATTGACGGAAGGCGACTGCGAGGGTCTTGAGCCTCGGCAGAGAGTGGAAAGGGAACTAAGTCAGGAGTACAGTATAGTGAACTGAGAACCAGGAGCTATTATCTTAGTTCACTGAATCACTCAACCCCAGGCAGGAAAGCGAAGGGTGTGTGTCAGAGAGACCAACCTGGGACAGTTGAGAGGGGGGACTCGGAGAGAGGATTTGGGTGGTGGACCGTGGGGGTGAGAGGGAAGTATTCCTTGCGTGGTTGGGGGTTCGGGGAGGAGCGGTGGCGTGGTGGAGGAAATCTAAGATCAGGTCAGGTTCTGTGCAAGCTTGACGGGAAAGTGAACCGTTTGACGGCACGTCGATTTCGAGAGAGGTGAAACCTGACGTTTGTGGGAAGCTGACGGTTGACTTTTGTCAGCACCACCGCACCGAACAAATGCTTCATGCGATGACTGGCATGGATTGGCGGTGCAGAGCGGTGAGAACTCGAGGGAAAGACGACGAGCGCCAAAAACCTCAGTTTGCGATGGTTACGACGAGAGTTGTTCGTCGACAATCGTGCCCCCCAATCACGGCGAAAAACATTGGTCATTGCGAAACGCGTCGTTGCGACGCCAAACTCTATGACCCTGAAACGATCACGAAAGTAGTTCGTTCGGCTCCGCAGCGTTCCCCGCATCCAAGAATGGCGGGGGACAAGTACCTTTCCCGCATTTTTTCACCCAACAGCACAGTCCCCCCCCTTCTGCCAGGCTTCAAGGTTCGGGGGGCCAAGCTGTGCTGAGCTGGGGGGAGATGGGATGGCATGGGCCCAGTGGACCTTCATCTTCGCGTGGAGCGGTGTGTGTGTGTGACTCATGGGTCATGTCGGTGCTGCTCCGTGGCTGGTCCGCACCATCTGAGCAACTTTCGTGGCGCCACATCTTGCTTGGTATCGCCAACGGTGGAGACGGCCGGCTTCTGATTGGTGAGATTCTAAACTTCACTTGCAGCCGTGGAAGCCAGCGTGGGTTTTCTTCAAATCCAGCATCAGCGTACGCTGGCGTTGACCAGGTACACGTGTGCATCATTGGAGCAGGGATATTTGTCACGGAGCTGGTAGGTGGGACCACTTGAGGGAAAGCCTGACGTGGCTGACAGAAGAATATTCTGTTTTCCAGCCTGCTCGTGTCAGCTCGGCGTCTGACAGTCGTGCTCGCCAAGAAGGACTCTACAAATGTGTCAATAATAATGTTCGAGCATTACATCATATTAGGATGAACGGAAAATTTTTAATGTGATGTTGTTAGTAACAAACAAAAACAAATGCATGTTCTAGGTGAAACCCTACCTGAATCATCAGACCCCACGTCAAATCAATCAACACCAGCAGTACACTCCCACATTCCCCGGCCTTCAAACCAGGTTCTGCTGCTGTTGTTGCTCTTGCTCTTGCTTCTGCTGCTGTTGTTGCTTCCACCGCAAATAAGTCTCCATAAACTCATCCAAATCGCCATCTAGAACACCCCCAACATCGCTCGTCTCATACTCCGTCCTCAAATCCTTCACCAGCTTATACGGATGCAGCACGTAGTTCCTAATCTGCTGTCCCCACTCCGCCTTCACAACATCTCCCCTAATCTCTCTAATCTCCGCTGCTCTCTGCTCCTCCAGGATTATGAGCAGCTTCGCCTTGAGCATTGCAAGCGCCTTCGCCTTGTTCTGCGCCTGCGACCGCTCCTCTGGACAGGTTTAGGGGAGAGAATTGAAAGTGGAATTATCATGTGAGGAGGATCAAAGAGACGCTGGGTAGCAAGTGGAGCAGTGGGAGCATGGGCTACAGATTGCTATAAGAGCATTTGACGTCAATCCCCGTGGCAGATGCACCATGAACACTGCACCAGGCCGTAGCATTGCAACCACTCATCACCACTTATCACCAATTATCACCACTCCTCACCGCTCATGACCCACCTGAGCATTTGACGGCGATGCCCGTGGGCACATGCACCATGCGCACGGCCGTCTCCACCTTGTTCACGTTCTGCCCGCCCTTCCCGCCCGCCCTCATTGTAGTCACATCCAGGTCATCCTCGGGAATCTCCACCTTGATTGCCTCCTCCTCTAGTAAAGGCATCACCTCCACCCCTGCGAAACTCGTCTGCATGTACCAAGAGAAGAATGGAGAGGAAATGTAAAAACCCTCGTGGCACATCCAGGACATCCTCTGGAATCTCCACCTTGATTGCTTCCTCTTCTATTAAAGGCGTCACCTCCACCCCTGCGAAACTCGTCTGCGCGTTTAAAAGGAGCAACAAGAAGGGAAAATACAGGCCCTCATTGTAGTCACATCCAGGTCATCCTCAGGAATCTCCACTTTGTTTGCTTCCTCTTCTAGTAGAGGCATCACCTCCACACCTGCCAAACTTGTCTGCACAGTTAAAGGAGCAGTAGAAAGAGGGATAATGCATGGGAAGGGGGGCTTTTAAGCCCTCATTGTAGTCACATCCAGGTCATCCTCGGGAATCTCCACCTTGATTGCCTCCTCCTCTAGTAAAGGCATCACCTCCACCCCTGCGAAACTCGTCTGCATGTACCAAGAGAAGAATGGAGAGGAAATGTAAAAACCCTCGTGGCACATCCAGGACATCCTCTGGAATCTCCACCTTGATTGCTTCCTCTTCTATTAAAGGCGTCACCTCCACCCCTGCGAAACTCGTCTGCGCGTTTAAAAGGAGCAACAAGAAGGGAAAATACAGGCCCTCATTGTAGTCACATCCAGGTCATCCTCAGGAATCTCCACTTTGTTTGCTTCCTCTTCTAGTAGAGGCATCACCTCCACACCTGCCAAACTTGTCTGCACAGTTAAAGGAGCAGTAGAAAGAGGGATAACGCATGGGAAGGGGGGCTTTTAAGCCCTCATTGTAGTCACATCCAGGTCATCCTCGGGAATCTCCACCTTGATTGCCTCCTCCTCTAGTAAAGGCATCACCTCCACCCCTGCGAAACTCGTCTGCATGTACCAAGAGAAGAATGGAGAGGAAATGTAAAAACCCTCGTGGCACATCCAGGACATCCTCTGGAATCTCCACCTTGATTGCTTCCTCTTCTATTAAAGGCGTCACCTCCACCCCTGCGAAACTCGTCTGCGCGTTTAAAAGGAGCAACAAGAAGGGAAAATACAGGCCCTCATTGTAGTCACATCCAGGTCATCCTCAGGAATCTCCACTTTGTTTGCTTCCTCTTCTAGTAGAGGCATCACCTCCACACCTGCCAAACTTGTCTGCACAGTTAAAGGAGCAGTAGAAAGAGGGATAATGCATGGGAAGGGGGGCTTTTAAGCCCTCATTGTAGTCACATCCAGGTCATCCTCAGGGATCTCCAAATTCATTGCTTCCTCCTCCAGCAGCGGCTTCACCTCCATGATGGTTATTGCTTCCTTCTTCCTGCAAAACTCGTCTGCATGGTTAAGAGGAGCAATGAGAAGGAAGAGGGAAGGCCCATATTCTCTTGATGCTGAAGGGTGTTTTTGAGAATTCTCAGAAAAGGCCCAAACACCCTTCAGGGAGCAATGAGAAGGAAGAGAAAAGGCCCATATTCCCTTCACGTCCCGCCATCATTGTGGTCACACCCAGGTCATCCTCGGGAATCTCCACTTTGATCGCCTCCTCCTCTCCTCCAGCAGAAGCATCACCACCACCTGCCTGACGAGCCGGTGAGTGTGTGTGCACACACTAGTATGTGTGCGCACACTAGTATGTGTGCACACACCACGACTGCTCCTGTTCACAAACAAAGCCCACCTGTCTCAGCCCCTTGGCGTTGAACAGCGACTGTCCGACAAGCCAGTGGGTGCCCTTCTCCCCGCTCAGGTACCCATACACATACCGCCCCTCCACTTCAAGTGTCGCACTCTTGATCCCCGCCTCCTCCCCTACAAGTTACCCTCCTTATGCATGCACACACACACACAGACACGTCCCCCCACCCACCTGGGCCGCTTTTGAGAATTCTCAAAAGCGACTCTTGATCCCCGCCTGTTACCCTCCTTATGCACACACACACACACACACACACACACACACACACACACACAGACACGCCCACCCACCCACCTGTCTCGGCCCCTTGGCGTTGAACGGCGACTGTCTGACAACATCGGTGAGTGCCCTTCTCCCTGCTCAAGTACCAGTAGGCATACCGCCCCTCCACTTTTCCATGTATGCATACCAACCAGCCACCTTGCCTCATCACCAACTCCAAAACCCAAGCCCACCTGTCTCAACCCCTTGGCGTTGAATGGCGACTGTCCGACGAGCCTGTGCGTGCCCTTCTCCCCGCTCAGATACTCGTACGCCTACTGCCCGTTCACTTCGCTATCCTGAACCAATTATGCACACACACACATACAAACCCACCCACCTGTCTCAGCCCCTTGGCATTGAACGGAGACTGTCTGACGAGCCTATGTGTGCCCTTCTCCCCGCTCAGATACCCATAGGCATACCGCCCTTCCACTTCAAGCGTCGCACTCTTGATCCCTGCCTCTTCCCCGTCCGACCGCTCCACCACTCGTTTCTTAAAGCCCCGCCTGTCTGCCCACCGTGAGTACATGCGTAGGAGCATGTCCGCCCAGTCCTGAGGGACGTGGTGAAATGGACACATGCACACAAAAGGACCTATTGAGAATTGACCGTTCCACCACTCGCTTCTTAAAGCCCCGCCTGTCCGCCCACCGCGAATACATGCGTAAGAGCATGTCCGCCCAGTCCTGTGAGGATAGTGATGCAACAGATGCACATGAGAAAGGAGAGAGTGAGTATTGACTGCTCTACCACCCGTTACTTAAAGCCCCGCCTGTCAGCCCACCGCGAGTACATGCGCAGCAGCATGTCCGCCCAGTCCAGAGACGGTGGTGAGACACATACGTTCACAGACGTTTGAGCACGCATACATGCAGCTTACTTCTTAAAGCCCCGCCTGTCCGCCCATCGCAAGTACATGCGTAAGAGCATGTCCACCTAATCCTGAGGGGTGTTTAAGATTCACACACAGAAAAGCTCCGACACTTGAGCGTTCTTAAAGCGCCGCCTTTCGCCCCACCGCATGTGATTCTGCAACCCACACCACACCTCACTGCATCCCATCGCATCTCAGCTGTGCGACTGACTGTGCCCCCAGTGCCAGCAGCTATTGTAAGCCATGCGCCCTTACGATTGAACCGCCCTGCCAGCAACTGAGCTGAGCCACAGAGTATCTCTCCATGTGCCCCTACACCCACTGCAGCCCCTCCATCGCCATTGCTACCACACCACAACCCACCGCACCGCACCCCACCCAACCCCATCCCACCTGGGCATCTGTGCCGCCTGCACCAGCGGCAATAGTCAACCGGGCTCTTTTACGATCAAATCGCCCTGCCAGCAGCTGAGCCACAGCGTATCGCTCCATCTGTGCTCGCACGCACTGCAGCCCACCGCTCTCCACCGCACCACACCTCACCGCATCCCACCCCAACCCACCAGGGCGTCGGTCCCCCCATTGCCAGCAGCTATTGTGAGCCTTGCTCCCTTACGATCAAACCGCCCTGCCAGCAGCCCCTCGTACCTGGGCATCTGTGCCGCCAGCGCCAGCAGCTATTGTGAGCCGAGCGCCTTTCCGGTCGAACTGTCCTGCCAACAGCTGAGCCACAGCGTATCTCTCCATCTGTGCTCGCACCCACTGCAGCCCCTCCCTTGCCTCCTCCACTAGTGACGCATCTGGTGTCTGCTCCGTTTCTAGCAGCTCCACTATAAGGCACACCTCCTCGACCTGTTCGTGGTGCGGGGAGGAGAGGGGGAGAGGGGAGGGGTATTATTCTTTAGACTCACTGCACCCCCTCCCTTGCCTCCTCCACCAGTGACGCGTCTGGTGTCTGCTTGCTCCGCTTCTAGCAGCTCCACTATAAGACACACCTCCTCCAGCTGTTGGTGGTAGTGTTGGGGAGAGAGGGTGTGCGAATGCAGGAGTGCAAAGAGATGGAGCGCGGTGGGAGGCTCACTGCAGTCCCTCCCTTGCCTCCACCACCAGTGACGCGTCTGGTGTCTGTTCCGTTTCTAGCAGCTCCACTATAAGACACACCTCCTCCACCTGTTGTTGGTGTGGTGAATGGGGGGTGTTGGGGAGGGTGGGGGGACCATTATTTTTCAAAATCACTTTAGCCCCTCCCTTGCCTCCTCCACCAGTGACGCGTCTGGTGTCTGCTCCGTTTCTAGCAGCTCCACTATAAGACACACCTCCTCCACCTGTTGGTGGTGCAAGAAAGGAGAGAGCGTGAGTGAAGACGTGCAACGCGATGGGGTGCAATGCAATGCAAAAAGTGCAACAGTATTCAACATAATACTCAATAAAACTCTACCTTATCTGAATGTCTTGTTCCCCATACCCTCTTCCCCATACCCTACCTTATCTGCAAATTCCTCGACCTCTCTCACGCCGTCCTTGAGTTCCGTCAGCTGGGTCATCAGCTGCTGCGCCTGAGCTGGATCCTCCCACAGGTCCTCCTCCCATGCTTGCAACCTCCCTGCCTTCTTCCCCATACCCTACCTATCTGCATATCTTGTTCCCCATACCCTCTTCTGCATTCCCTACATATCTGCATATCTTGTTCCCCATACCCTCTTCTGCATTCCCTACATATCTGCATACCTTGTTCCCCATACCCTCTTCTGCATTCCCTACATATCTGCATACCTTGTTCCCCATACCCTCTCTCCCCATACCCTACCTTATCCGCAAATTCCTCGACCTCTCGCACACCATCCTTCAGCTCTGTCAGCTGAGTCATCAGCTGCTGCGCCTGAGCTGGATCCTCCCACAGGTCCTCCCTTGCCACGTCACGCTCCAGGTCAGCAATGGCTGCGCGCTGACGTGGCACGTCGGCAGTGGCTCTGATGGCCGCCAGTTGCTCTTTAACTGCCTCTGCTTCTCGTCGAATCTCGTAAAACTCTGTGACGATTAAAACGAGTAGGAATGGGAGGTGTGAGGGGAGAGAAAGAAGAGAGGTGAGAGAGGGGAGAATGGGGAATTGAGAGGGGAAGAGGGGAAAATTGGGAGGTGAGGGGAGGGGTGAGAGGCGGTGAGAGGGGGTGAGGGTTTGAAATGTGTATGAGGGGATGGGAGAGTGGGGAGATGGGGACGGAGAGGAGAGGTGGGAATGGGGGTGACTGAGGAAACGACAAAATGAGGTGTGGATGCGTCAAATTCGCTTTTAACCGTCAGATTCACTCTTTAAGGTAGTTAAAAGCGAGATACGCGATACTAGCAACCCACATACGGTGCATTAGCTCTTCGCCCGGTTGAGCCGCCGCGGTGACCGGCCCAAGTCCAGCCGCTCGTTTCACGCCGTCGTCCAATCGCCGGCTGCCACGTCCGCTGCTGCTGCTGGCGCCGCTGATGCTGCTGCTCCATCTGATTCCGCAACCTCTAAACGAACTGGCTGAGAGTTCTAATCTACTTGGTCGATTAGGTGTGTGGTCCTTATGTAGTCTATCATTGGCGGATGGAGCGACGGGGTGCGACGAGGCATCTGAACGGGACCGTGCAAGCCCACTGACACGAGCTACGCCACGCTGGCACGCGCTGACGTGGACGATGCCACGATGGCACACGCTCTCCGAGCTGCTCTGCGGACAGAATGAGCGGGTTGTGAGTTTGAGCGGACCAGCGAGTCGCGTCGCCCGCAAGACTGTCGCCATGCTGGCGTACAGGCGAAACTAAACTCCGTCGTTCATCGCATGATCAGAGGTGTGCGACGGCTTCAATAAACTGGGCTCGGTCAAAATGTGACAGGAACTTTTGCCTTCAGTCTTGAAATTGCCGAATGAGCCGATTACAAATTCGTAACAAGCAATTTCAGAAGGTCAATCTCAACGGGTTCAGCGACGCATTACAAAGGGTACAAGAGGGTACACAGAAAGATCCTTTATCGCACGAAAGTGCACTTCGTTTCAGAGTCACCTGGAAGCTAATAACCCTAAACCATATCACACTACAAGGGTGAATGGCACACGCCCATTCGAACACAAATATATATCGTGGCTTGGAGGAGGATCTGTGGCTTGGTACGGTACAATGTGCATTTCATATGCCCATAGTAATGGAAAAAACACATTCGCTTTGAAGCAGAACCTGCCAGCCAGCATAGTGCGACAAGCATTACACAATGAAAATACAGCACTGGCATCTACACTACAATCTCGACACAGGTAACATTCTCCTTTGTGCAAGGGCACAGGCTATTTGGGCACCCACACGGGCATTGTTCTTCACTAGTGCTATGTCTGGAGGGAGACAGGGGTGGTGCAGGGGGGTGGGGGGAAGGCAGCAAGAGGAAGGAATAGAAGATGACAAAAAAAGTCAGGGAGGATTTTTTGCTAGTGCTATGCGAGGGAGACAAGGGTGGTGAAGGGGGGGGCAGAGAGACGGTGAGGATGAAAAAAGGAAAGGAGGATAAAATAAGTCGAAAGACAAACATCTGTTCATGGCATGCAGATAACAGGGTTGATAGTGGCGTACTTGCAGTGAGCAACTCCCCTCCTGTCAGCTCCTTGATTCGCTTGAGCACAAATGGTGTGACCTGTGGTGTGCCCCCTTCACGTCCCACGGATACATCATACATGTATACAAGTACAGACCCATCTGGCTAGAACATACTTGCAGTGAGTGACGCCCCTCCTGTGAGCTCCTTGATTCGCTTGAGCACAAACGGTGTGACTTGTGCCCCCTTCACGCCCTGTGCGCTGTGAAAGGCAGCAGTTACGATTACGACACGGAGAGAGAGGAGGCATGAAGGAATAGGGGGGTGGAGCATGTGAACTGTGCTTCTTTCACGCCCTGCGTGCTGTGACATGAGGCAGGCAAGGTGAAGACACGGGGAGGGTGACCATGAAAGAAGAGGAGGGGAAACGAGGGAAACGAGGAGGGGAAACGAGGGAAACGAGGAGGGGAAACGAGGGAAACGAGGAGGGGAAACGAGGGAAACGAGGAGGGGAAACGAGGGAAACGAGGAGGGGAAACGAGGGAGGAGGAACGGAGTGATGGAAATCATTATTCACAATGGCTCAGCCTTGGAAGACCAACTCAACCGCAACTAAGACTCAAGGTACAATAAGCATGCCTGCTGCTGTAACTGCTGCTGCTTCCAGAACGTGAGGAACACCAACTCCCACAAAGGCACTCACTCTACCTCGGCAAGTTGCCTGCTGCGTTGCTCGCTCCACCTCCTCCGCGGTGTCTTTTGGGTCGACTCTAAAGGCTGCCAGCACGCCTGACTTGACTTCATCAAAACCAACTCTCAGTAAAGCATCACTCTGCTTGTGCCAGTACCTGCTGCGTTGCTCGCTCCACCTCCTCCGCGGTGTCTTTTGAGTCGACTCTAAAGGCTGCCAGCACGCCTGACTTGACTTCATCAAAACCAACTCTCAGTAAAGCATCACTCTGCTTGTGCCAGTACCTGCTGCGTTGCTCGCTCCACCTCCTCCGCGGTGTCTTTTGGGTCGACTCTAAAGGCTGCCAGCACGCCTGACTTGACTTCATCAAAACCAACTCTCAGTAAAGCATCACTCTGCTTGTGCCAGTACCTGCTGCGTTGCTCGCTCCACCTCCTCCGCCTCTGCAGCCACTACTGCTGTTGCTACCAGTACGTTACAATTAGCTTCACCAACACCAGCTCCCAAAAGAGCACTCACTCTGCTTCGGCAAGGGCCTGCTGTGTTGCTCGTTCCACCTCCTCCCCCTCTGCTGCCTGTCCCTGGGGCACCGGCACTGCGATCACCATGCCACTTGAAAGCTGCATGCGGTGGTTGGCATCTGGAGGGAGAGAGAGGGAGAGAGCAACCACGAGAGAAGGTTAGCCTTGGCTCCTCGTAGCTTCTTCTGCCTGGGGCACCGGCACTGCGATCACCATGCCACTTGAAAGCTGCATGCGGTGGTTGGCATCTGGAGAAAGAGAGAGGGAGAGAGCAACCACGAGAGAAGGTTAGCCTTGGCTCCTCGTAGCTTCTTCTGCCTCTGCTGCTGCCTGCCCCTGGGATACTGGCACTGCTATCACCATGCCACTCGCGAGCTGCATGCGGTGGTTGGAGTCTGGAGGGAGAGAGGAGGAGTGGGAGTGTGTGTGGGCTGAAACGCTTTGGGAGCACTTGGGACAATCGAGGAAATGGACAGTGAAAAACAAGGGGTAATCAGGTCGCAAGCTCTTTGAATCGTTGAGATACGGACCAGGAATACTTATGCACCTGACTAAAAATGGGAAAGCGCAAAAGAAGAGAAGTGAAGAGAAGTGGAGCGGAGAAGGATTACTAGTTTTTGAAGTAACAAATGGGTTGGATTTGGCAAAAAAAGGGGGGGTTGGGGGTGGATGGATACAAAAAAAAGAGCGGTAGAAGGGCGCACCAATGAGAGCTGCACAGCTGGCAGGGTCTCTGAGTGTGGCGGGTGCCTGCAGGGTGAAAGAGGGGAAGAGGAGGACAGGTTGATTGGGAGGGAGATGGGTTGAGTGGGAGGGATTGATGGGTTGAGTGGGAAAGAGTTATGGTGAGTAGGAGAGAAATGTGGCGAGCGCGAGAGAGAAGGGGTGGTGGTTAGAGAGGGGAAGGAGAGTTGAGGCTGATTTGAAAAATGCTACTTCATATTATGCTTTTCCCACATGCACTGAGAGAGAGAGGCACTGACAGGGCAGCCAGATCTTGGTGTGAAGAACGCTGGGAACTCCTTGGCACCGTACACCACCACTGTCACCCCTCGCGTCTCCTGTAGTGGGGGGAGGGGCACGTGAGGGGAGGATTGGAGAGACGGAAAGAATGCATTTCAGGGTTTAGGGCCGCTTGAGAACGCAGCACTTGACTCTTTCGCAGCACAGATTTTTGGGGCGCTTCAAAACACAAGGGCACAGAGGAATATCGAGCACTGACTTGACTCCCGCACACACCACGGCCAGAGGGAATGCAAAGGCATCAATCCGGCATGCACCACTCACCAGGTATTCAAGCGTGCGCGGAATATCGAGCACTGACTTGACTCCTGCACACACCACGGCCACAGGTGTGCGACCCAACTCTGTGAGGTCAGATGAGATGTCCATTGCTGGGGGGGGGAGGGTCGGGGAGAAGGGATGGGAAGGGAGGGGATGCGGCGGACAGTGGAAGGGGAGGGAGGGGACGGGAAAGAGTAGCTTCGTGAGTTCAGATTAGATGTCGAGTGCTGGTAAGGGATGGGAAATGAGGGATGCGGAATGGGGGATTGGTAATGGGGGATGAAAAAGCAAGTTCTCTCCCAAAATACTTACTGCCATTGCCCACATTTCTCTTCGCCCCTTTGTAACTGCTCTCCACCTCTCTACCTTTCCTGTTCTCCCCCTCTCCCCCACTCCTATCTCTCTCCCTTTGCACCTCCCCCCATCGCTGCTTACTGTTCTCTCCCCCTCGGTGCACGCCTCCTATGCCGCCCGTCACAAACACAGGAATGCCCACCTGCGGTGTGGAGATATAAAGAGGGGAGGCATGGAAGGGGGGCAGAAGGGAAGGGGGACAGTGAACACAGCACAAACACTCGCTCTCTCTTCACTGTTCTCCGCCCCCCGGTGCACGCCTCCTATGCCGCCAGTCACAAAGATAGGAATGCCCACCTGTGGACATGGAAGAAGGGGAGGTTTGGAGAAGAGGCAGGCATGGAAGAGGGGCAGGTTAGGAAAAGAGTGGCGACAGAGTGGTGGCTCCTGTGAGGCCTTGAGACGACGAGGAGCCACCAGGATAAGCAAAGTATGCTCACATTCTAGCGCACAAAGCGGTGACACAGTGAGCTTGTGAGCATACGTGAGCATACTTGGTGACACAGTGGAGACTAGAGAGACGATGAGCAGTACACACTCACAAGCACACGCAAAGTACGATCGCAATCTAGTGCACAACACACACACAAACACACCCTGTAGTACACACGCTGCATAATATGATGCATCACCACCCCACCTTGTAAGCGGGGTGACTTTTGGGTCAACTCAAAAGTCAACGCACATACAGACTCACCCTGTGGTACACACGCTGCATAATATGATGCATCGCCACCCCACCTTGTGAGCAGGCAGCATTGTAGCTGACTGACGCAGTGGTGGCTCCAGTGTTGCACGCACAAGGCCCACAGAGACACTTTGATGCGCAAGCGAACACACACACACACACACACTGCATAATGTGATGCATCATTGCATCAGCACCCACCTTGTGGTTAGGAGATTGTTTTTGAGAATTCTGCAGATTGTCTTTGAGAATTCTGCAGATTGTTTTTGAGAATGCTGCGGATTGTTTTTTAGAAATCTCAAAAATAATATGATGCATCACTGCATCAGCACCCCCCTTGTGGTTGGGCAGCATGATAGTTGCATAGCCGGCACAGTGGTGGCTCCATGATACGATATGCAGTGTGCATGCGCTAATACACAAGCATTGCTGTGCACAGAAGGACACACGGGCGCGCACTGCGGAAGACAAGCTGCATGATACACCCTTGATGCGTCAACACCCCACCTTGTGAGCAAGCAGCATAGTAGCCGACACAGTGGTAGCTCCTGTGAGGCCTTGAGACACCTGCAGGGAGGGAAACAACGACGGGAAACAACGAAGGGAAGAAGAGCGGTTTCCCTCGTTGTCTCAGTAGTAACGGCTTTGAGCCGCTTGCAGCACGGTAGTAATTCAAGGCCACGACTCAAAAAGCAGCACGGTGGCTGACACACAGTGGCGGCTCTTGTGAGGCCTTGAGACACCTGTAGTGGGAGAAAAGTGAAAGAGAGGAGCAGGAATTCAGTCAAGGAACGGGCTGATTTTGCTGTACAAGGGAGTGAAGAGTATTGCGAGTAAGCACCGCAACAGGCATGCTCCCTAGCCACACCCCACTGCCCCACCCCACTGCATAACCACAAGCGCCACCCACCATGCCTCACCATTTCTCTCCATGCCCCACCACGCCTCACGATTTCTCACCATTCCCTAACATGCCTCACCATTTCTCACCATTCCCTGACACGCCTCACCGTTTCTCACCACGCCTCACCACAAGAGCCACGTCTCTTCTGGCAGTCTTGACAGCAGCATGGCCGTCCCGTGCCAGCTGCTGCAGCTGAGAGGTGGTTAGCCCTGCAGGAGCGTGCGGGGGAGAGGGGTAGTGGTGACAAAAGGAGGGAAACGAGCGCCAGGGAGTGGAAAACGGGCTTTGAGGCAGCATGGCTGTTTCAGCTGCTGCAGCCGAGAGGAGGTTAGACCTGCAGGAGTGTTTGTGGAAAGGGAAAGTGGCGATGAGAGGAAGGGAAATGATGAAGAGGAAGTGGGAAATGATGGCACTGGTGGTTGCACCAATGATGTGAGGCGTGCCTCATAAGCCGTGCCAGCTGCTTAACTATTCACGGCCAGCAGCAATGATGGCAATGGTGACCGGCACACCTATGCACGGCTTATGAGGCACCTCACGAGGCACCTCACAAGGCGCCTCACAAGTTACCCACCTATGCATGGCAATCAAACACATCAATGATGGCAATGGTGGTTGGCACTGCCCCCTCCCCCTTTCCCCCCTCAATCCAACACATCAGGCATCTCTGAACTCGACTCATGCCTTGAGAATCCCCAAATATGGCTCAATCATGCATGTCGCTCAATCATGCATGTCGCTCAATCATGCATGTCGCTCAATCATGCATGTCGCTCAATCATGCATGTCGCTCAATCATGCATGTCGCTCAATCATGCATGTCGCTCAATCATGCATGTCGCTCAATCATGCATGTCGCTCAAGCATGAGCAGGAGACAGGGGAAAGGGCGGGGGGAGAGCAGGAGCAGAGGTGTAAGGAAGAGGCAGGTGCCGGCCGTCAATGATGGCAATGGTGGCCGGCACTGCTCCCTCTCTCCAAATGATATCCTCCACGCCCTCTGCTGCCTGCAGATTTTGTGGATACGGCATGCCTTGGGAGGGGGTAAAGACAGGGAAACCAGGAGGAGCACAGATGTATGGGAGAGGGATGGCCGGCCGTCAATGATGGCACTGCTCCCTCCTGGCGGATAATGCCCTCCACGCCCTCCGCTGCCTGCAGATTCTGAGGGTACGGCATGCCTTGGTGGGGTGAGACAGGGGAAAGGGCGGGGGGAAGAGGGGGCAGAGATGTAAGGGAGAGGCGGGAGCAGAGGAGTAATGGGATTTGTGCGGTCAACAGAATTCGTGCAGTCAACAGAATTCGTGCAGTCAACAGAATCCGCGCAGTCAACAGAATCCGCGCAGTCAACAGAATCCGCGCAGTCAACAGAATCCGCGCAGTCAACAGAATCCGCGCAGTCAAAAGAATCCGTGCAGTCAACAGAATCCGCGCAGTCAACAGAATCCTTGCAATCAACGACATCTGTACAACCACGAAAACATGCAGCTTGCACGGGCTTTGAGACATGTCAAAGCTTAAAACTAGGCCATGGTCCCGCGCCTTGCGCTGCCGAATCGCGCCACATGGCGGCGGTGGCAGTTGCCTGATGAGCTTGTAGCGCAGTGCTGCACCGCAGTGAACCACGGCGTACCATGACAGATGATGGTCGATTCCAGCGCCACGTCCTGTGACCAACGCGCGTTTCACTTCAGCCGACAGCGTGATCCCCACTGTCTCTGCCGCCGCCAATCGCGCTGCCGCCTCCTCGGCGACTGAGGGTGCCATTCCTGATGTGCAGCGCTACGCGGCTAACAGCATGAAAAATCCTAGCAACCGAATGTGAGCGACAAATTCGCCAACAGGACTATAGAATGTACACTCCGATGTAAACCAGGACAAATTTGCGGTGTTCTAAACCAGGCACGACGAGACTTCCGAATTCCCGCACAGCTGTGCCTCCGCCCCTGAAATCAAAGAACTCGTGCGGCCCAGCGAAAAGCTTGCTGAACGTGGAAGACATTCGGAAGTCGAACAGCTATTAACGTGTACACGGCAACAGTGTTTCCAAAATGTACGGGTAGGTGTAGCAAAAGCTTTGACGATCCGTGTAGAACTTATTGACCTTTCTTCCAGACAAATTTTAGATCCTAGTGCAAATCCAGCGAGACAATCGAGTATTGCACAATGTAGGCACAAAAAAGGAGATCCGAAGGTATTTCACATTTGCAATTATCTTCTGGAAGTGGCACACAGAAAGGTGCATCTGCTGGGTGGACTTCTTTTTACTTCGAGCTGGCATGTCAACTCATTATCAAAAGTAGCTAGATGGAAAGGAGCACCCCATATATATGCACATTGCGCTGGAACTATAGAAGCACAACTGAACAGTGATCTATGTAGTGCTATACAATCATCAACTTTCCAATGCCTGACAAGGCAAACGCGTTACTTAGTAACGGTCATCATATCTGTCTTTGCGGTCTCCACCACCAGATCTGTCATAAGGACCAGACCTAGGCCTGCCACCACCACCACCACGGTCAGAACCATAACGGCCTCCGCCGCCGCCGCCGTAGCCGCCACCACCACCGCCGTAACCGCCACCACCGCCGCCCCCGCTGGGGCACTCGCGGGCGAAATGACCTTCTTCACCACACTTGTAGCAGCCGCCACCGCCGCCGCCGCCTCCGCGGTCCCTTGAGCCGTATCCGCCACCGCCGCCGCGATCACCGCCGTATCCTCCACCACCGCCGCCATACCCGCCGCCGCCGCCGCCGTAGCCGCCGCCTCCGCCGCGCCCACCTCCACTTCCACGAGGTTGCGCGACGTTGACGGTAATAGTCCGGCCGTCAAGTTCCTTGCCGTTCATGGCCTTGATTGCATCGTCCATGCCGGCCTTGTCGTTGAACGTGACAAATCCAAACCCTCGGGAGCGGCCGGTTTCTCGATCATTCACAACCTGAACAGGACGGTTTCCATCGCAACGAGCTCAGGTAAAGAGTTTCCGAACATAAGAACCCGGCACGTCAAGCTCCCTCATCAGAACACGGAACCCCGCCATGCATGCTTCGTCAGAGATCCGCCAATCAGGCGTCGTTAAACCCCGTCAATCAATGTCCAGTCCACCAGCAGAAGATCCAGATCGAAACATAAATCGGCGAGGCCGGTAGAGCGCAAAAGGGTAACCCATGAAGTTTCCGAAAGTCACAATCATCGAACCTTAGCGTCAACAGCTCCATAGTCGTGGAAAGCATCCGAGAGAGCGCGGTCATCCGTGCCCCACGAGAGGCCACCAACAAAGCAGCGGAGCTCCTCGTCACCCATACTGAATCAGGCGGAGCTGCTCTTGCTGATGTTGCTGTTGCTGATGCCTGCTGGTGAAGGAAAGAACCGAAATTGCTTCTGTTGAAGAAGCAGCGAAATGAGGGTTTTGATAGAATTGTTCAGATTTGTATTGTATGAAACGGCTGCGTGGAGGGAGAGAGCAGCTGGGTGGAGGTTGGAGAATATCGGAGTCAAATTGGCTGGATGGTCGTCGATCTCGCATCCCATGGGGTTCAGCGGACGGCTTCGATCACACGAGGTCCCCAAGGTATTTTTGTGACGCGAGCCAGAACTCTTTCCACGCTGGCTCGGCGCGGGCATCGTCCACGAGGGAGGCTGTTGCCTGCTTTGCGCAGACTGGTGTCCAATCAGGTGAAAAATCTGAAAGTATCCTCGGTGGTGCCTTGTAGCTGCCCAGCAGCCCTGGAACTTGGAACGCATTTATGCTTGATGAGAATAAATACACCTCTTTTTACTATAATAATTGTTAAACATTCATTAGGCTTCACTACCTTGTGGATTCTAATATTGCATTGTGAAACATATCTTTATTTTTTTGTTACTCATAACATGCTAGAAAAATATATGCCCCAGGCATTTATGGGCATGATATTAAGTGCAGTCGCTGCGAGGGAAGCACCCAGCTAGCAGTGGCGAGGTACCACCGTGGGTTCGTGAGTTTACTGTCGACGCTCCTCAGCGGCCTCCACTCACGACCGACATTCTGGCTAGAGCTATCCACACAGCTGCTCGCGCCTCAGCTGCAGGGCCATCGGGATGGGTCACAGAGCATCTGCGCGACACTTTCCTCACGGAACCTTCCTGCCTCTCCCACCTGCTGGAAGTGTTCAACCAATGGGTGGCGGGACAGGTCCCCGAGCGAGCTCGGCCCTGGCTCGCCGCATCCAACCTAGTCGGGCTTTCCAAACCCAACGGTGACGTCCGGCCGGTGGCGATCGGGGAGGTGCTTCCGCGTATCCTCGCTCGAGCTCTCTGCATCTCGCTTCGCCCTGTGATGGCTTCTTATTTTCTGCCGTGTAACCAGCTGGGAGTGGGCACCAGGGCCGGGGTGGAGATTCTTACTCATTCTTTCCGGTCAGCGCTGGCCACTCACCCCGACTGGTGTGCGCTGCAGATAGATGTCGCGAACGCCTTCAATTCGTTTCATCGCCACGCGATGTTCGAGGGGCTGAAGGAGTCGCCTTTCTCAGGAATGATCCCATTCTTGCGTGTCTTCTATGGGACACCTAGCGACCTGTACCTCCGAGCGGGCCCTTTCGTACAGAGTCTTGAGTCGGCACGAGGATCGCGACAGGGGGACCCGCTCGGCCCTTTTCTTTTCGCTTTCACGCAGCAGCAGGTGCTGGGGACGGTGACTAGAGAGTTCAGGGACCTACTTTTCTTGAGCTATGCAGACGATACCTACATCCTGGGACCAGCGGCTAGGATTCTGGAGGCTTTTGGGGTGCTGCGAGAGAGGTTGGAGTGGGTGGGGCTGGAAGTGCAGGCGCACAAGTGCAGGTTTTGGGAGCGTGGAGGTGGGGATATGGAGCGGGCATTGCCTTTGGGGATGCAGCGGGAGGAGGAGGGTCTTATTGTGGTGGGCGTGCCTATTGGGGAGGAGGATTGGGAGGGGGCCCGATTACGGAAGCGGCTTCGCGAGTTGCAGGCGCCATTGCCGTGGCTCCCCCTGCTCGACCACCCCCAGATGGCCTCGCATCTCCTCGCTATTGCAGTTTCAGCACGGCCGATGTACCTGGCCCGGACTATGCCGCCGCGGCCGGAGGTGGTGGAGGCCTTTAGAGAGTGGGACAGCTGTCTGGAGGATTGCTTTGAGCAGCTTTTCCCCCCTGGCACTTGGGAGCAGGATCCCGGCAGGTCTAGGCGCGCACGCATGCAGCTGCATCTCCCTGTGCGCCTCGGAGGGTTTGGGATCCGGGCGGCGGCCTCTTTGAGTCCGCTCTCCTATGTTTGTGGGTGGGCGCAGGCCGCACGGGATATTGCACATTTGGGGGTGGCGGGCGAGGAGGCGATGTTCGCAGAGTACCTCACCACTTCGGCGGGGGCGGAGCTTCTTGACCCGTGGTTTGCCAAGGCCATTGAGCAGTTGCCCGCGACTATACGCCAGGAGCTGCCGGACTTACCCCTGTGTGTGGCGGCCCCTCCTCTTCGGCTTTTCCAGGCGCGGCAGCGGCAGTTGGCTGTTGAGGAGCTCCAGGCACTCCGCCGCTTGGCTCGTGACGATGCCACCCTAGCCCGTTTCACATCCCTTCAGGGCCCGGGGGCTGGTGCATGGGTTTCGGCAGTTCCGGCTCATTCAGATCTCACATTCACTGCAGCGGAGTGGGGCATTGCTGCTGCTATACGGCTTGGTCTCCCAATCCAGCAGCTGCAAGTGGCGGGGAAGTGTGTTTGTGGCGCAGCGTATGATGACCCAGCAGACCCGCATCATGCGCTGAGATGCAAGCACCAACACGGTCCATCTCGGGTGCATGATGAGGTGAAGTTTGCGGTGGCAAAGATCGCTAAGGCGTCAGGGGGGGTGGTGACGATGGAGGATAGTGCGGTGCTGCCGGGGAAGCGGGTTGACGTAGCGGTGCGACGACCAATGGCTGGGGAGGCTCATGCTTTAGAGATTAGTGTCGCGGACCCGCTATCACTGTCTCCATCTCTGCTAGGGCAGTGCGGGCGGTCTATAGGCGTGGCGGCAAAGGAGTGGGAGCGTCGCAAAACGGGGGATTACGCGCCTCTTCTTGCACGGAACCGAGGCGTGCAGTTCACCCCTTTGATAGTGGAGACGTGGGGGTGTCTCGGCGGTCGCTTCCGGCGGTGGCTTCGACAGCAGGGGGACGCGCACGTGGGGCTAGCTGTGTCACGGGGGGCTTGTCGGGAGGATGACACTTCGTTCTCGGCTTACCTTTTGGGGTCTCTGAAGGCGCTCATCGGAGTGGCGTTACAACGGGCGCAAGCTCGTGTCATCCTGCTTCGGGCGGCGTCTTCCATGGGGGGGTTGAATGTGGACTTGGTGGATCGGGAGAGGGACGATGTCGAGGTGGAGGGCGGGCCTCTTTGGGTGGAGGCCCCCTACATGGTGGATGTGCAGATGCGACTTGGGGGGGAGGGGGGGGGGGGGGGGGGGGGGGGGAGGGGGCGAGGGGGAATGGGGTGCGAGATGGGACGTCTGGTAGGGGATCCTGGTTGGGTTTTTTCTTTATAGAGTATTTTTATGGGGCTTTTTATGGGTGTTGCGTTTGAGTTGTTTCTGGTGTCTTTCTTTCCCGTTCCTCTCCTCTTGTGCGATGCTTTTCATTGTGAAGTCTTCGTATCTAGTGAAGATATTAAGAAATCACTGAATGTTGTAATTGCGATTCCACACAACTAAGCTGTTATCTAAACCGGACAGAAAGGGGTTTTTGCCCAAACAGACTTATTAATCTGCATTCGTAGCAATACTTCGATATATGTTTTGTGGTCTGCCAATTGTCCAACAGGCAGAATGCGGAAACTACCTGAGTTCTGAAACGAGGCTTCGTCTCTCCCCTCTCTTCCCTTCCACCCTCCTTTTCACGACCTCTCTCAACCAAAAGCCTCCTTTCTCCTTACCTCCCTTTCCCTTCTAGCTCTGAGGCTTGTTAGCTCGTTTCCCCGCCTCGTCTCCTCACCTCACCCTCGTCGCACCTCATCCAGTCGCCACCATGGGGTGAGTTATTATTTCTTATAAAATAAGGCGTTATTGAGGCGTTGCGCGGTTTGTTGCGTCCAGTCGGAGCTTCTTAGTGAGCTGACAGGTCTAGGGTTTTACAAACAAGTCGTTTGTGCGGAACGTCGTATTCGCCGAACCAAGTGCCATGGGTGACGAGTCCACCTAAAAAACGAAAATCCGGCTCTCGAGTCACCGATTTGAGTAACAACTTTCTTTCTTTTATTTTCTTAAGCGTTGCACACCGTTCCCACACTAATTCTCGTTCTACGGATTCGTTCTTCGGGATTTGTTAGATCAGGTCCCGGCTTAATTCGATCCGAACCCTAAAAGGGCCCGACGATACAATTTCCGTGTTTTGTTAGGGGCAGATTGTTCGTTCTTCAAGCCAGCCGCGAAGCTTTGTATAGCCTCAATTATTGACGTTCATCCTTACGCTAGTCGGCCGCAGTAGTTAGCTCTTCATAGTTGCGGTCGGAGTTGACCTCGTAGTCGGGCCATGCGGACCTCATTACCGATACCGTGCCGATGCGAATCCTCGTGCCGCGGATCCTCGTGGCATGGTTGGCATCATCTGGCGTCATCGACGACTGCTCCTTGCCACGGGCCGTGTGACCCGGTTTCCGCGGCTTCTGTGTTCGACCGTTTGGCACGGCACCCAATGCTGCGGACTTTGTTCTTTGTGTGTTTTCGGCTCCCCCCAACTCCTCCCCTGGCGTGTGCGCGCGCAGTAAGACGCGTGGTATGGGAGCCGGGCGCAAGCTGCGCAACCACCGGCGCAACCAGCTGTGGGCGGACAAGCAGTACAAGAAGAGCCACCAGGGCAACGAGTGGAAGAAACCCTTCATGGGCTCGTCCCACGCCAAGGGCATTGTCCTTGAGAAGATGTAAATTCTTTTTTCCCACGTGCTCTCCGTACTTCCCACGCGCCTTGTGCCTCTAACCCTTTATGGGCTCGTCCCACGCCAAGGGCATCGTGCTCGAGAAGATGTAAAATCCCGTTTTCTGCTTGTTTCCCTTGTTCCTCTTTTCCTCCCCGTGTTTCCCGTGTCATTTCATCCCTTTAGTCCGTCATTGTCTAAACGCACGCCAACGGCATTGTTCTTGAGAAGATGTGTTTTCTTTACTTTATTTGATATAACCACGAATTCACTCATCCCCGCTAACGCTTCATGGGCTGCTCGCATGCCAGGGGCTTTTTTCCCCACTGCTATTCGAGGGTGGTTTACCACCGCACCCGACCTTCCTGTTTCGCCAGGGGTGGTATACCACCAGCAAGTGTGCGCTAGTGCTGTTGATTAGTAATTCTGACAGACAGTTTTAATCCTCCGGCCCTTCCCCCCTTTTCCCCTGTCCGCCCTTATCTGTTCCCGTTCTTAGTGGTATTGAGGCGAAGCAGCCCAACTCCGCCATTCGTAAGTGCGCGCGAGTGCAGCTGATCAAGAAGGGCAAGAAAACTTAGCACCCCCTCCTTTCCCCCCTCCCCCTATCTCTCCTTATCTGTCCCTCTTTCGCAGTGGTATTGAGGCGAAGCAGCCCAACTCCGCCATTCGTAAGTGCGCGCGAGTGCAGCTGAAAGAACGGCAAGAAGATCGCCGCGTTCGTGCCCAACGACGGTTGCCTCAACTTCATCGAGGAGAACGTGAGTGTAACGAGGGGGTTCAGGAGGTCAGTATACGTGAGTGTAACGGGGGTGGAGGGGGAGGTTGGGGTGATGTTCAGCGGATCGCCGCGTTCGTGCCCATCGACGGTTGCCTCAACTTCATCGAGGAGAACGTGAGTGTAACGGGGAGGGGGAGTTCTAGGGAGAAACGTGAGTGTAACGGAGGGGAGGGGAGGGGAGGGGAGGGGAGGGGAGGGGAGCGGGGGTGTGCTGGGCTGGTTTCAGCAGATCGCCGCGTTCGTGCCCAACGACGGTTGCCTCAACTTCATCGAGGAAAACGTGAGTGTAACGAGGGAGGGGGGAGGGGGGGGGGGGGGGAGGGAGAGGGAGAGGGAAGGAGGGGGGTGGAGGGAGGGGGGGGGGGGAGGTAGTTAGGGTAAAGAAGAAGCGTGATCGTTACTGGGGGTGGGAGGTTAGGGTGATCGCAGAAGATTGTTGCGTTCTTGTCTAGAATGACTTCATTAACTGCATCGAGGAGAACGTGAGGGTACAGCGGGCGTCCGGGGGGTGGACGAAAGGGAAAATAAGTTGGAACAGCAGTGGGGAGGCTGAGAGCATTTTTATCTGCCTCCAGACCGAGGAGGTTCTAACTGTCTTAATCAAGCTCCTATTTCTCTCCTCCCTTGCCTTCCCCACCCGTCCACTTCTCCCTCACATCTCTTCCACCACCCCATTCCGTCCTCTCCTTTCTTCCCCGCCTCAACAGGACGAGGTGCTCATCGCCGGATTCGGTCGTAAGGGACACGCTGTGGGAGATATTCCTGGTGTGCGGTTCAAAGTGGTGAAGGTGTCTGGTGTGTCGCTGCTGGCTCTCTTCAAGGAGAAGAAAGAGAAGCCCCGGTCTTAGACAAAAAGGGTTTGATCTTGATTGTAACAGATGTGATAATCTTTTGATGTAATTCCACGGTTATTTGAATTCACAGCTGCACACTTTGCTTGGTCTAGGGCAGCAATAGCCTCTGGTGGTGTTAGGGCTTCAGGCTTGTCTGAGCAGGAAAGAACATTTCCTGTTGCTCAGCCAAGCAAGGCCAATCGGATGGAAGGGTTTGAATGCACTGTTAATAGAACTTGCTTACGCAACAATTTTTGGGTCCTCTAGAGTCTGCACTGCACACACCACTGATGATCAACGTCGTGTCCAGGGCTGTCGATTCAAGGGCATATGCCCTTAATGCCCTGAACATTAAGGTCTGACTTTGCCCCAAAGTCCAGATTCTCAGGGTTGATTTTTTGTACAGCCCGGAATGATAACGGGCGTGGGCTGGGCCTTCCCCTGATTCTTACAGGGGACACTTGGAGGGTTTCCCTGAATCCCCGCGACAGTTTTCGACCTTCCCGGAAACTTCCACAGCCCTTTCAACCACCCTCCCCCCAACCTCGCCCTTTACGTTTTTCCCTGTCTGATCTTATGACCGTGAAAATGCTAGATTACGACGTGGACTGGGTAGGTGTGTACCAGATCTTCGACGGGGAGAAGCGCCGCAAGCCTGCCACTTAGTTATTAGTGTTGAGAAAGTAGAAAGGTAGATAGGCAGTTCTAAATCAACTCTGCCTTTATTAGTTTCCGGTATGTAGAGTTTGCCCTGATTGTTGTAGTGTAGCCCTGAATTTAAGTTTTTGGTTGGGTGCTTTCCCGGACGCTTAAAGCCCGCGTCTAGAATGGCAAGGGTTCATAAATACTGAACTTGAAAAGGTTTGTGCGAAGGTTGACGAGAGAAAAATTCGCCGGGGGAAGGTGGCGAAGGCGGAATGCTCTACACTGTATCGCAACTTCAATTTCGTCTTCCCGAAACTTGAACAAACACTAACAACAAAACCAAACCCAACTACCCCCACGCGACTCTCAACCCAGATTATCGCCAAGTCCGCAAGCGCACCCTTGGGGCAGGCTGAGAAGCGTGCGCAAGTCCAGATAGTTAGAGCATCTGTGTTAGAAAACTAGTAAGTATCCAGAGTAATATATTTAGGCATGTCCTGTGAAAATATATGCTATTATGCCGGAATCGAGAGGAAACCGTGGACCGAGGGAGGGAATGTGGCGCGAATGCGAATGTGAAGCACGTAGCGCGGCACGAGATGGGAAATTAGAGCGTCGTCGACCTCGCTTCCCCCGTCCGTCGATCTCTTGCATCCACCATCCATCGCCACAGTCCCTCGCCCATCGCCCTTGCTTCCCCCGCCCATCGCGCTCGCTTCCCCCGCCCATCGCGCTCGCTTCACCCGCCCATCGCGCTCGCGCTCGCTTCCCCCGCCCATCGCGCTCGCTTTCCCCTCCCGTCGCCCTCGCTTCCCCCTCCCGTCGCCCTCGCTTTCCCCTCCCGTCGACCTACCAACCCCCTCCCTCCCCCTCCCCTCCCATCGCCCTCCCATCGCCCTCCCATCGCCCTCCCATCCCCTTCCCATCCCCATCCCGTCGCCCTCCCATCCCCCTCCCGTCCCCATCCCATCACCCTCCCATCCCCCTCCCGTCCCCATCCCATCCCCCTCCCATCCCCCTCCCATCCCCCTCCCATCCCCCTCCCGTCGCCCTCCCGTCCCCACTTCATCCCCCTCCCATCCCCCTCTGATCCCCCTCCCGTCCCCATCCCATTACCCTCCCATCCCCCTCCCATCGCCCTCCCATCCCCCTCCCGTCCCCACTTCATCCCCCTCCCATCCCCCTCTGATCCCCCTCCCGTCCCCATCCCATCACCCTCCCATCCCCCTCCCGTCCCCATCCCATTCCCCTCCCATCCCCCTCCCATCCCCCTCCCATCCCCCTCCCATCCCCCTCCCATCCCCCTCCCATCCCCCTCCCGTCCCCATCTCATCCCCCTCCCATCCCCCTCTGATCCCCCTCCCGTCCCCCTCTGATCCCCCTCCCATCCCCCTCCCGTCCCCATCCCAACACCCTCCCATCCCCCTCCCATCGCCCTCCCATCCCCTCCCATCCCCCTCCCATCCCCCTCCCGTCGCCCTCCCATACCCCTCCCATCCCCCTCCCAACACCCTCCCATCCGCCTCCCATCCCCCTCCCATCCCCCTCCCATCCCCCTCCCATCCACCTCCCATCCCCCTCCTGTCGCCCTCCCATCCCCCTCCCGTCCCCACTTCATCCCACTTCCATCCCCCTCTGATCCCCCTCCCGTCCCCATCCCATCGCCCTCCCATCCCCCTCCTGCTCATTCTCTTCTCCACTGCTCATTCTCTTCTCCACTGCTCATTCTCTTCTCCACTGCTCATTCTCTTCTCCACTGCTCATTCTCTTCTCCACTGCTCATTCTCTTCTCCACTGCTCATTCTCTTCTCCACTGCTCATTCTCTTCTCCACTGCTCATTCTCTTCTCCACTGCTCATTCTCTTCTCCACTGCTCATTCTCTTCTCCACTGCTCATTCTCTTCTCCACTGCTCATTCTCTTCTCCACTGCTCATTCTCTTCCCCCCTGCTCGCTCTGTTCCCCCTTTCACTCACCCCCATCTCCAACCACGCAGTGTACAGGTCCCAGAATCCCAGCACCACAGGCCAAGGTTGCATGCTGTGTAGCAAACAAGAAGACCTTACATTTCCTAGCTGTCTTCTTTGTGTTGAAAATCAATTGTGAATTTTGTTGCACTTTTGTGCAGTGGTCATGTGCATGGCTGCTCCTCAGCTCAGAGTTTGTATTATAACATAGCTTCCAAAATCAAAACATTGAATGGCGAGTCATTATAGTACTATCAAACTGCCAGCCAACACATCACCACAGCACCAGCACTGATGTATAGCAGACCTGTACAAACACAAATCAGGTAAAGGAGAAGAGGCACTGAGAGGGAAAAGAGGAGAGGGGCTGAGAGGGAAAGGCGGAGATGAGAGGCTGAGAGGTAAAGGAGAAGAGGCACTGTTAGTGAGTCGTGTGTGTCAAGTGTGAGCGACATGTGCGAGCGACGTGCGTGGGTGATGGGAGTGAGAGAGCGACAGTCACTGAGAGAGCGACGGGAGTGAGAGAGCGACGGGAGTGAGAGAGCGACGGGAGTGAGAGAGCGACGGGAGTGAGAGAGCGACGGGAGTGAGAGCGCGGCGGGAGAGAGAGAGAGCGATGGGAGTGAAGGCGCAAAGAAGTGAGAGAGCGACGGTAGAATGAGCGCGACGGGAGTGAGAGCGCGACGGGAATGAGAGAGTGACGGGAGTGAGAGCGCGACGGGAAAGAGAGTTTGACGGGAGAGAGAGAACGACTGGAGTGACGACAACGGGAGTGAGGGCGGGCTTGAGTTATTGCGGACCGGCATTGAGTGCGGGCTAGGATAACCTTCAGCGGCGACGAGTAAGTCTCACGGTGGCGCAATCTGAGGGTCATGCCTTCCTTGCTGGCTACGAGATCGGATTTGTTATGCGCGAAAAAGTCGCCGGGAAGTTCCACCTTTATGTACTACAAAAGTCTTAGCATACGGCAGGGAGATGGGCGCAACTATGCTGACTATTGACGAGAATATGGGCTATGGAGCCCACTATGCTACGAGTCTAGAAAGGTATTGTCGAGTTTCAAGTTCTGAAATTGTGAACAGTGATACTTGAATTTGTTTGTTTCTGGCGAGGCTCGTCCGTGTTTTTGCTGTGGGGCATTTGGCCAATCACCTTATGGCCCACCAGCTCCCTTCCCAGTGGGTAGCGAGAGATCAGCTTTCTGTACTTGGTTACCCTGTTCTTGACGAAAACAAGTTTAAGAATCTTGAAGTTGAACCTTTGCCATTCTAGACTCGGGCTTTAAAGGCTCGGAAAGGGGCACTTCCCGGAGATTTCAGGGCTGAAATACGGGCACCTCAGACTCTCAAGTGTTGGCCTGGAACCAATCGACAGCCCTGGTCGTGTCCCAATAACGCGTGCAGTTGCTGGATTTGAATCACTCTTGCCGTTTGGAGCAGCCATTGCCCGCGCACAGGCACTGTCAGCCACAGCACATTTTACAGCTCGGCAGCTGGTTCCGCGTGCGCCTTGCGGGTGTTAAACATAAGGGCGTGTTACATTTTCGATTTTTCCGAACGGTTCGGACAATTACCACTCTGCAACGTACTGAAACCCACTTGAACAAAGCGCTCTACAAATAGACCACTTAAAACCGTTCTGACGGTCCGGACAGTTTGGAAGAAAATCGAAAATGTAACACGCCCTAAGCATTCTAGAATTTCATTTCATTACTCTTGCAAAGCCTTTGACGTAAGGAGGACGACGACGAGGCGAGTATTTGTTCTAAAGCAGCAACTTCTGATACCTTCTGAACATCACTGACATACTTCTCACAGAATCCTGTCGGAACTGACAAGTTTAGAGACATCTTTGAGAACTTCCTGCTCAATTCTGACGCTGTTCTCGCCCCGGATTAGCCGCTTAGCTTGTAGCAGCTACTTACCGCGGCGATCGGAATTCGTGAGAGGTTGTCGTTTAAACCATCAGATCTCGAATCAGATCAGCGGCGATCCACCGCCACGTCATCATCGACTGGAATCCGGTCTACTGGTGCCGCCATGGCTAGTACTGCCACGTCGGACGGCTCCTCTTCCTCTGCAACCACGTCATCCTCTCCGTCATGCTCAGAGCCTGCCATGTTGCTGCAGTACGAACAGCAGCTGCTGACGTGGCTGCAACGGTTTTCCGACGATCTCGCGAGTCGCATCACCGAGATCGACGGTCGGATCGACGGGCTGCTGAGCGACGCGGCTCGGGTGGACTCGAATCTTCGTGTGGCCGAGGCGAAGCTGCAGTGCGCTCCCGTGATTCGCGGCGCCGTTCACGTGAGTTCATCACGAGTCACGATAAGCAACCCCTTTCTATGCTTTTGTCAAACGTCTCAATACTTCTGACTTCCCCCTGCCTTTGTCAAGCAGACCGTCACAGCCCAGCGCAGTCGCGCGCGAGGCAGACACAAGGCGAGCTCTTCGGGAGGGCGACTTTTTGAGTCGACTTAGAAATCAACGGTCGTACGTCACTAATTAACGGTTCCCGTACGTTTTGCCTTCCCCCTGCCTCTGTACGCAGACCATATCAAGCCCAGGGCAGTCGCGTGCAAGGCAGGCGCAAGGCGAGCTTAGCGGAAGGGCGGAGATGTCTACAGCGGGGATATCAGTCGCTCAGAAGAAGCGGAACGAGAAGCAGAAAGACAAGCAAAAGGAGGAGCAGAAAGAGAAGCAGAAGGAGAACCAAAGGGATAGGCAGAAGGACGAGCAGGGAGGAGAGAGGGGGAGGGGGTTGAGCTTTGAGGAGCGAGTTCAGGTGAATTATCAGGTGGCTCTGCAGCTAGGGTTTGAGGCGCTGGAAGGGATACGAGAGGAGGGGGAGTGGGAGGAACGGACGAGAGGAGGAGGGAGGAGGAAGCAGCTTGGTAGAGGACTGGTTGCTGGTGGGTCCTCAGCTTTTGCTACTGCAGCTGCAGCAAGAGGTGTGAGAGCAGGAGAGGCATCAGGAGCAGCAGCAGGGGTACCAGGAGGAGTGGCGGCAGGTGGAATAGCAGTGGCAGCGGGGGCAGGAGAAGGCTTTAGTGCTCAACAACAGCAGCAACAGCAGCAACAGCAGCAGCAGCAGCCGGAGCAAGAGGAGGGGCAGGAACAGCAGCAGCGGCAGCAGCAGCAGCACCTGCATGAAGGGCAGGTGACAGTAGTTCCAGAGGACACGTGGAGTGACAGTGACGAGGGTGATGACAACGAAAGCATTGACAGTGGCAGGAGCGGTGGCAGCCGTGACAGTAACGAGGGTGACACTGGCAGTATGGAGTCTGGATTCGCAAGCAGTGAAGGGGGGAGGACGGTGGGCTCCCAAGGTAGCTCCCGCAGAAAGTCCCGAGGGATGGGCACTCGTCGTGGGTTTAACGAGGGCGACACTGCCAGCATGGAGTCCGGATTCGCTAGCAGTGAAGGGGGGAGGACGGTAGGCTCGCAAGGTAGCTCGCTTAGAATGGCTCGAGGAATGGCCGGCCTTGGGTTTTCTGGCGCAGCAGACGCAAGCCAGGGCTATTACAGCCCGCAGCTGACATCTGCAGCAGCAGCAGCTGCTGGTGCTTTTGCTGCAGCTCGCGGGGCTGCTTTTGGTGGGGCGGCTGTGGGTGCTGCTCCTCCCCCCTTTCCGCCGTATAGCAGTCAAGCAGCGATGATTTCTCCCTTCCCTGATCGGCCCGACTCACTCGCTGCCCTTGCCTCGCTCTACGATTTCACCACTGCCATCCCCACCCCCTCCTCTCCACCTGAAGATTTATCTGCTGCGCTTTCCAGGCAACATCTTTCCCCTGATGAGACACCTGATGCATCTGCTTCTGTTGCTGGGCACCTGGCTGGTGGTCAGCTCTCGCTGCCAGGTGCCTGGTCAGGTGGATTTCCAGGTGGACCAGGCGCTTTCCCAGGTGCTGCTCCGTTCCTGCCTGGGCCGTCCTCCTCTCCTCCTCCCTTCCCATCCCCTTCACTCTCTCTCATGGAGCCGTCGGGATGGGCTGTTGACAACTTCAGGTCCCTCCTGGAGCAAGCACTCAAAGCACCAGGTGCTGACAGCACCTGAACCAGGAATTCCTCTGACAGCTCTTTTCTACTCCTCCTCCGCCCTTCCCATCCCCTTCACTCTCCCTCATTGAGCCATCGGGATGGGCTGTTGACAACTTCAGGTCCTTGCTGGAGCAAGCACTCAGGGCACCGGGTGCTGACAGCACCTGACAGCCTCCAACCGTTCCCACTCCGCCTCCTCTCCTCCTCCCTTCCCTTCCCCTTCACTCTCTCTATGGAACCATCGGGATGGGCTGTTGACAACTTCAGGTCCTTGCTGGAGCAAGCACTCATAGCACCGGGTGCTGACAGCACCTGAACCAGTGTTACCAACCTCCGCCCTTTTCCACTCCGCCTCCTCTCTTCCGCCTCCCCACTTCCACCTCCTCTCCTCTGCCTCCTCTTTTCCACCCCTCCCATCCCTTCACTCTCCCATGGAACCATCGAGATGGGCTGTTTGACAACTTCAGGTCTTTGCTGGAGCAAGTGCTTAGAGCACCTCGAGCAGACACAGCCTGATCCAGGGCTTCCTGCTCCCCCTTTTCCACTCCTCCTCCTCTCCTCCTCCGCCTCCTCTCCACCTCCGCCTCCTCTCCACCACACCACTCAAAACACGACTCATTTCACGTTGCTGGAGCAAGTGATTGGAGCACCTCGAGCAGACACCGTCTGAACCAGGGTTTCCTGCTCCCCCTTTTCCACTCCGCCTCCTCTCCACCACACCACTCAAAGCACGACTCTTTCTCCGTTGTTGGAGCAAGCGCTTAGAGCACCTCGAGCAGACACCGCCTGAACCAGGGTTTCCTGCACCCCCTTTTTTACTCTGTCTCCTCTCAGCCGCCCCCTCTCAGCCGCCCCCTCTCAGCCGCTTCCTCCCCACCATCCTTCCCTTCCCCTTCACTCTCTCCTATGGGATCATTGGGATGGGTTGTTGACAACTTTCAGTCGTTGTTAGAGCAAGCACCCAGAGCACCTGGAATGGGCACCACCTGACTTCTCGAATGCAATTCACCTATGGAGATGGTATATCAGTTGTTATTGTGGTCCTTTTGAAAGAATAGTATTTGGCCTCAACTTTTGGTAGTGCTTACGGGTAGCTCCTGACATGAAGTTTTACAGTGGTACCGTAGCTGAATGAATGTTTACGTTACAGTAAAATCAGTTGGCTGGTGGCATCTACCAATGATAACGAGGAGGAATATAAGAAAAAGTCCACACATAGAGCCTCAACAAGAATGGATAAAAGCACACAATATTGCACACATTGGTGTACACCAAAGTTTTTAAGTAGTACTATAAAATACTAATAAGCCTGCACACTATGCGCAATCCCGGGCTGACTCAACCCGCAGGGGTCTATTTACCAAAGTGCCGCTGAAACACCATCAGCTAGCAGATCTTTGAGGCTTAGGAAATCCGCCCCTGCACACATGTCGAGCAGCGATTGGTTGCAGTCCAACAGCCCATCAAGGTGAGAGAGGTGGTTTGCTGCAGCAGCAGGGTCAGCTGTGTCAGCGGCATGAGTTGCAGCGGCACCAACAGCACCACTGCCAGCAGCACCGTCAACAGCGTTATCGCCAGCAGCAGCAGGAGCAGCATTATTACAGTCAGCTTGAATCATTTCCCAATCTTCCATCCCATCGGCACAGGATACACCAGCAGCAGCAGGAGCAGCAGCCGTAGCAGCAGCGGCAGCAGCAGCAGCGGCGGCAGCAGCAGCAGTGGGGCAGGTTGGAAGCGGTTGAGATGGTAGAGGTTGCGAAGGAAGAGCAGCCGCAGGGAGATGGTTATCCGCTAGAAGCTTCTCCAGGTGCTGATACAGCGCAGCTGCTGCTGCTGCTGACGCAACAGCACCAGTAGGAGCATCAGCAGCAGCAGCAGCAGCAGCAGCAGGGGCAGCAGCAGCAGCAGGGGCAGCAGCAGCAGGGGCAGGGGCAGCAACGGCAGAAGCATGAGGTAGAGCCGCTGCTGTTTCTGAGATTACCAACCCATCTGCCTCACCGCAACCAGGCGGTAACCACGCCCACGGATCCGTTACATGGCAGTTATCTGTTGCCTGACAGTCGTCAGTCACTTGACAGTTATCCATAATAGCATCATGAGCAGCCGAGGAGGCTTGACCCTGACCGGTCGACTTGCCAGCTGGCTCGCTTGCATCGTTGAGCGCCACGTCAGCAGATGCTGCCAGCTCAGCAGAAGCTGCCAGGTCAGCAGCAGGCGCACACCTTCCGAAAACGGCCTCGTTCCCAACCGTTGTTCCGCTGCCCGAGCGGCAAGGCTTGGCAGGACTTGCAACAGGGCTGTTGAGTGCTGGATGGCAAAGGGTCATCAGCAGCGCGTGTAGGGAGACGACCGGGCCGGTGGGTGCGGTTGGAAGGGAGGCAGAGGGATTCGCAGGAGTGGCAGGAGTGGCAGGAGGAGTGGCGGGAGAAGGAGTGGCAGTAGTGGTGGCAGAAGGAGCAGCAGCAAAGGAGCTTGTAGCAGCTGAAGCAGCAGCAGTAGCAAGAGGAGAGGCAGGAACAGCAGCAGCCGGAGCAGCAGGAGGAGCGGCGGCAGGAGGAGCAGCAGTAGCAGCAGCGTCGGGGGATTCCTGAGGGGAGAGGGAGGGGTTGACGGCGCTAGAAGCAGTCATGCTGCTGGTCTCAGTCATGTCTGGTAACGGGGTTACCACCTGGTCTTGCAGCTTCTCAGATAGAAGCTTCAAGAGAAGGCTGATGCTGGCAGCGTTGGGATCAGTGGCAGTGGCGGAAGCAGTAGCAGCAGAAGTCATCGCAGCAGTAGGGGCAGGGGAAGGGGGAGGAGGGGGAGAAGGAGGAACAGGGGGAGGAGGGGCAGTAGGGGCAGCAGGAAGGGAAGCACGAGCAGACGGGGCAGCAGAAGTAGCCTTATCAGCGTTTTGAATCTGCTGCTGCTGCTGCTGCTGCTGCTGCTGCTTCTGTTGCATTCTTTTCTGCTGTAGCAGCAGCAACTGTTGCAGAAGCTGATTACTCTGCTCCTCCTCCTGCTGCTGCTGCTTTTCCTGCTGCTGTTGCTCTTTCTGCTGCTGCTGTTCCCTCAACCTGCGTTTCTGCTCCCTCTCTTCCTCCTCCCGCTTTTGCTGAAGCAGCAGCTGCTGCTGTTGTTTCTGCTGCAGTTGCTGCTGCCTCTGCAGTAGCTGCTGCTGCAGCTGCTTCTGCTGCTGTTCCCTCAACCTTCGCCTCTGCTCCCTCTCTTCCTCATCCCGCTTCTGCTGCTGCTGCTGCTGCTGCTCCTTATTATTCTGCCGGCCCCCAATTTCCTCCTGCCGTCCCCCTTCCTTCTGCTGCAGCAACACCTGGTACTTTCTCAACAGACCTAAAAGCCGCTCCTTCTCTTCCTCATGCTGCCGCTGCTGCTGCAGCCGAATCTCCTCCTCCTGCTTCTGCTTGTTCTGCGCCGCAATCGCCACTGCTGCAACGACCGTCGCCAACGCCACCAGCGACTGCTCGCGATTCTTACCACCGCTCTGGTTACCAGAGCCGCTATGGTTACCACCAGCACTCTGGTGATCGACTTCACTCTCGTTATCACCGTTAGACTGGTTACCAGAACCAGAATCAGGGTTACTGGCGTTTTGTAACCGACTAAGCTCAGCTGCCAGCTTTTCCATACAGATATCCGAGCCTAGTGCCGAGCCTAGTGCTGAGCCTAGCGCCGAGTCTAAGGCTGTGGATACGGCGCTGGAGTGGTTGCCACGTGGCGACGCGGCAGAAGAGGAGCTTGGATACGCGGGAGGCAGCTTGGCGGAAGACTGACGGGCGGGCAGGCGCGCGGGGAGCGCAAAGAGCAGGAGGGGGGAGGGGGAGTTCTGATGCGCTGATCCGGGGGAGACTCCGCTGCTGCTTCCGCTGTTCACTCGCGGAAAGCTTGCTCCTCCGCTGGTTCCGCGGGCTCCGCCACTAGGCGAGGAGAAAGCATTCGCGGAGAGTTGCGCGCGCGGAGACGCTCGCGGAACGCCAGCTTCGCGCGGAGCTCCCCCCGAAGCGGAACTTCCACCGCGCGGGCTTGTGAACAGCGGAGGCGGAGCGCGCGCGCGGGGAGAGGGGAGCGGAAGCGGAAGCGGAAGCTGTTGCGCGGAAGAATACCCGCTCGTGGGGGTGCTGGCAGGCGCGGTAAACCCCGGAAATTCTCCTTTATTAACATCCCCGCTATTGGCGGAAACACCCGTTGGGGTGATCGCGAGGCTAGGGCTTGGAAAGGCATCCCACGAAGCGGAAGAGAAACTTCCGGCGGCAGTGCCGGCGGGAGACGCGGAGGCGACGCCACGTGGCGTGATGGTGCAGCGGCGACTCGAGCCGAAGGTGCGGGTGGCGCAGGGAGAGATTGCACCGGGGGAGACGAAACACGAGTCGGCGCGAACGCCGGGAACGGCGGCGGGCGCGCTGCTGACGTGGCCGGTTTCCGCGGCTGGAAGAACGAGCGGTTCGGGATCGTCTGTGACTATATCGAAGTCCGTCTGTAGTTGAGTCAGATTCAAACGGCTCTTTTTCGCCTGCAGGGGACTCGAGAATACGACTGTCGCGTCGCCTGCTGTTGCCGTCTGGTGGGGAGAGGCAGGCGCCGCGTCGAGTGCCGAAGTAGTCGCGTTGACGTTAACGTTAACGTTGACGTTCGAGTCTGTTGTAATTGGCGTCAGCGGCGCGGCCGACGGGCTCAAGTTGCCGGATTCCGTCACGCGAATCGGGTCGCACTCGCTCTTCGGCTGCTGCTGTTGTTGCGTCCGTGGTTGACGGAAAACGTTAACGTTTTCATTGCCGGAAACTGCTGCGCGCCTCGATCCCGGCTCCTGATTGGCTGCGCCGACAGGAGACCACACCGTCAAACCCTCCATCGAGCCGGCGCGCCTTTTCGGCGCGGAGCACCGCTTCTCCTCCACACCGTTATACGCATACTCGTTATCGTCACATCCGGCGTTACTCATACTACTCGACCGCTTATGACCCGGCGAGATGATAGCAGACACAGCAGCATCGACTCTGTTCCCCGAAAATGACTGGCTCGTTTTCAAGCGAATCGGCTTTTCCGAGTCGCAGGTGTTTCCGGCTTCACGCGACTCCGTCATCTCGCAGTCCGTCGCGACGCTGGCGGCGGGAATTGCGGCGGAAATGGCAGCTGCGACGGGAGCGGAGATGCTAACCGGGTCCTGCGGGTTCCACCGATTGCGGATGCGACGGTATGTGGACGGCGGAGCGCCGGACGCGCCGGATGCGGCGGCGGATGCGGCAGCGGCGGAGCCGGAAGGCGGAGACGAGTTCTCGGGCTGCCGCTCGCTGGGGGATTTTCCGCCGGCCGGGCCGGCGCCGGCCGCGCCGGCAGACTTTCCGCGGAGGTCCTTGGGCATCGCGCCGGTTTCCGCGTGGTTGTGTGCGCCCGAATATTGCGTGCGCGAGTTGAGCGGATGGTCGGGATTCACGTCGACGACTTTCTTCGCGACGCACGGAACGGCCGCCTTAGACCACGCGCACTTGTAGTAGGATCTGCGCGGGGAAGGGGGGGCGGGGGAGAGGAGCGGAGAGGGGAGGGGGGGGGGGAGAGTAGGGGGAGGACGGGAAGAAAGAAGACTATTGAATGGATGTCATGAGAAACAAAACGAAACACGGTCCATATATTCTCTCTTTTCGTCGTTCTTTTTTCTTCTTATAAGTTTTAGATGGTATGCATGCAGATGATTCAATGACGTTGCCGTGATAACGGATCGAGAAGCCTTACCGGAGGAGCGATTTCTCCGTGACGCGCTTCTCGCCGTACTTCAACCAGCAGTAGCCGTCAGCGTGGACGATTTCCGTCAGACGTGCCGCGGCTCGGAGCAGCAAGCCGTCTTGATGAACCTTCCTCGCTGACGCGTTCGGCGACGGAAGCTGCGCCGATCGCGGCGACGAAGGCGCGTTCGGTATGTTCGCTTGAAGGCCCGGCGCAGCGGCGCCGGCGCCGGCGGAAGCGGAAGCAGAAGCGGCGGCGGTGAGAGTGGTGGCGCAACTTCCGGCGATCATGGTGGAGCTCGCCGAGCCGCCTTGGATTTTAGGGGAGTTGCTGCGGACGGCAGCATGACTCTGCCGTCCACGATGTTCGCGAACGTGGTAACCAGGCTCATGCACACGATCGCTCATTGCGGTGTCCGTGTCTTTGAGACAGGCGACCATGGCCGCCAGAGCTTAACGCTGATGGTGATGTTGGCGGTGATGCCGACGGTGCTGAGGACGGCACTGCGCCGTTGGATTCACTGATTAATTCGCCGCGACTTGGAAAGAAAGGGGGGTTAGGGTCGGTCGCTTTTTCAGGCGGATCTTGAACGAGGGACGGCGGAGCCGCGGCAGCGTCGATGCCGCTTGCAGCGTCTTCTGGAGTTATGGGAGTGATACTGTAACGACGGGCGTGCGTCGTTCCAAAGAAGAGATGTACGTCCCGATGGTCGGTCGAGTGAGGTGAGAGCACGTGAATGTCGGCGTGAAGCCAGACTCCCGAAGCAGTGGGGCTGATTCGAGAAGGAAGGAGTGATGAGTAGGAAATGAGGCTAGTGACGGGAATGGAGCAAGTTCAAGTACGCACTCGGCGCCGCATGTCAGTGAAGAGCTTCCGCCCTGTTTGCTCGATGTGAATTCTTGATTTTTGAAACGGTTGAGTGAGATGCTACGAGGTCGTGGGAGTTGGGGGGTTGTGTTACCGTCCTTGCCAGCCCATCTTGAATGCAAACGAGTGGTCACCGCAGGGCGGCCTCATACAGAATAAAATGGCGAAATCTAAACTCGTAACAAAGCAGCTTGCCAGCCTTTTCACAACCCATACTCGGCCTTCACCCGTCCCTCAGATGTGTGCATCCAGGTGTTTCCAGTGAGGTCAACAGAGTTTTGGCTGTGATTTCGTTTTTGGGGCTGATCGTGCCCAAGTTTGCGCCACCAGGCGAAACAGCACAGCACGGAGCAACATGGTAGAAGTGTAGGGTTAAATTTCATTGGGGTAGAGTGTACATCAGCGTCCCGGAAGAAAAAAAAAGACTTGAGTTCGCTGTGAAAGGTTCTTTGCACTAGGGTTCATCGGATAAGGACGGTTTCGACCAGTGGAGCTAGAGGAAGGTGACTTCCCATACTCTTGAAAGTCTTCCAATGAGGTCAGAAGAAGCCAATGGAGCGAGGAAGGAGAAAACTTCGGGTCAGGTCAATTGGCAGGTTGTGAGAGATTGCCACGCATGCTCAGCCACAACAATCCGCGTTGTGTACAGCCGGTCGTGTTGTTTATCGGACATGAGTCTGAAAAGAAAGTGGCTTTTTGTCCTCGAAATGCTTCCCATCCCAACCCAACCCCGAGGGATGCGGCGCGGAGCGGCGGAGCGGCGGAAAACATCTCGCTCGCCCCATGCCAACCCCTCCCCGCTTCCCAATCCCAAGCCTGAACTGTCGCATTTCCTCACCACAGGTGTACGCTCCGTGCGCGAAGGACCGACTGCCAATTAAAGAGCTGTCAGAGGGGGGCGACAGGGAAGCGACGAGAAGACTGGCGAGAGCTGTACGACACCAATCGCTGCTGACAAATACCCCTCGTGCTTCGCCCCATCAGCCCTGCCTGCGCGTATGGCAAATCTGGCAGGCGCATGACAGTGATGAGTAAGCGCGGGGGAATGGGGAGATCTCATCATTCACTCGTTACGCGTTTCTTCGGCGAATCAAAAGCTCGACGCCATCCGCGATTGCGGTTGTGCGAATCGCAATGCAACAGCAAGGGGTCAGGAATGGACGGTGAAATTTGCGGTTGGAGGAGCGCGGGATGGAAGCGGGGCGCGAGGAGGGCAAGGGGAAGAGGCGAAAGTGATTTCGCCTGGGGGTACGGGAGAAAGTTGCATCAAGATGGGGGGAGGAATCTTTTTCATAAGGCCTGTTTTATAGTTCAATTCGGTAAGCTGTGCAAGTAACTTGGAATGAGTTCCCGTGTCGTTAGAAACTCAGCAGTGATTCGTGAAAACGTTTGAAACTAAAATGCTTAGGCGACAAGTCCAAGCCAGCTACCCTCACGATCTAAAGTACGCTACGCCATCCTCGTTTTCGCACAATGCCAATTAGGGTTACCTGTACCACGTCCTAATCTTTTGTTTTGGGTGGTGGGTGGCGAGGTTACGTCACGTTGTGGTTGGCCAGGGGACGCCCTTGGGCTTGGTTCGGTTTGGGAGGCGTTAAACTCGTTGGTGATTGGTCACATTTTGCTGACTCGGTACGGAGGGGACGAGGACGGAAGGCATGTCGAAAATTGGGATGGGGGAAGGGAAAACGTGCAATGCAATGCGACGTTCGGGTGATGATTTTCTTCAGCGAATCCCGACGGTTGATCTGACAACCAGACTCTACACTGGCTGCCATCCAACATCCTTCCCCCAGCCATGCAGAAAGCCGTTTGATGACGTATCACGAGAGTTCACTCGCTGTCGCTGCTGTCTTGGCGGCCCTGGGATGTGAAGAAAGAAAGCTGTTGCAAGCCTTTGATTTTGTTATTGAAGAGCTGTTCTTCTCTTCTCCCAAGCTCCTTCCAACCCTCAACGCGTAGCAGAAAGACCAAGAGAGGGAGGGGGGTGGGGTAGTCGCATCGCTCTGAGAGATACGAATTGTTTTTACGAACAGCCACGGCTTTTAGGAGGATCTTTCATGATAATTTGACAATAGAGAGTATGTGCCCACTATACCCATGTTGCATATAGGAACTGACATGTTCAGCCCTTAACCCTGGGATTCTTAGAACAGCTACACCCTGAACTCTTGCACCATACTGTACACACTAAATATCATAAGGAACAGCAGGAAACTGACAGATGTCGAAGCCTCGATTGACATTGGCTGGTCACGACAACCTATTCGGCTGCGGCGCTGCTTGGATACCCACCGTTGTTTTTCGGAAACCGGCCATTTTCAGGTGCATGCAGCTTAGTCGAGGCGCGTTATTCAGGTGCATGCCAGGTTGCGTACACTTTTCTCAGGTTAAACAATTTCTCCCGTAAATGAATACGCAGTTCAAGATTCGATAAAAATTGACACAAAAGGTCTGAAATAGATGGAATTTCGGAATACGCAAATCGGAATCGGGATGATTGGCTTTCGATGCTGCATTTTCTGACGTAACTCAGTGCAATGATTGCATTTCTGCCCAGTTTCTACGCAATTTTTTGCTTCGCACCAAATCTTTTTGAACGGATTGTAATGCTAAATCGTTTGTACTGTTGGCGCAGGTGGCGGACGCTTCGCGGGTCAAATCAGCAAACTCTAGTGGGACGTGCATTGCTTGAAAAGGGTAGTCCGAAACACGATAAATATACTCGAGTGTTAAGAGTGAGTTACCCCTGCCCCTATTAAGGATATATCGTATGTTACATGTATATTTAATGCCACGTAATTAAGGCCGTTGAATACCACCTATTTCAATATGCACGTACGGCAAACTTAGTTTGGTAGAGGCAAAATATACAAACACTCACGAAGGGTTTGCTGATTTGCCATGCGCAGCGTCCGTCATCTGCGTCAAAAGTACAACAGATCTAGCATTAGATTCGTTCGAAATGAGTTGGTGCAAAGCAGAAATTTGCGTATAAATTGGACAAAATGCAATCATTACACTGAGATTCCGATGCAATCACAAAATGCGGGTCAGAAAATGCAGCATCGAGAGCCAACCATTCCGATTCCAATTTGCGTAGCCCGAAATTGCATCTATTTCAGACCTTTTGTGCCAATTTTAATCGAATCTTGAACTGCGTGTTAATTTACGAGAGACATTTTTTAACCTGAGAAAAGTGTAAGCAACCTGGCATGCACCTGAATAACGCGTCTCGACTAAGCTGCATGCACCTGAAAATGGCCGTTCGGAAACACTTGCACCCGGATTTGTTAAAATGCGGCAGGTGAGATGGTCAACGATATTTTTGTGGCTGACAACTGTTGGTCGGAAACCTTGTCTCGTCGTGTTAGGCCCGAGAAAATCGGGAGGGGGAGCTGTGTTTGTATGAGAAAAAGTCCTGCTGTCTTCTTCGGACTGTACCCTATTGGGGGTTTTGGATTAATTGTGTGGATGAACTGAGGGTAGATTGTTTCTGGCGTTCACATGAAGCGTCTTTTGAAACGGGAATATACAGGGTTTACTAAGGTTGTCTGTTTCGAACTCCTTTTGGGAAGCCTTCTCATCCGACAGTACCGTAACGAAGGCTTGGCACTCTGGAAGGACAAGGTATTTTGTTGTGAACCCTATAAAGAATACCACTACTCTGTTATAGCTCTTGGCCAAAACCCTCCATTATGGCAAGGGGCATGAGGACAATTACCATAATCATTACAAGCATGGTCCGTATACCTTGGAACACCACGTCTACACACTTCACTAAGAGCCTTTTGAGAAAAAAAAAAAAAAAAAAAAAAAAAAAAACATGCCGGAAAATCCACACAGTACTGCCCACAGTTGGACCCCACTCTATACGGAGCAATACCATAAGTAAACGAAATCACAAACCCTCATCAACTGGTGTACCAGTTCCCGCATCACTAGCAACTGCTAGCGCATCAGCCAGCAGATCGGATGTATCTGCACCAGCCAGTGCAGAATCTTCAGCAGGCAATATTTCGGCACCACTGCCACCACCATGTGCATCATCTGCATCACAGGCTGCAGCTCCACTGTCAATGTTATCAGCATCAGCAGAGGCACTTGCAGCAGAGGTACCAGCAGCAGAGGCAGCAGCAGCACTAGTATCAGCAGCACCAGCACTAACAGCACCAGCAGCAGTAGTGGCAGAAGCAGTGGCAGCAGCAGCAGGAGGGCCGAGGCTGCTACTGCCTCCCAGGTTGGCTCGAGCTCGAAGCTCATCGAACGCCCGCATGCTTTCTGCATCAAACCCTCCTGCAAACTGCACGCAAGGGTAGACAACGGTAATAGCAGCCGATAGCAGTGGGAACAAATAGCACGGATTGTGAGACATCTCAACTCTCGAGGTTGGTATGGGCTCGAAGCTCTTCGAACGCAAGGGTAGACAGAAGCAAAGGCGGGAGACAGCAACGACGACAAATGGAGGGTGTAATGGAAAGTACAGCAGCAGCATGAGACCATAACGGCACGAGGCAGTAATGGCAAGAGACAGTAAAAGAACATGACGGTAGTGGCACGAGATGGTAACGACATGATACAGTAACAGCACAAGACTATGGGCGACACGACGGGAAGGGTATGTGTGATCCAAGAGAATCGGGCAGCAGGTGGCTTGAGCCTGGTGCATTGCAACCGGTGTGCGCAAAAGGCAAAACGCACCTGGTGTGTGCGGAAGGCGAATTGACTCTTGAGTCGACTCAAAAGTCTACTCAAAAGTCAACCCGGTGTGCGCAAAAGGCAAAACGCACCTGGTGTGTGCGGAAGGCGAATCGCACGGCCTGCAGCAGCAGGAACTCTCTGATGGGCTCGCTCTCTGGCTCGCTGCCCAGCTTGTCGAGCTCCGATGTGACCCGCGTGATGTAGCAGCGTGCTAGACGCACTGACGCCAGGCGGATCTGAGATGAGGGAGGTGATTAGATAAACAGGTGAGCTCGATCTCGGGCTCGCTGCCCAGCTTGTCGAGCTCCGATGTGACCCTCGTTATGTAGCAGCGTGCCAGCCGCACCGATGCCAGGCGGATCTGAGGGGATTGGTTTGTGTGTGTGTGGTTGGGCGGGGGAGGTGCGACAGGAATACGGGGATATGAGGCTCTGATGTGACCCGCGTGATGTAGCAGCGCGCCAGGCGCACAGTTGCTAAACGGTTATGTGTTGCGTCAGGGGAGAGGAGAGGAGAGGAGAGGAGAGGAGAGGAGAGGAGAGGAGAGGAGAGGAGAGGAGAGGAGAGGAGAGGAGAGGAGAGGAGAGGAGAGGAGAGGAGAGGAGAGGAGGGAGTCGGAAAGGGTTAGCAAATGGGCTCGCTCTCAGGCTCATGCCCTAGCTTGTCTAATTCTGTTGTGACCCGCGTGATGTAGCACCGTGCCAGCCGCACGGAGGCCAGACGGATCTGTGTGGATGTGTGTGTAATTTCAGGCAGGGAGAAGAGCAAAGGGAGTTGGAAGGTCAGCGGATGGGCTCGCTCTCTGGCTCATTCCCCAAATTTTCAAGGAGAGGAGATGAAGCGAGGGGGAGGGAGGTGGACGATCAACAGGTGGGTTCGCTCTCTGGCTCGTTCCCCAGCTTGTCAAGCTCGGAGGTGACCCGCGTGATGTAGCACCGTGCCAGACGAACCGATGCCAGACGAATCTGTTTTCAGAGAGGCAGGGGAGAGGGTGGGAGGGGAGGGAGGAAGACGATCAACAGGTGGGCTCGCTCTCAGGCTCGTTGCCTAGCTTGTCAAGCTCCGATGTGACCCGCGTGATGTAGCAGCGTGCCAGACGCACCGATGCCAGGCGGATCTGAGCGGATGTGTGTGTGCGTGGGAGAGGCAGGGGAGGGATGAGGAGGGGAAAGGTGGAAGGTCAGCAGACAGGCTCGCTCTCTGGCTTGTTGCCCAGCTTGTCGAGCTCGGATGTGACCTGCGTGATGTACCTTACTGTCAGTCCCTCACACCGTCAGCATCAGCCCACCATGATCTCCCCTAAACCTGACCTTGCCCACGAGGCCGTTATCGAGAATCCAGTAGGTGGGCACTCCGAACTCAGCATAGCGTGACATCGCCACAGGAGCTCTCTCACTTTACTTACTGCGTCACCTCCACACCATCACTTTCCCCAGCCTCACCTTGCCCACGAGGCCGTTATCGAGGATCCAGTAGGTGGGCACTCCAAACTCAGCGTAGCGTGATATGGCCATGTCTCTCGTGCGCAACAGTGCGTATATGCTCTGCTCCACCCTGCAATAGTGAGAGAGAGGGACATTTGATAAAAATAGCATACAACCACAAGAAGAGACACCATATGAGAACACAGTGTGGCTTGAGATGGCCATGTCTCTCGTGCGCAGTAGCGCGTATATGCTCTGCTCCGCCCTGCACACACACACAGAGCGAGCGAGGGATACCGGGTGACAGGGTGGGCAAAGCACGAAGAAAAACGTTGGGAACCATTGCTAGCACACAGCACGGCATGAGATGGCCATGTCTCTCGTGCGCAGCAGCGCGTATATGCTCTGCTCCACCCTGGCCATGTCCCTCGTGTGCAGCAGCGTGGGCGCGTGGTAACTTTTGAGCACTCATGTGTTAACATGTACTCAAAAGTCACCTTTCCAGCACATGAAACATTCTCTAAAGAGCCCGGTCGGTGGGCACGCCAGGGTCATCCACGTAGCTGCCCAGGTCGCGCTCCAGCCTCACTAGGTCCCGCAATCCCCACAACAGGTTCTGGAACCCAAAGGCTGTCCCACAGCACTAATCCAACCCCCACAGCACTAATCCAACCCCCACAGCACTGATCCAACCCCCACAGCACTGATCCAACCCCCACAGCACTGATCCAACCCCCACAGCACTGATCCAACCACCCACTTCCCGCCAGCCCCACTCCCTTCTCCAGCACGTGGAACATCTTCTTGAGCGCCTGGTCGGTGGGCACGTCAGGGTCATCCACGTAGCTGCGCAGGTCTCGCTCCAGCCTCACCAAATCCTGGAACAGAACCCGAAGCACCCCACACCACTGATCCGAACCTCCCAGCTTCCACCAGCCCCACTCACTTCTCAAGCACGTGGAACATCTTCTTCAGCGCCTGGTCGGTGGGCACGTCACGTCAGGGTCGTCCACGTAGCTGCCCAGGTCGCGCTCCAGCCTAACGAGGTCCTGTAACTCAAAGCACCCCAGCCCACTGATCCAACACCCCAGCCCCTCCACTGTTCCCCAACCCCACTCACTTCTCCAGCACGTGGAACATCTTCTTTAAAGCCTGGTCGGTGGGCACGTCTGGGTCATCCACGTAGCTGCGCAGGTCGCGCTCCAGGCGTACTAGATCCTGGAACTCAAAGGCTGCTTCCCGCATGGCGTCTGCTTTCGCCTCGGGCCAGTCAAAGTGCTTCAGCACTGCCCTCTCGTCCACCTGTTTGTGGTGTGGGGGGGGGAGGGACGGGTGGAAGGGTTAGGGAGGAGGAGGGCTGGGATGGGCTCGCTCCAGCCTCACTAGATCCTGGAACTCAAACGCTGCCTCCCTCAGCGCGTCTGCTTTCGCCTTGGCCCAGTCAAAGTGCTTCAGCAATGCTCGCTCGTCCACCTGAAGGGGAGAGAGGGGGTTGGTGTTTGGGAGTAATGGAGAGCAGAGCAGGTAAGGGAAGGGAGAGGGGGAGAGAAGGGATGGGATGGGATGGCCCCTCTCCAACCTGAGTACATCCTGGTGGGGTTCAAAGAAGGCTATACCAGGAAGGCCAGCTCTCGTCCAGCCACTTGACAGACGCCACTACGTCCTCGATATCGAAGTATGAGGCATCGCGCACCTCAAAATAGGCTGCAGAATGCTGCCGAAACAGAGAATAACACTCCCGTATGTAAGCGAAGGCCACACCAGGAACGCCAGCTCCTCGTCGAGCCACTTGACAAACGCCACCACGTCCTCGATGTCAAAGTAGGTGGCATTGCGTCCCGCACTACCCTCGCCAGGGCGCTGATAACAGTGGGGCTCAAAGCAGGCCGTACGGGGCAACACAACCCGTACAGGTGGGATTGATACTGCTCGCTTCCTTGGTCTTACCAGGAACGCCAACTCTTCGTCGAGCCAGTTGACAAACGCCACCACGTCCTCGATGTCAAAGTTTCAGGCATCCCGCACCTCCCTCGCAAGCGTGGTGATTGATAGTGGGTGGGGTTCAAAACAGGCAATACGGGGCAACCCCTACAGGCAGGCGAGACTGACACCGCTCCTTGGAACATACCAGGAACGCGAGCTCAAGGTTATTTTTGAGAATTCTCAAAAATAACGCCCAGCCAGTTGACAAACGCCACCACGTCCTCAATATCAAAGTAAGTTGTGATGAAGCCCACATACCAGGGATGAAGGAAGAACACACCAGGAAGGCGAGCTCCTCATCGAGCCAATTGACGAACGCCACCACGTCCTCAATATCGAAGTAAGTTGTGATGAAGCCCACATACCAGGGATGAAGGAAGAACACACCAGGAAGGCGAGCTCCTCATCGAGCCAATTGACGAACGCCACCACGTCCTCGATGTCAAAGTAGGAGGCGTCGCGCACCTCCCTTGCCAGCGTGTTGATGAAGTCGCCCTGCATCTCCACGTCCTGCTTGATCTGTTGGCGGGGGGAGGGGAGTGGAAGAGGCGTGTGGGGGGCACAAAGGGGTGCGTGGAAAAGAGGTAAGAGCAGGGAGTTGACACCCTCGCCAACGTGTTGATGAAGTCGCCCTGCATCTCCACGTCCTGCTTGATCTGTTGGGAAGCGGTTGGATAAAACATGGGCGTGGGAGTGCAACGGATGGGTGGAGAAGGTGTGAGGACAGGGAGTTGAGTGCACGCAGCTCAACTCAGCGTGTTGATGAAGTCGCCCTGCATCTTGCTTGATCCGTTGGCGGGGGAGAGGAAAAGGGGTGTGTGGAAAAGTGGGTTGGGCAGCACAAAGGGTTGTGGAGGGGCGAGGTAAGAGCAGACGAGGGAAGTGGCACAGTGCAGAAAGTGGCAGCTAGGAAAATAGGAGAGAGAGAAAAACAAAGAAAAGGCAGCCCTAGGTAACATGGTTGTCACTGTTTATACATATATATGTGTATATATATATATATGCATACATACATATATATATGCATATTTAGATCTTTTTTTGTTCTCTTTTTGTTCACTTACTGCGAGCAGGTGAGACGAGCGCCCTTCGATCTCCCCAATCATATCCCCTCGCACAGCCGTCATGCTCAGACCCTCCTCCGCTTCCCTTCCCCCAACACCTCCCAGCCCCTCCCGCTGCATCCTCATCAGCTGCTGATAAAACGCCACCACCTCAGGTGCCCTCCTCATCCCCTCATCGTCCATCCCCCCCATGCCGCCCAGCTTCCCCTGGGGCATTGCAGGCGGCAGTGGAACCACCCCCCCGCCCAGTTTCCCCTGGGGCAGGGGCGGCGGGAGCGGCACTGCACCGCTTCCATCTCCTTTGTTGAGCAGAGCGGCGGCGTGGGTCACTTCCATCTCCTCGTCTAAGTAAACTGGGCGGGTGTTGCGGGGCTTTGGCGGGGCGGACGGCACTCGAGGCTGCCGCTTCTCCGGAGCGGCAACCCTCGGCGTTTTCCCAACGGACGCGTTGGCCGAAATATTTGATTTTTTCAGGGCAGCTGCTGCTTCGGCCTGCTGGAGGTTGAAAATCTGCCGCTCCTGTGCCAGGAGGTGCCGATCCTTGAACCCCGGGAATCGACGGTGCAGATTGTCCTTGTCGGGGCGGGACACGGATCGACGGACGAGATTGAAGGAGTCACCCACGGTGAAATCGCCCATGGGATTCATCATGCCTGGAGGAGGCTGCTTCATCTTGAGCTTTCGAAGAATCGCCTCCTTCCTCTCCTCATCCTGACCTCCCTCCCCTCCAAATTCTCCACCCTCTCCTCCTCCCCCTCCGCTTCCTCCTTCCTTTCCTCCTCCCCCACCTGCTCGTCTGTGCCGTGCCCTTCGCTCCCCTTCGAATTTGGCTGTAGCCCGAGCAGCAGCATCAGAAACAGCATCGGCACCAGAACTACCATCACCACCACCACCACCACCACCACCAGCAGCAGCACCAGCAGCAGCCGTTTCCTCGAGGTCTTTTGCAGACTTGTTGCGGCGCCACGAGAGGAAATTCTTGAGCTTGCTCGCAGCGTCCTGCTGCGACATCGCCTGCAGTGACATGGTCCGTCCAAGCGCATCCTTCCCTCCCCCTGCTCCTCCCCCTCCCGCACCCCCACCGCCTCCACCACCCTCCCCAAAGCCGCCAGCACCAGCACTGGCACCAGCACCAGATGCCACTCCCACGCCCACTCCCCATCCTCCCCCTCTTCCTCCCATCCCAGGTCCAGGCGTTCTCACCTTCCTTCCTCCTCCTCCCGCTGCTCCCCCTCCCCCACCAGCACCTCTCCCATAGCTATCTGGGGAGGAATGGAAAGGCTCGTCTGTGGCGGCAGCACTGGCACGGTCAGGCGAGGAGGCGAAGGAGGCAGAGTCGTTGTAGAGAGAGAGCGAGTCGGAATCGTCATCGTTGTATTTCCCAGAAGGTTCCCCTGTGGGGTAGCCGTCGGCAAACTGCTGCATGAGGTGTTTCGCACGGTCCTGAGGGGTGAAGAGTGGGAGACAGGGAAGGGACAGAGAAAAGGGAATGGGAATGGGAGGGACAAGTGAGGAGGGGTGGTCATCACGAGAAGCAGCACTGGCGCGGTCAGGCGAGGAGGCGAAGGAGGCAGAATCGTTGTAGAGAGAGAGGGAGTCGGAATCGTCGTCGTTGTACCGCCCACCACCAGCAGCAGAGGGTTCCCCTGTGGGGTAGCCATCGGCAAACTGCTGCATGAGGTGTTTCGCACGGTCCTGAGGGGTAGAGAGGGGGAGAGGGGGAGAGGGAAGGGGCGGGGGACAGACATACGAGAGGGATTGGCTGTAAGTGGAAGCAGTGTTGGAGTGGTAAGGCCAGGAGGCGAGGAGGCGAAGGAGGCAGAGTCGTTGTAGAGAGAGAGCGAGTCGGAATCGTCATCGTTGTACTGGCCAGTGGCACCAGAGGGCTCTCCTGTGGGGTAGCCGTCGGCAAACTGCTGCATGAGGTGTTTGGCGCGGTCCTGAGGGGTAGAGAAGGGGGAAAAGAGGAAGGGAAAGGGGAAAAGGAGGAGGAAGGGGAGGGACAAGGTGGTCAGGGTAAGCAGCAGCACTGGTGCGGTCAGGCGAGGAGGCGAAGGAGGCAGAGTCCTTGTAGAGAGAGAGGGAGTCAGAATCATCGTCGTTGTACCGGCCACCACCAGCAGCACCTGACGGTTCCCCTGTGGGGTAGCCGTCCGCAAACTGCTGCATGAGGTGTTTGGCGCGGTCCTGAGGGGTGGAGAGGGGGGAAAACGGAAGGGAAAGGGGGAAAGGAGGAGGAAGGGGAGGGACAGGGTGGTCAGGGTAAGCAGCAGCACTGGTGCGGTCAGGCGAGGAGGCGAAGGAGGCAGAGTAGTTGTAGAGAGAGAGCGAGTCGGAATCGTCATCGTTGTACCGACCGGCAGCACCAGAGGGCTCTCCTGTGGGGTAGCCGTCGGCAAACTGCTGCATGAGGTGTTTGGCGCGGTCCTGAGGGGTGGAGAGGAGTGGGGGGAAAGGGGAAGTGGTTGGAACGAGGAAGGGGAAGGAAGGAGGGACAAGCAGGGCGAGGTGACTGTAATTAGCAAGAGCGCTGGCGAAACTAAGCAAGGAGGCGAAGGAGGCACTGTTGGCCGGTGTAGAGGGTGAGTGAGCCATAGGCGCGAAGGTAGAGTGGCTGACATACCTGGGCTCACATCGCAATGCAGGGGGCAGAAGCGGCGTTACCTGGGAAATCGTGGGCTGCGTTTGTTGTTGAGGGAGGGAGCTGAGATTTTCCTGGCCATGGCCTCGTTGCACCTTGCACCAGACGGCTAAACCAACCAGGGATAGTAGCAGCCATACGTGGGTGGGTGGGAGTATGGAGTTATGTTGTGAGGGTCAGCAGCAGCTTCACCTGGGAGCGTGGGCTGCGGTTGTTGTTGAGGGAGAGCGCCGAGTCCTTGCCTGCCATAGCCTTGTTGCGCAAGATGGCTTGCTTTGCGTTCAAGGAATAAACAGCTTGGCCCCTGCTCTGCTTGCGGCCAGGGCCCCAATCGAAGCATCTGGGAGCACAGCAGTATCGTGTGAGAAACAGGTGCAACCTTACCTGCGAGCGCGGGCTGCGGTTGTTGTTGAGGGAGAGCGCCGAGTCCTTGCCGGCCATGGCCTTGTTGTGGCGCAGCTCAAAGCGCAGACACGCGTTCACCCACCGCAGATATACCACCTCCTCCACCTCGCTGAACCGGCTGTTCTGCAAACCCTCCACCTGTCGTAGTTGTGAGTATGGAAGGATAGAAAGAATATCGCTTGGAAAGAGAAAGGTAGCGCAGACACGCGTTCACCCACCGCAGGTACACCACCTCCTCCACCTCACTGAACCGACTGTTCTGCAAACCCTCCACCTGTCGTGGCAAGTGAGGATGGTGAGAGGTGGGAGGCATGAGATGGTGAGACGGAGATCGCTCTGCTGCAATGGAGACGCTGAAATCACTTATGAGAATTCTCAATGGAGATAGCGTTGCGTGCACAGCAGGGAGATCTAGCCCGATCATTATGGTAGAGAGGCGTGTTGCTGTAACCCACGTGCCTATGCCCTGCCGGGAGTAACTAGCCCACCCCGCCTGTCTGAGAAGATCGGCCACTACTTGTCACAGCAGAGAGGTAAAGGTGTAAAGAAGTGCACCCTGCTCGATAGAGGACTTATCCAGAGGGGCAACCCACCTGTCTGAGAAGATCGGCCACTCGCTGCCGCAGCAGCATGGCTTCCATCTGCGCCTTCTTCAGCTGCTGGCTCTGCAGCACAACACGGCAGTGGGGGAGGGTGGGGATGGCAGAGGGAGAGAGGAGAGCGGGAGTGAGTGAGAGGGGGACAGAGGGAGGGACAACAGCGGAGAGAGAAGGCGAGTGGGTCAGCCACTCGCTGCCACAGCAGCATGGCTTCATCTATGCCGTCTTCAGCTGCTGGCTCTGCATCATAATGGAGGGGAGGGGGAACAGTAAGATGAGAGCAGGGGTGAGTGAAGCGGAGTGCACAGCACAAAGGGGGGGGGTTGGTAGGGAGGGCGACAGATGAAGAGATGGAGCGGGAGTGAGCAAGAGGAGGACAATGGGAGGGACAACAATGGGAGAGAAGGCGGGTGGCCACTCTTTGTAGCAGCAGCATGTACCATCTATTGTGGTTAGCTCAGGCGCTATGAGGTGGGCATATGCGCCTGTGCCTCTTACACGAAATAGATACAACCTTCTCTGACACTCCCAAAGGTTAGGGTTACGTTACCACTATTACCCCAGCTGTTGCGTACCTCAGACGTATGAGTCTATCCATGTGCGCCTGCGCCTCTGCGAGCTGCACGCTCATGTCTGGCCGGTCAACGTGGCTACAGGGTTACCACAGGCGCCCCTCCCCCCAGTTACCTCTGGCGCGATGAGTCTATCCATGTGCGCCTGTGCCTCGGCCAGCTGCACGCTCATCTTCCTCCTCTGCAGCTGCACCTCATGGCTGGCCGCTCAATGCGTGTATAGGGTTACCACACCCCCCTGCTTGTTACCTCTGGTGCAATAAGCCTATCCATGTGCACCTGTGCCTCTGCCAGCTGCACGCTCATCGTCCTCCTCTGCAGCTGCAACCCATGGCTGGCCAGTTCATGCATGCACCACCCAACCAGGAGAGATACAGCCTTCCCCCACAGCAGTTACCTACCTCTGGTGCAATAAGCCAGTCCATGTGCGCCTGGGCCTCTGCGAGCTGCACGCTCATCTTCCTCCACTTGATGAACCCCCACACAGGAGGAGAGAGAGGGTTACCACAGGTCCCCAGTGCTTACCTCTGGCGCTATGAGTCTGTCCATGTGCGCCTGCGCCTCGGCCAGCTGCACGCTCATCTTCCTCCTCTGCAGCTGCAGCTCGTTGTTCATGCGACGAGCCTCCACCAGCTCCACCTCCACCTTCTCCTGCGCCTGTGGTGATGGAGAAAAGAGGGAGAGAAGGAGAGTAGAGGGCAAAAAGAGGGTGAGTAGAGGTACGATAGTCAAAGAGCCTCCACCAGCTCCACCTCCACCTTCTCCTGCGCCTGGAATGAGAGGAAGAGAGAAAGAACGAAGTGGGGGGAGGTGGGTCAAGCAAGAAACAAGGTGACATGAACCATCATAACACGCCACTCTGCAGCTGCAGCTCGTTGCTCATCCTCCTCGCCTCCACCAGCCCCACCTCCACCTTCTCCTGCGCCTGTAAGGGGAAACGAGGGGTGGGGAGAGGAAGAGGGAGAGGAGGAGAGAGCAAGGGTGCAAGCGAACAACAAGGTGTTCTGAGAAGCCTCACAACACAATAACATGACTTTTGAGTCGACTCAAAAATGTTCTGAGACGCCTCACGCAAACATGCGGCTGCTATGCAGCCCATTCTCCGCCTCCACCAGTTCCACCTTCCCCAGAACAAAGTGTCCAATAATCAACGTCCCCCATTCCCTACCTTTCCCACCTCACCAACCATCCCACCACTCAATGCTCACCCTCCTCCCTTTCTCACTCCTTCCCCACCCACCCACCTTGCGAAGGGCCTCCACCTCCTTGTGCTTCGCCAGAGCTAGAGCCAAAGTGTGTATCACCCGTATCCCTTCCCTGTAGCACGATTACCCAGTCTCCACCCACTTCGTCTCCCCTCCCTTCTCACCCCCCTTCTCCCCCCCCCTCTCAACCACCCACCTTGCGCAGTGCCTCCACCTCCTTGTGCTTCGCCAGGGCCAGAGCCTCCTTGGCGTTCACCTCCTCCTCGCGGGCTTTGAGTGACGCCACCACCTGGGGCGATGGGGAGCAGAGGGGAAAGACATGAGTATGCTTAGTATAAACAATTGGAGTAGGTTAGAGCTAGGGCCTCCTTGGCGTTCACCTCCTCCTCGCGGGCTTTCAACGACGCCACCACCTGGGGCGATGGGGAGATGTTAAGGAGTGAGAGGATTCAGGTCCATGAGAGTAGCGGGTATGTTGAGTGTAAATGGTTGGAGTAGACTGGAGCCAGCACTAACACCAGGCGTATTGCAACCTGCCAGTCATATAACAACCCGCCAGGCGTACAGCAACCCGGCAGCACCCATACCTGCTTGAGTGCAGTGATTTCTGATGAAGAGCTCGAGCTGATCCGCAGCTGCTTTTGCAGTTTCAACAGCACCAGGCATGAAGCAGCACACCAGCACCCATACCTGCTTGAGAGCCGTGATCTCTGATGAAGAGCCCGAGCCTATCCGCAGCTGCTTCTGCAGTTTCAACAGCAGTAGCAGCAGGCATAAAGCAGCAAATCAGCTGTATAGCAGCACACCAGCACCCATACCTGCTTGAGTGCAGTGATCTCTGATGACGAACCCGAGCCTATCCGAAGCTGCTTCTGCAGCTCTCTCTCCCGTGCCCGCAGCTCGTTCAGCTGTGGCGTTCAGGGAGTGGGGCAATGGAAGGGGAAGCGGAGGAAGGAGATGAGGGGGAAAGTGAGGCGTTTTGAATCGAGCGCCGGAAGGAGGGCAACTTCTGAGACGTTTCAGAAGTCTGTTTCTGTAGCTCTCTCTCTTACGCTCTCAACTCGTTCAGCTGTGGCGTTCAAAGACTGGGGCAATGGAGGGCGCGGGGAGGCAGGAGAAGTGCAGGCAGCAGAGCTTGGGCAAAGCGTCGTGGGATTGGAGGGCGTGGGGGAGTGAAGGTGAAGCGCAAAGGGAGACAGGAGACGCACACATTGGAAATAGCCAAAAGCGGACCCGGAATAGCGGAGCGTGAATAAGGGAGCGTCAAAAGCGGAGCAGGAAAGAAGGAAAATCAAAAGCGGAGCGGGAAAAAGGAGCGGGAAAAGAGGAGTGCAAAAGAGCGTGGCTAGCCATCAATTCTCCGCTCCATCTTCACCTCCTCCCCCTCAAACCTCTTCCCGTCCTAACCACCCCTCCTCCCCCTCAAATCTCCACCCGTCCTAACCACCCCTCCTCCCCCTCAAATCTCCACCCGTCCTCCCCCTCAAACCTCCACCCGTCCTGACCACCCCTCCTCCCCCTCAAACCTCCACCCGTCCTGACCACCCCTCCTCCCCCTCAAACCTCCACCCGTCCTAACCACCTCTCCTCCCCCTCAACCTCTCCGCAACCCCACCACCCTACTCCACCTCAATCCACCCCTGCTTCCCCTCCTCGCCTACTTATTGATCTTATCCAGCGCTCACTGCTGCTTCTGAAACTCGCTCTCCGCCATACTTTTGCTTCAGACACCCAGATTCCAGCTCAGTCCCTTTCCCCACTCACAACAACCCCCAGAAATCCCTGCTTCCCCTCCTCACCCCCTTCTCAACCCCTCAAGTCCTTCTCATCTCACCCCTTCAGGTCAGCCCCTTCTCACTACCCTCCTCACCTCCATCTTGATCTTATCCATTTCCTGCATGTCCAGCGCCCATTGCTGCTTCTGAAACACGCTTGTCCTTGCCTCCAGGCACCCAGCCTCCTGCTAAGTCCCTTGCTTCAACCTCCACCCACCCTCGCATCCCCTCTTGCACCTCAATCCCCTATCCTCACTCCCTTCTCAACCCCTTCGACTCACCTCCTTCTTGATCTTATCCATTTCCTGCATGTCCAGCGCCCACTGCTGCTTCTGGAACACGCTCTCTGCCGTGCCTTTACCTTAATCACCCAATCTCCTCTTCAGTCCCTCGTTTCAATTTAACAACAACCCCCACCCATCCCCGCTCCCAATCATCCCCACCTTCTCACTCCCTTCTCATCCCCTCACCTCACTACCCTCCTCACCTCCTTCTTGATCTTATCCATTTCCTGCATGTCCAGCGCCCACTGCTGCTTCTGAAACACGCTCTCCGCCATGCCCTTGCGCAGCCGCACCACCTCCGCCCGCTCCCGCTCCACCTCCCGCCGCTGCCTCTCCACCTCCTCGCCCCCATACCTCAGCTGCCTCAGCTCCTGTGGAGGGGAGGGACAGACAGGGAACAGACGGGGGAAAAATAGCGGGCATGGGAGGCAGGCACGATCAGGCAAAGATGGCTTCAGGCGCTTCTAGAAGCACCACCTCCGCCCGCTCCCTCTCCACCTCCCGCCGCTGCCTCTCCACCTCCTCGCCCCCATACCGCAGCTGCCGCAGCTCCTGTAAATGGGGAAACCGAGAGGACAACACACAGCCTGGCATGAGAGCAGCAAAGAGGAGGGCTTAATCAGGGAGACCAAAATGCACCACCTCCGCCCGCTCCCTCTCCACCTCCCTCCTCTGACTCTCCACCTCCTCGCCCCCATACCTCAGCTGCCGCAGCTCCTGTGAAGAGGGAAACCGAGGGGACAACACACAGCCTGGCATGAGAGCAGCAAAGTGGAGGGCTTAATCAGGGAGACCGAAATGCACCACCTCCGCCCGCTCCCTCTCCACCTCCCTCCTCTGACTCTCCACCTCCTCGCCCCCATACCTCAGCTGCCTCAGCTCCTGTGGAGGGGAGAGACGGGCAGGAAACAGACGGGGAGAAAAAGGCGGGCATGGGAGCAGCAAAGAGGCAGGCATGATCAGGGGGAGATGGCTTCAGGCGCTCCTAGAAGCAACAAGAGGCCTAAAATGCACCACCTCCGCCCGCTCCCTCTCCACCTCCCTCCTCTGACTCTCCACCTCCTCGCCCCCATACCGCAGCTGCCGCAGCTCCTGTAATGGGGGAACCGAGAGGACAACACACAGCCTGGCATGAGAGCAGCAAAGTGGAGGGCTTAATCAGGGAGACCGAAATGAACCACCTCCGCCCGCTCCCTCTCCACCTCCCTCCGCTGCCTCTCCACCTCCTCGCCCCCATACCTCAGCTGCCGCAGCTCCTGTGGGGAGGGACAGACAGGGAACAGGCGGGGGAAAAAGGTGGGCATGGGAGCAGCAAAAGGGGGGAGATGGCTCCAGGTGGTTCTAGAAGCATCAGAGGCCTAAAATGCACCACCTCTGCTCGCTCCTCTCGACCTCCTCGTCCCTATACCGCAGCTGCCGCAGCTCCTGGTGTGGGAAGACAAGACACAATGTCTAGAAAGGTATCACCTCCTCCTGCTCCCCCTTCACCTCTCTCTGCTGCAAGCGCCTAGAATGATCGTGCTGCTGCCGCATCTCCTCTGCGCTGCACCCTCACCCACACCTGTATACCCTCACACACCTGCAAACCCCTCTACACCCTACAAATGACCCCTATATTCTCACTCAACCCCACCCCACGACCTGCAGTTCGGCCATGAGCTGCTCGTGCTGCTGCCGCATCTCCTGCACCTCCTGCTCACACACATCCTCACACACCTATTCATACCCTCATATACCCACGTACACCCTCAAACACCCTCATACCCCCCCTCACACCCACCTGCAGTTCCGCCATGAGCTGTTCCTGCTGCTGCCGCATTTCCTCCGCGCTGCACTGCAGCTCCCACACCTCCCGCTGGTGCTCCTCCGCCCTCACGCGCTGCTGCTCCTCCAGCTGCTCTCTCTCCTGCACCTCCTGCTCCACCCTTGCCTCTACCTCCGCCACCTCCGCCATCACCCTCTCATGCACCTCTTGCTGCGCCTTCACACACGCTCACACACTCCCCTAGACCCTCACACCCTCATACACCCTCAGAGGCTCATAAACCCCGCTCACACCCACCTGCAGTTCCGCCATGAGCTGTTCCTGCTGCTGCCGCATCTCCTCCGCGCTGCACTGCAGCTCCCACACCTCCCGCTGGTGCTCCTCCGCCCTCACCCGCTGCTGCTCCTCCAGCTGCTCTCTCTCCTGCACCTCCTGCTCCACTCTTGCCTCTACCTCCGCCACCTCCGCCATCACTCTCTCATGCACCTCCCTCTCCACCCTCGCCCTCACCCCCTCTATCTCCCTCGCGTGCGCCTCCTTCAGAGCTTTCTCCTGCGCAGCTAGCAGCGCCTGCACTCGCTCCTCCTCCCGCGCTCGCTCCTCTCTAACCCGCTCCTCCCTCACCCGCTCGTCTAGGTCCCGAAGCCCGTTGGGAAGCGCAGCAACGGCCGACGGACCAAAGCTCAAGGCGGAAGGGGAGTCGCTGGGGAGAACGTTCCGGAGCGCTGCTTTCCGGCCGTCGAGAGCGAGTTTGGACTCAAAGTCAGACCACACGTCTGGTACGTCCTTGTCTGAGAAGAACTCCTCTCCCGATGCAGCGCCCTGCTCGTCTCCCCACCTTACGCTCCCCTTGCCCCTTTCACGTGCCTCCACAGCCGTCTCTCCAAACACGCCATTCTCAAGACCCCCACCACCCGCACTGATATCCCCACCAACACCACCATCTTCCGGACCGCCAGAGGCGGCAGTAGCACCAAAGGGAGAAATACCCTCAGTGCCCAAGGGTATGCTTCCACTGTCCCCTCCTCCTCCTCCTCCTCCTCCTGCTGCTGCTGGTGCTACCTTCCCATCTGCCAACATCTCAATTCCATCTTCCCCGTCTTCCCCTTCCTCTTGCCCCTGCTTGTCCTTACCCTTCCCCTTCCCCTTCCCTTTCCCCTTCCCCTTCCCTTTCTCCTTGCCTTCCTTCTCCTTCTCCTTATCCTTCTCCTCTTTCTCCTTCTTCTTCTTCCTCTTCTCCTTCCGGTCACTCTTCCTGTCCTTCCTTCCCCTCTCGCCCTCCTCCTCCTCCCCTCTCCCTTCACTAGTCACTACATCCCCCCCAGAGCCCCCGTAATAGTCCCTTCCATCTACAGTCACATCAGGAACACCAGCAGCAGCACCACCACCAGCAGCAACACCACCAGACGCCCGCACACGCCCCTCCTTGTGTTTGTTCCCTGACCTTCCCCCTCCCCTTCCCTCTCCCCCTGCTCCACCCCCCGTTTGAGCCACCCCCGTGATCCCATGCCCTTCCCCGCCTCCCTGACCAAACGTCGCGCCAACTCTCCCGTGTGACAGTAACGAGCGGTCCCTTTCCTCCCCCACGCTCTCCACGTCATTCAGCTCCGCCACTGGCCGCTCCCCTTGCTGCCCTTGCGCCACCGCCTGGCACACGCAGCACAGAAGGGAGCCACGCAGATACGGCAGAGGGAAAAAAGGGGCAACTTATATTTTGTGCCTGGGCCCCTCTCCTCCCTACGCTCTCCACGTCATTCAGCTCTGGCACTGGCCGGACCCCCTGCTGCCCTTGCACAGCCGCCTGGCACATGACGGGTAGTGAGGGAAGGCATGGGGGAAGGACGGTAGTAAGGCACATCAAGAACTACGCTCTCCACGTCATTCAGCTGCGGCACTACGCTATCCCCCTGCTGCCCTTGGCACATGACGGGTAGGGAGGGAAGGAACGGAGGAAGGACGGTAGTAAGGCACATCAAGAACTACGCTCTCCACGTCATTCAGCTGCGGCACTACGCTATCCCCCTGCTGCCCTTGGCACATGACGGGTAGGGAGGGAAGGAACGGAGGAAGGACGGTAGTAAGGCACATCAAGAACTACGCTCTCCACGTCATTCAGCTGCGGCACTACGCTATCCCCCTGCTGCCCTTGGCACATGACGGGTAGTGAGGGAAGGAACGGAGGAAGGACGGTAGTAAGGCACATCAAGAACTACGCTCTCCCCGTCATTCAGCTCTGGCACTGGCCGGACCCCCTGCTGCCCTTGCGCAGCCGCCTGGCACGTGCAGCACGGGAGGGAGCCACACATATATGGCAGAGGAAAAAGAGGGCAACTTAGAGTTTGTGTCTGGGCCTCTCTCCTCCTCCCCCACGCTCTCCACGTCATTCATCTCCTTCACTGGCCGGACCCCCTGCTGCCCTTGCACAGCCGCCTGGCACATGCAGCACGTGGGGGAGACACGGAGGTAAGACATGGAGGCGGGAGAATGTAGAGGGAGGAGGAGGAGGGGGAGGGGCGAAAGAGAGGGAGGAGGGGAAGAGGGAGGAAGAGGAAAGGAGGAGTTGCGTGGAATGTTTGTGTTTGGCAGCACATGGGTGAGACGGGCGCGATGAACGGAATAGGCACGATGCAGTCGAGTTGACTTTTGAGTCGACTGAAAAGTCAACTCGGAGGAGTTGCGTGGGGTGTTTGTGTTTGTGTTTGGCAGCACATGGGTGAGACGGGCGTGATGAACGGAGTAGGCATGATGCAGTCGAAAAGGTCACGGGCGTGCCTTCGTTTCACTCACACCCTCGTTTTACTCACATCTTGTTCACGCTGCGACCGTTGCTGCCGCCTCCGCCGCCGCCGTCGTTCCTCTTCCTGCCCTGAAACCGGGATAGACGAGAAAGAAAGGAAGCTCGAATCAAACCGTGGTCTTCTGGGTCGGCGATTCAGGAGCAGTTCTGCTAACGGATTGATCTGGGGGATTGCGTAACTCTGTAACAGTAAAATTCGTGTATGCATCGCTAGTCGGGCTGAACACCCCAGAACATAGATTTTGAGAGCATGAAAGCGTGAGTGCAAGTCGATTGACGCGCAACCGTAATGCGAGCGAGCGATGCTATCAGGAAGCCTGGGATTCCAATGTAGGTGGACGATCGGCTGTCGTAGCTCAACTCGTCGACACGCGGAATGGTAACCAAATACGATACCCAAACACGGCAACAGGCATGTAATTACATGTAACCAGACACGACAACAGGCACGGTAACCAAACCGGCGACCAGAGACAGTATCCGCAGACATTAACAGACACAGTTACCATAGACGACAGCCAGGCATGGCAATCGGCACGGTAACCAGAATGGATAATTGGTAACCACTTTTGGTATCCAGATACGGAAACCAGACACCTGGGTACGCGTGCGCGACGCGGTTGATCTTCACAAGGACTCCTGGGTGTATCTTACTCTGGTTGTGGCCGGCTCCAAGAACTTGCTTCGCAACGACGGCGGCTGCTACTGCTGCTACAACGAATTTGAGAGCGCCGTCCATCGCGGATTGCTTTCGCCTAATAATCTGTCATTGCGAATGTGACAGGGGGAGGCTTTCGGCAGGAGCCTGATAGAAGAAGTCGACTCAAAGGGTGACAGGAGGAGGAGCCATGATCGGGAATGGGGACAGATGGTGTGATGATGCACCGCTGTATCAGCGCATTAGACTCAGCAGAGAGCTACGTGGCGTCGGAAAGGAGAGTCAGCAGAAGTTGCATCATCTGGTGCTCAGCAGGACGACTTGACGTATGGGGAAGTGAAATTCAAGAAGGGATTTCCGCATTAGATGTGTAACCTACATCCGTAGAACGCGACACGAGACAACCATTTGTTGGATTTCCAGAAATCTGTTGCCTTTCAAAGCATGGCAGACGGAGCTACATCCAAGCGGCCTTACAGGGCAGACGGGGTAACAGCTCAGATCAGCCTGCTTGCACGAGCACCAGGCTCCATAAACCAACAAGCTCTCCCCCGACTGTTTTTGCTGGTTGCATCAGCAAGTACAAGAGACTCGCAATATGTCGGAAGAAACAAGAAACCCCACTCAACCAGTTTAGAAAAACAATGAACCGTTCTGGAACGTAAATATCGCACCAAATCGCAAAGCAGAGCCGAAGCCAAGTGGAGGTAAAATGAAATCAAACCAGGCCCAGCCAGACCAGGGCAGGCTTGGGCAAGCCCGTGCCTCCCCCACTGATCAAGCGATGCCCCTTACCCGAGCCTGTTCTGTCACACCGAACATTCTTTCCGAACCCGCCCTGGCCTTGTTTGGCGGGAACATCAGAGGCTGAGAAGGCTTGGCCAATGAGAACAACCCAAGAGATTGTCCCCAACGCCAAGCCGCACCCACATCTAAAAGTTTGTTAGTGAGCTGACCGGCCTAAGTTCCAAGTGTTTACAGTACCATGGATTTCAACATTGATCACTCGAGAGGCAACAAAATTTCCTCATAGTGCCGTCCTCTCCACACCACACCACCCAAAAACACACAAACAAAGACTGACTGGTCAGAAATAGAAGCAAAAATCTCACTCAGCATCCCTGCTGGTCGACAGCCACGTCAGCAGCACAGCTTACACATTGCACGAGGAACCATTGTACACTAAAAGTACACTCGTTATAACATCATCGTTTACTAGCTAACACAAACAAGAAATCAGAAAAAAAAAACACATTACAGAGAATAAACTCTTGCAATCAGGGGGGGGAAAGGTATCGCTGGTTCCCCCAAATTATGACTAATCTGCAATGTCATCCTGAAGCTCCTCGTTCATTGTCTCATCCTGAAATATAAAGAAAATAATATGGATGCTCATTCATGGATGTGTTCCAAAGAAAGCAGCAAGAGCGTGATAAAGAAAATGCTCCTCAATCCTCACCTCTTCAAGTTTCTTGGACACAAGCCGCTTTTTCTTTGCAGGTTTTGGCGCCTCTTCTTGCTTCTCGTCATCATCCTCCGTATCCCCAACACCCTCCACCCTGGATTGCTGCTGAGAAAATGGATGAAACGACTTATTAGTAGTTTTTCTAAAAGCACACCTTTGGTTACATGTCGACTTTGCTAATCTCCTTACCATGTTGTATTCTTCTAATTGCGCCTCGTACTCTTTCTTGCGCTCTGCCGCTCGCTTCTTGTACACCTCTTTTTCCTGCAAATTCAGGGAACCAGCAATCGTCAGGGACACTCCTCAAGGTAACAGCAAAAGAGCGTGATTTTGGGTAGTCAGTCGTAAACTAGTGTTCAAGGGAACATACTTCAACGTTTGAACTCACCTCGTCAGTCATGCTCTGCCACTTGGCCCCAGCGGCTTTGCTCATCTGCACGTTTCGCACGACAAAAATGCACAAGGCAAACGACATCACACTTAGAGAAACGTGCGTAGAAATTGCAAGAACTTTGACAAACGCTCCTGACTATGGTTGCCGCTGAAGAGTACCGCACCTCTGTGATCTTGTTGTCGGGATGCTCTTCCTTGTACTCCTTCCGATAATCGTCTCTGCAAATTACAGTTCCACATGCTCAAAGACCACGTCAACAATTCCCAATTTCGTAAGCATTCAACTGCGGCGAGGTTCACAGGAGCAAGTATCAGGCTTAAGCTGAACCAAAATGCACGGAATTGTGCACAAAAACACGCCTATCAGGCGAAAATGGCGGGACGTACAGGAACAGGAAGTATGCGGTTGCTGGTTTCTTGGGGGCGTTGGGGTCCTTTTCAGCTTTCCGTTTCTGCTGCTTCTCCTCCTTGGTCTGCTTCGACTTCTGCTGCTTCTCCTCAGCTTTCTGCTTCCTGTAGGGCAAGAAAATAAATGATGTTCAGAGGCGCAATGATGTTCCGGCCGACTCGCTGTAATCAGCACGAAAACAAGGCGAAACTGATGGGTGGCGGCGGAATTATCGCAATGATGTGACTTACTTCGCAGCGGCTTCCTCTGCCATACGCTCTTGAAACTCCAACCGCAAACGATCTGCCACGCATTTAACACCCGAAATCAAGTCACGCATGCGTGAGCACCAGCGTCAGAATAGGCTGCAGCGACAGACCAGAGTGGTCCTGGAAATGACAAATCTCAGACAAATCAAATCCCTGAGGCGAATCAAATCTGAGACGAATCTCATCAGCATCTGAGCATTGCACTCTGACTGACCAAAATGAGGACATTTAGACTGAGGACATGAGGTAGAAGATGAGCCTGGTTGGGACCACCCACCAAGGTTGGCTTTGAACGCAGCGTCGTTCTCGCACAAGTGCATGTCCGCCGTCGCAACGGGCACCTTGGAGCCGCATGCCTCGCTGCCAGACAAGAGTTCCAAACGACAGCAAACACAATTACAAATCCATACTCTTAAAAATAAAACAGATGCCGTTACGTGAGTACAAAGATGTCGTTTCAAGGCATTTCAGGCTTCACCATGTGAGAAACGCGCTGCCATCGGGAGCTCGACGCATGATTGTCGGCTCGACGCTCTTCACGCGCTTTTTAGGTCCAGGTCTGGCCATGGCGCCGCTCGCCTAACGGTTATAGCCTAGTAAAGAACGCTTAACTATTGTAACGGTGATAGCCCAGTGAGAAGCTGAACGGTTCAGTAACTAATGTAGCAACTATGGAGAAGCGCGTCTCCGCCGTCAAGCTAGAGAAAAGAGAGAATAAACGCAAGTCCACGGTAATGCCACGATTGCTGTCTCTATAGAACTCTAATACGAAGGTTTTGCTATCGGGAGAACGAGGCGATCGAAGGTGTAATCAAGCTCATGGGAATGGCTTATGAAAATTGGAAGAGAACTAGGCAAAGCACTGAGCAACTTTGTCCATGCAGCACCGTCGCCTCGCCAGCATGTAGAAGTTGGCGGGGCCGATGTGAGCAGTATGGTCACCCTTTCAATTGTGAGCTTTACACCTAGAAATTGCGTGCCTCATTGTATGCTATCTCTCCAACGTACAGTTTTATGGGAAATATTTCAAAAGGGTGAATGGGTTCGTAAACTACGGTGTTTTGTTCTAAGTAAATGTGATCCCTAAACACTCCACAACAACGAAAAAGCCGTTCCGACGCACCCAAAAGCACAAAAAATTTTAGGGTAGCCTTATAAAATGAAACAAAGCATGTGCTTGCGCTTCGCAACTCCACAGCAGGGAAGTTTTGAATTCGAATGTTCAAGTTCACATTCGAAATTCGGCGAATGTCACCGCATCCGCTTTACAGCCCACGAATTGGCTTGCAGCTTGAAAGTACACTCTACAATACCTGAACTAAAATCGAAAACCAAATGACTCCATAATTCTTCATTCATTTGGCTTACTATTCGGCAAAATACACAAGGTGCACAATAGGATCTATAGCAAGCTATTGTTGGTCCATATCTAGCATAAGCTTGTCCATCTCTCCAGCACTGCCAATTCTAGCGGCAAGCCCAACCCCAGCAGGACTACTCCCACTGCTGCCCCCTTGCACCTTGCCTTGCAAGGGGACCATCTCAGAAGCCCTACCTCCAGACAACGGAGACCCCTTTATTGTCACACTGCCTAGGGTTGGCGTTCCTACACCTTCCTTTCTTAGGTCCGGCGAACCCCCTGCTGAAGGTGGAGGCGGGAGTGGTGGTGGTGTGGCGGTTGGCATCAGCTTTGGCGTGCCCAGGTTCGGATTCCGCGACGTAATCGGCGTAGGGTCGTCGCCATCCCCAGGTTCGGCCGAAGCTCCATACGGCCTCATCCCCCCTCTAGAAGGAGGCGAAGCCATCCCCATCTTCTCCATTGCCTCCCGTAAAATTCCCACCTCCGCCATCTGCTCCTGCTGCTGTTTCAGCTGTTGGTGGTGGTGCGGCTGCTGCTCCAAGTCTTCTTCCATCTCCACAAACCCTCCACCCTGTGCACTCGATGACGACAGTGTAAACCCCAGCGGAGCAGATGTGGGATCGTTCGCTTCGGTCGAATCTACCGCCGATGACATATCAGCCGCTGCAGAAAACGCCGCTGCTAACCTCGCAGCTAAAAACGTCCCTCCAGCCAAAGCCACGCCCACCGTGCTGCCCAACACCCCAGCGCCCTCCGTGCCCCCAGAACCACTGTCTTTCCCATTTCCACCGTTGACCAGCTTCCCATCAGGCTGATCAACGGTTGAGATGAGCTGTGTGCCTGAGAGGAAAGAATCGGAGGAGTCAGTGCCAGCGCCCTGAGGGCTGGTGATTGTGGTGGGGCCAGCTGGACGGTCGGACGTGGAGAGGGCCTCGAGGTCTGTGAAGTGGTGCGGCTGGCTGCTGCTGCTGGCAGAGCGCCTGCACGACTCCATCTCCCTCCCTGGCACATGCAGGTTTGGGGTGGGGGCGGCGAGGGGGGTGGGGCAAGGTTGGGGAGGGAAGGGTGAGCTTTGAAGTCGATGAGGTGCGCGCGAAAGAGAAAAGAATTGGCAGAGTCAGTGCCAGCGCCCTGAGAGGCAGCAGCTGCGGTGGGGCTGGGAGGACGGTGGGAGGTGGAGAGGGCCTCGAGCTGCTGCTGCTGGCCGAGCGCCGACACGACTCCATCTCCCTCCCTGCCACATAGAAGTTTGGGGAGCGGGTGGGGAGGGGGTTGCGGGAGGGTTGGGGAAGCATTGGAAGAGTCATTTCAGTGAAGCGCCCTGAGAACCTGTGGTCGTGGTGGGGAGGTGGAGAGGGCCTCGAGGTCTGTGAAGTGGTGCGGCTGGCTGCTGCTGCTGGCCGAGCGCCGACATGACTCCATCTCTCGGTCTGGAAGCAGGAGGGTAAGGGATGGGGGGGGTTTGGGGTTGGGATGAGGGGGCGGTGGTGAGCTTTGAATTGATCCAAGACTGGTGCACTCTCCGTCGAAATGAGCTGTGCTCCCAAGAGAAAAACAATGAATGGGTCGTCCCTGACGCCTTGAGAGCCAGCAGGACAGTGGGAGGAGGAGAGGGCCTCGAGGTCTGTGAAGTGGTGCGGCTGGCTGCTGCTGCTGGCAGAGCGACGACACGACTCCATCTCCCTCCCTGGAAGCGAGGGGATGGGGGCAAAGGGAGTGTTTGGGATGGGGAGAGAGTGGTGGGGCTGACTGCTGCCATTGGCAGAGCGCCGACACAACGTAAATGCACCTGACGGCATGAAAACAAACCTGAGGGAACGAAAACACACCTGAAGGCAAAGAAACCCACCTGAGGGGACGAAGGTGCGTGTGCGGTAGTGGTGTGTCTCCCCCGTGCCATCACTGTAGAGCACATAGTCGTGGTACGTGGGGGCGAACTGCATGGGGGATTGGCACCCGTGAAGAAGGATGGAGCAAAGGAGAAAAGGAGGGAAAACTCAGGCAGTGATGTGAGTCTCCCCCGTGCCATCGCTGTAGAGCTCATAGTCGTGGTACGTGGGGGCGAACTGCAGGAGTGGTAGGGGAGATGAGAAGGGAGGACGCATGGGAGAAAGGGTGAAAATATTCAGTCAGCAATGTGTGTCTCCCCCGTGCCGCCGCTGTACAGCACATAATCGTGGTACGTGGGGGCGAACTGCATGGCGGATTGGGGTTGGGGAGACAGGTAGGGATGATGTAATAATCACCAACGATGGTGCGAGTGTGGTAATGGTGTGTATCCCCCGCGCCATTGCTGTGCAGCACATAATCGTGGTATGTGGGGGCGAACTGCATGGGGGATACGGAATGGGGAAAGGGCGAAGGTCACAAATGATGTTGGGTTGGCATCACCAAACACAGGTGTCTCTCTCTTTCCCCCTCTCCCCCCTGCCGTCGCTGTACAGCACATAATCGTGGTACATGGGGGCGAACTGCATGGGGGAATGAACATGGGGAGACGGGTAGGAATGATGTAATGATCACCAACCAAAGTGCGAGTGCGGTAGTGGTGTGTCTCTCCCGTTTCATTGCTGTACAGCATTTAGTCGTGGTAGGTGGGGAACTGCATGGGGGATAGGGTATAATAGGTGGGAAGAGACGATGCAGGGGAAAAAGGAATGTAACTGAGAATGACCAGTCAACTCATGTCTTCATATCTCCCCCTTTTTCCCTCACCTAAACAGCGCTTTCTCATAAACCTGGTGAACACTGTTACCTGGTAACCAGCTCACCTGATGGAAAGTGTTGCCGACTACGTCAGTGTGAGATTGATGGCGTGCCTAATAAATAGCAGCAGAACCTGGTAACCAGGTTACATGATGAACAGAGCCGCTAGCAACATCACCAGGCGAACAATTCTCCCACACACCTGGAGAACAATCATTTCTCACTGGTAACCAGCTCAACTGGTGAACAGAGTCACGGACCACATCAGTGTGATTTATTGCATGCTCGATTGATCTCAGAGGAAGCTGGTAACCAGGTTACATGATGAACAGTGTCGCTGACAACCTCACCTGGTGAATGGTGACGCTGACAACATCTGTGAGGTTGATGGCATGCTTAATCGAACGAACTCAGCAGCCATGCCTGCTCGCCGTTCATGGCCACGTTGGCCTGCAGGAGCGGCTTCAAGGGGAAGGCGTGCATGAAGCCCACCCGGTAACCAGCCCATCCGGTGACCAGCCCACCTGGTAACCAGCCCACCTGGTGAACAATGCTCTCCCACCTACCTGGTGAACAGTGTCGCTGACAACGTCAGTAAAGTTGATGGCATGTTTAATCGACCGCAGCAGCCCCGCATGTTCCCCATTCATGGCCACGTTGGCCTGCAGAAACGGCTTGAAGGGGAAGGCGTGCATGAAGCCGAGCGCCCCCAGCACCATCTCGGCGCAAATGAGCACGTTCTGTAAATCAGCCGCGTCCTCTGCGCTGTGTACGTAACCTAGTTGCGCCACTATGAAGACCAGCACGCCCTGATGGGAATCAAGGCACCGGGGGGGATAGGGGAAGGGGGGGAGGGAGGTGTGAGGGTTGTGTCGCAGTAATGACTCCCTCAAGTCACAGAAAGAGGGTAGGGAGGGAGCAGGGGATCAAGGCAGGGAGGGAGGGTTTGAAGGGGAAGGCGTGCATAAAGCCGAGCGCCCCTGATGCAGGTGATGTAGATGTAGCCGTCTGAGAGGGCCAAGTTGATGACTGCTGGGTCTGCCCCTGCTACCCCCAGCTACCCACTGCTACCCACTGCTACCCACTGCGACCACTAGCAACCACACCACACCCATTCTCACCTGCCAGTAGGTCAGGAAGACGACTGCTTTGATCATCAGGAACTTGGGCACGGGGTTGAAAGAGCGTAGGAGCTCTCGGCACGCGACGTAGAAGAGAATGAGGGCGTAAATCGCCACGGAATAGGATGCCATGTAGATGCAGGTGATGTATATGTAGCCGTCTGAGAGGGCGAAGTTGCCGTCCTCATAGAGCCCGTAGTAGTAGAGGCACAGACACGTGGCCGCCAGGATGGGCTTTAAGTACACGAACTGCAGACAGCCCTGCTTGCACCTCCGGATGAAGCGACTGATGGGGGGAGGCGAAGGGGGATGGGGCAGGGGAGATGGAAGGGAGGCGGAGGGGTAGGGGGAGGGGGGGGGGGGGGGGGGGGGGGGGGGGGTTGGAGAAAGGGTATGCTGTGAGGGAAAGAGGCGCCATGTAGATGCAGGTGATGTAGATGTAGCCGTCTGAGAGGGCGAAGTTGCCGTCCTCATAGAGCCCGTAGTAGTAGAGGCACAGACACGTGGCCGCCAGGATGGGCTCTAAGTACACGAACTGCAGACAGCCCTGCTTGCACCTCCTTATGAAGCGACTGTTTGTTGTGGGGGGGAGGGCGTGGGGGTGGGGGGTGGGGAGTTGGAAGGAGGAATGTCAGAGGGACAACAAGGATGGGCTTGAAGTACACGAACTACAGACAGCCCTGCTTGCACCCCTGAATGACCTTGTTGGTGGGGGACTCTTCATGAGTGATCTGTCTCATCAACACACACACCACTCTTGGCACTCATCTGCCCCATGATGCACTCACCCGCCTCATCTCAAACATCAGCAATACTCGTCTCTCAGCAGCACTCACCCATCGAGGGGGATGGGCGGGAAGCAGCAGGTCATGAGCAGGTAGGACGGCTTGAGCAGGCGCCCTGTCAGACTCGTGACCACGGCACCACTCTCTCTCTCTACCGGAACGTCCCTCCAGTGCTCATCCTCTCACCATCGCTCACATTTCGCATTAGCACTCACCCGTCCAAGGGAATGGGCGGGAAGCAGCAGGTCATGAGCAGGTAGGAGGGCTTGAGCAGGCGCCCTGTCAGACTCGTCACCACAGCACCCGGTCCCCCCACCCAGGAGAGGCAGAGCGAGAGGAAGTTGTAGATCACCCATGCCTCGTAGCTGTTAGAAGGAAGGAGGGGGGGGGGAGAACAGAGATCAGTGGGTTGACAGGGAGGTAATGGGGAGAGGGACGGCTTGAGCAGGCGCCCTGTCAGACTCGTCACCACGGCGCCTGGTCCCCCCACCCAGGAGAGGCAGAGCGAGAGGAAGTTGTAGATAACCCACGCCTCGTAGCTGTTGAAAAGAGAGAGAGGGGAGGTGTGGGGAGCGAGGGAGAAAAGAGGAAATGCAAGAGGGGGGAGGTGAAGTGGGGGTAAAGGAGAAAGGATAAAGGGATTGGTGGTTTATGGTGAAGTCAACACGGCGCCTGGCCCGCCCACCAAGCGAGGCAGAGCGAGAGGAAGTTGTAGATCGCCCTCGCCCCGTAGCTGTTGAGGGTTTAGGGTGGGAAAAACAGAGAAGGAGGTTAGACCGAGAGGGGGGTGGAGAGGGGGAGGGGGAACGAGGTTTGACCGGAAGGGGGAAGGGGTAGGGGAGAGGGGAAGAGAGGTCAGGTGGAAATTCAGGGTGCGTGGTCTCCACGGCGCCTGTCCCCCCACGCAGGAGAAGCTGGAAAGGCTGTTCTGCTGAAGCCGCATCACGGGTTGCGGTTCCCGCATTGTGCTGCAAAGGTTTCATGCCCTTATCCACTTCACCACACATAGAGCACGCGCAGACCACATAAAGACCCACACTCACACAACCGCATCTCGGGTTGCGGTTTCCGCATTGTGGCGCAAATGTTTCACGCAATTATCACCGCATCACGGCACATAGAGCACGCGCACTCCACACAAAGACCCACACTCACACAATATTAACAACGCACGAGCACCATACTCACACGTCGCGTATCGTGTTGAAGTACATGGCGTAGTCGCTCATAACGAGAGCGCCGAATGACATTGTCGCGTATACCTGCCGCAAGGAAAGAAATCATACACGAACCCAACGGTGTGGAAAATTTTCCAAATGTTCAGAATCCGTACGCCGGAATGTTCGGCGTAGTTAGATACGCTGGAGTTGAAAAAGAAAACCTCGAGGGTCATCCGATAGGCCAACGAGATGAACTGGAACGTACGGGGACCATGAAGATGATCCGGACGATGTAACGCTGGTACGTGGGCTCGGTGTAGTTGCGGAGGTGCATGACGATGTGGCGTACGGAGAGAAACACGGCGAACACCATGCACACTAGCGACACCACCACCGCCGGCGTGCCTGAAAACGCATGCTCCGGAGGCGGCGCCGGCACCCACGCGCTAAAGTCGATTCCGAACATCTTGGAGCGTGGAGATTTAAGTGGCTTGGTTTTTTGTGACTGGATCAGGGACAAGGGATCATGAGTCCATCAGGTGTATCCCGGCCGACACTCGATTCGAGGTGATTAGGTGATAAATGCCCTAGTTTAAGGACTAGAAGTCCGTGGTGCGCAGATTGAATTACAACGTATCTTCAGCCTCGGATTAATCGCTGCGGAGCGCCGTCAACCCATTCCGTGCGAGCCGCGGCGATTAGCAGCTTATAGCAGACACGATCGGCGGTGAGACTGCCCTAACTACGGAAACGCGGTCTGAAAGAGTAGGCCAGACTAATCTAGAGGACAAGCTACAGAAACAGCGGCACTAAACTAATAACTACCGATAGAGGAGAGTTTGAAGCAACTGCCAAAGATCGGAAACCAACGACAAAAATGTCCGGAGGACCGTACTAAAATTTAGGAACCAGTAGCAGAAGCACTTAGCGACGGGCTACAACTGGGATCCACCAAAAATGGCGGGCTGGGGTGGGGAGGGGAGAAAGTTGGGGAGGAGGTTCTGATGCGTTGGCGACGTCCGGTTACCGCATGGAAAAGCGTCGTCTAGCTCTAGCGAAATCCGGTTCCGAAATCACATCTCAAGGTGAACGGCTGTGAGGTGCCAGAGTTTTGGCGGGGAAATACCACGTGGGTACCGCCCTGTGACAGAAGCGAGTGCGTCAGTAAGAAAGACATTCACAAAATATGTCAAGAGAATAGCGTCACTTAGGCGCTTTTCCTTTTTCTTCCAGTGTGTTCATTTGGCACTTTACGCATACCACTTACAATTAATCTTCTCAAACAAAACGACGGACCAGCTTTTGTCGAGGTTATATGAGCTAGGGCTTGGAACTCGAACAGGCTCGACCCTTATCTGAAACCCGAAACACTACCATGTGTGTCGAGAATATGGGAAAATATGTCAATGGTAACTTACATGGGGCACTAAAACGCGTACGGTAACGATTTCAACGCGTTTGGTAACTCGCTTAACGCGTTTGGTAACCTGCTTAACACGTTTGGTAACTCGTTTAACACATTTGGTAACTCTACACTAGCAGCCCATCACGCGAATGGTAACTACATGAAATTCCCACCGAAATTGAGCCTGATTCTGGTTTTTCCCGCTCGCGTCAGAATAAATTGACAAATCCTGAAGCAGAAAATTCTGACACACTCTCCGAAATTCTGACACAAAGTTCCGAAATTCTGACACACTTTCCGAAATCCTGACACACTTTAAGATTGGGGAAAATATGTCAATGGTAACTTACATGGGGCACTAAAACGCGTACGGTAACGATTTCAACGCGTTTGGTAACTCGCTTAACGCGTTTGGTAACCTGCTTAACACGTTTGGTAACTCGTTTAACACATTTGGTAACTCTACACTAGCAGCCCATCACGCGAATGGTAACTACATGAAATTCCCACCGAAATTGAGCCTGATTCTGGTTTTTCCCGCTCGCGTCAGAATAAATTGACAAATCCTGAAGCAGAAAATTCTGACACACTCTCCGAAATTCTGACACAAAGTTCCGAAATTCTGACACACTTTCCGAAATCCTGACACACTTTAAGATTGTCAGGCAAATTACAAAAACGTAAGTTTTGTGAAAACAGCTTTTCTTACATAAATGTTTCTGGCGCACTTTCCGCAAACTGTTTGTACTTTATTCTATCGTGCAGCCGGGGCAAACAAATCTATATCCCTTTCAGATGGCAAATAAATTTGAGAGCAACAACCTTAAACTTCTTGCGACCAGGCGTTTATGGATCTTTATTAAAAAAATGAAAGATTTAATTTTAAAAGGTTTTTTTTTTCCACATGAAAAAATATTCCAACGTTGCAGTATTAAAAAAAAAAAAGTAAAATTCCCTATGTCCTTTCGGGAATAGTTTTTTTTATCGTTTTGCAAGTTCGCAATCATGCTATCAAAATATGATGTTATCCATTTTTGTACGAGCTACATAATTATATATAAATTCTGAACTTTTCGGTCCGTGGTAATAGAACAAACGGGGTCCTTAATTTTCGTGGCGGGACGCGTTCAAGAAAGATAATGATGTGCGTAAAAGCTCTCAAACTCAATAAATTCCTCATTTTCATGTAGTTACCATTCGCGTGATGGGCTGCTAGTGTAGAGTTACCAAATGTGTTAAGCGAGTTACCAAACGTGTTAAGCGAGTTACCAAACGCGTTAAGCGAGTTACCAAACGCGTTGAAATCGTTACCGTACGCGTTAAAGTGCCCCATGTAAGTTACCATTGATATATTGTCCCTTAAGATTGTCAGGCAAATTACAAAAACGTAAGTTTTGTGAAAACAGCTTTTCTTACATAAATGTTTCTGGCGCACTTTCCGCAAACTGTTTGTACTTTATTCTATCGTGCAGCCGGGGCAAACAAATCTATATCCCTTTCAGATGGCAAATAAATTTGAGAGCAACAACCTTAAACTTCTTGCGACCAGGCGTTTATGGATCTTTATTAAAAAAATGAAAGATGTAATTTTAAAAGGTTTTTTTTCCATATGAAAAAATATTCCAACGTTGCAGTATTAAAAAAAAAGTAAAATTCCCTATGTCCTTTCGGGAATAGTTTTTTTTTATCGTTTTGCAAGTTCGCAATCATGCTATCAAAATATGATGTTATCCATTTTTGTACGAGCTACATAATTATATATAAATTCTGAACTTTTCGGTCCGTGGTAATAGAACAAACGGGGTCCTTAATTTTCGTGGCGGGACGCGTTCAAGAAAGATAATGATGTGCGTAAAAGCTCTCAAAATTGATAAATTCCTCATTTTCAGGAAGATTTCGGCGGGAATTTCATGTAGTTACCATTCGCGTGATGGGCTGCTAGTGTAGAGTTACCAAATGTGTTAAGCGAGTTACCAAACGTGTTAAGCGAGTTACCAAACGCGTTAAGCGAGTTACCAAACGCGTTGAAATCGTTACCGTACGCGTTAAAGTGCCCCATGTAAGTTACCATTGACATATTTTCCCCGAGAATATACTCTTTGCCTGTGACGATGTCCGCAGTAGCCTCAATTCAGCTGTGCTTTTTGTGAAAAATACACTTCACTGTACACGCCCTTCGCGAAACTGAGGTCAACTGCGCAATAGTTGTGTTTTTCTTCGTGATCATGCTTCGGCAGCATCAGAAAGCATTGTGTTGTGATCAAGGTCGAGCCTGAAACGATCTCAGGTCGCTGGGTCGGATCGGGTCGGTACCCGGCCAGTCGATAACCACGAATCGGGTCTCGCATTGCACTGAAAGACTTGTTCTTCGTCTGCTGGGTCGCAATGGGGGAGCAAGCGACGGTTCCGCGTCGCATAACGCACGTCATCTTCGACATGGACGGCCTCATTCTCGGTGCGTTGAACCGTGCCGGCGAATATCGGCTCGTAACGGCTCACGCCCTCTCACAACGGACTATCCCGGCTCATATATTGCCTCATTGTGCCTCACGAATATTACCATGGACCTCGAGGTGCCTCATAACGGCTCATAACCTCGAGGTTCGAGACACGGGCGGTCTCATTCTCACTCCCCTTCTCCCCCTCCACCCCCTCCCCTCTTCCCCCAGACACCGAGGTTTTGTATTCGGCACCCCAGAGGCGCGATCGCGCCCCCTGTCCCCTCTCTCCCCGCATCACTCCCCCTTTCCCCCCATCATTCCGTTTCTCCCCTTCCATCCCCTCCCCTCTTCCCCCAGACACCGAGGTTCTGTATTCGGCACCCCAGAAGCGCGACCGCGCCCCCTGTCCCCTCGTTTCCCGATTCTCTCCCTCCCTCCGCACCCCTCTTCCCCCAGACACGGAGGGTCTTTACACGGTATCCCAGCAGCGCATTTGGCCTTCTGTCCCCCTTTACCCCATTACTCCCCTTCTCCCCCACCCCACCTCCCCCAGACACGGAGGGTCTGTACACGGTAGCACAGCAGCGCATTCTCTCACGATTCAACCGCGAGTTCACATGGGCGCTCAAGGTCAAGATGATGGGCAAGAAGGCCGCCGAGGCTCCTCTTTTCCCCATCACATCACACCACTGCCACACTCGCTCCCTTCTCCTCCCCTCTGGCCCCTCTCCCCCTTGTCCCCCGCATCCCATCCCTTTCCGCATGCCCTTCCTCTCCCCTCTCTTCTCTCTCTCCCAGACACTGAAGGCCTGTACACGATAGCGCAGCAGCGCATTCTCGCGCGGTTCAACCGCGAGTTCACATGGGCGCTCAAGGTCAAGATGATGGGCAAGAAGGCCGCAGAGGCAGCTCCATTGCCCATCAAACCACAACCATACTCGCTCCCTTTCCTCCCCCGTGGCCCCTCTCCCCCCTGCCCCGCTTCTCTCCCCCTCTCTGTCCTCTTGTCCCCCTGTCCCCTTCCTCCTCGCTCTGTTTCCCTGACCCCACCTCCAGACACGGAGGGTCTGTACACTATGGCCCAGCAGCGCATTCTCTCGCGATTCAACCGCGAGTTCACATGGGCGCTCAAGGTCAAGATGATGGGCAAGAAGGCAGCAGAGGCGGCAAAGGTGGTGATAGAGGAGCTGGGTCTGCAGGGGGAGATTAGCGCCGAGGAGTTTCTGAGGGAGAGAGAGGCCCTGCTGCGGGAGGAATTTCCCCACTGCAAGCTGTTACCAGGTAAGGGAGTGCGGTTGGGAGCGGTTGGAAGCGGTCCAGGGAGGTTGAGAGCGATCGAAACAGGCAAGAAGGCCGGGCGGAGGCGGCAAAGGTGGTGATAGAGGAGCTGGGTCTGCAGGGGGAGATTAGCGCCGAGGAGTTTCTAAGGGAGAGGGAGAATCTTCTCAGGGAGGAATTGCCTCACTGCAAGCTGCTTCCAGGTAGGTTGGAAGCGGCTGAGATTGGTTGAGAGCGGTGGAGTTTGCAAAGGTGGTGATAGAGGAGCTGGGTCTGCAGGGGGAGATTAGCGCCGAGGAGTTTCTAAGGGAGAGGGAGAATCTTCTCAGGGAGGAATTGCCACGCTGCAAGCTGCTTCCAGGTAGGTTGGAAGCGGCTGAGATTGGTTGAGAGCGGTGGAGTTTGCAGAGGTGGTGATAGAGGAGCTGGGGCTGCAGGGGGAGATTAGCGTCGAGGAGTTTTTAAAGGAGAGGGAGAATCTTCCCCACTGCAAGTTGTTACCAGGTAAGGGAGTGCGATTCAAAGCGGTTTGCTGAGGTTGAGAGCGGTTAAGACCGGTCGAGAGCGGTTGAGAGCAGTTGAGAGCAGTTTAGGTGGCGCGTGGTGATAGAGGAGCTGGGGCTGCAGGGGGACGTGAGATTGTTTTGAGTCGACTCAAAAGTCACCTTGCTTCCCTCGTCTCAATCTCATCTCTTCCTCATCTCTTCCTCATCTCTTCTCATTTCGCACTCACTTCATGTCTTCCATCTTTGTCGGCTGTCAGGCGCGGAGCGGTTGATTCGGCATCTGCATGTACACAACATTCCCATGGCCATTGGCACCGGGTGAGTGAGTGAGTGAGCGAGTGGATGGGTGGGTGAGATGAGGGAGTGAGTGAGTGAGTGAGCGAATGAGTGAGTAAGAAAGGGACTCAATTGTGTACCTTTCTCTTCCCATTGCCTTTCTCTCCTGCCACTAACTAACCCCACCAGCTCTCACAAGATCCACTTCGACCTCAAGACAGCCAATCACGGGGAGCTATTCGCCCTCATGCGCCACTGTGTGCTCGGGGATGATCGCGAGGTTGTGCATGTGTCATCCACCTATTCCTCCCCGTTGCCTTTCCCCCCTCTCTCCCACCACCAGCTCTCACAAGATCCACTTCGGGCTCAAGACAGCCAATCACGGGGAGCTGTTTTCCCTCATGCACCACTGTGTGCTCGGGGATGATCCCGAGGTTGTGTGCATGTGTCCCTTCTCCCCCTCTTTCCCGCCACTCTCCCTCCTGCTGCTCTCTACACTATCACCACCAGATCTCACAAGATTCACTTTGGCCTCAAAACGTGCAATCATGGGGAGCTCTTCGCCCTCATGAGCCACTGTGTATTGGGGGATGATCCCGAGGTTGTGCAGGGCAAACCAGCTCCGGACGTCTTCAGAGTTGCTGCTGCCAGATTTGAGGTGAGTGTTGCGCAGGTGGGTGGATGAATGGGTGGACGATCAGCCACACGGCCCTCTTCGCCCTCATGCGCCACTGTGTGCTTGGGGATGATCCCGAGGTTGTGCATGGCAAGCCAGCTCCGGACGTCTTCAGGGTTGCTGCTGCCAGATTTGATGTGAGTGGATCGCTGCGTCTAAATTCTGATTGCTCCAGATGCTTGACTGTGTGCTCGGCGACGATCCCGAGGCTGTACATGGCAAGCCAGCTCCGGACGTCTTCAGAGTGGCGGCAGCCAGATTTGATGTGCGTATTGCACATATGGATGGGTGGAACGATATGGTCTAGACATCTGGAGCTCTCTCTCTCTCTCCCTCCCTCCCTCCCTCCCTCCCTCCCTCCCTCCCTCCCTCCCTTTATTACTCAGAGTAAACCAAACAACGTCCAAGTAAAACATACATATCACATAACCTGCTGGATTGTTGCCCCTGTCGATTCCTGTCTACTCCCTACCCCTTTCTACCTCTGCTCCCCCCTCTCTACCTCTCTCTATCCCTGTCCGACCCTTTCAACCTCTCTATACCCCTGCACGCTTCGCCACGCTCTCCCATAAACATCCACCATTGTCAGACAACATGCTTGTATTCGAGGACGCTCCGCTGTGTTTTGTTGTTCCTCTCCAACCATTTATACCCCTGTCTACCCTTTTCTACCAATGCCTACCCATCTCCATCTGTTCTCCCATCAGCCGCCACCATCACCAGACAACGTGCTTGTATTCGAGGATGCTCCACTAGGGGTTGATGCTGCCAGGAATGCTGGAATGTGAGTGTGCCTTAACCCATCACGTCTTGTACACTTGATTCGCATATGTCTGGTTAATTTCTTACCAGGGCTGCTTTCAAAGGGGTCTGTAATGCCAGAGTTAGGGTTTCATCCGTTCCTGCTTGCGCCTTTCCCTCCTTTGTTTGTCCTTTCTGTTTGTAGGTGGGTGGTAATGGTGCCAGATGAGAACGTGGATCCAGCTCTCTGCACTAATGCTTCACTTGTTCTTCCATCATTGTTGAACTTCGATCCTGTCCCATGGGGCTTGCCTCCATTTCCAGCTGAAGTTTCTGAAACCTAGAAAAAAAAAAGGTGAAGATAAACAGTTTTCTCGAGTGCAAGTATTTTTCCTCAGTACTCATTTGCTTGATTTGCGCCAATTTGTGTCGTTAGGGGTGTTGAGAAACCAAATCAGGCTGTAATAATGATCATGGTCACTAACTTTTATCTAAACATTCTTGATATTGACCTTACAACAAGTACCGAAGTTGCTTTTCCCCTAACACATGGAAGTCTCCCAGAATCGTCAAATTATCGTTGTGATTCGTGAGGCACGATTCCACCCATCACTGTCAAGACAGAGCATCATCACTGTCTCGTCAGAGCATTGTTGGCAACGGCCAAGCAACCACGACTAGATACATTCCAGACGCAAAGCATAACGTTCAAGCATTCTGGTCGCGAGGCAGTGCATCTGGAGTAGTCGGGATAGGACTCAAAATTGGTCTAGGTGCATCGAGCCGAATGACTAATCTAATCTCCTTACGACGGCGCTGGTAAATAGCCAGCTTTCTTGCTGCTATGCATGCAAGCTTGCAGAAGTGGGCATTGACAGCTTTGAAATCATTTTCACTAATATTATTTAACAGAAAATGACATATCCACCAAAATTACATTCCACGGCAAGGATACCGAAAAATAGGGACTCTTCACAAGGCCCTGCTGCGGCGCTTGCGCGTCGCTACGGCATCCAAGCCCGCGGGGTAAAAGATGGTCATAATAGGAATTTACAGGGCAAGCTCCTTCTTGACTCCGTCCACAACCACGTAGGCGAGCGACGGCGTGATGTACTCGACCGTGTTCTCCAGCTTGAACTCCGTGCCAACGGGCTGCAGAATGTCAAAAATCACGATTAGGGGAATATTTGTTGAGCGCAGGATACATGAATAAGATTGAAAACACAAGGTAGAGATTGAAGGATGAGCTATACATGGACCGAACCCGTAACAATATGAAGGAAGCGAAACAATGTGTTGGCCAATCCCGTAAAATGCTCGTTCCGCAGATCCCCAACTTACGTTGTTGCCGGAGTGGATCTGCACGCCGGTGATCACCGCGTAATCCGCCTTCTTGCTGTCGACGGCCACGCTGATCAGATGCTCCAGGGTGCTATTGATGACGTCAACAGCCGCCTTGGTAACCGCAACGATGTTCGGCTCGGGGTTCACGGCGATGAGCTTCTTTGTCAGGTTGTGCACCTCGAGATCATCCTCCGACGCCTCGGGAAGCTCCTTGCTCTGGCTGAACTGCGCGGTCAGCGCGAGAAGCGCGCCGCACGCGCCGGAAGCCGCGGAGCGGCCCTCGCGGCGCATCTTACCGATGGCGCCGGTCTCGTCGACACCGATATGGGTCAGACCGAAGAAGACATCTGGAAAAGGTTATAAGGAGATGAGGAAGAGGAATAGGAGAGGAAGGTGAGATAAGACGATAAATAAGGGAGAAGCGACTCGCTAGCAGAGGTTTCGCTTGCAGATGGAATGAAATTTCGTAACTTCAATCCCGTTCCATCCCATCCAAGAAAAACAAGGAGAAATGGCATTATGACCGTTCCGGCGACCTTCCAAAGTGTCTTTAGGAATCGTATCTCTCGCATGATCGCATCGCTCGTAACCACATAGATAAAATTGTTATGCTGACCACCGCATACTGACAATTTCACTTACATCGCTCCTTGCCGTTCTCGTCCTGCGGGCTGTGCGACGCGCCGGCCTTGATCGCAAGCGCGCCACCAGGCGGCACTCCCGCGAGGCCGTTGAGCGCGAAGGTAAGACCGAAGTGCTTGTCAATCGTGGCGTCAAGCAGACGCGACGCCTCGTCACGGCACGTGCTCACGAGCGCGATGCTGTTATCCTTGGTGAAGCCGTGCTCCTTAAGCTTGTCGGCGACGCTTGCGATGTAACCAGTCTCCTCCACGGAGCCGGGGAAGTTCTTCTGAATCGCCTCAACGGCAGCGGGAGTAGCCTGCGCAAGAGACGGAGGTGTCGTCCATAAGATTAGCATTATTCGTATCATGTACTACATACCACTGGTAGCTAGTGCTGATATCAGGGGATTTTTCCAGGATACGTTGGTTCTAAGGCTAAATGACAGCTCCTTCCAGTATATCCATGTCAGCAAGCTCACCTCCTTGGCGAAGACGGTGGTAGCCATGGATGAAAATCGAACTGAAGTAGAAAAGAATCAGCAGATTCTAGCGGATTTCTAGCGAAATTGGGAATTCAGAAATCAAGATAGAAAGCTGAATTCGTCGACGTCGTACTGAGCAATTGAGGAGCTACATTATCTATGCTGACATTTGTACCACGGACTGCGGTGCGACAAAAGTGAATGACACCCAGATTCCAGTCTCTAGATCACTCCCGCTCATTTCGTCCAATAGTCAAGTTTGAAGTCGAGGTTCAGGGACCATGTGAGAATGCCATTTGGCGAGCCGCGAACTCAGTGTCAAATTCCACGTCACGCGAGTCAGCAGGTGCTGATACGGCAGCACGATGACTGCCACGAGCAGTTGATGCGCAGATGTGCGATGAGGCATTCCTCTACAGGGCTGGGCAGTTATCATTGTGCGCCTATCACCCTCAGCCAGCATTCTGGCCCTTCATCATCAAGTCAAGGTACTCTCATCGAAGAGGAAGCGTCCCCATCCAAAGCACCACCGTTTCAATCGCTGTGGTCAGTAGTGCACCAAAACCGCACGCTGGTTTGCTGGCTAGGTGAAAGGGTGCGATACTAGAAACCTCGATAAAACAAAGATACATGTCTTTCCAACTGATATATTGTACAAGAATGCAAGGCACAGAAATATCCAATAATTCCTATACCCACCTTACAGACCATCAAGTTTAATGTTTTTATATCACAAAATGCAGTCACGTTACTCCCAAGGACATGCTCCACCTACAGAGATTAATCATATCATGGATGTCACTACAACTATGTTTTGTGCACTGCAACTATGTTATGTGCTATGGTAGCTATCTAACACTTTGATGACAAATGTAGAAAGAAACAGCAAGATTTTCAGCTGTAGCTGCTCTCTTGAACAGCAAGATTTTCTAAGATGATCAACGTACAGTTAGGTCACTATGGTAAAGCCCTTGGTCTGAGTTTTGACTCAAATAATAGAAAGTGTCACGACTATCCACAATAAAAAAGTTTCAACCCAACTGCCATCAGACAGACCTAGCAGACTCAATAAAAATACCCACACAAAAACAGGCATGAGTAGGCTCGAATTTTCAGCTTCCCCACAAAACAAAGGCCTTAAGATTCAGTTCATATAATCAAACAGCGTATTTGCTACCGGGTTTTCTCATGAGACAATCCGCTGCGGTTGGGCTCTTCTTGCTTCGGGAGAGAATCATCAGGAGCAGGAGCAGGAGCAGATGCAGAATCAGCAACAGCCACAGCCGCAGCCGCAGCAGGAGCAGCAGGGGGTGGGGAAGATGATTCATTCAGCTCAGCGTTGCTGCTGGCCTCAGCAACTGCAGGAGTCGTCAGTCCAGCTTCCGAAGAAGAGGAGGAAGAAGAGGACGATGGTTGGGACGAAGAGGATGAAACAGGCGAAGATGACAAGAGTGGAGAGGCCAAGGCTTGCAGCGACGAAGCCAGTCCCCCCTCCGTCTTCTCCCCCGCCTCCCCGTCTCCCTTCCCATTCGCGTCCCTCAGGCTCGACACGAGGCGGGAGATTCCCGGAAGCTTCTCCTGCAGCAGCAGCAGCTTCGCCCGCTCGTCCCTCCAAATTCTCGACGACTGTCCGCCGACATTCTCCCCTCTTCCAAACCCGAGCCCAAACGCAAACCCGCCCATGCCCATCCCCATGCCTCCTCCCCCAGACCCCCCCCCTGCTCCCCCATGCATCCCCATGCCTCCGCCTCCTGCGGAATCTTCCTCGGAAGCTTCGAAGGTCTCAGTGGCCGCTGCGGCAGCCATGGCTTGGACTTTCTCCTTCTCGGATCCCGAGGCTGTAGCCATCTGCAGCTTGAGGTTCTCGTAACGCACCATCACCTCTTGCCGGCTGTAGTAGGGGGGGAGTATGGGAAGGGTAAAGGACAAGCATGGGTGTGTGTGACAACCACCACAGAATCCTAGGATGTAGCCATCTGTAGCTTGAGGTTCTCGTAACGAACCATCACCTCTTGCCGACTGTAATAGGTGGAGAGTACGGGAAGGAACAAGCATAAAAAAGGACAAAGATGGGTGAGTGTGACACCGAGAGAGGACCCCGAGGCTGTAGCCATCTGTAGCTTGAGGAACCATCACCTCTGGGAGGTGAAGGAGTAAGTACTAGGAGGAACAGCAGATGCAAAGAAGCCTCGGGCATGGCACAGAGTATGGGGTAACGGGGAAATGGGGTCGAGTCAAGATTCAATCAAAGCACCGCGAGGCTTGAGAACGTGCCATGAGCAGGCGGAGAGGAAGACAGCGGAGAGGAAGTAGAGCCGGAGGACTTTGAAATAGCCACTTGGCCCACATGGCTTACAGGTGTTGCGAGATAACTTGTGACCGAGTCAGGGTGAGAGACCGTTTTGGGAGGTGAAGATGTTCCTTCAAGGAGGGGACGTACCGAGAGGAGAAGGCAGAGGGAAAGAAGCCGGGGAAGTAGCGCTGCAGGAAGCCAAAGACAGCCACGTGGCCCACCGGGGTGATGGGTGCGATGAGGATGATGGCAAACGGGATCACCACCAGCAGGTCTGTTGCTGTGCGACGGAGGGTTTGCACCTGGAAGAATAGGGGGAGCAGCAGGCAAAGGAGTGGAGGATGAGGTTGCAAGGAAGACAGCCACGTGGCCCACCGGGGTGATGGGCGCGATGAGGGTGATGGCGAACTGTTGCTTGTCTATGGTAAGGCAGGCACAGGCAATCCCAGGTCTCACCCAGAAGAGCCGAGCAGAGTACGCCAAATTGCCAGCCAGCACCCTAATGCCTCGCCAGAAACGGAGCCCCCCTCGCCCAGCTTGCCCTTGGCCTCCTCTACTGTCATCTGTAACCCCTCTCAGCCCCTGTCAGCCCCTCTCAACTTCTCTAAATGCAATCCCAGTCGTCACCTCTCTGGCCTTGAGCGTGGTACCGGTAGCAGCGACCCAGAACAACCGGGCCGAATACGCCATGTCTCCCGCCAGCAGCCTGACGCTCGCCAGAAGGATGCGGCCTTGCTTTCCTACGCTAAGGCAGGCACAGGTTATTCCAGTCCTCACCTCCCTAGCCTTGAGTGTGGTGCCGGTAGCAGCCACCCAGAACAGGCGAGCAGAGTAGGCCACGTCGCCACCCAACAGCCGCACTCCCCGCCAGAAGAAGGACGCCCCCTCGCCCAACTTGCCCTTGGCCTCCTCTATTGTCACCTGCACCCCATATCTACCCCTCCCAACCCCTCTGAAACTGCCCTGGTCTCACCTCTCGGGCTTTGAGAGTAGTGCCAGTAGCAGCGACCCAGAAGAGCCGAGCAGAGTAGGCCACATCCCCACCCAACAGCCGCACTCCCCGCCAAAAGAAGGACGCGCCCTCGCCCAGCTTGCCCTTGGCCTCCTCTACTGTCATCTGCAACACCTATCTACCCCTCTCGACCCCTCTGAAAGTGCCCTGGCCTCACCTCTCGGGCTTTGAGAGTAGTGCCGGTAGCAGCGACCCAGAACAGGCGGGCCGAATATGCCACATCCCCACCCAACAGCCGCACTCCCCGCCAGAAGAAGGACGCCCCCTCGCCTAACTTGCCCTTGGCCTCCTCTACTGTCATCTGTGCGCGCTGCTGCAGCGGCACCGATGGCTCCTCCATTATTCCCAGCCGGAACTTGAGGTCTGGTGGGGAACAGTGGTTATGGGGGGTGCAAATAGCAAATGAAGGAGTGCGAGGTGTGTTGCATCCCGCGCACATTCCTTATGCACGCTGCTGCAGCGGCACTGATGGTTCCTCCAATATGCCCACCAGGAACTTGAGGTCTGGAGGTGGGATGGGGGGAGAAGAGGAAGGAGGGGGAGGGGCGGGGAAGGGAGGGAGGAGGAAGGATGAGGAGGGGAGGGGAAGGGAGGGATGAGGAAGGACGGGGAGGGGTGGGGAAGGGAGGGATGAGGAAGGACGGGGAGGGGTGGGGAAGGGAGGGATGAGGAAGGATGGGGAGAGATGGGGAAAGGAGGGAGGAGGGAGGATGGGAGGAGTGGGGTGGGAAAGGGAGGGACAAATGCACAGATGAAACAGAGCACAAAACAACTGCAACTGCTCTGAGACCAGAGGAAAGAAGCCCTACCGAGAATGTCAATTGCGAGTGCCCTCCTTGTCCGCAATGAGAACCAAAGGGTGACTTAAAAAGCCCCTGATACGAAGCACAGGAACCGCACAGCACAAAGCACACAAGCCCTACCAGGAATGTCAATCGCGAGTGCCTCCAGCTCCTCATCCTCGATAAGAATCGCCTCGTTTCTGTCCACAGCCGTGCGCAGTCGCGCCAGGTCAGCATCGAGCAGCCCATACTCCGCCACCAGCAGAGACTCGTCCTCGTCTGACCGCATGTCCTCTGGTGATGGGATGGGGGTGGGTGGTGTGGGAGGTAGGGAGGGTGTTGTGGGGGAATGCGGGGAGTGGCTAACAGCAGCCGCGCCAGATCAGCATCGAGCAGCCCGTACTCCGCGACCAACAAGGACTCGTCCTCGTCTGACCGCATGTCCTCTGGTGATGAGGGAGGCGGGATGTGGGGTAGAGGGAGGATGTAGGGGTTGTGGGGAGTGGTTAGCAGGCGCGCCAGATCCGCATCGAGCAGCCCATACTCCGCCACGAGCAGAGACTCGTCCTCGTCTGACCGCATGTCCTCTGGTGATGAGGGAGGCAGGATGTGGGGTAGAGGGAGGATGTAGGGGTTGTGGGGAGTGGTTAGCAGGCGCGCCAGATCAGCATCGAGCAGCCCATACTCCGCCACGAGCAGAGACTCGTCCTCGTCTGACCGCATGTCCTCTGGTGTGGCGCGATGGTGCGGGTTGAAAGGGACGGGGGTGAGGTGGGGGGAGGGGAGTGGTAAGAAGCAGGCGTGCCAGGTCTGCATCGAGCAGCCCGTAGCCTGCCACGAGAAGAGACTCGTCCTCATTGGAAAGCATGTCCTCTTGTGATGGGGGAGGGGAGTGGGGAGGAGAATGGGAGGAAAGAGAGGGCGAGTGAGTTGGGAGTAGGGAGGAGAGAATGGGAGGAAAGAGAGGAGGGTGAGAGAGTTGGGAGTAGGGAGGAAAGAATGGGAGGAAGAAGAAGAGTTTCGCTGCTGTTTAAGGGGTTCAGATTCCAGAATCGAGTCGGAAAATACGCAAATGCGCTTAGGGCGACGTCAGGTTGTACAGCTTCCCTACGCTCAACTTCGTTTCGCAAAGATAAAACACGGTTAACCATGAGGAAAGCTTCCCACCGTGTTGAACCGTTTTGAGCCACGGTACAAGAATTGAAGATCTGCAAGAAATGTACAACCTGAGTTCGCCCTTAGTGATGTAAGTACACTACGTGAATACACTTGCGCTTAGTGATGTAAGCGCAATACGCAATGTGTTCAACACTGACTTTTGAGTCGACTCAAAAGTCAGCACACTACGCTGTATGCATGAGGGAAGGTTTCTGGGCTGCGCAGCAAATACGAAATAATAGAATCATTCCGTTTCCGTGGCATTTCACAAAATCGTTTTCTGGGAAACAGCAGCTCATGCACAAAAGAGGGAACATGTTTACCACCTGCAGCTGAGAGCGCAGCTGAGCAGCTAGCCATCTGCTCTTATTATGAACGCAGCTGTCTATACTGCTGGCAAGGCATCACAGTGGAACACTTACGGGAATCGGCAGCAAAGAGCAGCTCCTGCTCCTGGAACATGTAGATGACCTGCATCTGCAGCTGCGCCTGCGCTCTTCCCATTTGAACATGCAAATGCGCTTTATATTACAGGTGGGACTCACGTGAATTGGCAGCAAAGAGCAGCTCCTGCTCCAGGAACATGTAGATGACCTGCATCTGCAGCTGCATGGGAGCGTGCAGCTATGCATTGACATGTAATCAGAGAGCCTACCTGTTGTGTGCTGCAGGCATCTACAATTGGGGACTTACGAGAGTCAGCAGCAAAGAGCAGCTCCTGCTCCAGGAACATGTAGATGACCTGCATCTGCAGCTGCAGGGTGCGCACTGCCAGCTCCTTCCTCAGCTCGTTCACCTGCAGCGATGGGAGTTACAAGGAGATGGGTGTTGTGGGACAGGATTTATGCGTGCACGGACGCATGCTGTGCCTTGCATCTGTTGCTGTATTGAAATCACTTTTGAGAATTCTCAAAAGTGATTTCAATATTGCCTTGCATCTGCAGCTGCAGCATGCGCACAGCCAGCACCTTGCACAGCTCGTTCACAGCACGTGTGGAGGGGTGGGTTGGGTCGGTGGTTGGTTGGGTGGTGGGTGGTGGGTGCGTGAGGGTGCTTTTGAGGCGCCTCAAAAGTTGGGTGGTGGGTGCGTGAGGGTGAGTGTCCTTCTTCTTTTGGGTATCGTTCTTCGTTGGAATCATTTGATCACATCCTTCTCACCCTATACTTGAACCATTGCAACAAAATTTCCTCGCCCTGTATTGGAAACTTTTCAGCGAATTTCTCTCGCTTTACACCGGCAACATCTCACCAACGTTTCTCTCCCTGTCTTACGATTTTTCTTTTTCTTTTTCTTTTTCTTTCCGCTTTATACTTGACTTGATACATCCTCTCTCGGCCTATATTGCATTGAAAGCTTTACGCGTCCTCACGCTTGTCTTCCTCACATGCTCTTCCTCCCTGAAAACCAATTGAGGGGGTCACGTATGATCAGATGAATGGATAATCTCACCTCACCTCATCATCCAGGACCTCAATCGCCCAGGTAAGCGAGGGCCTCACAAGCACGTTTCCCTGCCGCATCCGCTGCTGCTGCTTGGATAATCAAAGGCACTCTTCAGTACCTGTACAAAGAAGGGGCCTCACCTCATCATCCAGTGCCTTGATCTCCCGGGCAAGCCTGGCCCTCACGAGCACATTCCTCTGCCGCAGCCGCTGCTGCTGCTTGAACTCTCTCAGACACTCTTATCTCTGGCCAAGCAAGGCTCACCTCATCATTCAGCGCCTCAATCTCCCGAGCAAGCCTGGTCCTCACGAGCACGTTCCTCTGCCACCGCCGCTGGTACTTGAATGCTCGTAGACTCTACGCCTGCACAAATAAGCCGACTCACCTCATCATCCAGTGCCTTGATCTCCCTCCCAAGCCTCGCTCTCACGAGCACATTCCTCTGCCGCAGCCGCTGCTGCTGCTTGAACTCTCTTCCAGTCTGTCCGAGCAAAATCATCTCGTCGTCTAACTCACCTCGTCATCGAGTGCCTTGATCTCGCGTGCAAGCCTTGCCCTCACGAGCACGTTCCTCTGCCGCAGCCGCTGCTGCTGCTTGAACTCTCTTCCAGTCTGTCCGAGCAAAATCATCCCATCGTGTGACTCACCTCGTCATCCAGTGCCTTAATCTCCCGTGCAAGCCTGGCCCTCACGAGCACGTTCCTCTGCCGCAGCTTCTGCTCCCTGTTGCGAATGGAGTCGTTCAACCGCTTGTCCAGGGCCTCAACCTGTCAGGAGAGAGTGGGGAGACAGGACAGAGAGGAGGAAAGGGAGAGGGAGGAAAAAGGGGGGTGAATTCGAGCTATCAAGCTTCTGCTCCCTGTTGCAGATGGAATCGTTCAGCCGCTTGTCCAGCGCCTCCACCTGTCAGGAGGGGATAGGTTGAGAAAAGAGACGCAAAGAGAGGGGAAAGAAGAGGGGGGTCACAGGGCCATGGAGCAGGCCAGGCGGAGGGCATGATTCCCAACGTCAGGCTACCAAACATGCAGGTCGTGTTGGTGGATTCGAAGTGACGCCAAGGGCTCAAGCTCGGTGTCTTGTAGGCAAACCTGGTTACCACCCGCCCACTCTCTCACACGCACACACGCACGCACGCACGCACACACGCACACGCCACACACACACACGCCACACACACACACACACGCACGCGCGCGCGCACACACACACACGCGTACGTGGGCTTCTTCTCCTCCTCTTTGTCACCCGTTGACATGGGCTGGGGTAGGTCAGAAGCCAGGAAATCCAGCTCCATGCCTTTCATGTGAAACAGAATGTGGTAACCAGCTAAACGTGCCACAGTCATAACATTGCGTACCTCCAGCAGCAGCTTGAGCGTCTCCTCCTCCTCCTCTTTGTCGCCTGTTGAATCAGGCTGGGGAGCCCGGACGCCAGAGGCTCCAGGTGGCGGGTGGGTGGTGATTCAAGACGTACCTAATAACCACGTCACCATAACATCACAACGCTAGCCCCTCGTACCTCCAGCAGCAGCTTGAGCGTCTCCTCCTCCTGATCTCCCGTTGAATCAGGGGGGGGGAACCCGTACGCTAGGGGCTCGAGCTCCGTAGTATCTGAACATGCATATGGTGGTAACCATGTAACCAAACTGTCATCTCGTACCTCCAGCAGCAGCTTGAGCTTCTTCTCCTCCTCCTTATCTACCGTTGACTCGGGCCGGGGCAGACCGGACGCCAGAGGCTCGAGTTCCGTGGTGGGGGGCCGGCCATTCAGACGCCGCCACGTGTCCACCAGTGTGCGCACTGCCTTCCCTCCCGCCTGGAACAAGGCACACACGGGGGGGGAGGGGGAGGGGGGTTGGGGAAAGGATGGGAAGACAAGGATGGGAGGACAAGGATGGGGGCAGAAGAGTTGAGAGCCCACTTAACCCACCATAAGTCGTCAGAATACTAACTGCTAGTGTGAGCCGTCAGACAACTTAGTGCCGTTGTTTTGATGGTGGGCAGGTAGATGCTGAAGTCCGAAAACGAAACGTCCACAGACGATATTCTCTGCCGCACCCGGTCCAGAATGGCGCTCGTGTTGGACAGCCCTGTTGGGTTTTGAGACCTCACAAGCCTCTCAAGACTACTGAGAGGTCTCAAGACCCACTCACCCCTTTGATGGTGGGCAGGTCGATGCTGAAGTCAGAAAACGAAACGTCAACAGACGCTACTCTCTGCCGCACCCGGTCCAGAATGGCACTTCATGTTGGGTTTTAAGACCTCCCAAGCCAGTCAAAGCTCCCCAGTTTAGAGGCGTCTAAAAAATCACCCCAGTTTTGAGGCGCCTCAAAAATCACCCCAGCTTTGAGGCGCCTCGATAATCACCCCAGCTTTGAGGCGCCTCGAAAATCACCTCACTACCGACGATATTCTCTGCCACACCCTATCCAGAATGGCACTTCATGTTAGAATCTGAGATCTCCCAAGCCGTTCAAAGACTCCCATTTCTAACAAGATGCCTCAAGTCCAGCTCACCCCTTTGATGGTGGGCAGGTCGATGCTGAATTCCGAGAACGAGATGTCAACAGACGCTATTCTCTGCCGCACCCGGTCCAGAATGGCACTTCATGTTGGGTTTTCAGACCTCCCAAGCCGTTCAAAGACACCCATTTTTGAGGCGCCTAAAAGATCACCCAGTTTTTTAGGCGCCTCAAAAATCACCTCACCACCGACGATATCCTCTGCCGCACCCGGTTCAGTTCAGAATGGCACTTCATGTTGAGTTATGAGACCTCCCAAGCCGTTCAAAGACTCCCATTTCTAACAAGATGCCTCAAGTCCAGCTCACCCCTTTGATGGTGGGCAGGTCAAAGCTGAAGTCCGAAAACGAGATGTCCACTAATGCAATCCTCTGCCCTCTGCCCCAGCCTATCCAGTACAGCGCTCGTGCCATGTCTTGAGCCCTCTCTGGCCCTGGATTCTGAATCTGACTGAACGTTCCCTCACCCCTTTGATGGTGGGCAGGTCGATGCTGAAGTCCGAGAACGAGATGTCCACAGACGCTATTCTCTGCCGCACCCTCCCTAATCTGCCATGCCGCGTTGGGTTCTGAGACCTCACAAGCCTTTCAAGACTATTGAGATGTCTAGAAATTGCTCACCCCTTTGATGGTGGGCAGGTCGATGCTGAAATCCGAGAACGAGATGTCAACAGACGCTATTCTCTGCCGCACCCGGTCCAGAATGGCGCTCGTGTTGGACAGCCCGCCCAGGCGCCGCAGCACGCGCTCCTGGTGGGTCAAGGAAGAGGGGGGATGGGGGATGGGGAGAGCGGTGGTAACGCCAAGAGAACGAGGTTGGTGAGGCCTCGAACGTCCAGAATGGCGCTCGTGTTGGACAGCCCGCCCAGCCGCCGCAGCACGCGCTCCTGGTAGCAGCAGGGAGAGGGGGAGAGAAAGGAAGGAGGGGAAGGGGCAGTGGAAGGGGGAAAGTATAGTGAGGTTAGCGGGGACTCGAGACTCCAAAATCGCGCTCGTGTTGGACAGCCCTCCCAGGCGCCGCGTCGCAGCACGCGCTCCTGGTGGGAGTAGGGAGAGGATGAGAGAGAGGGAGGGGGGAGATGCACGAGGGGGAAGCCCATGAGACGCACACTCACATCTCCTGGCCTGCACGGTCACCCTCTCACCACCCTACAACTGCACGTCTGCCCTTCACACCTTCTCCCCACCTCCCTCACCTGCACGTTCGCCTCCTTATCCATCTGCTCCTGCAGCGCCTGCGCCTCCAGCTCCTCCCCCACCTCCCAGTGACTTCCACATAAACGAGTCTGTCTGCTCACTCCCGTTTTGGCCCTCTCAACTCCCCGTAACCGACAAGTACCCCTTTCAAACTCCCTCACCTGCACGTTCGCTTCTTTGTCCATCTGCTCCTGCAGCGCCTGCGCCTCCAACTCTTCCTCCACCTCGCGCCGCTGCTCCGCTGTCAGCGACGCCTCGATTCGATCCGCCAGCTCCTCCAGCCGCTGCGCCAGCGTCCTAACCACGTCCGCCACGCCCTCCGCGGCCTTGGTTTCTTCCTGTGACAATAACGGGGATGACAGAACTTCTCCAGCCGTTGTGAGAGTGTTGTTATAACGTCGGGAACGCCTTCAGCGTTCTTTTTGTGCCGAGAACGGGGTTGACAAGACGTTGCGACAGCGCCGTCGCAACGAAACGCAACTCCCTCAGAAGGTTTGTCAACTTTCTGGGACTAAAGCGGGAGCGAATGACGACAACGAAAAAGGACGAGACGAAAACACGAGTTTACGAAAGGAGAGCGTGCGAAGCGTGGGCCGACCCACAACAGACAAAAAAAAAAAAACGAGTAGAGTGAAGCCAAGAGCATGCAGACTCCCTTGGTGACCTACCGGGAAAACGGCGGGCAGCTGCCCGTGAAAGAAGTTTAGGTCGCGAGTCAGCGAGCCGGCGAGCGCGCGGACGTCCGCAGCGCAGCCAAGCACCTCGGCGGCGTTTTCAACCACTAGGACGGGCTTATCCTCCCCCTCGCCCTTCCCCTCCCGCACGCCCAGCCCGCGGCGGATCCAGTAGTTCGCTCCGCGCCGCACCTTCCGCCGCGCTTTAAGCTCCTGCGTCCCTTCGCGCTTCTTCGCTATAACGGGTATGGGCATATTGAGCACGCGTTCCGACCGGTTCGCGTCGCGGTAAAGCCGCCGGAGAAGCATGAGGACCTCGAGCCGCTGCAGCCGTTCGTTGACCTCCGCTGCCACCTCAGCGCTGACGAGGCTATCGAGAGCCGCCTCCGCATCTGACGTGGCAACATCGGACCGCGACGTGGATTCGGGTTCTGCGACTAAAGCTAACGCACCGTTCAGGCTCTTCGAATCTGAAACGGCAACGTTACCGGCGCCGTCACTTTCGTTTTCGGCGACGTCTCCGCCCGTGGCTCGCGCATTCGCACGAACAGATCGGCTTCCTTTACGAGTATCGAGCCAGCCATTATCGGGTACAAGCGAAACCACGAGAACGCAGGACAACGGCTCTGCAGGGACGAAGGACGCACGGTCTGGTCTCTCGGCGCTGGAACGTGCAGCGACCGATGTCGAGTGTGACACTAACGAGGACGATTTGCGTGAAAGGGAATTGGTCCGCAGCAGCACTTGCTGCGGTCCTTTCAGAAGCTTAGAGCTTCCCGTGAAAAAACTACCGTGGGAGATGCTTGGCGAAACGTCCCTCGCCAGAGACACGGAACGCGTCAATTGGATCGCCATGGCTACGCTGGCGGTTGACGACGTTCGCAAAAACACAACGCGAACAAGGCCAGAAGGATCGCAAAATCCGACCAGGCACTGAGCAGTCTGCGATGGTGTCGAGATTCCCAGTAGAGCAAAGGAAACGTTGATGACACAGAAATGCTCAGTGCACAACAGAGGAGGATCCGTTTGGGGGAACAAAAGATTCCTCACGCAGCCCAGGCTCGACAAGCTCGAGAGATTCTTTTTGCGAGGCAAAGGGGGAGCCACTCCACACACGCTGGAGTGCAGCAGATGCTTTTGATTGACAGAAACGGGAGGGGCACAGACGGAACTGAACTGAACGGAACGGAACGGGATTGACGGGGTGACTGCTCTTGGCCAATCCCGTCTCGCACGCCGCGGTTTTGGGCCAGGGGGCAGGGAGCAAACTTCAAGGTTGTCTGGCCCCCCCTCCATTGACGAATTTTCTGGTTTTGGTTGGGGCAGGCTAACTTGATTTCCATTGGTCTTGTATCGACGGTTCGAGAATCGGGATTTGGAAGATGATCTTGACACAGCTCTCCTTCCCTACAACCTGGGGTACCGTACTGTACTCCCTACACAGAAGTGATTGGATTGGAAGCGCTCCCCTCTTCGCAGCGAAACACGGGAGATGAGTGGTACACGCTTCGTGCGGTCGTGGCTGAGACCTGGAGCAGCCTTCATCCAGAGCGGATGAGATCACGAATCGTTGGGCAGATTCGCCACGTGGACTTCTCGCAGTCATAAGAGAGGTCTGCCCTTCGTGGGTGTGCTCCTTGGCAGAAGCCCCCCCTAGCCCACTGTGCCAAGCTGCCCACATCAGCTCGTTCCTGCCACGCTTGATGACCTGGAATCGCGAGTTCTTATGGCGCAGTTTTCGTTACTGCGGGCTAGGTGTTTACAAGGTGGAAATGAGCTCTTACCATAATATTATGCATTTTATTTTGTCGATTGTGTGGACAGAACTCTCAATAATACGCGGCTCTCTATGTGACCCGTTCTCTCCCTAAACGGTTATGGATGAACCCTTAATTTTAATTTAATAAATAATAAACTAAAACCTTGAAGGCCAGAATGTTGTGAGTTTTTAGCCCAGGTTCTAGCTACATAAACCTGATGTGCTATTTATCAAACAATATCAGAAGCTCTTATCGAATTCGAAGAGCTCTGTACGGAGTAAAGGCATCTCTCGCAGCTCGCGAAGACTCGCAAAATGCCGTTCCAGCAAAAGCGGTGAGTTGCGTTTTGAGGCTATGAGCACCGATCAAAATTGCACACCGTCGTACTCAACCGCAATAAGTGAACTGAACAAGCTGTCGTTCTGGAAGAGCAGAGACGTTCCGAGCGTGTCTGTCACCACTTCAAGTTAGCGGCAATATCAAAGGTGAAGTGCCCAAAACATGACTCGATACCGCACAATACCGTCCTATTTGTTTCATAACCTCACGGAACCGCGTATAGCCCCTTCCCAGGACGTACGGGCCATCCAACATAGCTGTGATCCAAAACTAATAGCCGCGCCCCCTGAGCAGCAATCTTTTGTAATGCGTCTCTCTTCATGCATCATCCCCCCCACTTATTCTCCCGAAAGGGTTCATACTGTAGTAATGTGCTTACATCAGCTCCGCTCTTCATGACTAGTTCATCCTTGTGACCAGTGGACTGCTTATGCTGTTTTCGTTTCAAGTCTTGCTTCTCAAGCCGACTGCATTCTAAAGCTGCAATCAAATACTGCAAACAAAAAAAGGAATAGGAGGAAGATAACAACAATCTTCTTGTGCAGTAACAGCCATCCTCGTCAAGGCCAGGTCAACGTCGCCGTCCGATATTCTCCTGATGATGTATCCTCGAGGACCTGATTTCCGCTAATATTTATTCCCAGTAATTTATGTTATCGCTCCCAGTCTCTCTCCTTTGAGCCGTTTGCCTCAGGCATTCCGCCTTGCGAAACAGTCTTAAAGGAGCAGCTTTACGGCCGTGGTAACTCTGAAGTCCCGCTTGCGTCGCTGCCATGCATAGCCCCACGTTCCAAGCGTGTTAGCTCGTCTCCATCCCCGCGTTCCCGTTGCTCCTGTTCTGGAGCCGTAGCCGATTACTGCTGTCTACCCAGCCTGCTGCTTCGCCAGTTTGACCTACCCCATACGACCTGCCTCCTAGTTGACATTCCTTCCAGTTGACCCTCCTCCCAGTCGACCTGCTCTTCAGTTGATCTGCGAAAACAGGGCCTCGGGCCCAGGTTGTGGCTAACACAGCAGTTTCATTGGGACTTGTGCGGAACCCTACTGTCCAGTTTGTCTCCCGTGCAAAACTCTAGTGTAACCCAGACCGCTGTTCGTCAAGGCATGTGCGAAACCGTAGGGTAACCAGTTATTTTCTCGAGAATGTGCCAACTTATCCACACAGAGGGTTATTTCCGCTAGTCGTGTATTGGAGCGATGGGATCAGCGTGCTTTAAGGCCCACAAAGGGGCGGAAGAGGGGGAGAGAGAGCAGAATAAGCCAAAGGAAGAGCAGCGACAGCAGGCACAAGGCGAGTCTGGTCAGTCCCTGCAGCAGCAGCAACAGCAGCAGCAGCAACAGCAGCAGCAGGAGGGAGGAGAGGCAGAGAAGCGGCAGCAGGAACAGCCACAATCTGACACGCAAAGACAACCGTCCGATGGTGCAGTGCGTGCGGATCAAGGGCCTGCGAAAGCCCAGCCATCCGAGCAGCAGCAGGCCGCACATGGAGACAGGGTGGGGGAGAGTAACGGAATTCCAGGTAAAGGCAAAATTGTGTAAGTCCTTCAGAAAATCCTATAAGAATGGCATCACACTTACCACCATTCCCACCCACGTGCTTGTCCCCATGACGATTTTGACCTCCTTTTTTCATCCGCAACCGGAGCAGCATCAGAACCTCTCCCCGTGCCCACATTGCGTCTCCCCCACCACTCCCCCTGCTCACATTGCGTTCCCCCCACCACTCCCCCTGTTCACATTGCGTCCCCCCCACCACTCCCCCTGCTCACATTGCGTCCCCCCCACCACTCCCCCTGTTCACATTGCGTCCTCCCCACCACTCCTCCTGCTCACATTTCGTCCCCACTACTCCCTCTGCTCACATTGCGTCTCCCGCACCAACCCCTCTTCCCACATTGCGTCCAACCTCCTCAACCCTCTTCTCCCCTCCGCTTCTCCCCTCTTGCCCGCACTGTTTCTCCCCCCTCCCCCGCATTGCTTCTCCCGCACCACCCACATGACCATCCGTTCTGTTTTCTTCCACCACCCCTGCCAGCCCACCCTCCTTTCCCCCACCACTCCCCCCCTGCCCTGCCCACCCAGTGTCTCCTCCGCCCCCCCGCTCCCTTCCCTTGCTGGCAGGCACTTCCATGATTTTCCCCCATGCCATGTTTCCTCCCGTCCCCCATGCCATGTTTCCTCCCGTCCACCATGCCATGTTTCCTCCCGTCCACCATGCCATGTTTCCTCCCGTCCATCTCCATCAACTTCATGCTTTGCCCCCATCCATTCCTGACGTCCAACCCTGATCCGCAGCAGGACCAGCAGCATCACAACCCCAACCACAACCACAGCCACAGCCACAGGCACAGCCCCTGCAAAGTTTAGCTACAGACTCGTCAGCGGCACCAGCTTCCAACAGTAGCAACGAAAACAACACCAATGGCGGTGGCACTGGCGGTGGCAGTGGCAACGGCAGTGGCAAGGCAGCAGCAGGGCCCGGGTTTCGGAGAATGGCACTGGAGGAGCTGATGGCAGCTACCAACAATTTTAGGTTGGTTTAGTATGGATCAGGCTGCACTCTGTACGCGTTATAAGATTGCTGCAGTGCCGTACAGGCGAATGGCATTGGAGGAGCTGATGGCAGCTGCTAGAATGTGGTACTTGATGCTCGTGGGTGGGAGGCAGGCGCGCTCCATCATTTACCGGGGGGTGATAGCAGTTCCTTTGGGTCTGTACGGGCCTTTTTCTAGCGCTCCTTTTGCGTTTCTTCCCTCTATTCCTTCTCCCTCCCTGTGAGAGAAGAATGTGGTATCAGAGGGAGGAAGGATGGCACTTAACGTGGTGTAGAGGGGGTTGTTGGGGCCAAAGGTGATGCAAGTGCCTGACACTCCCTCCCGTCTTCACTCTCTCCCTCCACAATCTCCCCCCGGCCACCTGTCCCCCACCATCTTTCCCTTTCCTCCGTATCCGCCGCAGTGAAAAGAACGTGGTCTCAGAGGGAGGGAGGCAGGCACTGAACGTGGTGTACCGGGGAGTGCTGGGGGCAGAGGGGGCTGTATGGCCTGACACTCCTTCCCTCCTCACCTTTTCCCCCACCTTGCCTGCCTCTTGTTTCTCCCCTTACCCCTCCCAGTGAGAAGAACGTGGTCTCAGAGGGAGGGAGGCAGGCGCTGAACGTGGTGTACCGGGGAGTCCTAGGGTCAGAGGGGCTGCAAGTGGCAGTGAAGCGGTTCCAGAAGAAGGAGTGGGAGGACGCTCAGCAGTTTGCCGTGAGTGGCATGTGTGTGCTGTGTGCTGCGTGCTGGTAACTGAGGGGCTAGAGAGGGGTGCTTGCTGGGCCCGGAGGGGCTGCAAGTGGCAGTGAAGCGGTTCCAGAAGAAGGAGTGGGAGGACGCTCAGCAGTTTGCGGTGAGAGGCAGATTGTTAGTGGCTGATAATGAGAGGGAAAGAGGGTAAGCGACTGTTGATTTCTGCTAGGTTAATGGCACTTTGTCACTGCCTTGCACTTTTGAGTCAGCTCAAAAGGTGCTGTGAGTTGTGAGTGTGACCTGTGACTTCAAAATCCAGCCACTGAGCTGGCTGGTTGTGCTGAGACGCATTGGCATACCTCTTTTGCAACCCCTTCACAAGTTTTCCTCTCCCCGCTTCCCTGCTCTTACCATCCAACAGGCAGACGCCACGGCAATGGGCAGCATTCGTTACCGGGCCCTTGAATCGCTGCTGGGCTTCTGCTTTCCCCTCATCGTAATATCTTCCTCACATCCATGCCCTTTCCTCCCTCACACACTCACACCCAACAGGCAGACGCCACGGCAGTGGGCAGCATTCGCTACCCAGGACTCACACCACTACTTGGCTTCTGCTTTACCCTCATCGTAACATCTTCCCCTCATCCTTGTCCTCCTCTCCCTCCCACACACACAATCAACAGGCAGACGCGACAGCAGTGGGCAGCATTCGCTACCCGGGGCTCACATCACTACTGGGCTTCTGCTGTGAGGGCGAGCACAGACTGCTCGTGTCTGATTTCATGCCCAACTGCACGCTCGCGCAACACCTCTTCCACTGTAAGGCCCTTGAACAGCACAGCACATCAGCCCTCAGTGCTGCTGCTGTGTTTTTTTTGTATGTGACTGGGCAAGTCAACAACACCTGCTGCTGTGAGGGCGAGCACAGACTGCTCGTGTCTGACTTCATGCCCAACTGCACGCTCGCCCAACACCTGTTTCACTCTACAGAAGGCCTTGCACTGTTCATTCTACCAGCTGTGCTCTGATGTCGTCGTGTGTGTGAGTGTCGCCTCTGGTGTGCGTCCGTCAACGGCTGCTGTCACTTCGAGGTGACTTTTGAGTCGACTCAAAAGTCACCTTGTGAGAGTCGCCTCTGGTGTGCGTCAACGTGCTGTCACTTCTTCTGTCACTTCTTCTGTGAGGGGAGGGCGAGCACCGGCTGCTGGTCTCTGATTCTATGCCGAAATCACTTTCGAGACTCGATCATTGAGTCGACTAAAAAATCGGCTTTCGAGAGTTCTCAAAAGTGATTCTATACAGTTGCTTGTCTTAGTGATTTCGATCTTCTGTGAGTGATTTCAAAACTGCACTCCACAGCACACTCGCGCAACACTTATTCCACTGTAAGCAGTTGTTGCCTTGGTTCTGATTCCCATGCTGCTCTGTGCTGTTGCCTGCCAAGTGTAACTCTGCCTGCTGCGGGTGAGGGCAACACGGACCGACTGCTCGGGTATATCGAAATCACTTTTGAGAATTCTCAAAAGTGATTTTGATCTCATGCCCGACTGCACTGCACTTCCACCCCTTTTGAGACGTCTCAAAAGTCGACACCGACTGCTCGGGTCTGATCTCATGCCCGACTGCACTGCACTTCCACCCCTTTTGAGACGTCTCAAAAGTCGACATCGACTGCTTAAGTCTGATTTCATGCCCAACTGCCCTGCACTTTCACCCCTTTTTAGACGTCTCAAAAGTCGACATTGACTGCTTAAGTCTGATTTCATGCCCAACTGCCCTGCACTTTCACCCCTTTTTAGACGTCTCAAAAGTCGACATTGACTGCTCGAGTCTGATTCCATGCCCAACTGCACTGCACTTTCACCCCGCACCTTCCCAACTGCAAGCAGCTGTTGCCTTCTTGGTAAGAAGCTGTTTGTGCTGCCTACCAAACCAAACCAAGTGTAACTGTTTGCTTGTGGATAGAGCATATGGGGAGGTAGTGCATCCACATTCACCGCTCCACATCCCCCCCCCCTCCTCTTCCCCCCACCACCTTCCGCTTTCCCCCCTGTCTGGTGTGGTAGGGGAGCAGCGTCCCATGACCTGGCTGGCACGGCTGGCAGTGTGGCCATGCGCGTGGCTCAAGGCTGGAGCATTTGGAGAGGGATTGGATGCTCTCTCCACGCCTCCCCACCCAATTCACACTCCTCCCTACCGCATTCAAACCCTCCTTGCGTCTTCCCAGTGGAGCAGCGCCCCATGACCTGGCTGGCACGGCTGGCAGTGGCCATGCGCGTGGCTCAAGCGCTGGAGCATATGTGTCTGGAGGTGCTTGGTCACTCACACTCCTCCCCACCGCAATCACACTCCTCCCTACCGCGCTCAAACCCTCCTTTCCTGCGTCTCAGGGGAGCAGCGCCCCATGACCTGGCTGGCACGGCTGGCAGTGGCCATGCGCGTGGCTCAAGCATGTGGGTGGAAAGTACATGCACACTTACACTCCTACCCACCGCATTCAAACCCTTTTACTCCTTTCTTGGGATGCTTCAGGGGAGCAGCGCCCCATGACCTGGCTGGCACGGCTGGCAGTGGCCATGCGTGTGGCTCAAGCACTGGAGCATCTGCATTGAGATTGCATGCACAGTCTCACACTCCTCTCCACGGCATTCACACTCCTCCCCACCGCATTTAAATCCTTCTCAGGGGAGCAGTGCCCCATGACCTGGCTGGCACGGCTGGCAGTGTCCATGCGTGTGGCTCAAGCGCTGTAGCATCTGGGGCGGGAGTGCTTATTCTCACACTCCTCCCCACCGCATGCAAATCCTCTACTTCTCCCTTTCCCGGAATGCCCCAGGGGAGCAGCGCCCCATGACCTGGCTGGCACGGCTGGCAGCAGTGGCCATGCGTGTGGCTCAAAAACTAGAGCATCTGTGTCTGGAGGTGCTTGGTCACTCACACTCCTCCCCACCGCATTCGCACTCCTCCCTACCACATTCAAACCCTCCTTTCCTGCGTCGCAGGGGAGCAGCGCCCCATGACCTGGCTAGCACGGCTGGCAGTGGCCATGCGTGTGGCTCAAGCATGTGGGGGGAAAGTACATACACTCTTACACTCCTACCCACCGCTTTCAAACCCTTTTAATCCTTTCTTGGGATGCTTCAGGGGAGCAGCGCCCCATGACCTGGCTGGCACGGCTGGCAGTCGCCATGCGTGTGGCTCAAGCGCTGGAGCATCTGGGGCGGGAGAAGGGAATGCCTGTGTATCATGACCTTAACCCGTACAAAGTGCTGCTGGATAAGGTGAGAGCCTCTTATAACGAGTACAAAGTGCTGCCCCATAATGTGATTATCTCTTTCTCTCTCTATTTCTCACTCCCATTGTGGGTGCTTGAGCATCTGGGGAGGGAAAACTCCTCTTATCAACTGCCATGCCCTGTTGCTTGCATTTTTCATTTCTGCAGGACAACCAGCCAAAACTCTCATGCTTCGGCCTCATCAAGCCTCTTAAGGACGGTCGCTACAGCTCCAATCTAGACTATTTACCTCCGGAGCAGCTGTTGCATGGTGAGGCATGATTGAGGTGTGTAAGTACCCGGACCATGACCATTGCTGCATGGTTGTTTTTTGAGTCGTCTCATTGGCTACAGCTCCTCCAACCTGGGCTATCAACTACAATGCGTGCTACATCGTGTCACACCTTGTCATTGCACTCCTTGTGATTCATTTACACTCCTTCGCATTCCTCGTCACTCTTTCCTTGCCACCCGTGGTCATGTGATTGTAGGGAGAGTGACAGCAGAGAGTGTGGTGTACAGCTTCGGACTCATTCTTCTGGCTCTCTTTAGTGGCAAGAGCATTCGTCCCACACAGGTAAGTCTCTGAGGCAGCGCAAAGGTCGACTAATGAGATGATTTTCGAGGTGCCTAGAAAAGCTGGGAGCATCTAGTACAGTTGTGGACTCATTCTCCCGGCTCTTTTTAGTTACAAGGGCATTCTCCCCAGACAGTGAAGTCCCTGTAGGCAGCGCAGCTGGCGAATCTAGAGATGAAGAATTCTTGAGGCATTCTCCGTCTCCTTCCCTTTCTCCATCCTCTCCTTATCTCTGCTCCGCCCCCTTCACCCCACCAGTTCCTAGAGATGGTGGAGGAGAAGCAGGATCTATCCCTCCTGCTCGACAGCAACCTCCTCTCGCACGCACCGAGCGTTGAATTCGCCCTCGAGCTCGTGCCTCTGATTGCTGAGTGTCTCAAGAAAGACCCGGCTGATCGCCCCCCCATGGACAGCATTGCAGAGTTCCTTGGGATACTGGACGACCGCAGCAGGGTGAGTGGAGTTCGGAGCGATGCAATGCGGTTCTGTGTGCGGTTGCAAGCAGTACAAGCAGTACATAACTGTCAGCTCATGCCGCTGATTGCCAAGTGCCTAAAAAACGACCCGGCTGATCGCCCCCCCATGGACAGCATTGCCGAGTTCCTTGGGATACTGGACGACCGCAGCAGGGTGAGTGGGGGACGGTTCGGAGCGATGCAATGCGGTTCTGTGTGCGGTTGTAAGCGGTGCTACTGCATTACGGTGAGCTCGTTCCGCTCATTGCGGAGTGTCTCAAGAAGGACCCGGCTGATCGCCCCCCCATGGACAGCATAGCCGAGTTCCTTGGGATACTGGACGACCGCAGCAGTGTGAGTGGGGGTTTCAGGGCGGTGTAACACCGTTTATGTGCTGTTGAGAGCGGTACTAGTAGTACATAGAGGTGAGCTCGTGCCGCTCATTGCCGAGTGCCTCAAGACCCACCCGGCGGATCGCCCCCCCATGGACAGCATTGCCGAGTTCCTTGGGATACTGGACGACCGCAGCAGGGTGAGTGGGTTTTCAGAGCGGTGGAACACGGTCCTCTGTGCGGTTGAGAGCGGTTCAAGCAGCACATAACTGTCAGCTCGTGCTGCTCATTGCCAAGTCCCTTGAAAAAGATCGGGGATATCACCCCCCCATGGACAGCATTGCCGAGTTCCTTGGGATACTGGACGACCGCAGCAGGGTGAGTGGGTTTTCAGAGCGGTGGAACACGGTCCTCTGTGCGGTTGAGAGCGGTTCAAGCAGTACATAACTGTCAGCTCGTGCTGCTCATTGCCAAGTCCCTTGAAAAAGATCGGGGATATCACCCCCCCATGGACTGCATTGCCGAGTTCCTTGTGATTCTGGACGACCGCTGCAGGGTGAGTGGGGGGTTCGGAGCGGTGCAATACGGTTCTACTACAGCATTGCATAGCAACTGCAGGAGAGGGGAGGGGACAGAAGGGGGCTGGCGCTCCCGATGTTGCTGCAGCTGCCTCAACGTTTGCCCAGGCTGTCGTATCATAGATTATAAGTCAGCTCTTACCTACCACCACTACCCCCCTGCACGGTTGATTAAAAATGCAATGCAGCTACCTCTATGTTTGCCCACTAGCCTTTGATAGCAAATATTTCAGCACTCACCACCACTGCCCCTTTGCACCTATCTGTGCCACCTCTTCCCCTTCTCTTCCACCCTGTTTTAAGTCGACTCAAAACACGCCTCTTCCCCTTCTCTTCCACCCTGTTTTGAGTCGACTCAAAACACGCCTCTTCCCCTTCTCTCCCACCCTGTCAGGGCATTGGCAATTCACTTGGCCTTGCGGGAGAGGGAGAGGAGAGAGATGGGGGATGCGCTCCAGCTGCCGCTGCTGCTGCAGCTGCAGCGTCACCGTTGGCCCGTGCGGCCATGGAAGGGGACTGGGAGGTGCTTCACCGGAGGCTGGTCACTGTGTCCTTCACTCCGCCTCAAGAGGTAAGCGGTTCTTCTCCTTGGCGTGTTGGCATGCGTGTCAAGTCACCCCGTGCTGCTGCAGCGTCACCGTTGGCCCGTGCTGCCATGGAAGGGGACTGGGAGGTGCTGCATCGGAGGCTGGTTGTGTCGTTCATGCCGCTACAGGAGGTTAGCAGCTGTCGGTCTTCTTTGGCATGTGTGTACAGTAGCCCCGTGGTGGAATGTGGTGGTGCAGGGTCTGGTGTGTTCCAGCAGAGGGGGGAGTGGCTCACGTGATCATTCGGGCCCCTTGCCTCCTCCTCCTTCCATTCAACCACCCCTCCTACTCCTTTCAACCATCCTACGGTGTGGAATGCTGAGGTGCAGGACCTGGTGTTGACCCGGCAGAGGCAGGTCCTTGCACTCACTCAATATCAGAGGCAGACGGGTGACAAGCCATATTGACACTCTTGCACACCACACACCCCCTCAATCCTCGCCACTCTTCCCCCCTCCAGCCATCGCTAGCGGTGTGGAATGCTGAGGTGCAGAACCTGGCGTCGTCCTGGCAGAGGCTGTTTTTGAGGCGCCTCAAAAATGGTGCCATCGAGGCAGAGGGGGTACAAGGCATTATGGCAATCTTAACCCCTCACTTCTCGCCACTCTCCCCCGGCTCCTTCCCTGTCCCCCTCCAGCCATCCTTTGAGGTGTGGAACGTTGAGGTGCAGGACCTGGTTTCGTGCAGGCAGAGGGGAGACAAGTCATTACGGTACTCTCAACCACCCCTTTTCTCTTCCCACCTCGATCCCACCTGGTTCCTCTGCCCTCTCTTCTCTCTCTCCAGCCATCCTTTGAGGTGTGGAACGCTGAAGTGCAGGATCTGGTGTCATCCAGGCAGAGGGGAGACAAGGCGTTCAAGAGCCAGCAATGGGAAGAGGCGATCGCTCTCTACACCAAGGTGAGCATAACTGGGTTTTTTTCTCGACAACAAGGTGGTTATGAAGGGAAGTGGAGGGATTTGGGAAGGGGGGACATTTATTGAGAGGTACTGGTTGTGCAACAGCCAGCAATAGGACGAGGCGATTGGATATTATACCGGGGTGATTTATGAAGGAAGGCAATTGTAGTTACGTGATTCCAATTAGAAGGATTCGAACTCACCTTTGACACATCCCTCTCATCTGTCTCCCTTTTATGCATCCCACCCCTCTCTACCCCTCTTGCTCTGCATGCCTCTCCTTTTCACCCCTCTTCCTCTGCGTGCCACCCCTCTCCACCCCTGCGTTCTGCTCTCCCCTCTACAGTTCCTCAAGTGTGACTCTCCCCCAATCCCCGTGCTGTTTGCGCGGCGTTGCTTGTCCCATCTGCAACTGGGGCACTGGGAAGAAGCCTACCAGGACGCCCTACAGGTAACGACAAACCCTGCGGTATTCTCTCCCCTCCACAGTTCCTCAAGTGCGACTCTCCCCCGATCCCCGTGCTGTTTGCGCGGCGTTGCTTGTCCCATCTGCAACTGGGGCACTGGGAAGAAGCCTACCAGGACGCCCTACAGGTAACGACAAACCCTGCCATCCTGGTTTGGACGAAATATTTCGTGAGACACGGACCAAGGGACATGCAGTTATGGCAAGATAGCTGCATTTTTGCAAGAAGCTGCATCGGATCCTGTGTCATGATTTGTTTCTTGATTCGCTCTCACATGCATTCCATGCAGGCCACGCATCTCATGCACCATGGCACCTATCCATCCCACTCTCCCTTGTACTCTCGCCTTTTATCCCTCTCTTTCCCAGACCCAGCAGTCCAATCCAAAACCCCATGGCCTGAAGCGACCTTACTAGTGGCCGCACATGCAGCATCACATTATCATGTCTCACTTCCCTGTTGCTCTTTTGTTCATGTCCTCTCTTTCCCTCCCAGGCCCAGCAGTCGAAACCCGCTTGGCCTGAGGCAACCTACCTAGTAGCTGCTGCACTGATTCGATTGGGAAGGGTTGACGAGGGACAGGAGATGATTGCTGCAGCGGGCAGACTAGAAAACAAGGTTTAGGGTGTAGAAACAGGGGTTTAGAAAACAAGATTGCTGCAGCAGGCAGAGTACCGGTAATTAGGGGTTTAGCAACAGGAAATTGCAATCCAAGACAGGCAGAAGAAGGTGCATGGGGCTATGTGGTTGAGTGGATGTGGAAGATTGGCATGGATGGACTACTGTAACCAAGGTCCACCACCGGTTTTGGAACATGTTGCATATCCTGCACACATGTTTACTGGTAGGGGCTTAGTTTGTTGTAGTAGGTGAGGTTGAAAGGTGTTGCTGGTAGGGGCTTAGTTTGTTATAGGTGAGGTTGATAGGTGTTGCAGGTTGATGAGGATTTATCCTGTGAGTACTCATTAGGCACAATGAAGGGGTGCCGTGTACCGTGTATTTTTATTTTCGCTAGTTCAACGGTCACCAAATGGGTCCTCGCCTGGGCCCGTGTAACTCTTGACAAAGCGGCTAGCCATGATTGCTTGAGCAATGAAGCTCGCCGAGCCGAGCCAGATTTCGGTCGGTCTGGGTGGTGGATTTCGTCGAATTGCCTTCTCCCGTTCCGTGACGCCAAAATGATGCGAAAGTTTTGAGCGACTCGTGCAATACAAAACGAAAACTGTAATTGTTTGCTGTTCTCATTCTGGTTTCGTTTTCTTCCATTTCTTGCAGGGGCGCTGAACATCGGCATTCAGATACCGCACACTGGTTTTCAAGGGCGGGACAGAACATTCGTATCCTGCCCTAATAGCCCTGAATGGACACAGCAACCGCAGCTGATGTCGGCGGTTGTCGCGCCGTGGTGCCGAAGCTGCAGCCGAAATCGGAAATTTCATGTCGCCGCAAACTTCGTGGCACAGCGACGGGTCGCCCAAGCCACGCCAGCGGTCGCACAGGCACCCACGCCATGGCTCCTGTCGTCTCACCAACCACGGACGGTGAGAGAGCACTGCTTTGCGACGCTTGCGAAGCATTTGGAGGTTGCGAGCGTCGCACGCCGAAATGAATCCGCGCTCAGGACATTCAACAACCACTACAAACGATAAGCGTATCGTTCTGAAACCCAGTCAACCGTTTGAAATACAGTACAATTTCTTGAGCCTTTTCTTCTGTTCCCAAGAGCACGCGAATGCCCTTCAGGGACTCTCAAATGTTGACCATGGCTGCCTGCAGCAACCGAACCGAGCCACCCGAACACCGACAACCCTCGTGTCCTCCCACACCCCACAGTCCACCCATCCCTTTCCTGCATAGTTGCGGTGGGGAACATCGAGGCGCGATAGCCACTCGGAAATCGACAAGGCCGTCTCATCTCCCCTGCCTCCTCGCATCGTGGCTCCGCAGGGAACGCCGATTGCGGTGCAGCGTCGTTGGCGTGGGGATCCAGGCTTCTTTCAGTTTGCACTGACCGAGGAGAATTACAATTGTTCATCGACAGCATCTTAGCGCGTACTGTACAGGACGTAGTGGGGGGACGGTCACTGGCGTTTCCTAGTCCTTAGTGGTTGCGGGGTGGGGGAATCGAGCGGCACGCAGCCAACCTTTTTTCGAAGTCCAAGCAGATTCGTGCTAGGTTTCTCAATGCAAGGAGAGTCAAGGAGAGTACGCATGTTCTAACATCGACTCGTTTGCTTATCGCTCTGCTTCCCGTCGCGTATCCGTTGCTTTACCGTAGCCTTAGAGAGCGCAGCTCGCGCCGTGATTCGCGGTACGCACGACGTTAGGATCGAACCTTCTCCTTCTCGTACATACCCGCTCGTCGCTCATCCTTAGTTCCTAGTGAATCTAAAGACGCAGCGTGAGCCCCCCTTTAACGAGTCCATAGCTTCTAGTAATCGGTGGTCAGCTGGTTGTGGAACCGCGCTTCGAGCGACGTCGATATTGGATTCATTGTATCATATAATTCGCCAAGGAGGCAAAGACCGCGTCTTTCGCGACGAGTCCTCGATCAGTTTATAATCGTTTCCCGCCAGCGATCCCGTCAGGAGTACTCGTTGTAATCAGACTCGCGTTTGCACGATGTCCTCACTGGGCTGATCGGGTCCGCGAAATCGGTATTTATATACAATCTAAGGCTCGTGCCATTGTAGCGAGGTTGGACTTTCGTAATTGTAGCGACTCGTATAATTGTAGCGAGGTTGACTGTAGGCAGGCCAAATGGCGCGCTGCCGCGGTTTCATACACCGCCGCAGTGGCTGGGGAAGCTTTGTTAATAACCGACGCGCTTGCTGCGCGGGGACGGTTGCGCTCCTTGCGCTCATCGCTGCTCTTTCCGCAACTTCTCCAGGTGCGCTTGCGCCCACTTCACGCCCACGCACCTTTTTCCAATGTGCGCCTTTTTGACCCGCGCGCCCCTTGTCCCCCCCTTCACGCCTACTTTCTCTCCACCCACTTTCCCAAGCGCTTCAGGACGCCTTGCCTTTACCTCCGCCTACCTCCCCGCTCGCTCTTGCGCGAGCGTCTTATCACTCGTCCCCCGTCTCCCCCTTGCCTCCTTCCTTCCCCCCCACAACCCCCCTTGTTATGACGGCCTCCCTCCTATTCCCTCCCTTTCCTCACCTTTTCCTTCTCCCTCCCCTCCCCTCCACCCGCCCCTCCGCTCTTCCCCTCCCCGCGCCACTCGGCAGCATCCGCGCAGTATCTCTTCCCCGCCATCCCCGCGCCCCCTCCCCCGAACACTTCCGACGCTGCTTCCGCCACAGCCGCTTCCGCTTCACCCCTCCCAAACGGGCAACGCAATAACGGGGAGGAAATCGACGAGGACGCGCTACCAGTGGTGACTATAGCGGGGCCTCGGTTATGGGAAGTACCCGGACGGCAACCAGATAAACCCGCTTCACTATCTTCCGCCACGTCAGCAGTTACAACCGCTGCCACGTCAGCGACAGGTTCGTCTGGGTCAACTAGACGACCCAGTGGCGAGGAACTCTATATCGTGTATTTCAGAAACGTGCCGTCCGTTATAGACTACAAGGGCGGCATTGCGGGGTTTGCTGCTACAGCCGCTCCTGCTATAGGCGATGGCCTTACAGCCTACGCTGCTACAGCCGCCACAGATGATGATGATGATGATGGTGGTGACGTGGAAGGTTTGGAGGCTGGATACGATTCGGATGCTACAGGGACCCCGTATGCTTCAGGTGGTGCTGCTGGCGCAGGCGCAAGGGGCGTGGGCGGAAGGAGCGGAGGCGCAAGGAACGGAGGCGGAAGGAGCGCATCAGTGGCGACAACAGGACAAGAAAACGCAACAATGGCATCTGTAGCCACAGCAGGAGTAGTAGGCGTGAGAGGAGGGGCAGCAGGAGGAGTAAGACGAGCAAGATCAAGGGCAGCAGCAGGCAGAGCAGCGGCAGCGGCGGCGGCGGTGCAGGCGATGGGGGCGCTGGACGGCCCGCGCGGCAGCAGGCGCGCGGACGAGCGCGAGAGCGACGTGCGCGCGTTCGCGCAGTTCGTGGGGGGCGTGCAGCAGCACATGCTGCAGGCCGCCGGTATTCCCAAGAACCGCATTGTGCACAGGTCGGTATTCCCAAGGGCGCATCGTGCACAGGTCGGTATTCCCAAGGCTCAGAGGTCCGTAGGCTCGGTTTCCAAGGTTTGGTATTCTCAAGAGTCAGTATTCTCAAAGTTTGGTATTCCCAAGGTTCGGTATTCCCAAGGGACGGGATTCCCAAGGGTCGGAATTCCCAAGGGTCTTAATTCCCAAGGGTCGGAATTCCCAAGGGTCAAGGTTCTGTATTTGCAAAGTTCGGTATTCTCAAGGTTCTTCATTCTCAGGGGCAGGTATTCCCAAGGGTCTGTATTCTCGTCTTGCTCTCCCTTCCTTCCTATTTCCCGTGTGCCACCACCCTCCCCTCCCCTGACGCCCCCACTCACCCCCAACACAGCTACTGTTATGTGCTGTACGGAGTGAGTGTGAAATTAACCCGTTTAGAGTCCCACTGCTTGCAGCGGCACAAGTCTGTATAGAAGGTGGAGTGATCTCAAACGGTCACAGTTCAGATCATCTGCACGCCGCAGTTCCTGCAGCTGCCCTCACGCGTGTGGGCGAGCATGACTTGTGGCGTGTGGCCGTCTCACCCTTGGATTCTCGTCCTCCTTTCCCCTTCCCCCCCCCCCCTCACTCACCCCCAAAACAGCTACCGCTACGTGTTGAACGGAGTGAGCGTGAAGCTGACTCGTTCAGAGGCCCACCGCTTGCAGCGCCACGAGTCGGTTCTCAAGGTGGAAAGGTCTCAGACGGTGTCAGTTCAGACCATCCACACGCCGCAGTTCCTGCAGCTGCCCTCGCGCGTGTGGCCGAGCGTGGGCGGGAGGAGCAAGGCGGGCAACGGCATGATCATTGGGGTTGTGGATACGGGTATCTGGCCCGAGCACCCCAGCTTTAGCGATAAGGTGTGTGTGTTTGTGTGTTATAGCATAAGAGGGTGTGCGACTACTGAGCATGATCATAGGGATCGTGGATACGGGAATCTGGCCTGAACACCCCAGCTTCAGCGATAAGGTGAGTGAGTGGGGCGCTGTGTGACAAGAGATGCCCTCGCGCGTGTGGCCGAGCGTGGGCGGGAGGAGCAAGGGGGGGAACGGCATGATCATTGGGATCGTTGATACGGGTATCTGGCCCGAGCACCCCAGCTTCAGCGATAAGGTGAGTGAGTGTGTGGTAACATGGTAACGTGGCACAAGGGGAGGGCGTGCTGTTATGGGGCATGATCATTGGGATTGTGGATCCGGGTATTTGGCCTGAACACCCCAGCTTCAGCGATAGGTATGCATGTGAGTGTGGTAACGTTGTAACATGACGACATGGTGACATGATGGGAGGGTGTGCGGTTATTGGGTGTGATCATTGGGATTGTGCATGACAACAGCCGACTTCAAGAGCTGCAGCAGGAAGATCATCGGCGGTCAGTGGCAAAATATCCCCCCTCCCCCCCCCCCCCCCCCCTTCCCCGCACTCCTCCCTCCCATTTCCCACACAACAGGGCTACCCCCCCGTGCCCCCCTCAGTGGCGAGGCACGTGCATGACAACAGCCGACTTCAAGAGCTGCAACAGGAAGATCATCGGCGCTTAGTGACCGGCCCACACAGTCACCCGCCCATACTCCTTCCCTCTCCCCCTCTCCTCCTTTATCCTCCTGCAGGGCTATCCCCCCGTGCCCCCTCGCTGGCGAGGCACGTGCGTGACGACAGCCGACTTCAAGGGGTGCAGCAAGAAGATCATCTCCCTCTCTCTCCTGCTCGGACCCATTCCCATTCTCCTTCCTCCTATACCCATTGGACAGGGCTACCCCCCCGTTCCTCCCCGGTGGCGAGGCACGTGCATGACGACAGCCGACTTCAAGGGCTGCAGCAAGAAGATCATCGGCGCGCGCTACTTTGCCGAGGGGCTCGTGGCGTCTGGTGGCGCTGTGGACCCATCCACTGAGTACCTGTCTCCCAGGGACGCCAGCGACCATGGCACGTGGTGTGCGGGGTGAGTCTTGGCGTGGTGGCATGTGAGTGAGAGCAGGAAGATCATCGGCGCACGCTACTTTGCTGATCGCCTCGTGGCGTCTGGGGGCACTGTGGACCCTTCCACTGAATATTTATCACCTCGAGACGCCAGTGACCACGGCACGTGGTGTGCGGGGTGAGTGTGTGTACGGGGCATGGTCACTGGGTTGAGCGGCATGCCACGGGCTTGTGTGCCTGCAGCAAGAAGATCATCGGCGCGCGCTACTTTGCCGAGGGGCTCGTGGCGTCTGGGGGCGCTGTGGACCCCTCTACAGAGTATTTGTCTCCTCGAGACGCCAGTGACCACGGCACGTGGTGTGCGGGGTGAGTGCATGCGGCAGTGTGTGTGTCAGGGACATGGCGTGGCGTTACTTTGCCGAGGGGCTCGTGGCGTCTGGGGGGGCAGTCGATCCTTCCACTGAGTACCTGTCGCCCAGGGACGCCAGTGACCACGGCACGTGGTGTGCGGGGTGAGTGTGTGTGTGGGGCGTGATCACTGGGTTGGGAGGCGTGGCAGGGGCAGGGCAGCAAGAAGATCATCGGCGCGCGCTACTTTGCAGAGGGGCTCGTGGCGTCTGGGGGCGCTGTTGACCCATCCACGGAGTATTTGTCGCCACGAGATGCAAGCGACCACGGCACGTGGTGTGCGGGGTGAGTGAGAGTATGGGGCATTGGCAGCATTGGGGCATTGGGGGCTTGTGTGCCTGCAGCAAGAAGATCATCGGCGCGTGCTACTTTGCTGATGGGTTGCTGGCGTCTGGTGGCTCTGTCGACCCCTCCACTGAATACCTCTCTCCCAGGACGCCAGCGACCACGGCATGTGGTGTGCAGGGTGAGTGCGTGAGGCATTGGTTCCGTGTGTGCATGGGGCATGGCAGTGTGTGTGTCAAGGGCATGGCATGGCGCGCTACTTTGCCGAGGGGCTCGTGGCGTCTGGGGGGGCTGTGGACCCCTCTACAGAGTACCTGTCTCCCAGAGACGCCAGCGACCATGGCACGTGGTGTGCGGGGTGAGTGAGTGGGGGTTTGGGGCCGTGTGTGCATGGGGCATGGCAGTGTGTATGCCAGGGGCGTAGCATGGCATGGCATGGCATGGCATGGCATGGCATGGCATGGCATGGCATGGCATTGCATGGCATTGCATGGCATGGCATGGCATGGCATGGCATGGCATGACATGACGCTACTTTGCAGAGGCGCTGGAGAGAAGTTGGGTTGCAGGGCTAAGGAGAGTACATGCCTCCTGCTTCCTCTCTGCTCTTACCCTCCCCTATCCCCCTCGTATTCACCAAAGTGGCAGCAGGAAACACAGCGAAGGTGTCAGGAGGAGGGAGGGGTGCAGGTTGGTTCGGTACAGCCTTATCTGAGTAGCTCTTGGGAATTCTCAAAAGAAGGGGTATAGAGTTCAATACAGCGAGTGGCATGGCGTTCAGAGCGACGAGACGATTTTTTTAGTTGGCTCTAAAATCGTCTCTTCAGTTTGGTACAGCAAGGGGCATGGCGCCCAGAGCTCAGGTCGCAGTCTACAGAGACTGATCTTGGGCAACTGGCCATCTGGACGCACAATCAAATTCTTTTGAGGCGCCTCAAAAATGGCCATCTGGACGCACAATCAAATTCTCTCTGCTTGATTTGGGTTGGAGATCTTTCAACCAGAGAGTGCATGCATTTCCCGCCTCCTCTTCTTCTCTCTTTCCTCTCCCCTCTGCCGTATCTCACAAACCAGAGCGGCAGCAGGCAATCCGGTTAAAGTGTCAGGAGGAGGGGTGCAGTTTGGAACAGCGAGTGGCATGGCTCCCAGAGCTCGCATAGCAGTCTACAAGGCCATCTGGGGTGTGCGGTTGGAACGGTGGTGCTGTGGCATGTCCATCCAAAGACTCGGTTGCAGGGCTAAGCAAAGTGCACCCATTTTCTGATCTTCCTCTTCCCTCTCCTGTCCCCCTCATTCACCAGAGCTGCCGCAGGCAACCCAGTGAAAGTCTCCAGGGGAGGGGTGCAGTTCGGTACAGCGAGTGGCATGGCGCCCAGAGCACGCATCGCAGTCTACAAGGCCACCTGGGTGCAGGGCAAGCTGACACGACTATCTGGGTGTCTGGTTGGAGACTCTTTACCAGAGTGCATGCCCCTTCACCTCCTCATATCTGCTCGTCCCTCTGCTGTCCCCCTCGCTCCCCTACCAGAGCGGCAGCAGGCAATCCGGTTAAAGTATCCGGTGGAGGGGTGCAGTTCGGCACGGCGAGTGGCATGGCGCCCAGAGCTCGGATTGCAGTCTACAAGGCCATCTGGGTGCAGGGCAAGCTGACTGGCAAGCTGGCTGGCAAGCTGACAAGCTGGAATGCTGGCAAGCTGGCCGTTGGTTGTTGAATGACCCTCTCCTTCTCACTCTTTCTTTCGCCCCTTACTTCACCCGTTGCCCATCAGGGCCGCAGCAGGCAATCCGGTAAAAGTGTCGGGAGGAGGGGTGCAGTTCGGCACAGCGAGTGGCATGGCGCCCAGAGCTCGGATTGCAGTCTACAAGGCCATCTGGGTGCAGGGCAAGCTGGCCGTTGGATCAGACTCGGACGTGTTTGCAGCCGTTGATCGCGCGGTGGCGGACGGTGTGGATGTGCTGAGCATGTCCGTGGCGATCAACGAGGAGACCTACTTCAAGCATCTGGCCATGCTCAGGGCTGCGAGGGTAAGCAGAGAGCGAAAGGAGAGAGGGACAGTGAGGTGAGAGAAAGAAGAGAGGAGAAGCTGTTTGGTGGCTGGTCTTGCTTGTGGCAGACGGTGTGGACGTGCTGAGCATGTCAGTGGCGATCAATGAGGAGACTTACTTCAAGCACTTGGCGATGTTAAGGGCTGCTAGGGTAAGTGGTGGGAGAGATGCTGCTATGCTCAGGGCAGCTAGGGTAAGTGGGAGATGAGAGGGTGAGCACGCGCTGCTTGTCTGTGTGGGTGTGGATGTGCTGAGCATGTCAGTAGCGATCAATGAGGAGACCTACTTCAAACACCTGGCCATGCGTCCTCCTCCCCATTCACCTCCCCTCCCATGCAGGCAGGGGTGTTTGTGTCACTGGTAGCGGGCAACAGCGGGCCTCCCCCCGGAAGCCCCAAGATTTATCGCACGCTCACCAACCTCTCGCCTTACTACATCACCGTTGCTGCCAGGTACGCTTGTGAGTGTGGGATAGGTATCAACACTGGTTGACAGGTGAGGGACCTATCACACCCTCACCAACCTCTCGCACAGTTGCAGCCAGGTAGGCGAGTGAGTGTGGCTTCAAACTCTGGTTAACACGTTTCAGGTGCCGCGTATAAGCAAGAGTCCTGTCGCACGCTCACCAACCTCTCTCCTTACTACATCACTGTTGCTGCCAGGTAGGCTGGTGTTGCTGCCAAGAGGTAGGCAAGTGTTGGTGGTAGCAGGTGAGGGCCACATGTAAGGGGTCTATCGCACGCTCACCAACCTCTCGCCTTACTACATCAACGTTGCTGCCAGGTAGGCGAGTGTTCGCTGCCTAGTCCGGTTTCCCCTCTTACCTCCCCTCACATGTCCCCTCTCCGGCCCAGCAGTCCACTGCCTGCCTACCCCGTCTAACCTTTCCTCAACCTCCCAAACTGAGTTCCCGGGTTCCTCCCTCTACCTCTCTCCGTTCCTCTTTCTCCCTTTTGAGGCGCCTCAAAAGTCGTCTCCGGCCCAGCAGTCCACTGCCTGCCCTCCCCGTCTAACCTTTCCTCTTCCTCCCAAACTGAATTTCTGAGTTCCTCTCTCTCCCTCCCTCCCTCTGCCTCCCTCCCTGCCTCTGTCTCCACTCACTTCACCATCCCCAGCACGTCCAGCCAAGCCTGGCCCCCCAAGCCAGGCTGTCGCTGGGCAACAGGCAGAGCTACCTGGGGGACACGCTGCTGGGAGGAAAGGGGGAAGGCACGCCCTCTCTCTCTCCCTTCTCTATCCCTCTGACACCCCCTCTCCCTCCCTCCCCTATTCCCCTCCGTGTCTCTTCCTCCCTCCCCTCTCCCCCATCCCCAGCACGTCCAGCCAAGCCTGGCCGCCCCAAGCCAGGCTGTCGCTGGGCAACAGGCAGAGCTACCTGGGGGACACGCTGCTGGGGGGCAGCACTGCCACGCGCCAGCTGCCTCTGGTGGACGCCAAAACCGCCCCTGCTGCAGGGTACACGGCGTCCCAGGCAGAGGCGTGCATGGCCTACTCGCTCTCGCCCTCCAAGGTATGCCCTGGGAATCCCACCCGCACCTTAACTCCTTCGAAAGGCACTGTCCCCATCAATCGCTGCCTCTGCTGGGCAGCAGCACTGCCACGCACCGGCTGCCTCTGGTGGACGGCAAGACAGCCGCTGCTGCAGGGTACACAGCTTCTCAAGCTGAGGCCTGCATGGCCTACTCGCTCTCGCCCTCTAAGGTGGGTTTGCTTATCCCTCACTCCTTATCACCCTCCAAGGCCCTCACAAGGCTTCTTCCCTCACTCTCCTCCCATCGATCTTCTCTCCCCCTCTACCCCGCCACCTCCCACCCCACCCATCAGGTGCGTGGCAAGATTGTGGTGTGCTGCACGAGATTCTCCTACGCGAGCGACACGGCAGCAGCGGAGGTGTGAGAAACTACCCTTAGCACACCCATCCTCATCCCACCTCTCTTCCCATCCTTGCCTCTTTCAACACCCACACAGGTGCGAGGCAAGATCGTGGTGTGCTGCACGGGATTCTTTCATGCGAGCGAGAAGGCAGCAATGGTGGCGAGGGTGGGGAATCAATCACCCTTAGCACACTCATCCTCATCCCACCCTCTCCTCCCATCCCTTTCGCCCCCCTCTACATCCCGATTCCTCTACATCCACCCTTTACCAGGTGCGAGGCAAGATCGTGGTGTGCTGCACAGGATTCTCCTACGCGAGCGACAAGGCAGCGGAGGTGGAGCGGGTGAAGACATATCTTTACACACTCGTCTACATTCCCACCCTCTCCTCTCGTCCCTCCCTCTTTCAACCAAACCCGTCAGGTGCGAGGCAAGATCGTGGTGTGCTGCACGGGGTTCGCCTACGCGAGCGACAAGGCAGCGGAGGTGGCGAGGGTGGGACAGTCAATGCAAACACGCGCCTGTCTCCCTCTTTTTCCTTCCTCGCTCCCTCCCGCTCATCCCTATTTACCAGGTCCGCGGTAAGATCGTGGTGTGCTGTACGGGGTTCTCCTATGCGAGTGAGAAGGCAGCGGAGGTGGTGTGAGGAACTACCCTTTGCACACTCATCCTCATCCTCATCCTCTCTTCCCATTTTTCCCTCTATCCACCAAACCTACATAGGTGCGGGGTAAGATCGTGGTGTGCTGTACGGGGTTCTCCTACGCGAGCGAGAAGGCAGCGGAGGTGGCGAGGGTGGGCGGGCGGGCGATCATTGTGGTGCCGTACGCCAATGGGGAGGGCGCCGTGAAGGCCGTGGCCTTGGGATTGCCGGGGCTGTTCCCCGTGTACTGGAAGGGCAAGGCCATCCGGGAGTATATTCGCAGCACACCCAAGTGAGTTCAGATTTATATACATATACTATAGTATATAAGGTATGTGTGTATATATTCTGGGACTGCGGAGTGGGGAAGGGGCGAGGGTGGGCGGGCGGGCGATCATTGTGGTGCCGTACGCCAATGGGGAGGGCGCCGTGAAGGCCGTGGCCTTGGGATTGCCGGGGCTGTTCCCCGTGTACTGGAAGGGCAAGGCCATTCGCGAGTACATTCGCAGCACACCCAAGTGAGTGCAGTAGTGCAGTACAGTACAGTACAGTACAGCTCCCCACCAACTCCCCTCCATCCCCCCATCTCCCCCTCCCCCCTCCCCCATCCCCCCAATTTTTCCCCAATCCTTCCTTTGCTCTCTCCCCCACCCTTCACGTTTTTTCCAACAGCCCTACTGCAACGCTCTCCGCGCTCTTCCTGCCCAAGCAAGTCGCTCCCGAGATGGCCTCCTTCTCCGGCACAGGCCCCGCCGTCAACCCCTTCCCTCCCCAATTCGCCCCCCATTTCCTCCCCAAACCCCCCCTCTTCGCCAACAGCCCTACTGCAACGCTCTCAGCGCTCTTCCTACCCAAGCAAGTCGCGCCCGAAATGGCCTCCTTTTCCGGCGCAGGCCCCGCCGTCAATCCCGCTGATGGCTTCTACGACAGCAGCAAGATCACCAACGCCATCTTAAAGCCCGATTGCCCCCCATGCCCCCTATCAGCCCTTTGTTCTTGCCCACTCCCTCCCCACTCCCTCCCCACTCCCTCAAACTGTCAACCCTTCCCCTGTGCCCCCCTCCTTCCCGTTTCCCCCTTCCTCAACAGTCCCACCGCAACACTCTCGGCACTCTTCCTGCCCAAGCAAGTCGCTCCCGAGATGGCCTCCTTTTCCGGCGCAGGCCCCGCCGTGAATCCCGCTGACGGCTTCTACGACAGCAGCAAGATCACCAACGCAACGCCATCTTGAAGCCTACTTGCCCCCACTTATTCCTGTCACACTGTCAACCCTTCCCCTGTGCCCCCCTCCTTCCCGCTCCCCTCCTAACTTCCCTGCCCGCTCCCCTACTCTACTCCCCAAACAGCCCCACCGCAACCCTTTCGGCGCTCTTCCTACCCAAGCAAGTCGCGCCCGAAATGGCCTCCTTTTCCGGCACAGGCCCTGCAGTCAACCCCGCTGACGGCTTCTACGACAGCAGCAAGATCACCAACGCCATCTTAAAGCCCGACATCACCGCGCCTGGCGTCTCTCTCCTCGGCCCCATGGCTGCCGGATCCACCTCTGAAGGATCCTTCCGCGCGCTTTCCGGGACGTCCATGGCGGCTCCACACATAGCGGGAATCGCGGCGCTGCTCATGCAAAAATACCCGACCTGGAGTCCCGCGGCGGTGAAATCCGCGATGCTAACGACGGCGTATACGACCAACACGGCGAGGAAATTTATCCGAACTGCAAAAGGACAAATGGCGTCACCCTGGAATTACGGATCCGGGCACGTTTACCCCGCGAAAGCGCTCGATCCGGGGTTGGTGTATGATGTTGGTATGATGGGCTACTTGTCGTTTCTGACGGGGGTCGATCGCGCGCAAGCCAAGGCGGCGTTTCCGCAGTGGAACGTGGCTCCCATCCAACCGTTCAATCTCAACCAACCGAATATCTGTGTGCCAAAGTTACGGAGCACCGTGACGGTTTATCGAAGTGTGACTAATGTGAGCGGGAAGCAGTCGAGGTATTATGCGACGGTGGTTGCTCCGAAGAATGTCGCCGTAACTGTGCGTCCGACGAGCTTCGTGATTGGCCCGGGCAAGTCGCAGGCTTTCACGGTTACCCTACGCCCGACGGCTGCGTCAGGCGCGTTTTCATTTGGCAGTCTGACGTGGTCGGATGGGGTACACTCGGTGAGATCGGTGCTGGCAGTACAACCTATTGCGGCGTAGGAATGAGTACTTTGTTCGCGGGAAGCACCACTGGTGGGCACCCCTTGCTGATGGATTTGTTGTATGAAATCACATGCGTATAAGGTTGTCATTGCAGCTTCCTTAGTATATTTAATTTCCTGAACTTGAAACCTAAACCTGCTGATTGGAGACACTCTCTGATGTCTAAAATAACTCTTGTTCGTACCACTTTTCACCCGACGATAAGCACCAAGGTCACATTGCATGCAAGTGAGTGTGCTTGTAAAACGGTATTAGCTACTTCGGTCTCCTCGAACGGTTCGGCAAGGTATTGAACTTTTGGATGAGGACGCGTCAATTCTTTCGATTTTGCACGAGTGGTCTTGCAAAGGATCGATTTACAACGGGGTTTAAACAGGTTCTGAAAGTTTTGAATGCGATAAGCAGTGCGGAGGACGATCTGGTTTGCACCCAAGCCCGTGAAATCGAAGAGTTGACACGTCCTGAGACACGCTTGATCGTGCAGCCACAAACACACCCGGAATAAAGAGCCAACCACGTTCCGCCACAGCTGCTCCATTGCGTCAACATTTCCCTTATTCCTGGGGTAGAATCCCAAGCTAGCTCCAGCCAGAACGTCCAGCAGTATTTTTTCACCCAATGCCAAGTTTCCACGTCTGTCACGCTCCTTGGTGAAAGTCGGTTGGCACGTCAACACCACCACATCCCACGCACACCAATCAGCTTATGGATAACGTTATTGGTCAGCACTGTCTCCTGCGCGACGCGGAGGCGCCTTTTTCTCATCTAGCTTGGCATCCAGTGTACAGTGCATTTCCCTCTCTGGCACATCTGACTCCGCCAGTCAAGCCTGGCCTATCCACATCTACACATCTGGCACATCTGTTTGTGTATTTTGTCACAAACAGTTCTCCTATGTCAAGGTAAAAAGTCCGAGTGTTTTTGAAGCTGTAGAGGAATATGCTCCACATCACGCCTAGGCGTGCGGGACCAATAAGAGCTGTAGACTCCTACCCCATCACACAAAACAATTCAACACAAAACCTCCCACACAAACACGGGCAGCCTAGTTTCTCTCACGCCACGCCATCCCAACAATGATTCCGTCACCTGCACCAAACAACCCACCCAGCCAAACCGCACCTCCATTCTGGGTGCTCGCGAAACCGCTCGTCGCGCGCATTTCAATTCCACGTCGAGCGGATCCCTCCCATCTCAACCTATCCCATCTCAACATAGCCCATCTCAACCTAGCCCAAACCTTTAAACCCATTTGAATCCGAATGCCCTCTCCCCTCACCACACATCTGCCTTCCCTTCCAGAACATACGGGCGTTCAGGAAATGTGCTCAACTCCTGTTGTTCACCAGAACAGGGTTTCAACAGCTAGACGTGCCCGCCAATAAGAGCTGGGGGCGGGAGTTTTATTCACCACGCTTCTGTAGCATTAAGCCTTAATAATCCCCGCTGTCGCGTCGCCTCGTCTGGCCACTATGTCCTTGTTCCGTTGCCACCGGCAGGATTTGGACACTTTTTGAGACTTCCTATAACACACACCGACCAGGAGTCCGTGTACCAACCGCAAGTTTCGGGTCTTTCTGTGCGCAATTAGGGGCTCCGCCATAGTTGTCTCACCCATTGCGTCGTCTGGAAGGAAAGCGGCTTTGGATACGAGGCTTTTACGATAGACTCTACGGCACCCCGTTTACTCGCCTTAGTAGAAACCGCTGCGCTGTTTGAGGAGATCCGAGTCGCGGGGGAATGCCGAGTGGCGCGATGGCGAGTGGTCACGACGGGAATATCACTGCTAGGCCGTACTGAGAACCACTACTAGCTATCGTCCCAACAGCTGGGGAAGTCAACTAGTAGGCTTGTACTGACTGAAACGTCTCAGCAGGCGAACTCCTAAAATTTGGAATACTTCCGGGGGTGTGGCTCTACTTAGAGGTCTTATAAGGCGAAGGTGAGGTGGCGTTTCAACCTTTGGATAATCCGCCTGCTTCGGTGGAGCTGTTGTTAAGAACTCTAGAAAAACAGACTCTACATAGAGGCCTTAGACGGCGAAGGTGAGTTGGCGTTTCAACCTGCTGGAGAGCTTTTCTGCGTCGGTGGAATAACCGTGTTTTGAGTGGACTTAGAGGCTCTACTTTTGGGGCTACTTAGAGGTCTTAGAAGGCGAAGGTGAGGTGGCGTTTCAACCTGCTGGATAGTAAGTCTGCGTCGGTGGAACAGCCCGGCTTGGATTGTCAACAGACGAGCGGAGCACCAGGCGAGCGGAGCACCAGGCGAGCGGAGCAACAAGCGGGGTGTTTTTTGGTTATGGATACTCGCGAAAGCACCCCTGTTGAAGCACGAGCACAAGCACCAGCGGCAGCGTCGACGGCGACGTCAATGGCGGCTTCCGCCGTTTCCTCCTTGAGCGCGAGCGCCTCCGACACCTCCGCCGCATCAACCGCCGCGATTTCTTCCGCGCACGGTACAAATGAGGAGCCGCCTCACGGCCGAACCGCGTCCCCGTGCGCCGCGTGCAAGTTCCTGCGGCGGAAATGCACCGCGGAGTGCGTCTTTGCGCCGTACTTCCCGCCGGACCAGCCAGGGCGATTCGCGAATGTTCACCGCGTGTTCGGCGCGAGCAACGTCACGCGGATTCTGGCGGAGATTCCGCCGGAGCTGCGCGGAGATGCGGCGAATAGCATGGCGTACGAGGCGGAGGCGCGGGTTCAGGACCCGGTGTATGGTTGCGTGAGCGCGATTTCGTTACTGCAGCAGCACGTCGTTCATCTGCAAACGGAGCTGCTTGTAGCGCAGCAGGAGCTTTCGGGGCTGCAACGCGCGCTAGAAGCTTCCGCGCAAGCAGCACAGGCGCAAGCAGTGCAGGCGCAAGCAGCGCAGGCGCAAGCAGTACAGACGCAAGCAGCACAGGCGCAAGCTCAGGCGGAGGCGCAGGCGCTTCACATTTCCGCTGCAGCTGTGGTCGCACCAGAACAGACACCTGCAGCAACCACCGCAACCAATCCCCCGTCCGATTCAGCCATGACCCAAGGGCCTCCCCCTTATCCCCCAGCCTGCACAACCGCAACCAACTCCCTCCCTTTCCCCGCTGTCCCCACTGTCACCACTGTCCCCACTGTCCCCACTGCCCTCTCTGCTCCCTCTCGGCCCGCTGCCCCTGCTACTGTCTCTTCTGCCCTCTGTGCTCCTGCTCCCACCGGTGCTGTCCCCCCTGCTGCTTCTGCTGCTGCCCCTTCTGTCGCATGCGCATCCCAGCAGCAGCAGCAGCAGCAGCAACAACAGCTCCAGATGCCTCTGTTCCACCTTCTTTTGAGTCACAAACGCCACCGCCCGCTGGTACTGCAGTTGTTGCCTCGTTACAAGTTGCTCCTGCTCCTGTCCCCGTGCTGTAACCTCCTCCATCACTGCTACAACCTGCCCCAGCACTTCTGCTGCTACCACCTTCCCCTGTCCATTGTTTTCTGCTACAGCCTGTAGCAACCCCACTAGGCTAGGACAATAGAAAAGGACTCATCTAGTCAGTAAGGGTAGTTTAGAGGTAGTCTCTGTGCTAGGATGGTAGTTTGGATGGATGACTGTGCCCTAGGGCTGGTTGGCAGGTTTCAAGTATGATGCTTCTGTTGGAGAGGAGCTACTTATCTTTTCATATCAGGAATGTATATCATCGTGCAAAGAATAAACAAATCAGCCCACTTATCTATAAACCTAGTATCCGAAGCAACCTCCAGTATCATACAAGTATACAAGCTGTCACCGACTCAACCCTTTACGGGAACTGTTGCACGGGCATAACCTTTCTGGCGCGGCCATACGCTGTATAAGCGCAATCCACTGCAAGCACGTCACTCGCCTCATATGACCTGGGTGTACCATCCAAAAACCCGTTCCCCTCTGCGCCGTCAGCCAAAATCGGATGGTGCAAGCTTGCAATCAAACGCTGGAAATCCTTCGCGCGTTGCGAGTGATCTGCGCGGTACGTCTGCCCCAAGACGCCATGAATATCATCCGTATATTCCAGCTCGGCAATCCCGACGTTGATATGCGCCTCGGCATCGGTCGGGGTCTGCAGCTTCGGGTGCGCGACGCGCAGGCGCAGATCCAACGAAATCAGATTGTCGATAGTCAGCATGTAGTAATCCACATCGAACGGTCCCTCTTTCTCCAGCGCGCGGAAATGAACCGTCAGCCCGCCGTCGCTAATCACCGTGTCGCCAACCTTCATCCTGGGGATCTCCTCGCCGTCAATCTCGATGCTCTTCATAAACCCGTCGCCGCGCTCCTGCTGCTTGCCGCCGCGCGCCGAGAGCCGAACCTTGTGGTCCGCGCCCTGAGCGGTCCAGACGATCCCGAGCTCCTTAATCCACGTGTGTTATCGGTGCGCTCGTCATAATACCCCCTCAGCAGCATGTTCACGTGGAGATCGCGGTCCGTCAGCAGGCAGAACGCCTTGTCAGGGCGGCCGTTGAAGTCGAAATGAGTGCCGTGCGCGCCGACCAGATGCGGGTCGTTGAGAATCTTTGCGCTAGGGTTACACTCTCCGCCGATGCGCACCTGCAGATTCACCGGCTTCGTCTCCGTCGAATACTGCGCGGTCATTTCTCCGCAGGTGAAGTCAATCTGGTCGTGAATCAAATAACACGCGCCCTTGCCCTTCTTCCCGTCGATGGTAATATCGGGAATGTACTGCCAGTACGTGCAGAGCGGAGTCGCGGCGCAGGTGTTACAGCACGCCGCGGGGTTCGCCTTGAGCAGCGTCAGCGGGTTACCAGGCACGTACAGCTCGTAACCGAGCTTGTTCTTCTGCAGATAAGCGGTTTTTCACTTAGCGGGGATACCTCCCTTGGAACAATTTTTCGGCGTGCACGCTCCCGAGAGCTCCTTGTTCAATCCAGGTGGGCATTTCTGCGCGTTCCATCCCGCCTTTTTCACATCAGCCATGAAAAACGAGTCCTGTGCCGTATCTACGTAGGTGACTCCCGCCGCGTTGCCTGAAGCCGCCTGCTTCGCGATGCCCGCGGGGATGTCTGTCATGAGCCCGTCGTCCTTCTTGCTGCTCTGGTCGGGTTTCTCGTTCGCGGTAGCGCTCGTGATTGGGCTGCCGGCGCGCGCGACGAGCAGCAGCGCCAGGGATAGCGCGAGTAGCGCGGCTCTAGTCATTCTGGAAAGCTGGGAGCGACGTGAATCGAAACGAATCTGTGTTCTGCGTCGTCTGGAATAACATTACTTAGGGGTTTAGAAGGAGTAACGTACAGTCGTCTTGAGAATCTATTCTACTTATTCCTGACTGGAGAAGATGCGCTGCGACTTCTGTTGGGAGGCAATGGCGGGGTTTGAATATTTATGGGAACAAAAAGGGAGGGGGAGGGCGAGAGGAGAGAGACAGAGCTACCGAGTCGTGGCTGTGATTGTTTCTCTGCGGCGCGCTGTAGCTAGGCTTCAGCGAATCCCTGCTGTGCTGATACTAACCTGCCCTTGTTCAGCCGCGGTGGTGTCACGTTGCTTCTTCGTGATTGGTTAAATTCTCAGGTGTATCCATCCACACTTGCACACCTCGAGACGCATGTTTGTCAGGTCTATCCTCCACATGCACATCTGAGTAGTCACCTGAACTGGATGAGCTGTCCAGGCTGGCTGAGCGTACACTACAGAACCTGCATGTTCTCGTCCATTATAGAAACCGCAGATACATTAGAGTTGTTACGTTTATAGAGAGGACTAATCCATTGATTTGTGTGAATAGAAGCCAAATCATATCCACTTCAGTTGGTAAATTCTATTTGTTGGGCGCAGCTGATCTAGCTGAACATTGAATAAAGAAACGTGTTTTGGGCCAAGTTCCATCCACAACATGGACAACGAGGCCTGCTCTGAGCAAGCTATGAGGAGTAACACGTATTGAAATTTACTACAACCAAACATGTACACAATATACTATTTTTTTATTAATCAGACAACTCAACCAGCACTTGCAGCACGTGGTTCTTCAACACTCACCGGCAGACAACAGGCAGCCCACAGCACAGCAGTGGCTTAGGGTGGACCAAATATCTCCGAATGGCATGTAGCAGGTCCTTCAATGTTACACCTTCCAATATCCTCCCCAGCACCCCCTTCATTCACAGCAGTCACTTCCTTGTTGCTCCAAATCTCTCCATAAGTATATCCTGAAGAACGGGCACCAGGTCCTTACAGGGAACACCTGCCTTGTGCACCTGCCCCAGGTGAGAATCAGATCCGATTCTGCCGCCCAGATAGATGTCGACTCCTTCCACGGGCTTCTTGTTTTCGTCTCTTGCCATGCACCCCATCAGGCCGATGTCTGCCACTTGCACCTGCAGGAAAGCAGTGCGGGAAAATACATATACATTATTAGTAGATGTATTAAAAACCGTCTCTTGCCATGCACCCCATCAGGCCGATGTCTGCCACTTGCACCTGTGTGGGTCGGGTAGAGGGTGGGGGGAGTCCAAAGTGACTTTTGAGACGCTGAGCAGCCATGCGTCCCATTAGGCCAATGTCTGCTACTTGCACCTGTGTGGGTCATGCGGGGGAAAAAAAGCAAAGAGATTGTTGAATGTCCAGCCCATTAAATGTCTTTTTTTCTCTAATAAACGAAGGAATGATTTTAGGCTCACCTGCCCACAAGAGTTCGGGCAGCCAGTCCAGTGGATCCTCACTGGCTCGGGCAGATTCAAAGTCTCTTCCAGCTGTCGCGTGACCTGAAGCCAAAGAGAATCAACATGGAGATGGGGGAGTACGAGCATTAGAGTCAGGGGCACGACCAGGAGAAATCAAGCAAGGAAGCAAGCAAGCATGCGGAGGAGAGAGGAGCAGTAAAAAATGAATCGCAGTGAACCAGTAACCATTGAGTCAATCTATGAAGACAACCACTTGCACTGCCCCATATAAGCCCCCTTGAACGCCCCCCTCTCACCTGCAGAGCCCTCTGCTTGGTTTCAATGATGGCCTGTCCGCAGAACTGGTTACCAGTGCACGCCACCAGCGACCCCATCAGATTCCCCGGCTGAGGACTCAGCCCAAACCAGCCCTCCTCCTTCCCCCTTTCCTCCTTCTCCTCTGCTCCCACCTCCCCACTCCCACCGACCAATAGCGGCTCTTTCAGCAGCTCCGCCACCCTCCCCTCAGGCACGTTCGGTATAATCACGTTCTGCTCCACGGTCAGCCGAACCTCCCCCGAGCCGTACTCCTCGGCCAATCGCGCGAGCTCGTACAGGGTCGGCGGGTGAACCCGACCCACAGGCACGTGCAGACCCACATAGACCAGCCCTGGCTGCTTCTGGGGATGCACCCCCAGGTAGGATCGACGGGACCAGGACGGATCAATCAGGGACTGGACTGTGGGGTTGGCAGTAGTGGTGCTGGTGGCGCTGCCGTTGGTGGTGCCGTTGCTGCTGCTGTAACCGTTGCTGCTACCAATGGTGGTGCTGCCGTTTCCGTTGGTGGTGCTGCTGTGCTGAGGGGAGGAGCTGACACGTGGCAGGTGGCCATTGGGCATGCGCTTCTCCACCTCAGCTCGGAACACCTCCATGCCCTGGCGAGAGAGGAGGGGGAGGGGGGACGAGGGAGCCAAGCCAAGGGTGGAGCACTGATTAGCAGCAACATAAGTCAATGGCACTTCGAAAAAGAACTTATCAGGCTCCTCGATCAGCAACTCACCAGCTCCTCTAGAAGCCCACTCACCAGCCCACTCACCAGCCCACTCACCAGCCCACTCACCAGCTCCTCTATAAGCCCACTCACCAGCCCACTCACCAGCTCCTCTATAAGCCCACTCACCAGCCCACTCACCAGCTCCTCTATAAGCCCACTCACCAGCCCACTCACCAGCCCACTCACCAGCCCACTCACCAGCTCCTCTATAAGCCCACTCACCAGCTCCTCTATAAGCCCACTCACCAGCCCACTCACCAGCTCCTCTATAAGCCCACTCACCAGCCCACTCACCAGCTCCTCTATAAGCCCACTCACCAGCCCACTCACCAGCTCCTCTATAAGCCCACTCACCAGCTCCTCTATAAGCCCACTCACCAGCCCACTCACCAGCCCACTCACCAGCTCCTCTATAAGCCCACTCACCAGCTCCTCTATAAGCCAACTCACCAGATCCTCTATAAGGTACATCATCCTCGTCTTCTGCCGGTTGCTGCGACTCCCAAGGTCCCGGAACGCCTCCAGCACTGCCTTGCTGGCAGCCGCCACGTCAGCAGGCTGAGCTGGCACCCATGCGTCCATTGGGATTGCCTCCTCGCACCGCTTGCTGCTGAAGAATCCCCCCACGTGCATCTCGAACCCCATCTCCCACCCCTCCTCCGAACCTCCTCCCGAACCTCCGCCCAAGGTTCGGTGGAGGGCCGGCATGAAGGCGAGATCGTTAATGTGGGGATGTTCAAAAAGGTCGTGTGAACCCACTACACTGGCGTTCCACTTGCGAGGGCTGTGTGGGTGGGGAAAGGGGGTGGGGGAATGGGGGGGAGGGGCGGGAGTGGAGAGTAAGAGGGGGAAGATATGCTCAAAGAGGTCGTGCGATCCCACCACACTGGCGTTCCACTTGCGCGGACTGCAAAGGGTGTAAGGGAGGCGGGGGGAAGGAGGGGTTGGAAAATGGGAACGCCAGAGGAAAAGGGTAAGGGGAGAACATACAGAACCAACGGAAGGGAATGTCGGGCACGCGCAATGCAAGAGTCTTCAAACACCAGGAGGAAACTTGTCACCAGGATCAAACGAAGTGACTTATGAGTCGACTCAAAAGTCACCTCGTTGCAATGCAAGAGTCTTGAAACACCAGGAGGAAACTTGTCACCAGGGTCAAACGAATGTCACTGATACGCAACAGGCAAACCTACAAAAACACCACAACAGAGCTGACCATGTAATTTATGGTGGCTCGAAAGGCGCATTCTGCACTCACAGGTTGGACAGAGCGGTGTTGCCCGCCCCATTCCCCGTGATGACGTCATCAATGGCCTGACAGAAGGGGCGCGTGTCGATGATCTCGAGGGGGTCGATCCCCGCCAGTGGGTTGCCCACCACGTTGCGCGCATTGTCCATTCCGCTCTGGATGAAGCGCAGGTTGACCTGCCAGGAGGTATGGTCAGGGGAAAGGGGAGAGAGGTGGGGGGACGATGGAGGGTACACGAGGGTCGATTCCTGCCAGCGGATTGTCCACCACGTTGCGCACATTGTCCATGCCGCTCTGGATGAGCTGCTCTGTAACTCCACTTTGCGCTCCAACCCCCCAGCACCGCACAGTATCATTTTCAACCCCTTGATAATATCCAGCGTGTCCTGCAGCGTCACTCCGCGGATCTGCCAGTTCTGCCGCGTCGTGATGCCGCCACGCTCTCCTCACATACCCACTCCCAGCCCTAAGCACCGTTCTGTACCCCCTCTGTCACCCAACGTACTCCCTCCAACCCCTCAGCACCGCGCTGTACCTTGTTCAACCCCTCAATGATGTCCGGCGTGTCCTGCAGCGTCACTCCGCGGATCTGCCAGTTCTGCCGCGTCGTGATGTCCGCCACGCCCTCCTCGCCGTAGCGGCTAATGACGTCAGCGATGAACCGTGTCTGCTCGCTCGTAATGATGCCGTTGGGCAGCCGCAGGCGCATCATGAAGCGACCGTCTGTTGTGGGGAAATGGGAAGAAAGAGGGGGAAGGGGGAGGGGAGAGAAGAGGAGGGTGGGGGATAGAGGTACGAAGTCCAAAACACAAGTGCTACGTTTGAATCACGTAATGAAAAACCCGCGAGAAAGGACTTCGGTTTTTCAATATTGACGTCAGAGTCACACGTATAGAACCCACATTGCTGCTTGCGACGGTGAAACAGCCCCAGCCACTTGAACCGCGCGTCGATGTCATCTTTCGCCTCCTTACTCCCATCCACCTCCGCCATCGTCTTTAAAGCCAGCTCCCGAAGCGCCTTACCCCCTTCCGCGATCAGCGTCATTGGGTCCTTGGCAATCTTAATCTTCTCCGCGGGATTAAGACTTGTTCTAAACTCTTCTTTTAGGACCCAATACCCGTCGCGCTCTTCCACTCGCGGTACTAGCCGGGCCGCATCTGGGTCGCTGCCGGCTGACGTCGACGGCTGTAGCACCGCAGGCGCCTCCAGCACGGCTGTAGCGCCCGCTACAACCGCCGGACTGTCAGCAGCAGCAGCGGCTGGAACCACATCTCTAGGTTTGGAACCACCAGGTTTGGAACCGCCAGGCTTGGCAGTATCTGCTGATGAGGATTCCGCCGCAACGCGCAGCGGAACCGCCGGGATTTGCCTGCGGACGCGCGGAGGGTACGATGGTGCGCGGAGGAAGGAAGGGACGGACGCGACGCGGTGCGGGACCTGGATGTAGCTGCTGCTGCAGCCGTGTTCGGGCTTAAACTGGCGGCTCGAGCTGCCGGCTTGGAACGCGACAGGAGTAGAGTTGGATGCGGCGAGGGTCGCGCTCTGAAACCCCATAATTCCGTCCAATGCGGATGTCGGTTTAAGGTGGTGCGAAGGAAGGTGAGAACGATGGATTCGACCTGGCTGTAATCTGAGATACTCTGGCTGATTTGAACAGGGGAATTTTCGTCGCGAGGAAGATTCGAAAGTGAATGCTTCTCCGGCGACTCGAGTAGATATAGCTCGTCAAAAGTCTCAGATGGTTGATTAATAGGCATCGCTAGCTGTACTTAAAAGTCTGCCCGAAGCTGTATCATCTCTTGCTGTTCCGGCAAAGACACTCCACGCCCGACTCCTCTACGACGGCCCGCCGGCCAATGCAAGCCCGGCTCCTGAATCAACCAATCCCGTGCCCGCAACCTGACTCTGCGTGCGCGCAAGGTAGCCGCCATTTTTTGAATGGCCAGCATTGGGCTCATGGGAAGATCCGCATGAATCTGGAGACCCCTAGGTAGACCCCTGATAGCCATAAGAGTTGCGTTATCTGTCCTAAACACAGGTTACTAGGCCCTGACCCTGTGGAGCTCGGTAGCGAACTATGGTTACTTCGACATTCCAACGGGTAAGGTTGATCTGCTCAACCATTGGCTGCTATTTCTGTGTTATTGTCGCAAAGGGGCGTATGGCGTTCTGGGAAATAACAAACCTACGAGGCAGTGCTGTCGCCAGCACAGGTCCACGAAAGAACAATTTACCACCACAAAAGTCCCTAGAGAAAGGCGCCTAGTTTGGCTCTTGGAAAAGGCAAGAGCTCGAATATGCTATGGCTGAATCGATTCCAGCCGATCTGGTCTTTGCTCATTGGGCGAAGTTCGGCTTCAAGCCTTGGGAACATCGCAAGCAACAGAAACATTTACTTGCACAAGTTGAGTGCAGAACATTGTAGTCGTTCAGTACGGTGCAGTCATATTCGTTACAATAACGAATAGTTTGCGGGGATCAACGAGTCGGGGCATGAGCCCCTGAGCGGTTCAAAGCCCCAAATAGAAAAGGAATGGCTGGGATTGAGCGTCCGGGGGCGGCTTGTGAGGCCAAGGGACAGCTCACAAGAGGCCCCTAGATAATCGTAAGAGGCGCGAAAGTTACGGATTGGTGCGGGCGTCGGTGAATTGATCCGGGTAATCTCGCACGGAAGGGGGTGATGACTGTCAGGTTGTAGAATCTCTGTGATTGGTAAACATGTGGGGCCAATCAGCACAGAGCTGAGCATTCTTTAGCGGGAATTCATTCTGTTCCGTTACTATGTATGGTTGTACCACCCACTCACTGTTGGCAGTGAACTCTAAAAGGCTCTGCTGACCAAGGATAAGTCCAGGAGGTCAAGGAGCAGCAACAGTTAATAGGTGACGAGATCGTGTCTGTTCTATATCCAATGTTATACAGGCTGAGGGCATCCTTTGTCTTTGCATATCTCGTGAAACTCCCATTTGCTCGTTATTGTCAACTGAAACAGCATTTCACATGACCAACTTCAAATATACATGCAGAAATGATGCTTCGTACACTGCGCACTAATCCAACACCACACCTGCTTACTAGTCTTTATTTATTACCAACACATCCCCCCTCAGTGTATCTGACAATGCATCTTGAAGCTTATCAACATTGTCTGCCATCGCCATAATCTGAAGCTCGACTACACTACCTTTTCCATCCTCACTATCACAATAACTTTCGTTTAATCTCTCAACCGAGTATTCAGGCCGTTGAAGCTGCGTCACATCGATACATGTGGTGGGGGAGAAAAAGGATGACGAAAGTTTCACTAAGGTGAGAAACAGGGTACCTAAGCTTCAGAAAGGGTGCCTATGGTGCAACTGGGAATGCAGATGCAACCCACCAGACCATAGCACTATTACGCAGCGTAAATAGAATCGTTGCATTTTCGTGCATACCGTAAGTGTACATACCACAGTGTAGAGTAGTCCAACGTGGTGTACTGGGGCAATTATTTTGAGGGCCACCTGCCAGGAGAAAAGCACATAAAGAAATCTTACTTTCTAAACGTGACTGATATGTTCCTTAAAAACCACCTGCCAGGAGAGAAAACAAATGAAGGAAGCACACCTTTCGCAAGACTGGAACAAGGGTGGCTTCTCGCAGTGCTCCTGCTGCTCCTCCCACTTTAAGGGCGCCTCACAATATAACTAGGACTAGAGTAAAAAAGTCTGAGGAGATTCACAAGAGATAACCACACCTTTTGCAAGACTGGAACGAGGGTGGCTTCTCGCAGTGCTCCCGCTGCTGCGCCGCCATACGCCCTCACCAGACCTCCAGTTCCTAGCTTCACTCCCCCATAGTACCTTAATGTTGGAAACAAATCGAGGTGGACAAGGACAAACATCATGAGGAGCCAAATAAGATTTCCAGGTGCCCTTACGAAGCCGTCTCTTCTTAGCTTCACACCCTTTCCTAGTTGAATCGACGAGTCACGAAAACACAAAAGATTATCAGGAAGCAGCGTTTACAATCAATCCTCCGGTGTTACACTCTACCTGGTTACCACCACCATGACACCATCCACGCCAGCCCCCTCAATAGCTGCCAAAATCGGCCGCCCGGCTGTTCCTCCCGGCTCCCCGTCATCATTGAAGCGATATGCTGGCGAAATCTGTGTGGGAGATGGTTGGTGGGATAGCCCATTGGGAGCAATAACACATGGTTTCATAGCACATCAGGGAACAGCACTTGGGGATAGAATGCAGAGATGAAATAACGCATGTATAGGGAGCATAATGCAGGGAGAGCAGGCGCATCATGAGTTATATTTGTCAAGTTGGATGCTGGAAGGAGCTGCCTAGATGTTACTATCATCGCCATTGCTCAAACTTGAAAGCTATGTACGAGTCTGAAAACATATGAATTCCAAATAGTGTACCAAGTCTGAAAACATATGAATTCCAAATAGTGTACCAAGTCTGAAAACATATGAATTCCAAATAGTGTACCAAGTGAAGTGTACGAGAAGCTCAAGAGCAGAACACATGCAACTTCTCACCTTCTATGCCAGCAGTTGTGGCTGGCAGATGGTTTTGCCACGTGAAATGAGTGTATTTTTTAGAAGTCTCAGAAGCTCAAGAGCAGAACACATGCAAATTCCCACCTTGTATGCCCAGCAGTTGTGGCTGGCAGATGAATCTTTGACCTGGTCGGGTGTGGCGAGAAGGTGAGGGTAGGACAGAGTAGGCAGACACAAAAACAGCGGGCCTCATAAGGTGGTCAAAGGGAAATTGAGGTGAAAAATACACATACAGAGATTTCAATGAATGTTAAACGTCCCGTCTCACCTCCCCCCCTCACCTCCCCCCCTCACCTCCCCCCCTCACCTCCCCCCCTCACCTCCCCCCCTCACCTCCCCCCTCACCTCCCCCCCTCACCTCCCCCCCTCACCTCCCCCCCTCACCTCCCCCCCTCACCTCCCCCCCTCACCTCCCCCCCTCACCTCCCCCCCTCACCTCCCCCCCTCACCTCCCCCCCTCACCTCCCCCCCTCACCTCCCCCCTCACCTCCCCCCCTCACCTCCCCCCCTCACCTCCCCCCCTCACCTCCCCCCCTCACCTCCCCCCCTCACCTCCCCCCCTCACCTCCCCCCCTCACCTCCCCCCCTCACCTCCCCCCCTCACCTCCCCCCCTCACCTCCCCCCCTCACCTCCCCCCCTCACCTCCCCCCCTCACCTCCCCCCCTCACCTCCCCCCCTCACCTCCCCCCCTCACCTCCCCCCTCTTACATCCCACCCCCTCACCTTCATTCTCTCTCCTCTCTCCTTTCTCCTCTCTTCCCCCCACCTTCCCCCTTCTCGCTTCTCCCTTGTCACCTCCCCCTCTTCCCCCACCCCTCTCCTCCCGCGTTCCCCCTTCCCCCTCCTCCCCCCTCCCCAAACTCACCTCGTCCAGCACGCGCATTGCCTCCTCTGCAGACCCCTCCCCCCTCCCCAATCCCCAATCCCCAATCACCCCTCTCACCTCGTCCAACACCTGTGGCCCCTTCGCTTCCTCCTCTTCCCACTCACCTCCCCCCTCCCCCCCCTCCCCCCTCCCCCCCTCCCCCTCCCCCCTCCCCCTCCCCCCCCCCCCCCCCCCCCCCCCCCCCTCCCCCCTCCCCCCTTCCCCCTCCCCCCTCCCCCCTTCCCCCTCCCCCCCCCCCCCTCCCCCCTCCCCCTCCCCCCCCCCCCTCCCCCCTCCCCCCCCCTTCCCCCCCCCCCTCCCCCCTCCCCCCTTCCCCCTTTACCGTCTCACCTCGTCCAACACCCGCATCGCCTCCTCTGCAGACCCAACCGGCGCCGCTACCGCCACGAAGCGACTCCTCTTAATCTCCGAGTGGAAGGTAACGGATGTGCTTATAGTGAAGGAAGGAGCGGAGGAGGCGGAGGAAGAGGGGGAGGAGGAGGCGGCGGAGGAGGGGTGGGAGGCGGCTGCGGCGGCGGCGATGGGAGAGGAGAAGGCTGACTGGTCAAAGCAAGGAAAGGAATGAAGGGAGAAGTGATGGTGACAGGGTAACTGACGGAGGAATTGACTTGACTGACTACCGGCGCGCCTGAAAACAGAAGACGTCAGACTGACGTCATGCCGTACAATTCTCGAAAATGGAACGGAACGCAAGTGGTATTCCTGGCTAGCCGACGGGAGGCGAAGGCCTAGCGCGAGAGGCAATAGCGGTGTTGCCAGCGGGGTGAGATTTCGGTATGCGACGACCGGCGACGATCGCACGCGAGCGCATGCGACGATGTGCGACCGACGCGACTGCGATGCTAGGGAATGCGACAACGGCCTTGGCCGAACCCATACTGACGACATTGTGCCTGGCATCGCTCAAGCCAACGAGGCCAGAGAGAGGGAGCTATGAAGGAACGCCGACTCCTCAACTCTCCATAACTAAGAGGCTACTAAAGACGTGAACGGTTGGATATGGCAGCCGTCGTTTGCGGCGAAGCAAGAATGACAGCCGTGAGAATAACGCAATGGCTCTTTAAACTGGCAAGGAGCAAGTGGCAAGTGGCAGCAAAATGTTCCGTTGCCGGGACTTGAACCCGGGTCTTTCGGGTGAGAGCCGAATATCCTAACCGACTAGACTACAACGGATGCTGGGTGCGATCACTTCTTCTTATATATATATATTTTAAAACCAGAGCCAATGGTGACCTATGGAATTCTCTGATCGCATTCTAGCGCACAGAGCTAGCATGAGCGGATCGGCGTCGCGCCACTTCCGCTCAGCCGCAGGGGCGTTGCGGCACTGCCTTAGACGACCACGCGCCGCCTTGTCTGCGCCTCCGCCTACTCCTGTCACCGCTAGTGCCGTCCTCGCTACCAGACATCCTCACGAGCCCAGCATTTGCTCTTCTATGGATCCCGCCCTTCCCAGAACGAGCGCCTCCATCGGCCGCGGGTTTAGTGTCGGCGATGCATCTCCCGGTGACACGTGGCACCGATCCGATAGTTCATTTCAGCATGGATTGACACAACCATTCGCAGTGTTTCCCATAGCAATCGCCGCTCGAGCCGTGTCATTCTCCGCGTTTCACTCTTCTTCCCGCGTCGCTGCTGCGGCTGCTGACGTGGCAGCGAGCGGCGCGAGCGGAGAGAAGGCGCAGCCGCCGGCTTCCACGCTGCTTCCGACGTCCGGCGCTCCGGTAGTGTCGCCGCTCGTTACAGGCACGTCGCCGCTGTCGCCCGCGTCGCCCACCGGTCGCACGGTTCGCGCCGTTCTTTCAGGGCTCAAACAGGTACTGTGCGGCACAGTGTGGTACTGACGCGACCAAACAGGGACGTGGTTCTGGAACCAACCGAATATATAGAATGCGGTTGTGTGTGGTACTGTATGGTACTGACGTACCTGTTATTAAAAGGGGACGTCTCCCTAGGCCGCCAGCCTGTCTCCCCCCACACCACCCCTCCGATTCCGCCTCCCTCCTCTTCCCCCCCACACCAACCCCCCCTCCCCCCCTCCCCTCCTCCCGGGGTCCCAAGAAGGTGAATCTCGTAGCGGCGATGGTGCGGGGGATGACGCCAGGCGATGCATTGAGCCCTCAGAAATAGACTTTTTTCTGTCTTCTTTCCCCTCCCCCCCCTCCCTCTCCCCCTCCCCTCCTCCCAGGGTCCCAACAAGGTGAATCTCGTAGCGGCGATGGTGCGGGGGATGACGCCAGGCGATGCATTGAGGCCTCAGAAATAGACTTTTTTCTGTCTTCTTTCCCCTCCCCCCCCTCCCTCTCCCCCTCCCCTCCTCCCAGGGTCCCAACAAGGTGAATCTCGTAGCGGCGATGGTGCGTGCGGGGGATGACGCCACTCGATGTCCCTTCCTAGCGCAGGCCCCCCAAAGCCCGTGAGGGCTCCTCTTCCTAACGCAGGGACCCTTTTCCCCCCTTCCCCTCCCCCCCTCCCCTCCTCCCAGGGTCCCAAGAAGGTGAATCTCGTAGCGGCGATGGTGCGGGGGATGACGCCAGACGACGCGCTCATGCAGATGGCCGTCAGCACCAAACGCGCTGCCAAGACCGTTGCGCAGGTGAGACGTGAGGTGGGAGGCGGGAGGTGGGGGGTGGGAGGTGGGGGGTGGGAGGTGGGGGGTGAGATGAGACGTGACTATGGTGAGGGTGGCTGGCAGTCGCTTGCTCACTAGTGCCATCCAGACGACCATGGTGCGGGGGATGACGCCAGACGACGCGCTCATGCAGATGGCTCAGGTGAGGGTGGGAGTGAGGTGGGATGGGAGTGAGGTGAGAAGAGCAAGGAGAGGATGACGCCAGACCAGACGATGCGCTCATGCTAAACCCATGGCTGGCAGCACCAAGGTGGTGGCAAAGGTGGGATGTGACTAAGGTGGGATGTGGCTAAGGTGGGATGTGACTAAGGTGGGATGTGACTAAGGTGGGATGTGACTAAGGTGGGATGTGACTAAGGTGGGATGTGGCTAAGGTGGGATGTGACTAAGGTGGGATGTGACTAAGGTGGGATGTGACTAAGGTGGGATGTGACTAAGGTGGGATGTGACTAAGGTGGGATGTGACTAAGGTGGGATGTGACTAAGGTGGGATGTGGCTAAGGTGGGATGTGGCTAAGGTGGGATGTGACTAAGGTGGGATGTGACTAAGGTGGGATGTGACTAAGGTTAGGGCACCAAACGCACTGATACTCACCAAACGCACTGGTACTTAATAAGGTTCTCACGCACTGGTACCATACCATTCATCCACTCAGCTCATGCACATGGTTGGCAGCACCAAACGCGCAGCTAAGTCCGTGGCTAAGGTGGGATGTGACTAACGTGAGGGTGAAAGCTGTTCACTCACTGGTACAATCCATTCAAGGCAGGCGACGCGCCCATGCAGATGGCTGTCTGGCAGCATCAAGCGCGCAGCTAAGTCCGTGGCTGGCTAAGGTGGGATCAGGGAGAGGTGAGATGGAGGTGAGAGGTGAGATGGAGGTGAGAGGTGAGATGGAGGTGAGAGGTGAGATGGAGGTGAGAGGTGAGATGGAGGTGAGAGGTGAGATGGAGGTGAGAGGTGAGAGGTGAGAGGTGAGGTGGTGAGGAGAGAGGTAATGAGGTATCGAGAACTCATGTGCCGAGAGGACTGGAGTGAGTTGTGGGGTGAGCTATCGGGCCATACGTCGAATGATATGTGATACGAAGCGTGGTTGGGGTGAAGTAGAGATCCATTTGTTGCACAAGACATTCGGAGAGAATTTCTCTTTCCTCTCCCTCCTCTGTCCTACAGGCGGTCACAGCAGCCAAGGCCAACAGGGTGCACAACCACGGGCTGGATGAGACTAAGCAAACTCGAGTGAGGTCATTATGTAATGTAACCCGCGACTTTTGAGGCGTCTCAAAACCCGCGACTTTTGAGACGTCTCAAAAGGCAACGGGCTGGATGAGACTAAGCAAACTCGCATGAGGTCATTATGTAATGTAACCCGCGTGTCTGTCTGCTCCCTGTTTCCTCTCTCTGTTTCCTCCCTCTGCCCCCCTGCAGGCGATCACAGCAGCCAAGGCTAATGCAGTGCACAACCACGGGCTGGAGGAGAAGAGGCTTATCATAGGTGAGTATTGAGGATGTGAGAGTGGTGGGGATGGGTGTGGAGGGGTTGCTTTGAGTCGACTTAAAGAACAACCATGGGCTGGAGGAGAGGAAACTTATCATAGGTGAGAGAAGAGGAAGGGGTGTGAGGGTGTGGGGGTGTGCAGAGACTGGGTGTGGATGGGTTCGGAGGGGTGCTTGTGAGTTATCCCTGTAACAACCATGGGCTGGAGGAGTTGAAGCTTATCATAGGTGAGGGGGGAAGGAGTGTGGCGGGGGTGAGTGTGGAGGGGGTGAGGCGAGTGCGGCCCTCTCTCACGGCTGCTGGTGATGCTGTTGCTGGTGATGCTGTTGCTGGTGATGCTGTTGTTGATGATGATGATAAACCCTTTTTCCCTCTTCCCCTCCCTCCATGCTGCGGAGGCCTTTGTAGGCAAGGGTCGGTATCTGAAGCGGCTGAACCCGCATGGGAGGGGGCGGTCGGGGTTGAAGCACCGCTACAGGAGCCGCCTCACTGTAGTGGTGCGGGAGATGAGCGGCCCTGAGGAGGAGCGAGTGCAGCAGCAGAGAGGGGTTGTGGTTACTGCTGCTACCTCTGCTGCTGCCCATAATGAGGCCTTTTGTCTTTTCCTTCACACTGCTTCCCCCCTCTTTCCCCTCCCCCCCCATCCTCCCTGCAGCTGAAGCATTCGTAGGCAAGGGCCGGTATCTGAAGCGGCTGAACCCGCATGGGAGGGGGCGGTCGGGGGTGAAGCACCGCTACAGGAGCCGCCTCACCGTGGTGGTGCGGGAGATGAGCGGCCCTGAGGAGGAGCGCGTGGAACAGCAGAGAGCTGCTGCGGCCAATCACAGGTGGTTGCGGCGCGTGCAGCGGAAGCGAGGGCAGATTGTGCCGCATAAGGTGGTGGAGGTGGGGAGGAGAAGGGAGGAGGAAAGTGGGGCTGCTTGATTATGAAATGGGAAAATTAGGTTGGTCCGATGGAAAAGGGTGCGTTTGCGGTTGGATGAGCTGAGTGCTGGGTTGGGTAGGAACGGGGAAATTGTTGAGAGATGCTATCATGCTAGGGTGGGAAGAAGGCTGATGAGATGGTGTAAACATTGCCAGCAATGAAACGAACTCAACCTTGGTCAGGCCATAGATTTGACATGAGTAAGAGAGCGGAATGCTTTTCCATTCCCAGGTTCCAATCATATGCTCTGCTTGTTTTGAGTGAACAGTTAATGGATTAAACGATTCTTTGCTCTTCAGCAAATTTCTGGATTCTTGTCTACAGTGAAATTCGTTAGAGATCGAGATTCTGGAATTTGTCGGGGTTGCGTGCGGTTCACTCGGATATCTTCTAGTAAACGTACTGACATCCTTATACCAAGATCCAAACCTTCTCGAAATCTCTGCAAGCCATTCTATCACCGGAGTCCAGGTCCTGGCCTGACTTGCCTAGGATTGTTGTGTTGGTCAACCATCTCGGCTCTCCTCATTGCTCGCCGTTTTGCGCAATTCATCCGTTGTTTCTGTTACTAATAAGTCTGGGATACAAGCGACTGCCAGCTTTCACCAGAAAAGGACGACCTTGTTAGCCGTCTGCAAACGTCCTCAGCAGTTAGTGCTGTTTCATCCCCTCGTGTTCAGCGGGCCCAAGCCGTTTCATCAGCTGAAAGCATTTTGAATTCCCAGAAGCAGTAGGGGGAGCTCGTAGCTCTGACAGGAAGGTCACGCTGAAGCCATGGCGAAGCATCATCCGGATTTGATCATGTGTCGGAAGCAGCCGGGAATCGCCATTGGTCGTTTGTGCGAAAAATGCGACGGAAAATGCGTCGTGTGCGATTCGTACGTGCGACCCTGCACACTTGTGCGGATATGCGACGAGTGTAATTATGGGTCTTATCAGGTGAGCCAATCCTTTCCTGATTCCACTTGAATGCATCTTTTGATTTATTTTCCTATCCCAGTTTGCCTGCTTTTCTTGATCCAGGGATGTCAGGTACTATGTTGATGTTTGCTGGTACTAATTCAAGCGTTCAGGTTATTAGTAACTACAGTCCTTTTTGTGAGGGAAGTTGTAGCTCTTCTTGTTTGTTGGCTGGTGTTGCTTTCATCAAGTGACGTTGTCAGCATTTTGCAATTGAGACATGCAAAGGCGCAGATGTCTGCAGCAACCCCAGTCCTCGCTCTCTACTCTCTCCCTTTCCCCCACCCTCGGCTCCCCCACTGTTCTCCCCCTTCCTCCCACACCCTCTTTTTGCCGTCTCTTCCTCTCCCAACCCCTTAAGGGGATGTGAGAGAGCAGGGCATATCATACGCATTTACTGCAAGGAGTGCAGCAGCAATAGAGGATCAATACGGGTGCCCCAAGATCCACCTCAACTTCCTTCTCCCTTTTCCCCTTCCTGCTTCCGTCCCACCCCTGCTTCCGTCCCCTTCCTGCTTCCGTCCCCCTCCCTCTTCTTCCATCCATGTGCCTCTCTTAGTGCATGGAGTGCACCCATTTAAGCGTCCTCACTCTTCGTCTTAACCCCTCCTCTGTCCCATCCTATTCCATACATCCCATATCTCCTTTCTCTCCCTTGTGTGACATGTGCAGGGCAGGGCCAAACACATGTTACTGCAAGGAGAACAATCCACCTCACTTCTCCCTACACCCCCGCCATTTTCTCCCTTGCTTGATTCAGGGCTGGTTTGTGATATGCGGAGAGCACGGCATATCAGACGTGTATTACTGTTTAAGAGTCCACACAACAGGGTTATAAGCTACCTCACCATTCCTTGTGTCCCCATCCCCTTCCATGCAATCTCCTCTACTGGTTGATTCAGGGTCGGTGTGTGATATGCGGAGGGCAAGGCATATCAGATGCATATTACTGCAAGGAGTGCACGCAGCAGGAGAAGGACCGAGACGGGTGTCCAAAGATCATTAACCTAGGTAGTGCTAGAACAGACCTATTTTATGAAAGGAAAAAGTATGGCTTCAAACAGAGGGCATAGGTTGCCCGTTATGCATCAAAAGATTCAGCCAAATCTTTCAGCAATTGCAAAATATAATAATTTGAAGCCCCTGGCCGTCCTTCAGCAACGTTCTTACTGATTACAAGCACAGAGAAAGAGCCCTCATCTCTTTATAATGGGATAGCAGTACAGTACAGTTTGGCAACTTTTGGAAGACTAGCCTGCAAGAGCTGAGTCTAAATCAATTTCCGTTGAAGTGCTGAAAATGTCTTGCCCCATCATGAGTTACTGAAAAGGGATGTCAACAGTGGGACAGGAAATGAGAGGGGTTCAGAAATAATGTAGCAATGGCGGAACCGGGGTCTGAATGGCGAGAGAAGCAACACAAGCCCAAGATTATTAAGGACATGGTTCCTGCTTATAGGAGCTTGCACAAAACGAGCAAATTGGCATAGAGGCATTGTTGAAGTCAACTCGGGGGAGCTGTGACCAAGTGTGCCATCAACTCGCATGGCTGGCATAAGAGCTAGATCGGTAGCTGCTGTGGGAACAGCCCCTCTCTGTGTCCCACCCTTGTGTCTGAGCATGACTATGTCCATACCCATGTCATCGATTGGTGTAAGAGCATGCCATCAACTCACATGGCTGGCAGCAGAACTAGATCCAGTTGCTGCTGCTGCTTCTGGAGCATGTCCTTCCCATGTGCCTCAGCCTCTGCATGGCCATGACCATGCCTCTATCCATACCCATGCCCATGTTATTGAATCGACTCAAGAGCATGTCATCAACTCACATGCCTGGCAGCAGAGCTCGATCCAGTTGCAGCTGCTGCTGCAGGAGCATGCCCCTCCCCATGTGCCTCAGCATGGCCATGACCATGCCCATGTCCATGTCCGTGACCATGACCTTCCCACGGGTGACGCCAGCCCTGCAAACGAAATGGAATGAAAGAGATCACCAAAGGGTTGAATCAGACCATACCAGAATATGTTACAGAGACGAACGAGAGACATGAGGCATGAAGTGATTGAGAATCGGGGGGTAACAGGATCAACCAAAAGCTGATACGTTGTCAGAAAGAGAGGATGGAAATGTGAACGGTGAAAGCAGGGTAGGAGGGGAGGGGGGAGTTGGGAAGAGCTAGGCTTACCAGCAGTACTGGCCCGTCCTCCTTGGCACGGTAGAGAATCCAGAACCTGCAAAAACGACAGAGACACACACGTGGGATGACAGTATCTACCTAGTAAGTTCAAAGGTCTACTGGCCCGTCCTCCTTGGCACGGTAGAGGATCCAGAACCTGCAAAAACGACAGGGACACACACGTGGGATGACAGTATCTACCTAGTAAGTTCAAAGGTCTACTGGCCCGTCCTCCTTGGCACGGTAGAGGATCCAGAACCTGCAAAAACGACAGAGACACACACGTGGGGTGACAAAAACTTGTCAGTCGACTCAGAAGTCTACCGGTCAGTCCTTTTTGGCGCAGTAGAGAATCCAGAACCTGCACAAACGGCAGAGACACACATGTGCGACGACAACCATGGTTACCAAACAGGGAGCGCTGAGACCAATCTGTTCCAGATTCTTAACGCACATGCAGGTGTCGACGACCAGACAGTGTTTCCAGAAACGGTTATTGCATAAGGCTTGTGTATAGGTTACCCGACAGGGATACTATACAGGGCCACCAGACATGGTTATTGGACAAGAATAACAACCAGCGTTACCAGACAGGGAGCGCTCGAACGAATCCGTACCACATCATCGCGCACATGCCGGTGCAGAAAACTACACGGGGTTTCGCGACATGGTTACCCTACGGATTTACCAGAGAGGGTTTACCAGACAGGGAGCGCTGAGATCAAGCCGTACCACATCATCGCGCACATGCCGGTGCCGACGACCTTATGCCAGCGCGCCGCGGGGTGCAGCGTCAAACCGCCATGGGTGATCCCGTGACCGTTGCCGTGTCCTCCAGCCATGATCTCTGGTAGAAAGTACGCCTCGGATAGGATCGAATACGAATCGCGAAAAGAAGGCGATCGCGCGCAGCCAATGCACTTGATCGCGACGCGCTCGGATCACGGTACTTGCGAAGCAATACGAGTCAAGCGGATGGTGAAGACGTGAATCGCGGGCTGGATGATGCGGAATAGCGGAAGTGGTAGTGGTGGATGGCGGTGGTGATGGTACTGGGGACGGTAGGGTTGCTGGGAGAAGCGGACTCACCCCGAGCTGACTCGAAACGCACCAAAACAAGCTTGATTGGTTTGATGTAAGGGCCAATTCCTGTTTCCAAGGGCGTATTCTAGAAACTATTTAGCGCGAGTTGCAATCGGAGAACGATATTTGTGTCCTTCGTGTACTGAACTTCCCTGCCCATCGATTCCGCTGAGCTATTTTCGGCGACAATCGTCGACCGGACCACCATGAAGCTTGCACCACACTTCGTGTCAGCGTGACATGTACCGAGCAATTTCGAAGTTCGAAACTCGGCAAAATCGAAAGATCGAAACCCCAGCATCTGAATGACAGTCTCGGAGTCAAATAGGATATGGTAATTCCAGAGATTATTTATAATTGGGAGTCCAATTTTACGGCTATTTCAGTCGAGAGCTTCCGCTAGGGACCCCACGTTGTGGAAGTAGCTGCTCACCGTGCTCCTCTTTTGCTATCCGAAGTTACCTGGTGGTGGCCAGGTCCAGGAACCATGTCTCGAGCTGTCTACTGCGGGAACTTCGAGTATGAGGCTCGGCAGTCGGAGATCGAGCGGCTGTTCGACCGTTATGGTCGGATCTCACGGGTGGACATGAAGACTGGTATGATCATCTATATTCCTGCTCTCCTCATTTTAGCACCACTCACGAAAGATTTTTGTTTGAGACTCAAAGTTAAGTGCAGGTTCATGGGAACAACGAACCGGGCACTCGTCTGGACATTGCCTGTTTTCAGCAGTTAGCAGTTCCTCCTGACAACATTAAATTTCGAACACACAACATGAGACGTCCGACACATGGCATCGCAGCAAGGACAACATGATGAGCCATTTCAGCCTATGGCCCTGGATGCACGCTCGCTCTTGCTCAAGCCGGCGACAGAAGTCGTTTTAGACAACTATGGCGCCAGCTTATCGCTGCTCGCATCATGAATCGTGTTCATCCAGTCAAGCTTGCTCAACACAACTCGTTATGACAACCGGCATCTCGTTCAAAGTCCAACCTAGACAGAGGACAGAGATGGCCAGAGCCTGTCATCGTTCACACGGTCAACTAGCACATCTGTATATACCGGGTGTGCGTGCTGGCTGTAAATATCCACGTGTTTTTTTTCTTGCATGTCGTCTGTATGTTCATTGCCTCTTTGTTTTCGCTGCAATTTCTCGTACAAATTCTCTTACTGCTTTCCAGCATCTCAATCTTTGCAATCCGCATTGATTTATAACAACCTGATGTTCGTTTACCTTGTCTTTCTTTTTGTTGCTTCACATCTCTCACGCAGGCTTCGCGTTTGTCTACATGGATGACGAGCGCGACGGAGATGATGCCATCCGCGCGTTAGACGGTATGGAGTTCGGTAGGCAGCGCCGTCGCCTCCGCGTTGAATGGGCAAGGGTGAGCATGGAGGCCTTTCTTGCCTGTCAATTTCCTCCCCACCCTTTGATGAGAATTGTTAATAATGCCTGTTTTCGTTCGTTCTTCGCAGGGTGAAGGCCCAGTGAAGCAAAGGGAAGTAGAGCGTAGGAACTCCAGGCCTTCGAAAACCCTATTCGTTGTGAATTTTGACCCCATTAATACTCGAACACGGGACTTGGAGAGGCACTTCGAGCCATATGGCAAACTGGTTCGGGTCCAGATTCGCAAGAACTTTGCGTTTGTGCAATATGAGACCATTGAGGAGGCTGAAAAGGCAGTTAAAGAAACTGATGGAAGGTATGTCTTACCATATCCCTGCAAAAGCCATGTTCTGCTCCTTTCATCTGTGTTGCCTCCATTCTGTTTTGTGAGGTTCATAGGAGGGTGTGCCTTAACCTTCAACAACTTCTGTGGTGCAGCTCCGTGGATGGTCGTCAAATTACTGTAGAGTTTGCTGCCAGAGAGGACAGCTTTGACGATGACAGGCCCGCTCGCCGAGGCAGCCCTGACTATGGCCGCAGAGGCAGCCCAGATTATGGCAGGGGCAGAGGCAGGGGCAGCCCAGACTATGGCCGCTACGGAAGGTGCGTAAAGCTGCGGACATTGGTAACACTGTCCGGTACAATTTTCCTCTGAAGGACATGACTTGTTATGTGCACATGTGGGTGTATTTGTTCACTTACCACCTGTGTAATGTCCATTCTGTGTGCTGGTTTGCAGCCGTTCACCACCTCGCCGAGGTCGTAGCCGCACTCCCAGCAGAAGCCGCAGCAGGAGCCGAAGCGTTAGCAGGTCCCCCCGTCATTCTCGTTCACCCCGGCGTTAATGGTATGCCTTGGACAGTGGAATTCAGAGTGTGGCACTGTCTGTGTCAATATACACACCCGAGTTAGTTTCTTACTGCCGTAGTCTGTGTTGTGCCCTCTTTAGACAGCAAATTTCTAGTGGTGCATTGGTGGTGTGGTCAAGGCTTGTGATGACACATCTACCGTAAGCGCTTTGAATTCTACTAGAGGTGTTAAATATGTACTGTATTTGCTTTGGTCCACCAACGGATGGAGAGCATTATGGCACTGTTGTGAATTCCACTAAAGGGATATGATGCACTGCAAGGAAGCAATGAGTTGAGCTGTCTAGCTGAAGAAAGGACTGGCAATATGTTGCAGCTGTGGTGACTGAGATAAGCAGCCAAGCCAACCAACCCTGCATACCGTACTACAATTTTCATCTAAAGATTTCTAATCACCAGAACTCGCTGCTCCCATTCTTCAACCCAAACATAACTCCCGCCTCCTCCTTTCCCCCTCGACTGCCTCATCATACTTTGGTGTGAGTGGGGATGATCACCCGATCCACCCCATGGGCAATGAACCATCGCCCCACATACAGCCCCGGGATGCGAATAGTGGTCCACTGGTCCGCCTTCAAGTACGGTCCCCTAGCAAAGGACACAGCAGAGTTGTTTCCCATCGGCGTCATCTTAAACATTGGCTGCCTCAGCTGTGTGCCGATCGCCGTCCGCAGCTTCACCTGCCTCATCTGCGGGAGGGTCATTCGGCGGCGCAGGATGTGGAACGCGGTGATGTTGTACAGTGTGGGGATGCTGCTGCTCTTAGCGGGGATTCTCTTAGCGAGGGCTTCTGCCTGCACGTTGTTGGGGATGAGGATGGACGCGTCTCGCAACGCTGATAGGTAATACTTGGAGTTCACTGCAGGGAAGGGTGGAGCGGAGGGAGAAATGGAGGGGGATGGTGGGGTGGAGATGGGTGGAGAGGGGGTGGAGAGGGGGAAAGAGAGGAGAAGGAAAAAGCAGTGAATAATTCTGGAAACAAAATGGGAAAGGTGGGGTGTCTTGGGGAAGGGGGTGTGCAGCTGAGGGAACGAACACAAACGTAATTCAATGTACGTGTCCAACTAGTCTCTGGTGCAAAATCTTACGTGCGAAGTTGATGTATTTGGTGGCGTCCTGCGCGTATCGCGAGTACTGCGGGTACCGCTTCACGATGCTCTTCGCCATGTTTTGCAACTCTGTGCGCAGCTGCGCCTTGGTTGGCGGAGGAGGCTGCGCGCAGCTTGTCAGAACGCACGCCGCCGCCACGCACATGACTGCTACGAATAGCAAGCCACCTCCGATTCGCGCCGCCATTTCCGATAATCGCTTCGAGCTTCGAACACTGTTTCAGGCCTTTCAAATGGTTTCACACACGCGGATCGCTGACTGTAAGAGCCTCAACAGGATGATCCTGAGCTGGATGGTATGGGCTGGTTAGTAACAATTGTCTGCGGCGCCTTAGTAACAATGGGTTGAAGGAATGTCAGTTGTTTGTCTCGCTGAGAGCTAAGTCGTCGTATTAGGTTGCTGCTAAGCTGTTGTGATGTATGTAGGTCCGACCTAAGTCGTATTAATAGTATGCAAACGAGAGGTACCTCACGCTGGCCGGATCGGTCACTCCTGGCCAGATAGACCCTTCGCGGCTCGCCCGTTCCATGTAACGCCCAAAGGCGCACACCGCGACTCGCCGCCATGGACTCGCGAGGAAGCTGAGTCGCCGCCAGCAGCCGTGCCGCAGCGATATGCGAGGAGGCCGCTGCTCCATTGCCGCCATATAGCCGCCGTGCCGTGCCAATTCGGCGCGGTACGGCTCGCTAGATAACGCGGAAAGGCATGGTGCGATAGAAGTGACAGGAAGAGATGCGAACCGTCCTTTTTCTACATTGCGGGAGCGGGATAGGGCATACGCGTGTTAGTGGGTATGCGTGCGATAACACCACCTCGTGAGAGCCTGTAAAAGTTCCACGATTACGGTTGACAGGGTTTTGAAACGGCGTTGTCTATAATTAGAGGTTTGAAGGGCTCCGAGAGAAAACGTCCGACGATGCGTTTGACGCGTGTACGACGATGCCTGTGCGACGAAATCCTCGCAAAGATGAGTGTACGACAGGCACTTTGCGAACAAGTGATTCGGTGCGACGAGGTGCCAGGAAGGTCAGTCAATGCAGGTATCGAGTGTACCCTCATGCTACCTTTTCATTTTCTCTCTATACTTAAGTATCACAACAACAAAGGGTACATGCGTCCTCTGGAAGATATCTGTGCAATTCACACGTGTTTGAAGCTCTATATTCAGGGGACAAAAAAGAGGTGTGATTTTATTATTAGGAAGGAATAGAAAGGGACGCCTCTCTTCAGATATGGTAGACAATGCTCAATGAGGGTAACCTAGCTTCAACTCTTTGAACCATTTTGTAGGGGGGTTTGCCTCAAAAGGAAATCCAGAGGTCCACTCGACAAATGTGCAGCGCAGTTTCCGTCGAAAAAACTTTGCCCCGAGTGAGGATCGAACTCACGACCTTAGGATGGCTCCGTCCCATTGTGTGGGAGTCGGGTTGCTATGAGACCTACGCGCTACCGACTGCGCCATCGAGGCTTGATAGATTGGTTGGTTTTATTTTAGAAAATCATAAATTAAACAGTCGTTTTTCCATCTCGAATATTTTGTTCTTTGCTCTGACTGATGGCTTGCGAGTCCTTGAAGTCTCGGATTCCCGAGGGGGTAGAAGTCATAGTGTGCGACGACGACGACGATCTTTACGAAGAAGTGACGGCGACCAACGGACCCGCTGACAGGAATCGTGACTGCAACCCTCGTATAGTACGCTACGATATTGACGAGGATGAACAGGAGGAGGAAGAGGAGGCGGAAGAGGAGGGAGGAGGGGAGGAGGGATACGAGGAGTATGAAGAGGAAGAGGAGGATGATGATGACGATCTTGTGATGCTTGACAGTGATCCGAATACACGTAAGGACGATCCTAATACGCGTATCCCGACCAACTCTGTCACTGTTACCAACGCGTACCGCGTGTTTCCCTCCCGCACAACACTCAAAGATCCAACTGCAGCGCGAGAGGCGTCCGCGCGAGAGGATTCAGGGCGAGAGGCGTCCGCGCGAGAGGATTCAGGGCGAGAGGCGTCTGCGCGAGAGGCTTCAACTGCAGCTGGTGGTGCACGGACCGGATTAGGACCTAGTTTAGAACCTCGTGCGGTACCAAACTTAGGATGTAGTTCCGGGATTGGTTTAGTGACAGCAACAACAAGCGACAGATGCGTGGATGCTCGATCGTCGCAGCCTGTAGCGGCAAGCAGAAGCAGCAGACGCTTAGACAATCGGATATCGCAGGAAGCGGCGGAGCATGATTGGTCGAATGGTGGACACGTTGGTTATAACGAAGCAGGTGTCAGGCAGAGCGAGAGACGTGATTGTAACGAAGCGGAATCTGACAAGGCAGCTCAAAGGAACGTGAATTTGGATCGGAGAGCGGGTGGACATGAAGGAGCAGATGAGCTGATAGGCCGACCAGCAGGAGGAATCTGTGTAGATCCAACGGCTAGGATCTCATTTCCAGCAGAGGAGCTCGGTAAGAGATTTCAGTGTCAGGCAGAGGAACAGGAACGGTTCAGAATACGTGAAACGGACGAACGTGATCGTTTGGATGGAGCAGCTGGCATAGACAAGGGTCACGGGGTTTCTAGAAGATTCGAGAAGGGGTGCAATCCGGGAATGAGCAGTGAAGGGATGGAGAATGAGGAGAGGATAACAGGGGTGAGAAATGATGTTGATATGAGGGGAAGCGAGGGGAATTGCGGGAAGGAGAGGTCGGATGCTGCTCGGATTCTTGATGATTCTAAGCAGCAGCTTGAGCATGAATTCGCTGTTGAGGAGCTACCAGAGGCATCAGGTTCAGGAGGAGGAAACGATGTGGAAACAATGGGAGGGGGAGGAGACGGAGGAGGAGACGGAGGAGAGGGAGAAGGAGCAGTTACAGAAGCACCAACAATACTGACAGCAACCCGGGTAACGACAGATGGGTTCAGAGATGGGGATGGTGGTGATGCGAAGATTGAAGGTGACAATATGGAGGATGACACTGTGAGATGTGGCAGCAGTATCAAAGATGACAATATGGAGGATGACAAGTTGAGAGATGACAATTTGGAGGACGAAGATTCGAGAGGTGACAATAGTGAGGGTGTTGCTAATGTTGTTAGTCGGCATAAGAACGATGACAACACGGGTGATGCTGTTGCTTCTTTAGATGCTGCTGCTTCTTTAGCTGCTACTCTTGCCTCGGCCTATGGGGGGTTGGACGAAGGAGAGGAGGAAATGGAAGAAGAAGAGGAAGTAGAGGAATCAAAGGGAGCAGAGGGAGCAGAGGGAGCAGAGGGAGCAGAGGGAGCAGAGGGAGCAGAGGGAACAGAGGGAGCAGAGGAAGCGGCGGGAGCGAATGATTTGGTGTGTGGCGACACAGAGGACATGAGGCGTATGTGGGATTCTGCTGCCCTGCGTGCTGCTGCTGCTGATGTTGCTCCTTCTGATCCTGCTGCTCCTGATGCCACTGATTGTGCTACTGCTCCCGATGCTGTTGCTCGTGGTGCTGCCCCTGAGACTGCTGCCAATGCTTCTGCTCTTTATGCTGCTGTTGGTGTTGCTGCCAATCCTGCAGCTGGGGGGGTTGTTCCTGATCCTACCGCCGACGTTGCAATGACAGGTGAACATATAGCAGCACCAGCATTCCTAGCAGCAAGCAGCGGGGGAGGAGTGACAACTGGTGAGGCGGCTCAAAAATATACTGCTGACGCTGCAACAACAGGTGAACATATAACAGCACCAGCATTCCCAGCAGCAAGCAGGAGAGGAGGAGTGACACCGTTCTTGGGACCAGTGGCACAAGGTCAGAGTGAAGGAAGTTTCTGGGAAGGAGGTGGCGGGGGTGCAAATGATGGTGGTGACATGATGGAGGGTGACAATATTGAAGGTGCTACTACAACCGTTGGTTGGCATGAAAACGACACAAGATGTGCTGCCACTGATGCCTGTTTTGCTTCTCTGCTTGCCATGGCGTATGGAGGGGTGGATGGGGAGGAGGATGCGGAGGAGGAGGGAGGGGTTGAGGTAGAGGAGGTGAAAGTGAAGGGGAGGGAGGCAGAGGAGGAGAAGGATGAACAGGATGAGGAGGAAGAGGATGATGAGGATGAAGAGGATGATGAGGATGATCTGGTGTGTGGTGATGCAGAGGACATGAGGCGCATGTGCGAGGCTGCTGTTCCTGATGCTGCTGCTAATTCTGCTGCTTCTGGTGCTGTTGTTGCTGTTGCTGCTGCTGTAGAGGAAGCAGATGAAGAAGAAGAAGCAGAGCAAGAGGAGGATGATGATGATGACTTGGTGTGTGGCGATGCGGAGGACATGAGGCGCATGTGGGAGGCTGCTGCTGCTGCCAACGCCGCTGCTCTGCGTGCTGCTGCTGCCGGTGCAACTCCTGCTGCTGCTGCTGCCGCTGCTGGTGCTGCGGCTGCTGCTGGTGCTGGTGAAGGGGATGCAGGAGGGGAAGAAGAAGAGGAGGATGAAGAGGAGTATGAGGAGGATGAGGAGGATTTGGTGGTTGATGATGTGGAGGACATGAGGCGAGTGTGGGAGGCTGCTGCTGGTGGTGGTGGTGTTGATGATGCCGCTGCTGATGCTGCTGGTGCCGCTGCTGATGCTGCTGCTGGTGCAGGTGCTGCTTCTGTTGCTGCTGCTGTCCTGGGTGCGCGTGGGGAAGCAGAGAAGCAAGAGGAGGAGGAGGAGGATTTGGTGGTTGGTGAGGCTGAGGAGATGAGGCAAGTGTGGGAGGCTGGTGGTGGTGGTGGTGGTGATGCTGCTGCTGCTGCTGCTGGTGCAGTTGCTGCTGGTGCTGCTGCTGTCCTGGGTGCGGGTGGGAAAGAAGAAAAGCAAGAGGAGGAGGAGGATTTGGTGGTTGGTGATGCGGAGGACATGAGGCGAGTGTGGGAGGCTGCTGCTAAGGCGAGGCAAGCCAAGAGGCAATCGCAGTGGCACATGGAACAGCAGCAACGGCTGCAACGGCAGGGGCAGCAGCGGCAGCAGCAGCAGCAGCAGCAGCCGCAGGGGCAGGAGCAGCAATGGCTGCAGCAACTGCAGCACCAACAACAACGGCAGCAGAAGCAGATACACCCGCAGCAGCAGCAGCAGCAGCAGCACCACCAGCAGCAGCAGCAACAGCAGCAGCACCAACAGCACTCCCAGCAGCAGCGCCAGCAGCAGCGGCAGCACCAACAACAACAACACAACCAACAGCAGCAGCAGCAGCACCACCAACAACAACACAACCAACAGCAACAGAAGCACAACCAACAGCAGCAGCAGCACCAGCAGCAGCAGCACCACCACCAACAACAACACAACCAACAGCAACAGAAGCACAACCAGCAGCAGCAGCAGCAGCAGCGCCAGCAGCAGCAGCAGCAGCACCAACAACAACACAACCAACAGCAACAGCAGCAGCAGCAGCAGCAGCAACAAAAGCAGCAGCAGCAGCAACAGTGGGTTGAAGCTGAGAGTCTTAGCAGCGATGAGACCAGCAGTCAAGACGAGCATGCGCATAGCAGTAGCAGCAGCCCAGATATTGCCTCGTTTGGAGCTGCTTCGTTTGTAGTCAAGGAATCCATGGGAGTGAGAGGGGTGAAGGGTCCCAAGGGAGTAAATGGGGTCAAGGCTACAGGTACAGGCGCAGAGCAGAGAGCAGAGCAGAGAGCAGGGCAGAGAGCAGAGCAGAGAGCAGAGCAGAGAGTGCACAGGTCTCGAGGAGAGGAGGGAGTAGGGCCTGGGGTTTGGAAGGGTGGGCATGGCAGGTATGACGCAGTTGATGTTGATGACTCAGAGTCTAGTCATGGTGACTCAGCTTCAAGCGGTGGTGATGGTGGTGGGGTTGCTGGTGGGTGTGCGGGTGGTGGGGATCGTAGTGGCAGCAGTGGCTCGGAAGGGAGCTTGGAGGCTCGTGTTTTCAGAGCATCTGCTGCAGCCCAGCGGGCCTCTGGTGAAGGGAAGCGGGGAGTGGGAGAAAGGGAAGCAGGTGCAGGTGCAACAGCTGTCAGGGGATTACAGAGTAGAGCAGGAGGTGCAGCGGAACGTGCAGCAGACGGAGTAGCAGTAGGAGCAGATGCAGGAAGGGCAGTACGAGGGGCAGCAGAAGGGGCAGCAGGAGGGGTAGCAGAAGGAGCAGACACAGCCGAGACTAGAACAGAAGCAGGTGTTCAAAGAAGAACGCAAATGCAAAATGCATCAGCTACTGCAAGGGAAGACGGGGGTGGTGTTGAATCGGCAGAGAGGAGGGGAATAGGAGTGTCAGGCAGGAATGAGGTTGACACAGCAGCAGCAGGAGCAACAAATGTGGCTGTGGAACTAGAGAGACACACATCAGCAGGAGCACCAGAGGAAGAGGAGCAGAGGCAGGGGAGCTTGAGTGGGGAGAAGAGGGTGAGGGGAGAGGGGGTGTCAATGGGGTATCGAGAGATAAGAAAAGGGTCGGATGGAGGAGGTCACAAAACGCCGAAGAAGCAAAGGAGGGGTGATGGATTGATGAATGAACGGATGAAGGATGATGAGATGAAGGGTGGAGAAGACAAGATGGAGAAGAGAGGGAGGGAGGATGAGGTGGGGGGGATGGGAGATGGTGCACATGGGAGAGACGGGAGGGGGCAGGAAGCAAGGGAAGGAGGAGAGGAAGGAGAGGAGAGGGAGGAGAAGGAGGGAGGAGGAGAAGCGAAGAGGGATGAGGAGGGAAGGAAGGAGGGGCACAGGGGGCTCATGGGAACATCCACGGTGGGAGCAGCAATGGCAGGAGCAGCAATGATGGGTACACCCCTGGCTGGAGCAGCTGTAGAGATGGGGAGGGAGGCTTTGAGACAGAGTGAGAAGTTTAAGAGTGTGGAGGACGAGGAGTGGAGGGAAAGACAAAAGGTGCTGCAGCAGCAGGCTGAGGAGGCTCAGGCTGAGAAGAGAAGGAGGAGGGCGGAGCGCGCCGAACGTGAGAGGCAGGAACGGATGCAGGCTCGGCAGCAGAAGCGGGTGGAGGAGGTTCGGCAGCAGCAGGAGCAGGTGGGGGGTCCACAGAGAACAGTGTCTTGCATCATATTTGGCGTCCTTCATCATTGTTTTTCTGTCGAGCATCAGAAATATGATAGTCCTGCTTGTGTTTTTTTCCATTCACCACTTCCCTTATTCCTCTTTTTCTTACTTTCTTTTTTCTGTACTCGTGCTCTCTCATGCTCTCCTCAGGTAGAGCATGCAATGGGGCTCAAGGAGCAGTTAAGAGCCTGCGTGCATGCTGACCTTATCAAGCGCCTGACAGGCTGATACATGAGTGCTTCTTTCTGTTGCTGCCTCTACTCCTGTCTCTTTGCTCTCCCGCCGCGTGCACTCCACTTGCTCTCCCTCTTGCTCCCTCAGGTGGAACGAGCAACGTGTCTCAAGGAGCAGCTGAGAGTATCAGTGCACGCTGACCTTGTCAAGCGCCTGACAGGATGAATGGCTGCTCCTTTCCGTTTCTGCCTCTTTTGCATTCCCGCGTGCACTCCTTGCTCTCTTCAGGTCGAGCGGGCATCTGGTCAAAAGGAGCAGCCGAGGGAATCGGTGCAAGCTGACCTTGTAAAGCGCCTGGCGGGGTGCCTCAAGGCTGCTCCCTCTCCTTTGTTTGGCTCTACGCCTGCTTCCCTGTTGCCCCTCTTGCTCACCTCTGGTGGAGAGGGCAACGGGTCTAAAGGAGCTGCTGAGAGCGTCAGTGCATGCTGACCTTGTCAAGCGCCTGGCAGGGAGCCCCAAAGCTGCTCCCTCTCCTTTGTTTGGCTATACCCCTGCTTCCCTTCTGCCCCGCTTGTTCTCCTCAGGTCGAGCGCGCAACGGGCCTCAAGGAGCAGCTGAGAGCATCCGTGCATGCTGACCTTGACAAGCGTATGGCAGGGTGCCTCAAGGCTGCTCCCTCTCCTTTCTTTGGCTCTACCCCTGCTTCCCTTCTGCCCCGCTTGTTCTCCGCAGGTGGAGCGCACAACGGGCCTTAAGGAGCAGCTGAGAGCATCAGTGCACGCTGACCTTGTCAAGCGCCTGGCGGGGTGCCGTGACTTTGCATCGGTCCTTGATAAGATCGGGATCAAAGTGGACGGCATGCCGCAACCATCGACTCAGCAGGTGAGAAATAAGGGGCTGCTACTTTAAAACCGCCTCAACAAGCGCATGGCAGGGTGCCGTGACTTTGAGTCAGTACCTGATGAGATCGGGATCAAAGTTGACAGCATGCCGCAACCATCCATTCAGCAGGTGAGGATTGAACGTGGCTTTTTTTCAACTTTTTTTTTTTTGCACTGTACTTCCCTCGTATGTCTCGCAGGGTTTACAACAATCATGTGGAAATAGTACCATCGGTTCTATACCTGTTGCGGCCTGAGTCCTGACTGGTTCACCCTTTGTCGCTTACTCGCCCTGTTTCCTGCGCTCTCCTGTTTGGCAGGTTGAAGCATCTTTCAAGAAAGCTCTGCTTCGGTATCACCCGGACCGTATGGCGAGGCTCGGAGCAGGAGCGGACGTTCGCAAGCAGGTAGAGGCCGAGGAGACCTTCAAGATGATGCTGGAGAAGAAAAAAAAGCTCCCACTTGTTGCACCTCCTGCCCCACCTGCTGCCCCAGCTTACCCAGACTTTGGTCTGCCCAAGTATCACAAGTTTGGCAGGAGACGTTATTACTGGTAAACATCAGACCTGTACTAGTTTGTAACTTCACGTGCTGCTAGATAATCATGCTGTGAAACTCTCCCAATATTACGGTAATTTCTAGTCATTGCATTGTGTCTTAGGAATGTTCCAATTGTCAGCCATTGTTATAAGAGTACAATAAACTGCGTATTAAATAAACATCATCAACAAGTTGCCTTAATGTCCCACACACAAATAAATTACACATACATGTTCTATTTTCATGGTTGTTACGTCGGCAATGTTGTGCACTTGGTACGGGAAGAGAATACGGTAAAAATGAACACTAAATGACCTGAGAGTACACTAGGCACTTCCATGCATCGACCAGCCCGACCGACCGTTCCCCTCACCCCACCCTGTGGCACCGAATCACTGTTTCGCAGAGTAGTCGTCGTACGCGCATTCCCACAGACTTGGTCGTACAGGAAAATCCTCGTACACACTTCGTCGCACAGGCGTCGTCGCACACGCGTCAAGCCAATCGGCCCTCGTCAGGAAGGACTCATGAGCATGAACTGCCTCTCTTAACACTATCGTACCGTTTTGGAACATGATGAAAAACCTTTTAAACCGCAGTATCCGAACTTTCACATATGCTCTTGAATAGTGCTGTTGACGAGAACTTTCCCATCACACCCACTCGCACATGTGACTATTTTCATGGGATGGAAAGTAGAAAAAGGACAACTCGCGGTTCTTCCTGTCAGTATCGCACCATACGCTGACGCGTTGTCTAGCCAGCCGTTCCTCGCCGAATCGGCGCGGCACGGCGGCTATATGGCGGCAATGGCGCAGCGGTTTCCCCGCATGTCACCGCTGCTGGCGGCAACTCAGCTTCCTCGCGTGTCCATCGGCGAGTCGTCGTTGCGGTGTGCGCCGTTGGGGGTTACATGCAACGGGCGAGCTGTGAAGGGTCTATCTGGCCAGGAGCGATCCGGCCAGGAGCGCTCCGGCCAGCATGACACCTCTCGTGGCCTATTAATACGGCTTGGGTAGAACCTACATTCATCACAACCGTTATTGCAGCAACCTAATACGACTACAACCTAGCATTCAGCACGACGAACAATTCCAACGACGATAATACCAGCTGTTATAGAGCGCCTCGGAAGTTCAAACCAGCCCTTATCGTCCAGCTCAGGATCATCCTCGTTAGTCTCTCACACTCAACGATCAGCGCGTACACCCTTAACTCTCACGGGCGAAACCATCGCAAGACCCAGTCACGTGTCTGAAGCTCGTTGCAACTACCGGAAATGGCGGCGCGACTCGGAGGCGGCTTGCTATTCGTAGCAGTCATGTGTGTGGCGGCGGCGTGCGTTCCGACGGGCTGCGCGCAGCCTCCTCCGCCGACGAAGGCGCAGCTGCGCACGGAGATGCAAAACATGGCGAAGAGCATCGTGAAGCGGTACCCGCAGTACTCGCGATACGCGCAGGACGCCACCAAATACATCAACTTTGCTCGTAAGTCCTTGGAGCAGTTACTCGGTTTTGCCCACTTCTTGTTCATCCCCTTGGCTTGGCAATACCAGGTTGAATCTCCCCAACATCCCACATTCTGTTTTTTCAGAACCCTTCACCACCTTTTACTTCTCCCCCTCCCCCCACCACCCCTTGCTTTTCCCCCCGCAGTAAACTCCAAGTACGACCTGTCAGCACTGCGAGACGCGTCCATCCTCATTCCCAACAACGTGCAGGCAGAAGCCCTCGCTAAGAGAATCCCCGCTAAGAGCAGCAGCATCCCCACACTGTACAACATCACCGCGTTCCACATCCTGCGCCGCCGAATGACCCTCCCGCAGATGAGGCAGGTGAAGCTGCGGACGGCGATAGGCACACAGCTGAGGCAGCCGCTCTTCAAGATGACGCCAATGGGTAACAACACTGCTGTGTCATTTGCTAAAGGGCCGTACTTGAAGGCAGACCAGTGGACCACAATTCGCATCCCGGGGCTGTATGTGGGACAATGGTTCATTTGTCAGAGGTCCACTGGTGATCCCCGATGATCCTAGGGAAGGGTTACAGGCACGTTGGCCTGGGGGGTTATGGGCGCACTCACCCGCTACACAAACAAGCCCTTTTATCCCAGTGGTTAGTGGCTGGGATTCTGACATGGTATCAGAGCGAAGGTCTCGGGTTCGAATCCCGGTGTGTGCACCTCGGGCATCCCAGTGCGGGGGGGTGTTAGAGGTCCACTGGTGATCCCCGATGATCCTAGGGAAGGGTTACAGGCACGTTGGCCTGGGGGGTTATGGGCGCACTCACCCGCTACACAAACAAGTCCTTTTATCCCAGTGGTTAGTGGCTGGGATTCTGACATCATTGCCCATGGGGTGGATCGGGTGATCATCCCCACTCACACCAAAGTATGATGAGGCAGTTGATGGGGAATACTAAGGGCGTATTCCTATCCTCATATCAAGAATACCTCATTGAGAAAGCTTGCTTTCTTGTCCTTATAATTTGGCATCGTTCTCATTGCAACTGGCTTATTACAACATATGCATCGTTCTTAAACACATGCTAGTACATGCAAATATTACTAGCTATGGGATCGTCCGTCCAAGCAGCAGTGGTCTTGTAGTTGGTCCGGGGTGGGTGGTGGGGATGTTGATTGAGCCGTTGGAAAACGAGAAACGTGGGTGGAGGGAATGAACTCCAACCCACGGTTTTTGTAGTTGGAGAAGGGCGTTTAGCGCGCTTCGACGCTGCCAAATATTCGGTACAGGCAGCTTCGCTTTCACAATACACAATTTTGAAAAACATCAATGTGTTTAAAAATTATAATATATCAACCTCCCACTGAAAATTCCCCTAAACCCAAAACCTCTCTCTAGTTTTACCAAGCAAAAAGTACATACTTGATATGAGGTTCCAATTGACACGAGGGTAGGAATACGCTCTAATGTTTGTGCTGTTTTGTCCCACTGCTCTGGCTTTTTAGCCTTGTTATGGAGTTTTGAAACTCCAACATTGTGAGAAAAAAACTGGAATTCTTTAATGATGGCTGGCATGTTATGTTACTTTCAAACCCTGGAAACAGGCACGGTTGCGCATCTAATAAAACAAGAAAGAATCAAGGGTGCGTTATGGGACCATAGAAAAGGCGTGTTTCAAATCACGGTATCTTTACTTCTTGAAACCAGAAACCCAAGGCTTTAGATTCTTGCCAGACGCCGTCCACACAGGGGGGGAAGCAGAAGGAGGAGTTTAGGTGAGGAGCGGGGGAAGCGAGGGGGAGAGAAGGGGGGAGAGGGGCGGGATGAGAGGCCGAGGAGGGGGTGGGTGAGGAGGATGGGGTGGACGGGAGAAGGATGGGGGCAGGGGGGGAGAAAGAGAGAGGGGGGAAGGAGCAAGGGAGGAGGAAGGCGGAGAGGGCGAGGAGGAGGAGGAGGAGGAGGAGGAGGAGGAGGAGGAGGAGGAGGAGGAGGAGGAGGAGGAGGAGGAGGAGGAGGAGGAGGGGGGGAGGAGGAGGAGGGGGGGGGGGGGGGGGGGGGAGGAGTGGTGGTGGAGGTGGTCGTGACTTTGTTGAGAAGCGGAGGGAGTGTATATGTATTGACGGCAGTCAAAACTGGCATAGCAACCGATTGACTTTAATGGTTTTATTGGACACAGTACCATGTCAAGTTAGCTCTCGACCTTGGAAACCTGTGTGTAGGATCTAACGGCAAGAGCCAGCACCACCATCAGCACGGGTATTAAGAACTGCAGAAACAGCTTCAACGTGGACGTACTCTCCTGGCTCCCTCCACCACTGCTTCCATTCCTAGCTGGCTTCTCTGGTAGCGTCGACTCGTCAATCTCACCAACATAGTACTGAGCGAGCATGTCTCTGGCAGTCTTACTGTGGCCAATATCCTCAAAATCATCGGTAGCGTCTTTGCCTGAAAACGAAGAATTTGCCAGGAATCAGCATACGGCGTCAGATCATAACAGGTGTAAATGGAAACAGATTCTTCTGCAAACATAATCTACATGGTGAGGCTTACCGGTCGACGAGACCATGACATCGGATCCGCCAGGATGATCATCCATAAACTTAGTCACGTCATAGACCTGTAAAAAACATCTCCAATTTAGTTCCTTATGGGAGGTGCTGCTGTAATAAATCATCCAGATCCGATCCAGAATGGCTAGTATGGAACCAGTTTGAGCATTGTTACTTCACCTTGCCTGACACGATCAGCCAGCAATCCTTCTCCGTGTTGTGCTTCGACACCTCTTCTAACGTGAAAACTTTTGGCGTAGTCTCAGCCATAACTGAATGTGCAAATCCAAGCAACTTCCCCTCAGCGCACTTGAGCTGGAAAAAAAGCGAAACGGGAGCAGCAATAAGTGGACCTTCTAAGACCTGCACTAACTCTTTAACACTATGCTACAGGGAGTAAATGAAGCTCGAAGATGGAAAGCGACCAGAGATTCGCGTATCCTCCTAAGTTCATGCAAAATAGCTAACTGCTACTTGTGTTTTTAGTCCTCGGTCTCTATCAGGAGGAATTCGATCTCAAATCAATAGATGGTTGGACGGAGTTTGTGCCTAGTCGTTGGGGGTGAGGATGGGAGGAGGAGGTTGAGCAGGGAAAGAGTCACGTAGAAATTGACGAAGGGTGCTCCTTGCTGGTGTTTTCACAAACCATGATGTTTACGTCGTCTCGATTGGTGATTGGCCAGTTACGCTGTCAGTGGGACCGAGACGAACTGTTCTTGGCCCCAGAGAAGTCCGGGGGGGGGGTCAGTCGTTTTGCGATCCTGCGACCACCTAGAGTTGAGGAGAGCGAACATCCACCACCAGTTTCCAAGACGATCTGACACAGCTGGCTTCCCGAACCGAAGTCGTCTGTTTGTTTACAAAGCGTAGTACTCGATAACATTTATAGTAGTAAAATAACGGGTACGGTCACTGCAAAGGGTTTTTTTAATGATAATTGAATGTATACACCGACAGAAACAAGCATATACAGACAAAGACGGTCGTAACCGTGCGTGAGGAGTTAGAGGAGAGACCTCTGCCTCCAGATGATGTGCTGTCGCCTTAGGTCCTGGTGGGCCTTGCCCTCCGCGCCGACCACAATGCAGCAAAACTATTTGTCCATTTCAAACTGTTGCCATCCAGTTTGATTCTCTTCAGCATGTTCCATTCCTCCGAAGAATCCCGCCGCCTCTGCTTTCGCCACGTCGAACCAAATGCGTGAGTGTACAGCTTCACGTGATGTCGAAAAGCCAACTCTATCCTCCGCAGAACACGTTGCACGCAGAATTTCTGCTTCCGAAATACCCGTTCGACCCACAATTGGTGCAACGTGATCGATGTTAACGTCATCTCCGGAAAAGCTGAGCTGGTACCCGTGTCTCGGAACAGAAGATCGCCAAGCGAGTCTGTTGCACGCGCAGGATTAAGCATGCGCAGAGCGCGCCGGAGAGCGGTGGTGACCACCTGTATTCTTGGGCAGAGAACCAGGCAGTGATCCAGCGTCTCCGGGTCTCCGCAATGCGGGCAGACAGGCTGGCAGCTCAAAAAGGCCAGGCGCTCCCCGACTTGCAGATTCAAGCCGTGGATCCTGAGTAGGACCCAGTGTTTGAACAGCTTCTCATGGGCCTCGAAGGAGTCCACCCCGAGCGGGAGTTCAGCCGCAAGCACCATCAGCTCCTTCTTCAGCGCGTCTTTCTCCGTGAGAAAGAGGCCAACTCTCTCCTGCAGAATTTCCTCCCTCGTACACGCCGCCGCCCTTGTGTACGACGGTGAGCGAGAAAGGCATTCGCAGGTCTGCTTCCAGCATGTGCTGCGCCCCACCCAGTGTTTGAACAGCTTCTCATGGGCCTCGAAGGAGTCCACCCCGAGCGGGAGTTCAGCCGCAAGCACCATCAGCTCCTTCTTCAGCGCGTCTTTCTCCGTGAGAAAGAGGCCAACTCTTCTCGCCGCAAGACAGGTGATGATGATCTCAGGATCTGTCACCCCAATCCCTCCAAGCTCCCTTGTTGTGTATAGCACCTCTTTACTCCACAATTTGAAACCCTTCGCTGCTGACGCCCTGTTCCCAGACGTGAAGCTGTGTATCAGCCGGACGAGGTCTTCCCAGACACCAGCCGTCGGTGGGTAAACTTGCGCCTGGAACGCGATGATCGGTATGATGTAATAATTTACAACTGTCCCTCTCGCCGTGGTTGTCAGGTATTTCTGCTGCCACTTGACCAATTTCTCAGCTATCCGCTCCAATGCCTTCTCCCAGGTTTTGACCCCGCTGCCAGAAGGCGACACCCATACCCCCAGCAGACGCTCAACATCGTCGGCACCAGCCCATTTGAACGCTGCTGGCCCGTCCGCTGCTGCCCCCAGATTGGCACCTAAAGGCAACACGACCGACTTGCCCTTGTTGGTCGCGAGCCCGGAAGCCTTCTCAAAATCATCCAAGATGCCCTCTGCCTTAGCTATCTACTCTTCCCCTTGCAGGATCAGCGTGGTGTCGTCAGCGTAGCCTAGGTAGCTCAGCCGCTGATCGTCCCTGCTAAGCCCCAACCGCTCTCTTTCTACCGCCTGAGCCAGGGGTTCCACCGCGCAGAGGAAAAGGTAAGGCGCTAGCGGGCAACCCTATCTGACACCAGAGACCACCTCCAGCCCATCCCCAAGCCAGCCATTAACCAAGAGCTTTGTTGTTGTATTCTCGTGCAGGCCTTCAATCCAGCCGACAAAACGATCCGGGAAACCCATTCTCCGGAGCACATCAAACAGGAAGTCCCGCGACACAGAGTCAAAAGCCTTTTTGAAGTCCACCAGCAACAAGTACCAGTATTTATCGCCATTTTTCGCGGCGTCAATGACGTCAGCAACCAGCGCCACCGCATCTGAGAGCCGCCTCCCCGGAATAAAACCATACTGCTCCGGCGAGATGACTTGGTGCAGCACAGATTTCATCCGGTCCGCCATGACCTTCACCAGGATTTTGTAAGTAAAATTCAAAAGGGTTGTCGGCCTGTAGTTGTCCAGCTGATCCCGATCCCCTTTCTTGTGTAGAATTGTGACCGCCTCCTTGAGCTCTGTCGGTAGGAAGGCAGTTTTCTCGAAGCTCTTCGCCATCACCATGAAGCTTTCCCCCAGCAGATCCCAGTGAGCCTCGAAGAGCTCCTTCGGGAGTCCATCCCCTCCAGGTGACTTGTTCTTTGCCAACGCCGTGAAGGCTGTTTTAACCTCTTGTTCCGTCCAATCCGCCGTTAACGCCTCTGCTGCTTCTTTGCCCAGGCGCCGTGACGGACTGAAGTCCCAAGACACGAAGTCCGTTCGGCGATCCTTGCCGAAGATGTTATGGAAGTACTCCGAGGCAGCCGCCAAGATCGGCTTTACACTTGTAACGGGCAAACCACCCACCTTCAGCTCCGTTATCTGCGTGCGAGCCTTTCTCGCGCGGCCCCTGGCTGGCAAATGCTTCGATGCAATCTCCCCGGTCATCTCCTCCGTCAGGCCAGCCTGCATGTGCAATCTCTCTTTCCGCGCCAACCGGTATGCCTTAAGTTGCGATTCTCTTGCCTCCAGTAGTGCCTGCTTGACAGTGCACCCTGGGTCCCCCATCCACTCCTGCTTCAGTCTTGCTACATCCGTAGCCAGCCGTGATATTGTCGCTTTAACTCTCTTGCTTTCTTCCCTTGCATAGGAACGAAGTCCAACCCCCAAGCGAGCAATGAGAAGCTCGAAGCTGCTACCATCCTTAACGGGCGTTCGTCGGACTGTAGCATCAATGATATTCTGCACCCCCGGTCTGTGAACCATTGACGCGTGTAGCCTCCAGATGCCAGGGCCAGTACGGACTCTGGCGTCAAGACGGAAAGCCACCTTAATCGCAAACCCGTGATCCGAAATCGGGTCATCAGGCTTGTCATGTGAAGCAACTACCAGGTGAGTTAATAATGACTGTGATGCTAAAGCGCGATCAATGCGAGTACTGCAGCAGTGCGAATGTGCATAAAAAGTATACTCTCTCTTGCGTGGATGCAGGGTACGAAACGCGTCGGACAGTTGAAAGCTGGAGCACCGGAGCAACAGCTTATCATTTTCCGACAAAGAACCTGAACCAGAAGATCTGTCCAGTTTCGGGTCATCAGTCAGGTTAAGATCGCCAATCAGGAGAAGGTGAGAGGAGGGGTGTATGCTGTCAACAGTGGGACCAAGGACGTCACGAACGAAGGCCGCTCTCGGTGAAGGGTGAGCAGGTAAGTATAAGGCAAGAAGTGTGAGATCTAGACCGGCCTCGTTAACTGTGGTTTGAACTAGTCTACCTGACGGGTGTATGACTTGTTTTGGAAGGTAATGTCTTGATTACGACTAAGAATCGCTACGCCGCCAGCACTATACTGAGGGGGGCTGTCTACGACTGTGTAGTACTAAGAGATGACCAGTAAGGGTGAGCGGATGGAAGCCTTGTGTCTACTAGTATAGAAATGTCTGCAGATGTCTTTAGCCAGTCTGTGACTCTATGCTGTTTTGTCTTGTCGCCTAAACCGTTGACGTTCAGGCTCGCGATGGTGAGGTGATTTTTATAAATCATTGGGTCACTGCCTTGCAGCCCCTCGTCATCCACAGGCTGTAAAAGGACACTACACAGGTCAAGCTAACACCAAGACTCCAACAGGTGGCAATACGCAGGTAACGGTCATAATCAGTCACAGTCCGTAGTCCTTTTGTATCGCCTTGAGGTTGAGCTTGTCCAAGGACTCTTTCGTGGCAGAACCTGCTTTTATCAGCTGCTGCAGGTGAGTTGCCGTGTTGATGTGGTCTATGGCAGCCATGAAACTCTTCCCCTTTGCCTTTCCGCAACCACCCTGGGTGCAAATCCAGTCCTCCCTGTTGCTGTTGGTTGAGACTAAGGCAATGGCCGGGTCCCGAAGAAGGGGGAGGAAAAGCGCGGATGCCTTCAGCGGCGCAGCTGCGAGAGTCAAGACAGAGGTTAGTGCAAGCAGCAGATAAGAACGAGAGCCAGCGGCGAGAGAGCTTGCAGCAGCTTTTACCGTTAAGCCTGTGAACCTTTCCAAGAGTGAGATTCCATTTACTGACATTGTTCTGACGTTCAGTAATGAAAACATTATGATACTTATCATAGTGTTTGCCACCACAGAGCGTGCATGACAAGGCCGGATAATGGACCAGGAGCTGCTTCGCGCGGTCAGCAGGATCAGCAACAGCATGAATCCAACGACGCTTCTGATTGCACGGGTGAGCGTAAACCAACCCTTTCACCACGTCCATATCAGCACCAGTGACCGGGTGTAGCACGCGGTGGAGACATGTACACTTCAGGAAGGCAGACAGACCAGTGCTCTTGAGCTTGTAAGTCGCCAGTCGGTCATGAATCATGTCCAGTTCCACCGCAGCTGAGACACCTTTAATCATGACTTCAATCGCATGCGGGTTCAGAGCCTTTTCGCGAGCGTAGGTAGGATCTTCAGTATGTTGCCAATGCAGAGTGATAAGTTGACCCTGATTCTTAAGCGGCTGATATATCACTTCCTTGTTGCGCACCCAAGCAGCGTCGGACTCCAAGGCGAAGGATACTTGCAGACGACAATAGCGAGTCTTGGCAACATATGCCGTCCGCAATTCCTGGAACTTCGTCGTCTTCGCAGCGTTAACTGATATGAATACCATCCGTATTTGATTAGAGCCTTGACTGCATCAATGACACAAGAAATTTATTTCTCGAGCATGAATGGAATGAGCAGGATAGCAATCGACCGAAGCCTGAAGCCAGCCTCCCTGTCGTCAATCAGCATCTCGTCATCAGAGTCGTCTTCAATGAAGCCATCCGCATCAGTAAGGTCACTGCAAAGGGTGTTTTCACGCGATTCATAAAACGTTTCACGTAGTCAATCTATCACAATTGGAAAAAAATCACGCGAATGGTCATAGATTTGGGTGTGTTACGAAAGGGATGTGCTTGTCACCAGCGTAACGGTGGTTGTCGGCAGGCCGGGTGTCGACGCAGTGTCCAGAGTTGTATTTGTTAACTTTATGGTGAATTGAAGAAACCTTTCTCAGTAAGTGAAAACAGCGGAATGAGTAGGATTGATTGGGTTGGGGTACATATGCCTAACCCTAACTGCTTGTACCCCATATAGCATGACCCACAACAGGGTATAACATTTGACACACCCCCATAGCCTAAGTGGGGAATGCCAAGCAACAAGAGACGCAATCTAAGGTCACAAGACCAGTCACAAACAAAAGACAAAACAAAGCTCAGGGTGGATCACAACGTCACCACACAGTCTGAGCGCAAACAGCGGCCACAAGGCCAGTTCAAGAGTGTATATGCAGATATATACTGTACAAGCAAAGACAAGAGACAAGCACTCACTACTGCAGTCTACTCGACCCAGTCTCAACGAGGCCCAACTGCAGACAGAACCGGCGGTGGTCACAAGGCTGAAGAGCCTTGGTGAAGATGTCTGCAGTGTTGGCCTCGGAGGCCACGAAGTCCAGACGAGCCTGCCCGCGTCTCTGCAACTCTCGAAGGAGGAAGTACCTGACGTCGATGTGCTTCACTCTGCTCTCCAGTCAAGGCTCACGACACAGGAGAATCATCGCCCTGTTGTCAGCAAACAGGGTCGGTGCAGAGCTCGGCCGCTCACCAAGGTCAGTGAGCAAAAAGGTCAACCAGCGTAGCTCCTGAGCAGCAAGGGCCCCAGCGTAGATCTCGGCCTCTGCGGTAGAAGTCGCAACCGAGGAGGACCGAGTAGACCTCCACGAAACAGCTCCAGAACCCAGGCTGAAACAGTAACCCTGCGTAGACCTCTGAGTCTCAACGTCGTCGGCGTAGGAGGAGTCGCAGTGACCGGTGAGTACAACTGGCTGTGTCCCTCCAAGTACAAGCCCCATGCCTGATGTCGCGCCAAGGTACTTCGCCACCCTCTTAGCCGCCGCCCAGTGAACAGGACGGTGTCTCCCAGTCGCAACAAAGCGAGACAGGATGCTAAGAGGGAAGGCGAGGTCCGGGCGAGTGCACGTCATCAGGTACATGAGGCAGCCCACCAGCTCTGCGTAGGGACCACTGGGCTCGAACGGCTCGTCAGGAAAAGGCCCAGTGAGTCTGTGGTCTACAGCAAGAGGAGTGGGTGTAGGAGAGGAGTCCTGAAGCCCGAACCGCTGAAGGACCTGCTGCACCATGTGTGACTGAGTCAGAGTGATGGTGCGAGCGGGTCAGTGCAGGTGTGTCTCTTCTGCAGTTCGGACTTCACCTCCGCCAGTGCAGCTGTGTCGGCTGTGGCAAAAACCAAGTCGTCAACGTAGACCAGAACGAAGAAAGGTGTGCGCCCACGACGAACAAACAACGACGGGTCGGCGGAAGACGGCTCAAACCCGAGGTCGGAGAGAGTAGAGCGGAGAGTGTCGTGCCACTCACGGGGTGCCTGGCGGAGACCGTAGACCGGTCGTCTGAGGCTCCACTGGGTCCCAGGCGGGAAAGTGCCAGTGAAGCCCGGAGGACGACGCAGCCAGATCTCCTCGTGTAGGCGGCCCTGGAGGAAGGCAGTGGAGAAGTCAAGAGAGTGTAGCTCGTAGTCTCTCTGCGCTGCTACGTGCAGTAACACCCGAAGAGTGGTCATCTTCGGGGTGGGCGCGAAGGTCTGAAAGAAGTCAACTCCCTCACGCTGACTGAACCCTCTAGCCACGTAGCGTGCCTTGAAGACTGGGGGAGATCCCGGCGGCCGCTTCACCTTGAAGATCCACATGCCGTCAACGATGTTCGCCCCTGGGGGGGGAACCTCGTCAACGTAAGTGCCTGTGGACCTGTAGGAGGCCATCTCTGCGTCCATGGCAGCTCTCTACTGAGAGGCCCAAGGCCCTGACACTGCCTCAGCGTAAGTGCGAGGAGTAGGTATGTCAGGAGCGTCGGGGTCTCCCTCAGGAGTGAGCAGCATGGCACAGAGATGAGGCGAAGCAGCTGCCAGGAACTCTAGCTCAAACTGTCTGTCCTCTAGGACGTCACAGCCAAGGGCAGACTCACCCCCGGCGGACAGAGGACGGACAGGAGGAGCGGCCACAACACGAGTGGCGTAGTCAAGGCGACGCGTAGCAGTAAAGTCAGTGACAGCGGCAGTGAGGACCGCGACGGAGGAAGGGGAGGCACGAGGGTCTGTAACAAGAGAGGCGAGAACACGAGAGAGAGTGGGGCGGTACGTGCGGTAGTAGTCAGTGACCGGAGTGGACAGGGAGGCAGTGAGGGAAGACTCAGGAGGACGAGGAAGGACAGACGGAGGAGAACGAGGAGGACTAGGACGAAACAACACGGTACGGAGGTCAGTGACAGGGGACGAGGGACGAGCACGAGGAGGACGAGAGGCCCAAGTGTGGGCGAGAGGAGGGGGGGACGGAGGAGACTGAGAACGAGGGAACACAGCCGGAGCTGAGTCCGGAGGAGGAAACGTAGGACCGAACACAGGAGGAGAGGAGGGGAGACCAAGGGCCCGAAGGCCAGAAACAGGGGGTGGAGGCTGCTGCTGCGGCTGCTGCTGCTGCTGCTGCTGCTGCTGCTGCTGCTGCTCCCGCTGCAACTCCAACCTCTCACTCTCCACCCGCTGCTGAAGCTCCAACCTCTCACGCTCCAAACGCTGCTGCTCCTCACGCTCAAGACGAAGACGGGCCTGGTGGCGAGTCGGGTAAGGGTGAGGAGGAGGAGTAGCGTGAGGAGACGACGAAGAAGAACCTGCTCCGCCCTCGACAGCACCCGGCTGAGCACCCCCAGAGCGAGTACCCCCCGCGGCAGCACGACCTGCACC